TTACTTTTTTTCAGAAAATTGAGACAAGGCGATCCATTCACCGACGGCAGTTTGTTTCAACCGTCACAGCATAGTAAGTAATTTTAGCTCTAATTATGGATATGTTTTATTGACCGAGTTTCTCAAACATTAGTGCTCAGTTAGCAATGGTTTCTTTTCTATTATTTTATTGTTCCCGACGTCTGCTTCATCTGTGATTTTTCTATGGTGGGTGGACTTAATATAACTGCATTTAAAATCTAGGAAACTAAAATATTTGTGAAGGTGAGATCTAAGACTAAGACAGTAAGTTTTAAATCGACGTCTAAGAAACATTGACATAGTTTGTTTGCGCATTAAAGTTTGTAAGTTAAACTTCTTCCTTGCATATTGAAAATCATGACATCATAGGGCTTGGCTCCTTTGACAATAGTGTGACCAAAATTTTTTGATAGTTACTCCAATGGATGTTCAACAGTCAACGATGTGTTTATCATCACGAAGAATTTAAGGCAAATGGTTTTCGGAAGTTTATCGTAATTTGATGCTCGTCTACGTTTTAGACTAAGCTTAGCAAACTACATTTTATTTGAAAAACATCCCCTTATTTTTCATTTAAGCAGGGACCTAAGGAGTTGATGTAAAAAACCCATTTTTTAATTTTTAGCCAATCACATCGAACGATGTCGAGATTTCTTTTGCAATTCCACGCAAACATGTATAACTGGAGTTGTCAAACCTATAACATTACACTTGTTTTGATCACTTTATTCATTCATCTTTTGCAGAATTAAACTTTACGGGAAAGCGAAAAAAAATTACGAAGAAAAATAATGGTTCATTAAAATAGGAAAATTTGACGCTGGAATTTCTTTCAAAGGTACATGTTATTTTTCTACTATAGACTTCGGAATAAAGCTAATAGATTATCTAGTCCGGGTCTACTGTTGTGAGAGAGTTTTATGTCAGTCAACCCTTTCCGTGGATGTTTCGCAGATCTGCAACATTCACCTAATGAAATGGTAAACAACTTTTAAAAAAAATTCCTCACCCAAAGCATTAGAAAAACGAAGTAGTACCGAAAATGTTTGTATATGTAGTTTGTCCTGGTTAGTGCAGTTTTAACGAGGATCGTTGGTGTTTGTGTTGACTGATGTTTCGACAACCTCAGCGGTAGTCATCTTCGGAATCTTCATGATTCCAGTTTTAGAAGTCTACCGCTACGGAAACCTCACTCAACATCAATACCAACAGTTTTTCTCGAGACTCTACTAACAAGGACGATCTACAAATGTGCAACGATAATCCTGGGCTCAAACCATTCGCTAATTTATCGATAGTGCTAAGTATTTCCCTAAACAAATAGTGCTTTGCTTCCCAGTTATACCTGAGGTCATTAGCCCTTGTGTCATTGGAATATAAGAGCGCAATTTTAACTATGACGGCTTTACGGAACTTTTGTATGAATGAAAAGTGCATGTATTCATCTTCTGCGCCAGTGTTCTTAAACTATCGGAGAGGACCGAGGAAAAAAAGATCATTTACCAATGATCGTATGAACTGTCACTGTAACTAACGATGAAATTAGCCGTCCTTATTTGCCACTAGGTTTTGTTCATAATCCTCGGGAGGACCGCGTTTTGGAAAGAAGGTATAAGTTTGATTTGATTTATTTAGGCAGGATGAATGTCGTTCGACAAGCCTGTTTGAAAATGGTCATGAAGCTACTGGTCGAGATACGATATATCACTGGCGAAGTCAGCCCGAGTTTTACTCCCGCTTTGAACGTGGCAATTTTTAAGCACGATTAAGAGAATCTAAGAGTATCTTTAGAGACAAGTTTCGGTAATTATTATTTTCGTTATTGATAAAAAAGGTTGCAATAGACGATATAATTGAAAAAATCGGACTGTCTCTGCCACTTCTGTGCCAAAGCGCGGTTGCGTTAAGACTCGGTGTTGATCTTTCCAGTGCCGACCTTGATTTTCAATTTTAATAAAAAGCTATCTGGAATTGGAAGCGATCGTTTCCATTTGATGTATCTGATTCGCCATTATACCGTCAGAGTTTAAAATGGCATTCGTATCTTCTTCTTCAAAGAGAAGAGCGGAGTTTGGGCCGGACCGTAATATTTTAAGATGCAGTTTAAACTCTGCCTTACTTGGGAAGAATTAGTAAGTGAATACATCACGGTTGATCTCCGTATTCTATATTTTATTTTACGATGATGAATTTACATTTTGAATTAAAAACCTTTCGACGTTTTGCCTTGTGTTGTTTTTAGATTTTGTAATCTTAAGAATGCTACAGCAGTTACCCCCTGTCCACTCCCCTCCCCTCCCCCACTATACGTTCGACCTCCTCACGACTTCAAGCTTTTTCAAACCGCGTTGGATCTATTCCTTGTTTCTATATGGTCCCGTCCATTATTGACATTTGCCTTCAGGTAATAAAAATTTAAAGTACACGTATTTCGGAGAGAAGTCTCGATGGTTATCTCCACCTCTCCAATCAATTGTTTGCAAGAATTGGGACACCGATTTGTAGGCTTCGTCGAGAAATTCGGAAGATTGCAGTAACTTTTCAAGCTCCTTGTCCAATGTCGGACGCAAATGCTTACAGATATTCTGCAAGGAAAAATTAGTTGAACATGTATGATAAAAACGAAAGCGAATTAATAACAGGATTTAACCTTTATAACCATACTTTGAGCTCTCCCGCGTCAATATTTGTTGTCTTCTGGTCATCTCTCGTGCGCTGGAGTTGCGCATCCAGCAAACTGTACTTTTCCCTCAACAGGAAATGCTCAGCTTTGGACGAAAAACCTTTCTCTTCAAGTTCTTTGATTCGAGATTTAGCTTTGTCTATTGAAAAAAGAAACAATACGAACGTGCCGAACATGTAGAAACGATTGCAGACTTAAGGCTCATTTTATGAGATTCACTAGGACGAGAAACTTCAAATTTCTAAAACCAATACATAGAAATATATGTCAGCTGAATTACGGGATCACTATGTTTAATGTCTAAGCGTGATTGCACGAAAAATATAAATACCTTTTTTAATAGTTTGAAAGTTATTCTATCCAATGTTTAAAGCTATCCAGGCTTCGTGCGACCTGCCCCTTATCTTCAACAATTCGTCTTTTAAGCGTTTCGTGAAAAGTATGATAAGTCGTTCACACTCGACCGATAAATCGATAAGGTCAAAGCGCATTTTCAATTTCGCGTGGTAGACTTTCTTCTTTTCGTTCATGGCATTCAGTGAGCTTCCTTATATCCAATAGCCTTGCACGCTATTTGCCCAAATGCCTTTAAGCATCACGGACCGCGAAAGATGGGGAATGGGGGGGGGCTAATATTCATGTATGCATGCTATAATCAGTAGAAAACAATGGATTTTAAAGGAGCTTCAAACTGCATATCATGCATATATGAACATTAGCCCCCCCTTTTTTTGGTCGATTTTCCTGCTCAGTTCTTCCTGATTCCGAACTTGTTTTTTAGTAATTTGTTTTCCGCTTTGCTGTGTGCGTATATGAAGTTGATGTCAGCAGCGTTATCATCGTGCATCAATTCATTGCTCCCATATTCAAATCCTGCCCATCAATGCAGGTGTTCTTCTCGTTCTGCGCATGCTCTTGCCACCACCAGTACCAGCATACTGCATCCCGACAACATCCACTACATACTCTACATTCACATCACCCACTTGCCTAGCTACTATTGTTGTTTTTATGTAGGCAAAGCGAGGGACAGCGGGCACTAAGCGTCCAAGGTATGTATTTATGAGAATCGAGTGTTTATCGCGAGCATCAAATCTAATGATGTAATTTGCGGAGAAAACTTTTCGTGATTTACATGAAATAGATTGCACAAAATGACCACACGTTTTTGGCTTATGAAATTCTCAATCCTGCCCTATGTCGATTTTCTATCATTTCTGGAAGAGAGTTGTGCATTTTATCATGCTTACGTGAGGTAGCGAAATAATATAAGGCTTGCCAGTTATTAATTAGGGCAGGTTACTGGTTGGCTGACTTAGGGGCTGTTCTCATAAGCCCGGTAACTGGGATTCAGCGGGGCGTGAATTGATTTTGAGTCATTGATAGGAGTAAAAACTTTAATTTCAAAACTTACAACCTTTTCTTAAACGTCATAAATCATTTTAGTTGTAATTTTCAAATCAGGCTAAAGTATTTTTTCTTTTTAAAGGTTTTGTGAATTTGCAAAGTCAGAGCATAGAGAAATTGCTCAAATAAATTTTTTGTTGTGAAGTATTTCATTTTTTCCATTTGCCAAAAGGATTTAACGTTTCGCTGAATCCTGACTACCGCGCTCATGTGAACAACCCTTATAATAATCAAAAGGCAAGCTGCATAATAAAGTTAATGACGATATTAGATCGATCTATCTGTTGTTTTTTCCCTGTACTCGATATGTTGAGCGCGGATGAGCAGCTACGAACCTAAGGATAACTAAGAACTATAGGCTAACTCCATACTCCATAGTTCCAAAAAGTTACTCGCATTCATTTTGCGAAAGTAAGATGTCAATGTGATTTCCACCATCATGAATGAAAGTGAAATAATTATATTCGCGGAGTTATCGAATACACTTTTAGTAAAAAAACGAACATGTCGTTGTCACTCTTATTTTTGACTTTGTCTAACTACGTTGTGCTTGTACTCGGAAGTCGTTTTGCGTGTCAACTTAACCTACAGACAGAGGTCGACTTTCTCAAAGCGTGCATTATCTTCAAATCGCTGTCACTCGTATGTAATAAATGAGCCGACTGCTGTCTTCTCAACGCTATTCTTTTGAGGCACTCCTGGCACAAGCGTGAACGCGACGCCGGAATCATCGAAACTGCGGCTTGCGCGAAAAAGTAACATTTATCAATGGGTGCTTGTTTGCGTGGAACTTTCCTCGCGACGAATGTGTTTCGCTTTCTATTGATAGCCGATAATAAAGGTGTCTCTTATGACCGAACTGCCCCTCGACGTATCATGTTTCAGAGACGTTTATTATCCGAAAGAATGTACGAAATGCCAGTCACTGAATGCTGCCAGAGCAGTAATCAGGTCGGTTGTGCAAACTTATCGCGTTGGTTCAAATCTTTTATTCGCGTCTTCACTGGTATACAGCGTACTTGTATTTGACGTCTCGACTATAGAAGCGACGATGTTGACGCTTCGAAGATTGCTGAGCGTTCAATTGGTGCTTATTGGCTTCATGACTTTAAAAGTCAGTGGACAAGTTCAAAAACGTATGTATATTCGATTATATTTCGGTACAGCACTTCATTTTTAGTGAAGTGCGATAATTGCTCGGCAAAGTAAACATCGCGTCAAATAAGTTGTGCGGTAAACGCAAATTCTGTGACATGCGCGCGCCAATTCTCGTCATGTCGCTTGTCCATGGCATCAAACAAACGTTTTTTGTATATTAGTGAATTAAGCCACGTTTACACTGTACAGTTTTCGTTGCGTTCGCTTATTGTTCAAGAAATTCGTGCAGTTGATATGATTTTTCTACTCGTAAATCGAAAGGTTACGAAAGCGATCCTATGTAAACGACGTTTTGACGGAAAAATTTTGAAAGTTCAGTTATAGGCATTGCGGCTTAGATAGACGACGTGATGCAGCTTAGATAGTCGATGTGATTCACTGCATAGAGACAAAACAAAGACATGAAATACGTATTTGCTGAGGAAATTGGTCTCCAAGTTTGCTGATGACGCCCTTTCCAACAATGGTCCGCGTGCCTTTCTTGTTACATCTTATAGCCATGTTTTCGCTCGATTGTAAATTCCCATTCGCCAGGTCTCCTTTTTTTAGTATCGGGTACAATGAATAAAACCGAATGTGCAAAGTTTGCCTTACTTATTACACAAAAATACGCGATGTTTTCACATTGTTACGCCATCAATGGCTCATTGTTTTTCGCTGGTAGCTGCAAGTGATTGCGATTTGACACGGACTCGAACTCGACCTTTGCCTCGTAACGTTGATTTTACAATTTTCATTAACCCGGTTAGGATGTTCAGCTTTGGTATACAATGAAAGAAACCATTTATATAAGTGCCAAACGAGAGTGCCCCAGTGATAATAATTCTGTAAACTGGAATGCACAATTATTTTCATAGGAAGCCCAATCATTGCATGAAGCACGGTACTGTTGTTTTACCACCCACTGATCGGCAGAAACTGAAATGTCTATAGATTTCTACCAAAAGCTTGAAAACTGTTTGATTTCACGTTAAATACAAAGAATCTTGCCGAATAGGTTCGTCAAATTTTCTCGGATACTGTACTGAGGCCTTCGAAGATATAATTCAACTGTTCAATTTCTTAACAGACGATACGGTAGCGTAAGATTTTGTGGGAAAGAGTGAGCGCTCTGTATCTAATTTGTCTATACTGCAATTGTTTAAAAAATTCAATGGTTAAAAGTTCATCAGCCCGCGAGTTGAACCAACCCATCATGCTTTAAATCTCGTCGTTGCATTTTTGTGCACTTGCACGCGTGCAATTGTGAATTCTTTAAAATATCCTGATGAAGTTACAGGAGAGAAAATACATCAGCTCTTGTTAGCAAAGCTCGTGACAGCGGTAACATTTTTTATAGTATTTCGAGCATGCAAACTTAAAAAGCCTTTTTTCGAACGGAAATGTGACTAACGTAATAACGAAAGCTTTGATAAGTCTAACTATTTCAAAACGTTTGGTGACATTTGGCTCAGTTAAATCGTTCGATTGAACTGGTTGCAGATGTTTTGTATTGTTTGTCAAACAAAGCGGTGTTGTGAAACGAACTTTCTGTTTGTCCGATGTACTGTTTGAGTTGTACGCATATTGTGGCTCTGTCGTTACATTGAATATGTATGATTTTAACACTTTTTTTATGATATAATCTTAATTTAACTCGTATTGTTGAATTTTACATAGTAGTTCAGCCGTTAAAAAGCATTTGTAATAAGCATGTAATTTCACATTGTAAATTGATTACAGTACATGCTGTACTGTCAAATGTGAAATTATAGTGACTAAAGAATGAATTTTTAAACAGTTAATTTTAGCCTGTTTTGTTCAGGACCAGACAGAAATTTTCTGGCTTTATTTTTGATCGCATGAAAGTTTTCCAACGAGTGAGCTCGGAAAAAATATTACAAATAAGCTGTAACTTCGATTCATGATGTATTTCCATTTACTACAACTATGTTCCGAGAAAAAAAATCAACAACCAAACAACACGTTTACTTTTCATGAATTCTGAAAGCACACTCGCATTCACCGAGTTCGACAAGAATCGACATGGTTAAGAATTGTGCTCCCACTGAACAGTGACAAAGTCCAACGTGATTTCTCCATCATTAGCAAGATTGTTGCTAAAACATTTCATTTTAAGCAATCGATGGTGTGAAAATATCGTCTTCGAATAATCATGAGGGGATTTCGATTCGAATTTTTCCCTCGCCATGCAGTGAGGATGAGTGTGAGTTAGCTTTTAGAACACGGGCGTAAGACGTTTCTTATTAAACGAAGCGAAAAATAACACAAAATCTGTGATGCACAATGATTCAAAACACGCAATCAGAAATAGTTGGGAAATTTTTCCAAAAACATCGCTTTCACCCTGGAATATTATAGACAGAGCGATAACGCTGTTTTCGTTTTCGCTTCTGTTGAACTGCATTCAATTGAACGTGGCTCACACATCATGGAACGGCAGAATGCTAACAATTATAATGTCGTCTCTGGTGATATTTGTGTGCTTCTGCATGAAGTCGGACGAAAAAGTAGCCCTAGAGAAAATTACCGTCGATAGGTATGCAGCTCGTCAAACTTGGAGAAATGTTATGGAAACGAAAAGTCTAACGGTTGAAGAATAAGTTAAAGGGAAATGTAATTTTAACGATTAACAAGTTACACCTATATACTCTAACAGCTCACTGACACTCACTCGGCGAGGCTTCAAAATTCCCTTAAAAGTATACGAAGACGGTATTTTCACTCCAGTGATTGCTTGATATTTGAAATACGGGTGACGGAGAAAGGAGTGATGGAGAAATGAGTGATGGAGCGTGTTTCTTACGTCGACTCTGTGAGTTTGAATGTGAATGAACTTTTAGAGTACGGGCGATGACGCAATTAAAAGAATAAAACACCTTATAATAGCAGGGATGATGTTGAGTCATTCTGTTGTTGTTCAACAGGATTATGAATGACTGATTCAGCCTCTGTTCGTCTGCAAAATACAAACGTTTTCCTGCACGTATCCCAATGCTGTTGGTCAACATACAGTTCAAGAAAAGGATTAGTTTCTACTTTAAAATGCAGTTCAGGGAAAGGTTTTGTTTACTATTTTGTTAGCTATCTCATGGAATTTTAACAACTTTGCAACGACTAGAGATTTTTTCGACTTTCTTGTGTATCAGATAATCCGTTACTTCTTTCATTTGCTGGTTATTTTAATTTCATTTTTTGGTTGTCTATCTCTCGTTAAACCGGTTTGCTCTGCTCTTTTTTTAATAGTGTTCTAGACTGGTAACTAGCTACGTCACATCAACCTTTTTATTGGTTAATATGTATCAAAACATGTGAGTTGGTGATCAGTTCTGAAGGTTTTGGAGGCAAAGCGTCCCAAATTTTCGAGGATTATTTTGCCTGATCATGCTACAACTTTCGCATGCTTTTTCAAATTCCTAATTCATCTGTTTTCGAAGATTAATTCTTGGGAAATTGGGATTAATGGAGGCTGTTCTAGGGTGTATTTAACAACAAAAAGCTCGTATAAAGAAAGTAGGTTGAAGATAATTAAGTTTAGGTGTGAATTGGCCAATGAAATTGCTCACGCTGCAGAATTACCCCCACATTGTATAAATCATCACCCCAATATTGTATAGTCCAAACTAATTGCGTTGATTAGTTTGGGTGAGACTTTGCCGGGAATTCCAAGAATTGCATGAGTCGTTCCAGTGCTCCTTCCATTTGTTCTTTGCTTGTGGTCTTTCTTTCATAGTCTTTTCTTGCTTTTTTGGCCATTTCATTTTCTGTGATGTGCAAGTGCTAAAAATGCGTTGTTTCTTCCTAAAGCATGGCTCATATAGTTGTAATTGTTGTATTTCTATTGGCAATGAAGGTCTACAATACTTCAAATGTATGTGAGCCCCTTATAATGCTGTAATTTAATCGATACTTTAATATAAACGCTTAATCGGCGATCACAATTCATCTTTTTTTTCGATTTCTTTTATGATATATGATTCAAATTCTTTCACCGAACCTTTGCCATTGACAAACTTTTCACAACGCAAGCGAGTTTCATGAAATACTCGGCAATGAGAAGCCGCGCGTTCATTTGATACTGGTAAGCAAATGATATACGTCACGACCGGTGGGCTAGAAAACCCGCGCGCAAAGCATGTGGGTGCTCATACAATACTTTACGTCCTTGAAGAACCACTCAGCTTGTATGAAAAAAGGCATTTACCCTCTGGATAGGTTTTTGCTAAGTTGTTCTGTCTGCTACATTGAATGTATTTAGTAAAATTTGCATTTTTAGCAACACTATTTAAATATTGTTTTCGTGCTGGGCAGGTTACTTGTATATTTATTGCGTTTTTTATTTTCGATTGTAAAGTGGATGGTGTCTTTGCTTCTACCTATCTCCTTCTCTTTCGCCTGCCGATAGGGACGCACTTCACGAAAAAAGAAATTGGCGGGTGTCCTGTATTCTTGAAGTCGGGACCAACTTTTTTGTAATTATATTTGATAAAACGTTCTTCTTTCTTCTAGCTGGATTATGTCCAATTCCTCAAGTAAGGTCGGAATGCCCTGAAACGCAAGCGTCAACGTGTTCATTCGACACGGACTGTGATGGAAGCCAGAAGTGTTGCCCGGATGCATGTAACGAATTTTCGTGCCGAGCGGGTATGTGTGTAACATCGCTTGTTCATCACATAGTGTTGTTTTTGTTGTAGTAAAATTGTGGGTAAATAACGTTCATGTACTACAAAACTGTGATCATCAATAAATTGAAGATGCCAGCATCTACACTTTTTTTGAGCTAGACGGGTATCACTGTGCCACATCTAGCTATGTAGGCAACGAGGTTTACACGCATTGCCTCCAGCTACATTTAGCTCAGGTGGCAGCTAAATGTACGTGGCGATTGTCATCACTGTTCACGATTTGTACCTTGAACAAGCACTTGCCAGAGTCATTCAAATGACTTGCGTTTTAGCCACCGTACGTCTTGGTTGCCTATTTTATACCGGGACACGTATTACAGGCTTCACATATTTTGCTTACGAGATGATCTCTAGTAGAAATCAATTGGTGTCTCGCTGATTACCCACTTATCGCGCCTATTTTTTCCCTGCATGAAATTTTAATTCAAACTTGCCTGCTAAATGGAAGTTAGCAAAGAAAGGGAAGTCGCTTTTAAACACCAAAGTTTGACTGGGAAATGTCTTTATGTACAATTTTTTTCCAAAAATATCTTTGCCTGGCCCGGACGCACGATTATCTGTTCATATAGCTTGTCTTTTTTGGTGAGTGAGCCAAAGCTGGAAAGACATAAATACTTTTCACTCCTTTCTGAGTTTCCAACATGTCATTTATTTGCGACGAAAAAACAACTGAAAAAAATATTCAAAACATGGGATCAAAAGTACTTGTGTGTTTCAATCTTTGTGAACCTAAGACCTCGCTCATTGAGTCAGTCATGTTCATGTTTTGCGGGCTCGACCCTCACTTGTAAGCCTAAAGATCTTGGGAGTAAAATATTTACGGCTTCCCACTTCCCACAGGTATGGACGGAAGTTTTATTTTCAGCTCAAAAGCTCGGGTAATGTTCGTATTACAATCGTTCATTTCAAAATTGTCGAGCAAATTCGTATCGATCTCGTATCTTTTAAAGTACTTTTTTGAGCTCAAAAAAGCACGGTTAAAATTTGAAAAATCGCTTTCAGAAGAAAAGTTATTTTACAGTAATATGCTGCCGCCTAAGGTAATGACGGTACATGGCAGCTCAATTGTCTTCACAATATTTCAAATCGTTACCTTCGAGTCAAAGTAGACCAGCTGTGCAGGAGATGCAATTTGTCCCAGTCAGTGGTGTGCCTCCCGGCGAGAGTTGGTGTTGCTGCTGTTTCTTCTAATTTGCACCCATTCAACCCTAATTTTTCTATGGTGAATCATTGAACTTTCGTGTTTAACCCGTATCGACGTTGATTTACTGTGATGAAAGAACCCCAGAAATCTGCATGAAAGAATCACAAAACCAGCGGCGATATAAAGGGGTCATCGTGATATATCCTATATTATCCACTGCATATCAAGTCGAAAAAGCTGCGGACACAATAATCAAAGGCAAGTGCTTTTCTATGTCACTCACTTATGTAAACATTTAAGAAATCAACTTAATGTTTGATGACATTCTTGGAAATTAAGGTGTAAAGGCTCTTTTCCACTCATCGGAAAATGCTCTCGCTACGAGCTTGCGAGTCTGCTTGCGCGATCAACAAACTTTGTTCAAACAATTTAGCTATGCTGCAAGTCATGGAAAGCTCACTGCGAGTAACTCGCAGGCACTTGCAGCGAGCTTACTAGTACGTTTTGCGATGAGTGGAAAAGAGCCTTTAGACTATGCACTGATTTGTTTACACATAAATATTTGAAACTTTAAGGCGATAAATGTTCCAAAATGCTGTACATGTGAAGTGGCTATATGTCTTCAAAGGGCACTTTGACTTTGTTAGTCACTCTGGATTTGTATATATATTTGTTGCGAGAGTAAGCTCACATCTATATTTTTGCACTGGAAAACTCTAAATCGTCGTCGTCCGGTCGTTTATCGAGTTGTGTTTGTACTACGTCAGAGAACACTTGTACAAAAGCATTTCCGTTCATTTCGTTTTCATTTCGACGATGTATTTTTATGACGATGCCAATATTTTTTAAAAATGCTTTTTCGGTCGAATTTATTTTGCAATTTAAAAGAGTGCAGGCAATATTTCCTTGAAGAGTTTCTTGACAATTTTCCTTGTTCGTGCATCATTTTTTAAAGACTAATTATGCATTTGCTTGTATGTGGCCGTGTTATTCGACGTCTTTCATGAGAGATGTCACCAAGCTGCTGGCCGCTTTTAGAAATTTGTTTCAGATTGGTTTGTCGTGTTTTCATTGTTGTCTGTTGCATGCACGCAAAAGCTTGTGGTGGGCGAGGGGCGCGAAGAAAATGAAAGCTATCCGGGAAACTGTGCGGGCATTTAACTTTCTTTTTTTTAATTACAGAAAGCGAAAAAATCATCAGTAAGCCCTATCTATTTTTTATGTTTTGGCGTGATAATCAGTGAAAATTGCTTATATTCATCTTATGCATTGCATTACTTAGCTTTTAAGAAATAAAAAATGTTTTACTCGACTGTTCTCGCAAACGTCTCCGAGCTTTGCATAAGCCAGTGCTAACACAATTATTGTCACCGACGATTACTATCTGTGTTGAACGCGATTATTGGTATTTCTGTCGAAGTAAGTTTCAATTGCTTTTCGAAAAAGATTACCTTACACTTTGATTTGTTTAGTAGGCAAAATTGTTCAGGTTGTAACCACTGAACTCGAGCAACGTTTTGATATCGCGTGCGTTGAAGACCGACGCTCGAAGCTGTAAGATTTTCTTATTGCTTTCTTCCGCCAAAAAAGTCACATTTCTCTTGGTCGTTTAAGATTGATCACAGTTTTGAAAGACAGAAAGCTTTAGACAATTTTTCTTGAATGCTTGATTATAGATTATTTCCATCCGAACATCACCGATTTGTTTGCGTGCAAAACGTGTATTCATCTATTTATTAAATAATTATTTCGTGTCAATTTCTCACGCAAACCGTCGGTTACACGTGTTTTGAGACACGGTCGAAACACATTGCTCATATTATCACAGACATACACATGTTTCGTCAAGCCGTACATATAAATGATGTTCTGCGCAACACGAAAACTCTATAATAAAATCCCCATGTAAAATGCTCAAAATGTTTTAATTTTTAGCACCGCCCATTACAGCGTTGTATTGAAATAGATCAGACAACTGTGTATGGTTTTAAAATATAAACAATTAAGTTTAAATTTTCTAAAGCGTACGAACAGTACTGTCCCGCGCGCGCTGAAACTTGATCTCTCCTAGGTCATTTCCAGGTCATGCCAAAACATTCCTCAAAGAGGCTCATTGAAGGTTCGGGTGATCGTATATCAATCGTGGTCTTTGTTAATGAAGCTATTCACGAAATGCGCCGGAATCACAGACCCCTTGTGAACCCGTCTGCTCGCGACGTACACTGCTAGAATACATCATTACTTCTCTGATCAATACACGGGCGGACGGTGTGTAGTGCGTTTATACATTTTGCACCAAGTAGCTTCGCGTTGGTCATGGCTCGTCGCCTGTTGTTTAGTTTAGCTTTTCTTCTATATTTCTGCCACTTGGCTCTAGGACAAGCTAAACGTAAGTGCACTCGACATTTTCGTTTTTCCTTTGCTAGGCACGACCTCTGGTACAACTGTCAACTTTGAGGACGAAGCGCTATAAAGCATTGTCTTGTATGTAAAATGCGCAAATAAATGTTTCGGCAAGGTCAACACTCGTAGCTTGGTTTTTCGCACCTGTCGACTAATTTACGGGTACAATTTTCGCACTCTTTCTATTCAATCAAAACATGGGAGTTTTACGATTTCATTTGTTGGTAATAAGGCAATTGTTTCCAATTTTTTTATCCTCGTTCAGTCCGTGAAGAAGGGACATTTTTAATTTGTCGCAGGTTGCGCACGTAATGCAAAATAGATTCGACGATTTTTTTATTTATGTAAACGATCATCTATAATATTGAGTTATCAAAGTCGACCTAAACCAATCTCGAATTTTCTTACGTAATTAGCGCTGCGATTTAACGATATTTTTGTACATGAATACGACATTAAACTCATATTTAATTTTTGGAGAAATATTCCATAGAATGCGACTTGCAGAGAAGTGTGAGATGAGATTTTTTCACAAAAGTGGACGATGTTTTTTTAATGAAAGGAACGATTGTTCCCCGTCACTTCTGACACTCCGGTGTCAAGTGATTGTAAGAGAATATCTTGATTACAACGTACAAAGACGCAATGGATATGCGAACAATAGTTTATATGATTTGAAATAAAACGGAAAATTTTCTTGTCCAATTAAGGCTTGCTGCCGCAATTTCTATATTGAAAATCGCGACTCAAAAATCTATAGCTCAAACCGGAGAGCTGAACAAAGCAACCGATTATGTGTCGGCTAATTTAAATTCGCAACTTAAAGAGATAGTACTTGTTTGATACCGAACTGTTTCGTGCACTTTTAAAAGCTATTGACATTCTTTCGTTTATGTCTTCGGTCGTTTTACTATCCGCTCTTGCCAAATCTGAGCTGTTAAAATGACAAATCGTTGACAAATAAACTAAATATCGCTATTTGCTGGACCTAATTCTTTGTATGTGCCCGATACTATTTTGATAACAAATTGAAACTAGTGTGAACTGTATTTATACAATTGCCGAATGGCTACTCCAGTTCAAAAAGCGTATAGCTTAGCTATTTAGGTGGTATTTACTAACAGTTTGTATGCGGAAACATAAAGAAATTGATTTTTATTATTGTTCAAACCTTGCCGTCTTTAGTTCTACGAAAAGTTCTCAAACTTGAAACGAAAAAAATGATCATTGAGTTAACTTCATTGACCATATCAGCATAGGTTATCACAGAAAAACACGTGGAACAATATATAAAAAGAAAATTTATAGGAGTTTCTGGATACGAACGTAGAGAATGTACGTATTTTAAAATTAAATATATCGACAGACGATGGTATTAAAGAGTCTTCTTTTCGGATCAGTGTGTTGCTTTAATAAGTGCTACTGGGCAGGTGTGCAAATGTAATGTTACATTGTAACATTCGAGATGCCCCATTTTCTTTGTCCCTTTTATGTTCTCGTTACGATTTGAGCTTTGTTTTTGACAGCTGGAAGATGTACCGTTCTACCTGCGAGGTCAGAATGCTCTCCATCAGATGGTCTCTGTGCCGTTGATCTCGATTGTGCTGGTAACTTGAAATGCTGTGACGATGGCTGCGGCGGTCTTGAATGTAGAGCGCCAGGTACTACCTGGATTTATTGGACGCTCAACTTTGGTCTAAAGAAACGAGATATACGTGTCCGAAAGCGATTTTTTTAACTGTGCTTTTTGTGTTTGTCAATACCATGTGCGTATCCAACGGGATGCGGGGCAATCGGGCAGGGAGAGTGACAATACCCCCTGACCCGACTGTCGGGCAGAACACGTCAGTCGGGCAATGCTCGTTATAAAGTTGTGTGGATAAGTGAACACTTTCATGCGAGATTGAAAATGCATCTATTGCCCCTTTAAACATATTGACTGGTACGCCCATGATCAATACTCTAATTAATAAATGCAATAATTGCATTTTTTCAACGACAGAGAAAAAGGAATAAAATTTTATCGTTTGTTTGGAACCGTAGAGCTAAATACGTCCTCAAATGGTTACGTGGACATACCCAAAGCCCCAAATGTCTTATACGTTCTATCTCAAGCCATACACAGGGTGGGTGTGGGTCAAAGTAGGTGGGCCCCCGACTCAAATGGGATCTCAAATAAAACCAAAAAGGCAAAGAAAAATGCGTTTTCATGAATCACTGGAGAACAGCCACAGGAGTTGATCGTGTCTCAAGCGCATTAATTTCTCTGAACGGCTTTGATCACATAAACATTACTCAAAAGCTTTAGCTATAAAAACTTTTATCCCAAATCACGCACGCAAATCACATTATTGAACATTGTCGTGCGGATTATATTTCTATTTAGCACTGCGTTTCAGTTTGGTTTATGACCAGCTAATCGCATACTTATCATCCCTCCAGTGCCCCCTCCCCTAAAAAAATACTACAAGAACACGCGCGGCGCGTGTACGTCTACTATTTTTTAGTGTGGCAATGGTGGGATAAACCAGAGCCTGTATTAGGAGAGTAAAATTCCTTAGCGTCCGCTATTTTTGTTCCAAAACAAGCAAATATAAAGCATCAAATGGTGGAAAGACAGCTTTTCTGTTGTGTTTTCTTCGTCATGAATAGACAGCGATCCCTACCTTTGGAATTCAGTTGTTTATTGATGTCATGATAATAGAAAACCATTAGTTTGATGCAGTAGATGTAATTTATACGCCTTTAACACTGCTTTTGCCACAAGGGAGGGCGTGTGTTTCTATTCGTCATCGCTTTCATTGACACTATTATAACGCAACATAAAATCATTGAAAACATTTTTTATAATTTATCCCCTAGGTAAAAAATGGCTATAATTTGCGCTTTTTGAACAAAAATGGCGGCTAGATACCCACGTGACCATATTTACCCAATCACCATGATCATAATGCAAAATACAGAGAACAGTACGTGTCCCAACTCTTACAAATACAGGGCTCTGGGATAAACTACTCACGATACATCGAAAATACAGGGACGCTGGATCATCAATAATCGGGAGGGCTAATATTCATATATTCACGTTCTCTCTTATTAGCATCTATTGAAATCAATTGTGATTAAGGGTTATAAGATATGAATATATGATCCCCCACTCCGCTTGCCCTCAAATGCGTCACATCCATTTGAATTGTCGCGTAAATTATAAACTATAAAGCTGTAATTTTTCGAATTTTTCGAAAGTGAATTAATTTTATTAAAGCAGTATAATTTATGCGACAGCTTGAACGAAATCTGACGTATGCGGCGGCCAGCTTTTTTTCAATATTGCATGGGCCCCTGTGAACAGGAGTTCCAGCCGGCAACGACATATCATGGACCTTACTATTTTGAATCCGATAGTGTCGACATAACTTCGAAAGGAGTAGAGTCCGCTTTAATTAGCTTGAAGCGAATTGGACACGTCCATGATACATTCCGCAATAGCCAAATAAGTTCGCGATTCACGAAACGAGTTTTTATTAAAAATCCAACATGACTGTAAACGCTGTAGTGTGTTAGACATGATATTTGTTTGCTTCACTTTACGATGTGGTGTTTTACTTTGTTGTTTCTCCTTGCAGCTGTTCTGCCGCCGCCCCCCCAGCCGTCTGAGAAAGGTGAAAAAGGAGATCCGGTCAGTTGAGCTATTCTTATGAAATTTTTGATAGAAGGGAGGGAGATGAGGATGGACTTGGGAAAGTTGCATTAGCTTAGCTAGCCTAACTTCTTGCTTCCGCTATGCAGATATTTTCGTATTCACCGATTGTTAGAACAATAGATTTCTAAAGAAATCAAATTCACCATCAAAGATTGATGGTGATCAATCAATGATGGTGAATTTACAAAGCGGAAGTAAATTTGTATGCTGCTTGGATAGTGCATGGATAGTGCAGCATTTATGATAGTGCAGCATTTATGATACCCGAGTGATGTCTCCTCCTCATCAGGGAACCTGACTGCACGTTTTCTTCAATCGTATTTCGGCTTAGCTAGAAATCATGTCAAGTTTCGCTGCATCTTCTTTCATCGCAGTTTCAAAGACACTGCTTTTCAAAGTCATAACTCAACCTGCCTGCGCATATTTTGTTAGTTAGTATATTGGCGTCTGAGTTATGTAAACAAATGAAACATTTTTTCTGATGACCAGAACACTACTCTGGTGAAAGGCCAGATAAGGTATTTTCTACCATAAACCGCCCTTACATTAAATTCATAGATGATCGAGAATACGTTTTGAAATCAGAATATCATGCTTATAGTTACAAATTACAATCAAACTGGTCATTTAGCATGAACTGCATTTAAACCGCGCGAAAAACAATGAATTTTTCCTCTGCCATACTGACTGGAATTAATTTTTTAGGGTCCTCCCGGTAGCCCAGGTCCACAAGGACCTTCTGGTCCTAAGGGAAACATCGTAAGTACTCAAAAGAATAGGCACTTGTAGTAGTGATTATATAATATTTTGACAAGATATTATATCGTTTGTCGTAAACCAGAAGATGATTTACAAAAGATATGACATCTGTTGTCATGACGGAAGATGATTTACACAAGATGGCTATCATATATCGTGTGTCGTAAAACATTAAATGATTCACACGCAAAGTGTCCAAAATGCTTTTGTTGGGAAAATGAAACATTGATCTGCAAGTCCTTATTTACATCGAACGTAAAAAATTAGCCAAAGACAAACCAAAGTACTGAAATGTTTTTTTTTGTGCATGACGTGATATCTGTGTTCCCTTGACCACCGGTCGACCACATTTAACAGATGCACCCTGTATTCTTGTTTTATTATTCATTAATATTGTGAAAAAGTGTACATGTGTGGAAACGCACGACAACATGGTTTTGTTTAGAAAAAAGAAATTTGTCGGTCGAAAAACTTCAAATCATATTTGCCGATCATAAAAAGAGGAGAAATCCGCACTGAATTTTTTTATGTTCGTTTGCAGGGTGACCCTGGAAGTCAAGGTAATCCGGGACAACCGGAAATCGCGGTCCACGTGGTCCCCTGGACCACCTGCACCACCAGGTGGAGTACCCGGAGATGAAGTACGTAAACATGTCTTGTCCTCTCCTTTTAGTCAGGTGTTAGTTTGAGGTTTGCTCTTTAAAACTTGTGGAACTCAAGACGACCATAAAAACATAATGAAATACATTGCCATACATGGCTGAATTTAAATAAACCTTGAGAGAGTCATCCCTTTCAGCTACGAAACGGAATGAGTGGATTTTGCAAAACCTAAGTTACCCAAACACTTTTGCTCTAATGCTTTCCCCCTCGACATGCATACGGAATAGTCATTAGGTGTAATAGAGAACATTCTGATATTTTACTAAAGTATCGATAGCTAGTCGATATCTGGCATTATCATCAAAAGTATTGATAGAGCGGCCCACAACCACACAATGTGCGAATTATACTTCATCTACCCCCACCCCTCACCTCTGATATCAGAAAATGACATAAAAACAGTGACTCTCAATCAACACCATTTTTGTGAGAAAGCCGGATAATCATAAACATTAGTCGAAAATGCGCGAATTGTCTTAAAAATTTCCACTGTTGGTTTCATTTTTGCACCACGCAAATCATAAAATCGGGTATTTGACATCAGATGCCAAGAATTTTTCGTCACTAGCCCAGGCGTTCGTGTGAAGTGCATTATTAATACGCGCACTATTAAAAAGTCTTGTTGTTCATCTCTTCGTATCATCTTTATGTTTTAGAAAGGTCCTCCCAGTGGAGAGCCAAACGAAGTCATTCCTGGACCTCCTGTAAGTGTATGCACGAAGCGAAGTTTGACGAAAGAGTGCGTTTTTCGTGTGATGATACCTTACGTGTTTTGAAGTCGTATGAAATCAAGCTGAAAAGTTTCTTTCGTAACTAACAAGGCTAACATCATTGTTAATTGGTTTTGTTCAAGTGTCCTTTTAATGAAAAGTTTTCGTTGGTATAATATTTGTTGTGCACCGAATTTAGGGTCCACCCGGTCGCTATGGACGAAGAGGACCTCCAGGACAAGCTGTGAGTTTAATTGTCATGTCGACAAGGCTAATGCTTTTTTTTAAATGCGTTCGTGATGGTGTTTGTGATGTAGTTTCTCGTCACCAGTAAAGTTGTTGGGAACACCTTTGTAAGCTTAGTCAATGGCCAACACACTCACAGTTTGGAAATGTTTATTTGACGATGTCATACTCTCCAATGCTCTATATGTTTTATTTGTTAATGGTTCTTTCACATTGCTTTCTCCTATCTTAAATGCTCAAATTGAATAATAATGACTTGTGTCATTCGTCCGCAGTCTTTTTACAAAATTCACTTGACTTGACCAACGGCTAAACCATGAAAAATGCTAAATTTGATTCACGAGATTCCTCATGAAAAAGTCATCTTCTTTATTTAGGGAGAGAAAGGAGACCAAGGTCTAGCTGGTGCTGTTGGTCCTAAAGGTTATCCTGTAAGTATATGATGTCAGCGCCCCCTGCATGGAGAACATGCAAGACCCGGGGAGGGGCTTACTCGTGGCTCTATGACGTGACGGTTTTAAAATGAAAAATAAATAAAATTAACAACAAACAGTATCAATGTTGAGGATTGTCTTCATTTGGAGCCTTTGAGAAATGTTTCCTCTACTTCCCATTCTAAAAAGTTCAAATCGTCTCCATGCTAGATTACGAAGCACTTTTATAAATGATTTTTTTTGTTTGTTTGAATGAAATTGTCCACGTTTGTAATTGTGTCATGAAAAATAGCTTGCTCTCATCGTTTGAGTCATCCACTACGCAGATCATGTTTGTTTGTCGTTTGTACGTAAGCTGCAAAGTAAGATTCCTGAGCCATTAACTGTTGCATTTCAGGGTAGTGTTGGACCTCCAGGAGAGCCAGGTAGTCCTGGACAACCCGGAGCAGAGGTGAGAATTTCTTGTTTTACGCAGTCGAAGACGGTCCTTTTTCAATATAATTAAAGATCTTAGACCGACCCTGATCCCGACCAAAATGATACACAAATGATTTGCCGCTTTTTTCGACCTATTAAAGTTTATTTCGACATTGCGGCGTTCATTGTCAATGCCATGTAGAGGAATGTATGTTTGAAATTATCTGTGTTATTTAATCAAGGGTGAGCCCGGTGCACGCGGTGAAGAAGGTAGTCAAGGACCTATTGGACGACCTGTAAGTAAACTTAAGAACTTTATTATGTTATGGGGCAAGACCTGAACGTTTTTCCCCGTAAAACGTTAATGATCGATTAGGCATTGCGGTAGTTGTTTGAATCCTTTTACACGACTGCGGCGTTTATTTCAGTAAAGAGTTACACGTGCTTATTGTTACAGCATCAGAATGGGAGATGAATATTTACCTGACATTGTCTAAATCTTTAAAACATGTACGACAAAGTAACGCATCCATTTCGGTGCGGTGTAAATACTGGGTAACTATTAGCTTTCTCATTGGGTGAATCAGAAAATAGCCGTGATTACTACGTTATTCGCTCTTCGGATACATCATTTCTATTGGCTATAGTATTCTTATCATATAAAATAAATTTATTGGTATTTCTACAATGGGCAAATAACAATATAATTCCATTGATGTGATTTGCCATTCGTGTCTCTAACTCGTGTCTGCTACATTTCATTTAGGGTATTCCTGGTGAGGAAGGTGATCCTGGCGAGCCTGGACTATCTGGTAACGCAGTAAGTTTTCTCGCAGATATATTGGTCTTCCCCTTTGATTTTTGGCTTACCATTTACATTGCTGAGGAATGGGATGTGTACAGTTTCAATCCAAGATACCTGTTTCGGCGAATATCGGATTCGGAGAGAAAAGGCTTTTTTGTTGTAGTTATTTATTTCGAGCAACGCTAATTTTACCAACCGCAATCACAAAACCTTTTTCTTCTCGTGAAACTTTTTTCTGAAACAAAGCAAATTCGAAACGTCTGTCCTCCCAGCACCCCGCCTAAAATTTCACATTTGCCCAAAGTCGAGGGTTTGTACGACACCCGAAAATAGAATGCTTGACTTTTTCATGATGGTTATACAACAATTTATAAGTTAATTTTACGTATAAAACCCTACCAAAAGTCATTTCAATTTTTATTTCTCCAAACGATGCATATCAGCCTTTGTTTACGAAAACGAGCGTCAGTTTAAACCTTTCCCTTGCTCGCTGTGTTTTGAAATATTTTTCAATTTATCAAGGGTGCTGTCGGTCTGAAAGGTCCCGTAGGCCTACAAGGAGAGATAGGAGATAAGGTATGCCTCGAATAATATACACGCTTACGCCACTCCGTTACATGTTCATGCATATTTCACGTGATTCGTTTTCTCGGTTTTCTCGTTTTGTATAGGGTCAAAAAGGTGCAGCTGGAAGTAATGGCGCGGATGGAGCAGCGGTAAGTACATGCGTCCGTGCTTTTATATTTTTGTTGTACACTGCCTTGAGAAAATCGAATGTCGTGTAGTCTGATCGATCGAACAATAGTTGAACTTGATGCTACGTACGCACAAACAGTGGCGTAGTCAGCCCGCAAATTCGGTCATGCTATGTAAATTTTTCATCATTAACATTATTCATTTCATCAAACCATTATTTTTACAGTGAGTAAACACCAAAAGATGCATACAGCATGAACAAACTTGTGGGATGGCGACATCCCCGCGTACAGAGTTTAGCTATATGAGCCCTGTGTGATAACGTTTCTCACGTTTTCTTCGTTTCGATAAAAAGAACTGGCCGAATTCCAATTCAGTCGAACGCTTTTCGTATACTACTTGCAAACTTCTGAAGGGGGGAGTGGAATGTCGGGCTTATAGTCCAACAATATCCATAATGCCATTATTGCTCGTCATCTGCACATGGTTTACTCTACGCTTTGAGATTTTATTGATCGTCATGAAGGCATTTTTATTAAGTAGTTTAGGCAATCATTCGTCAACTGTGCGATTTGGGTTACGAAATTTGAAAAACCTGCACTTCGACCACAATGAGTTAACGTAAAAAAACAAATATCATAGTTTATTGGACTAATAACACATGAATAACACCCCCCCGGTTATCGATTGTACTACAGCTCAGGACTAAAATCTTCGAAGATCAAACATTTCTGTTGTTTGTTTGCTTAACAAGAAACGAACATTAAATTCTTTTCCAGTGACTACTCACTTTGTAATCTCAACTTATGCTTCAAACAATAGACCACATCGCTCTACTTTGCGACAATTCTATCGTAGTGTACTGCGCATGTGTGTAAGTGTACGTTTGACTTGCCGTGCGGCGTGCGCTATCTTACACTTATTCGACCATGCGTATTGACGTGTGTGGATGTTTTATCAGGGAAGTCCCGGAGCAACTGGTGAAAATGGTGCAGTTGGAGAGCCTGGTTTACCTGTAAGTTTAGAATTGAAAATAATAAATGGTAATCATGATTTTGCGTCCGGAGCGAATTCTTGCACCATTGTCCATCGGAATTGGAGAAATGTATTCGTCAGCCTGTTTCGCATTTTACGTGTAGGGACCGCCAGGTTTGACTGGAACTTCTGGACCACGTGGAGTGGGGGTATGTGTATATTTTCTGAATATTTCACCCTAAAATTTCATAGAAAATCTTCATACGAAATCGAAATAATTTCAAATGTGAAATCATTCCTGTTCATATGTAAAAAACCTACTGTATTTATGGGAATAATTTTATCTTTCATATTTCATACATGATAATTTTCATTTAATACATGAAATTTTACACGTGCAATTTTCGGAAGTAATTAAAGCGTTAGCTAATGTTACAGTTTCCCTCTGCGTATAAAATGATTTGATTAGCTGTACGTAGCTACTACACTTGATTTTGTCAGACATTTATCATCTTTTGAATCGGTTTTCGACAAACAGCACAACCAGCAATGATTTTTCTCGTGCAAACTCTTAGGGCAACGGTGGTGAACCTGGACCTTCTGGTGCTGAAGGTCCTTCTGGAGCAAAGGGTAAGCAAGGTGCACCTGGAAACGCTGGTCAAGCCGGTGCCAATGGCAGCCCGGGAGCCCCTGGTGAAACTGGCCGAAAGGGAGCTCCTGGTATTCGTGGAGATCAAGGACAACCCGGACCTCCAGGGCCCAAAGGGGATAAGGTGAGCGGTGAACGGAAAAGTAATTTTTGAGTTCTGGAACACGATCCTCGAGGGAAATGGAATGGATTGGAATGATGAGAACAACTTGATAGGATGTCAGACAGCATGTGTTTGATAAAAGATCACATTTTAGCCCAAAAACTTCTGTCGTTCATTTATTCATTTATTGTAAGTCTCTGACAAGGTGGTTTAACATTTCAGGGTCCTTCTGGAAAACGTGGTGAGCGTGGTTTTAAAGGTCCGCCTGGTATTCAGGTACAGGGAAATTATCGCACTAGGAAATTTAAAAAATCGAAGAAACACGGGTGCTGAATGCTCGAAAAACCCGTGTATCTATAATGCTATTGAAACACGGAAAATGTTTTCTGTTTTTTTAAATATCCCATTGAAAATAAACCAGATAAGCATACTTTCGTGAAGGTTTCGCGTAGCCTTTAGGCTAAAATGGATGTTAAAATGTGAAATTCACGTATAAAATACCTTTGAAAGATTTTTGGTTGGAATCCATGCATGGTTTTCGATCGAGCATTTATTTCTAATCTTAGGCGTCTTGTGTTCTAATTTCCCGACTCTTTTTATCTAGGGAGCACCTGGCAAGCCTGGCACGCCTGGTGAAGAGGGAAGAAAGGTGAGTACCATATTGCATTGTCAACTTTTAAGTTTGCGAGACAAACAACCAACAAACAACATCGTGCAATGATAAGATGGCGGTCTTTCGATTTTGACCCAGACGTTTCAGCACAAAGCCATACGTGCACAAGTATTAAAATGTGACTTGCGCCCTCATTTCTTTACACACGCATTCAATAATCTTTAAATAGAGACTATGCCATGTCTAATTGCGTCATGTCAGATACATGAACGTAACTCATACACTGAATTCCAAGATTGTATAATGTGTACATATTGTCGTAATTTTGATGTGTTTGTTCATCTGAATGAGTGTGCATGTTAAAAAAAGGTTCAATTTTTTTGCTCGTAATATCTTTCAAGACTGCGGAACGAGATGAATAATAATCTGGAGGAGCGGTAACATCATTGAACAATTTTTGTTTCACAAAAACACACCGTTAGCTCTGGATTCATTAAAGTTCTTGACTTTAATTTTTTATGATGTATTTGATGATTTCTCGCGTTGCTTGTGTTTTGCGTGCTATTTGCGTTCTTATTTTTCCATGAATTTTACACAACATGTCTTTGAAAGTCCTTGAAAAGTGTTTGAATGCATGCACTCCAGTGGCTAATTTATCGTCTTTTCCAGGGTTTAGACGGTGCTCCAGGACCAGCTGGTTTGCCAGGACAGAAAGGAGCTGCTGTAAGTATGACAACGGTTGAAGTTACCATTTAGTCTAGGTTTTGGATAAAAGTCAACTCACAAAACCGACTGTGGTGGTTTTTGTAGTTTTATCAGTAACTGCATATGGAATATTGCGGTTTAGAGGGGAAGAAATTACAGTCGGCATCACTTTTATAGCCTCTCCGTCGTTAAAATGTGAAAATCTTAATGTTTCAAGATTTCCTACGCGAAAATCTTAATCATTTATCGGAAACATGTTACAGTCTTATCTTCACGACATGTGCATTCTTTTCATTTCAGGGAATTCCTGGCCCTGCTGGCAAACAAGGCAGATCTGGTCAAGATGGTACAACTGTAAGTATAAAAGTATGAATAGCTATAGATAACGTTGTTCATCCTTTGAAAATGTCGTTTGTTGTGCTCACGTGTAGGGTAGACCCGGAGCAACAGGTGAACGAGGTCCACCTGGTCCAGCTGGATTAAGAGTGAGTCTTGTTGATTTTTCACAGTGGTTTGATCCTAATTTCTCGATTTCAAGAGATGTGATTATTGGTATGAAAATTTTCTCGTAAATGTCAGTTGCAGCTTATGCAACAGCGAGATGACGTCGATTTAGAAAAATTTTATAAATAATCACCATGCAATATTATATTGTACGGTCACGTTACGACAAATACCACAGCCGCATGCAGAAGAGCTTCTCTGTACGTGCCGCGGACAAAGATGAAGATCTCGTTCAAACTACAAACATAGCATTTACATAGCATGTACTCTCAAGTCATTATCACGCACGAACAATACTTCTCTCACAGTCATGTCAGGCTCTGTTGCTAGACGTCGCAGACTTGTGATATTCTGGCAACTCATGTAGCGTTATGTACTTTGTTTAGGGAGAGAAGGGTCCACCCGGTTTTGCTGGCCAGGCTGGTGATCCCGGTTACAAGGTAGAGTGTTGTCGTCTCATTTATCGTGCATTGCTTTTTACCTTCGTCTTTTATACGAGTAAAATTACAACCTGTTACCAATAAATCATCTGTTGGTGATATTTATTAAGTAGAGTATCAAAGTTTGAGGAAATATCGCTTTTTATATCGGAAGGGTTTCTCTCCATATTCAACTCGAACTATAGTCCGTTATTAGTGAAACCACTCGATTTATACAATAATGCTTTGACCAATCACAGACTAGGATACACGGACTGCATTGCGTCATCATTTGGATTCTTATTTGCAGGGTGCACAGGGTGAAATGGGCTTACGTGGTGCTCCAGGAAGAACTGGTGAAACTGTACGTATGAATTTATTTGCAGCAAGGCTCGTTTATCTCCAGACTAAATTTCGACTTTGTTTGTGGAAAAAGCAAAAACTGATTTGAAGTTGTGTCGTTTCCTTTTTTTATTGTGCATAAAAGTTTTCTATGATAGTCAATGAATCTTTTTACGTTTAAGGGGCGAGATGGTCGCGAAGGTTCACGAGGTGAAGCTGGTCCACAAGTAAGTAAAATTCGACTTTGTTCTTTAGTGATTATATATGTAGCCATTTGCGCGTTATTTTAAGTTTCATGTTTTGAATCTTCGACTGATGACGACAAGCGCTGAGACGGCGAACACGTAGGTTAAAGTCAACATCGTAGCGGGGAATATAGCATTTCACAGTTAGTCCTTCAAGTTCAGAACATGCAAATTTTCAACCGTTACCGATTTATTTAGTCGTAAATTTTGACGTCAATCCAGTGCATTTGAAATGCGTTCGAAAACGTATCCCAAAAACAAAGTTGCACATCAAAAACACGATGCTCGTGTTCATGCCAAGATGTACAAACAAACATCGTTTCAACTTTTCTATTCCTGCAGGGTTTACCAGGTTTGCCTGGCAAAGACGGTGCTGATGGTGCTGCCGGTGATCCTGTAAGTAACACTATTCAATATGTTTAGCTTGCTTGTCATAATTATGAATAAGTACGTGGAAAGGCATTTCATTTGCAGTGGGGAAGTACGATTTTCCACACCTTCCTTTTTAGGGTGTACCCGGTCGTGACGGCCCTCCTGGATCACCTGGTGAACGTGGAGAACCTGGTCCTGCTGGTGACATTGGTTATCCTGGTTTCGAAGGATTCAGAGTAAGTTCTGCGGTTGTATGATCAAGGTGTTCGTTGCTTTCATCTCCATCTCATTCTAGTTGCTGGCTCTTAAGCCTGATGTGACATGATATAGTTTTGACTGAGCACTTGAAATTGCAAACAATTATCGAAAGTAGTTTTTGTAAGGACTATTATGTAATTATTAAGTAACGACCCCATTTTTGATTTTTATTCGATTCTGTCTAATCTCGAAACATTGGTTAGCACCTTCTAAATTCTTTTTTACGTACAAAAAAACATTTCCGGAAACAATGCAGCTCAAAAACAAATCAAGGCACCCCAATTCCTTGATTCCAGGAATGCTCTTCCAACAACAACCTGGAAATTATTTTGTCAGTTGTCATACATTGTCATAGAGTTTTTACTGCAAAATATGCCTTGTTTATATATTGCAAAATAAACCTAAATAGTTTCCTCAAATGTATTCCTGGGTTCCAGTCTTCCAGGTCTCGCTGTTTTTTCAAAATCCGTATTTAAGCGCTAGTCTGTTTCAAATCTGTTAATTAGTTCTTGTGTATTTTGCCCAACAACTAATTCACAAGTTGTTAAATATATATCAGAATTAATAAAAACACAAAATGTGAACTTATGCACTTTAAGCAAAATATTTTCTAAAGCCTTTCAGCTCGAAGTTCAGCATTTTCGATGCTCTCGATAACAATTCCAGCATGGCGTCATGATACTCTCTAAAGTGTAATCCTCTTTTTTCAGGGTGAACAAGGTGAACAAGGTCCAGTTGGTGATCCTGGCGATCCAGGCCCAAAGGTAGGTGTCATTAGAACGAGGTCTGGCGACTACGTTTTCGCTACCATAATAACCGCCATACATATTCTTAGGGTTCTGTTGGTGACCCAGGCCCTCAAGGTGCCGATGGCGAGCCAGGACGTAATGTGAGTAATTCTGCATGATGTAGAGATTTTTCATGATGCTCTCGTTGATCCTTGAATGCTCCATGAAGTTCTCCGATGATCTTCGAATAGCGAGCCGGTGAATTTTAGTTTCTTACTCGCGAATCAAATCATACATTTTCTCAAACTTGGCTTTCAATCTAAATTAAAAAATAAAAATTCTGGTGGAATCAAATGCGCATGTGTGAGAAGTTCCAAATAATCGTCATGCTCTGTTATTGATGAAATGATCGAAAATGACAGGATGACGATATTGATCTCACAAGACCGATAAAAAAATGTATTCTTTTATCTATTATGCAAATTTTTGATGTGAAAAATTTTAGGGTAGACCAGGCCAGCGTGGACAACGTGGTGCTAGAGGTGAATCTGGTTTGAAGGTATCGTGTTTCATGCACGCATTTCCCAGCAATTTTAAGATTTTTCATTGTTATTGAAAAACAGCATTTGATTATTTTCTTGCCTCTCCCCCTTCGAAACTCTAATTCTCGATCATTTTTCTTCTTCACGTAGGGAGCTCGTGGTAGTAGAGGTCCACAAGGTCCTAAAGGATTACAAGGACCGCAGGTTAGAATTGCGGACGTCCATTGATTGATTTGAGAAAAAAGGAATTTCAAAATATTATAAGATATCGTTGAAGGTGCGAATGATAAATCAATACCGTATTTGCTCTTACGAGCGGTCTCATAGGAAAAGACAAAATTATAAATATCTTTCTACAGAAGCATTACAAAAGAAAAGCAAGGAGCTTAATTATTGTATGAATTACAATGCTTTGAGTTCGTGTTTTTTTCTACTTTGGCAATACGGTGCTACTGTTCGTTATGTAAATGGTCACTACATCTGTTGACATTTGCTTAAAGATTTTTTGAGTATAAAAAGGTATAGTTTTATTTAATAATTAACGTTTTTCAGGGAGCCATTGGTGTTCCTGGTGAAGATGGCAAAACTGGCCCAGTGGTAAGTCGAGCCATAAGTTACGCTTTTACCTCAAAAACATCGTCTTTTAACGTCTGTTGAGTACTTGGAATGAGCACCGAGTGCTTTAAGTTTGCTTTCAATCGAAGATCTTTTTGGATCGTATTTATTTCCCTTTCCAATGACATAATGATAATATTTGCTGTAGGGTGAACAAGGTGCACCTGGTATTCCAGGACCTCAAGGTCCGAGGGTGAGTTGCTTTGAAACCACTGCTTTATTTATTTATCGACCGCGTTTGACGTGTAGAGCAATAATAAGTATTTCATTACCTTCAATAAGTGTTTTGCTTTCACCGCGCCTTACTTCCATATTCAACGTCTACAGGGCAAAAACGGAAAGCAAGGCAGTAAGGGAGAGCGAGGACAAGATGGTGAACAGGTAAGACGATTTGATTACTAAACGTGACATTTCCCGTCAGCATTAACCTGTCCGTTAGCGGATCCACAGTAAGTTGAAAATGCATAACCATAAAGGATGTTCCAATTGAAAATACTTCACAGCTTAAATAACTTCCAACCAATAACGTTGTTCCAAAGTAGTGACAGGGGGTAAAATGTTCCTCAAAGAAGTGAAAAATTTATTTAGGGGGGGGGTGAAATCTGATGTTTGAGAGGGTATAACTCCCTTGCAGTAAATCCGTCCATGATATTTTCACCTCTAACCTACTGAGCAATTAATGTTTCACTGCTTCTTTAGGTCATTGTTTCATTTTGTTCTTTGAAACTGAGGAGTATGTGCATGATTTATTGTTTGTTAGGGTCCTGTCGGTGTTCCAGGTCCAGTAGGACCCCAGGGACCTCCAGGTCCGGTTGGCATCGCTGGTCGTGCTGGAGTTCCTGGTGCTTTAGGCAGGAAAGGTGAACAGGTACGAGAAAAAGATTTTATCGACGAAAAAAGGCAATGTACACATTCCATATCAGCCTTCGAGACGACAGCATTGTAGCCGAGTGTATTCATGTGTTCTAAAAATTATCATTTAAATCAAACACCAAATTTCAAACCGTCATCATTCATGGCGAATGAATGTCGGCGAATGCTTATCGTTATCATCTTACCATTTCGATGACAACGGCAGTACCAATTTGTATTTTGTATTTTCCCATTGTCAACAGCACAAAAAAGATTAACATCTGTTGTTGTAGGGTGCACGTGGTTATGACGGTGATAATGGTGCTGATGGGGAAGAGGGACAAAACGTAAGATATTGCTTTGATGTGCAATTTTCATCCGATAGTGGGTGTAATATATGAACATCCCCCCCTGTTGAGTACGTTCTCTTTTTATTGCGTTGTACGAAACGTTTTTAGTCATGTATGTTTTACGACATTTTCACGCAGGGTGTTGATGGTAATCCAGGTGCTGATGGACCGGCAGGTCCTCCGGGACCAAAGGTAATTGTGGAGGAAGACTGTTTGAATAATTTGTAAAAAAACAGATAAGGAGATGGTTGCGACATGTTTCGTCAAACCTATATATTTACAAACGCTCGTTGCATATCATCTTCACGTGACTGTACACAATCTTTCCGTTTGAATGATCCGAACATGGAGTTATTCTTTATCATGGAAATTGTTGTTGCGGTCACGAGCGAGTCTCGGTGCTCTCTCTTCTCGAAACTGATAATGGCGGCCTTCTTACGTTTAGGGTTACAAAGGTGCCGCTGGAGCCGCAGGAGATAACGGTGAACCAGGATTTCCGGTAAGCGCATACGCACGGTTTAGCATTGCACTTGTTTTGCAAAAATTGTTTGAAGCCAGAACTATTAAATTAGTTGATATGTCCCTACGTAAGTGCCTACGTTACGACAAATCTGCTTTGTCATGCTGTTGTTTTGTTGGGGTTTTTATAATATTTGAACTTTGCAGTTCGTTTCACGAATTCATTTATTTTTTTGATCAACACAAATATTACAAATTTCTTCTCCGTTGGTCCTTCGACGGCCACGACTGTACATCTCGTTGTTTCATGTACCGATATTTCCATATTTTAAATTTAAACTTGTCTTCATAACCTTGAATCTCTATTTTGATTGTGCACCGTAAGCTTTGACTGGATGTAAAAGTTGCTTGCAACCAACCATTATTGGCATTCATCAGTATTCACTGCTTGTGTTCACCAGGTTTAAAACACGGGTCGAATTTAGAGATCGGCAAAGGTTTCCAAACACTAAATTGTAACTGTCATAAATGTTCAAAGCTTTAAAAGCTTGTAAGCGTTGGAAAAGCGTCATAGTTCGTGATAAACAACGATGCGAACCCTGATGACAGTTAAAGGTTTCTGTATGGCGTCGAATACTTGTGATTTATTTTAACCACCAATTGTGCAAATATGTCTGCCGCTTCATTGCTTTGTTATTATTAGTAAATGATATTTTAGGTTAAATTTCAATGCGATGTACAGTTTTTAAGTTCAATATTATTTTAAAGGGTCCTGTCGGAGCGCAAGGACCTAAAGGACCTACAGGTGACCCAGGACAAGCTGTAAGTAGTTGGATCTTATGTTGGCTTGCTATGCTTAACAACGTCTTTCTAAGCTGATTACACCTCTGTGACGGCCTTGTCTCCCTATCTCACCTCATACTATTCATTCGCTCCATTTTTTTGCAAATACATTTTTCATTTAGCAAAGTGAATTTAATTCTTTACATCTTTCACTATTCGCAATTTGTTCTTATGAGTGCGTTCTTGTGATGCCATGATTCTTCTTTTCTTGCAGGGACCTGCCGGCTCACAAGGCCCCAAAGGTGCTCAGGGACCCGCTGGTGCTCAGGTAATTTTTCGTTCTTAGTGAGAATTTACGTCTCGATTCTCGGCGATTCGATAGAAAATCTACGTAGGACAGAGTAATCTCCCGAAGAGAATTCGCTACGGAGAAGCCTACATATAAAGCACTTACATATATATAATCTGCAAGTATATTTAGACCAGTAATGCTACGTATAAATATCGTAATAAATGTACATTATAAACGCTAAATATTTTATACTTTTGACTTTTTCCTTGCCAAACTGTGCAACAATCTCCGATTAATCTAGTGCTCTAATAAAGGGCTGCGAAAGGTTGATCATTGAAGAAAACGTTCGTATTCATATATTGATATGCTAGAATCCGTGATCATGATTGAATACACGAAAAACCAATATAAGAGAACATGCATATATACGAGTATTACCTATCCCCACCCTTTATTTTCAATATTTCTCTGCTTTTTTCTGTAATGGATCGAATGAAAGCCGTTTATTGCTCCGTTCACTTTATGTTTGTTATATTCCAGGGTGAACGTGGTCCTCGTGGTATTTCTGGGGATATTGGTGTCGGCGGATTAAAGGTAATGTCGTGGGACACAAAATCGATTGGACTCCGATTGGAAACGCGTGCATTTTTCTGGACTATCCAGTGCATCGACAGCAACGAAGAAATTTCTACACTTCTACTTTTCTAGGGCGCAAAAGGTAGAAAAGGAGAGAAAGGAGATAATGGCCAGAGTGGAGCGGCTGTAAGTTGTACAATGAATTTTTGCCGAAAATCTAAAGCATTTCTTGAAAAGAGCAGTTTTTGTCAAGAATACATCCTCCAAATGTGTTCGTTTTTGTTTCATTGGTGATGGTTAAACCATTAAAGTTTTCGGGCATTTTCATCCCATTACGGCTAACGGCAAACATCAACTATCCGCTTGCAGTTGAGGTTAACTGTTTTGAAAAAATTTGAGTTTTCTTTGACGTTTAGCATTTGTATTTTACAATTCGCATTGTCATGAGCTAAATTTGTCATGTTTTGTGAAAAATTTGTCGATGATATAGGCATATTCATGTTGTATACTCACATAAAATAATTACATTGGGCCACAAACGTCACTTTGTTGTATTAAAAAGCTTGCGGTACATCACCTACCGCAAGAAGGGCCTCTTGCAGTTAAAACCTGAACCGCAAACCAGCAACGGAAATTGAAAAGCCATGATCACGTGACTTTGGGCGGTTTGCCGTTAAAGCCGAACTAAAACTCTCCTTTATTGAAGCTGAACAAACGTCAATGTTGTTTAAAAGCAAGCTCCACTCGTTACAACGCATTCGTTTTAAGTCGTTTACGCTGAGTCAAATCTGTATGTGACTAGCGTATTGACGTCAAGAACAATAATCATTTTGCTCAAACGCAGTTAAAACAAGCAAGGGTTTCCTCAACACTAATATTGGATTGAATAGTTGATTGTCTAGACATTCATCAATAAAATTAGTCGGTAATGTTTTGCTTTTGAACTTCAGCTTTTACAACGCGAAAAGACAGAAATTCTACCAGTTTAATGTCTCATGTTCTTTATGCAGTGTGCAATCGACTTGCGCTTTTATTAGCGAATGTCACTAACTTATCACTGCGTTTGCTTAAAGAACCTACGCAAGACTTCCTGTTATTTAATCTTGAGCATTTGGAACTTTGTTTTTTCTAGGGTCCGCCAGGTAGATCAGGATCTCCTGGTGCTCCCGGATCTCCTGGTCCTGCAGTAAGTTTTCCGTTACTTGCCATCTGTTTGTTACGGTGGAGTAATTTGAAATAGACCTGGCATTCACTATGTAATGTTGATGATCATTTCAGGGACCAAGTGGCGACGATGGACCAAAGGGTCTTGCTGGTGGAAATGGAGCAAAGGTATTTTACTTAATTTTACAGTTTTTTATTCAACATTAACATTTGTTTAACTGCATGGTGACGACAATGTGAGCTTGTCGGTTGACATCATTTTCAAAGTTCAATACAAAGCATTTTTGACGACGATGGTTTTCCAATGATTTTATTGATACTACGAATAGCCGTGTGATCTTTGAATAAGAATTTTGAAAACCAATAGAAACTCAAAAGTTTTTAAACCCCCATAAAACTCATGAAATACATAGAAGTCCAGCTTTTTTGAGAACCTTTTGTTTTCTCCTGGGTTTTCTTCTAGATTTTCTCTTTGGTTTTTCTTTGTTTTCTCCTGTGCTTTCTCTTGGTTTTATCTTTTGATTTTTTTTTGTTTTCTTCTTAGTTTTCTCTTGGTTTTCTCCTGGGTTTTCTCTTGGCTTTCTCTTGGCTTTCTCCTGTGTTTTCTCTTGGTTTTCTCCTGGGTTTCTCTTTGATTTCTCCTGAGTTTTCTAGGTTTTCTTTGGTTTTTTTCTTTGTTTTCTCCTGGGTTTTTTGTTTTCTCCTGGGTTTTTCTTTGTTTTCTCCTAGGTTTTCACTTGGTTTTCTCCTGGGTTTTCTCTTGGTTTTCTCCTAGGTTTTCACTTGATCTTCTCCTAGGTTTTCACTTGGTTTTCTCCTAGGTTTTCACTTGGGTTTTTTCTTGGTTTTCTCCTGTGTCACTTGGTTTTCTCCTGGATTTTTTCTTTTTTTTTCTCCATGGTTTCTTGGTTAACGTTCAAATCATTACTTTGTGCAATTTTGTATTTTATCGGCAATGTATTTTCACAGGGTCCTGAGGGTCCTATTGGCTACCCTGGTGCTGATGGTGGAAGTGGTCCACCAGGACAGGATGGCTCACCTGGCAAAGATGGTCCACCTGGTAGAGATGGTGACAAGGTAATTTTTCATTGTACAACTTTGTTTATGTTGTTACATGTTATTTGCGCAGGCATTTCCGTTCGCATCCTCCCTACCTACTTTTCTATTTGGCTACACTTTATGAATTAGGTATTCCTAATTTTTCAACTGTATTTTCAGGGGGCTAAAGGTCTGCCCGGTCCGGCAGGCCCTCCAGGACCTACTGGTGAAAGGGTAAGTAGTATCATCTCGCGCTCTATTAAAGATACAGTCAATGGAAGGCGATCAGTAAATTTGTGCTTTTTCTCACGGATTTGACCACAACCATCAGCGTTTGACCACTTTACTTTATTTTTCATAGGGTATATTAGGTCCACAAGGATTGACTGGTGATATTGGCGAGCCTGGTCCTCAGGTACGTATACTTCGATGTGCAGTTTACGGAAGGAGTGTGCTCAGAGGCGTTACAAGAACGTTAACTAGGGGTGGTGTATTCATATATTCAGTTGTGCCCTACTGATTTCTTTTAAAATTCAATTCACTTTCAATTATGTTTATTCGAGCCCTACTTATTACATTACATTGTTGAAAAACACCACTTCTATCGGGAATTATATTTTTGTGAATTGCCACCTTCATAATAGCTGAAAATAACTAAGGCAAAATAGAACAGATGCGATGAGTTGTATGAGTTGTTACGGAGTATCTCCAATTACAAATGAGAAGGATGTGTGAGGGACGAGAGCTGCAATAGAAATGTTTTGAAAAAAGAAAACGTTTTATAGGACGATTGTAAGAGTATCAGTGAAGTTTATCAAGTTTAATATAAAAGGACATCATAGTGCGCATGTCAATGATGTCCTGCCATGGATTTGGTGAATGTTGCGTCCCGTAATCGGGAGCACACGCAACGAGTAACATACAGCAAATTATCATGTTGCAAACTAGTGCAGATACGGCATGCTACGATTACAGTGTAATTATTAGTTATTGTTCTCTTTCGTGACAAAAGAAGATCTTCATAGTTGTATCTATTAACAGGGTCCTAAAGGTTCTCCTGGTAAACCTGGCCAATCGGGTGCCCCAGGATTCAGGGTAAGAACGAACGACGAGAAAAATTCATACTTCCTTTCGCCCTCATGCGGTGACATGGTGTGCTTCGTTTTGTAATTTAATTGCTTATAATTGGGATCGTATGCTGAAATGTGCTGTTCTCAAGATTTGATTGTATCTTAGAGATTTGTGTCACGTTTTCACCGTTCAAAACTAAAGCATGTAAGCTCTGTACTTGTAAACGACAGATCTTTCAAATGGCAAATATAAAGAGTGTAAGATCAGTGTAGCCATTAAACTGGAACATCGTTCTAAAAGTCACGTGGGATATGACTCATGTTTATACCTCATATGCCATCAGATATTTGTTGACAACGCTTATGTTATCAGACACATGTTTACGTCTCACAAACAATTCCAATTTTCATCCCAGGGTGCTGATGGTGACAAAGGAGATACGGGAAGTCCTGGTCAGGATGGAAGTCCCGTATGTTATTCGTGAAGTTTTTTTATTCTCTTTGTCTTTTTTACCGTTGTGTGTCTTGTATATCGTGCTTTCTTAACCGATTTTCGATCATTTGCGCAGGGAACTGCCGGTACGCCAGGCGTTCGAGGGCTGCCCGGTGCCCCCGGCTCTGCGGTAAGTATGATAAAAGTTTCATATCATTTAAAAGTAAATTGCAAAAATTTGGTTGTTCTTACATTTATCCGCGATTCGAGCTAATTGTAACGAAAGATACTGTGGTACTGCATGGATATTCAAAATTGAAACTGTGTAAAGTCCATAGCAGGCCCAATGACATTACATTGCGCATATGGTCAAAGATGAAGGATGATAGAGGGAAACAAACAGTACAATTTAGAAAAACTTTTTTTCGTAACTGTCCCTCCGTGCATTTCATTGCTGTCACGTGATAGTTTATCGTGGTTTGCTGTTTAGTTTACATTACATTTATTTGCTTGACAAATTTTTTCCTAAACCGGGAAATGATCAATTTGCCAAATATGTCTTAGTGTGGTAAAATTGTGCTCTTCGCGTTTCAAGGGTCAACCTGGTACTCCAGGTCCAGCTGGTCCGCCTGGTGGCGAAGGAGGTGAAGGTAGCTCTGGCGAACCCGGTCCACAAGGACCACCCGGACCAAATGGAGCAGCGGTAAATTGTGGATTGTATTCGTTTTTCTTTTCAGGCTAACATAGAATGTCACAGGTTGAGGTTCCAAAGACATTAGCAGTAGGGTGGGCGACACTGTTGGCAGATTCGGTAATTTTCATAACCACATCCGCTCTGGTGATCTTAGAACGCCCCACCTGCTTTACATAATTGCAACATCAAAAACAGGGGGAAGCACTCAACACAGATCAATGCATTTTTGATAATAAATTATTCATAAATGTTAACACTGGTAAGCAACATGTTTTTAGAATGTAACTTTTTCAAAAAACGATTTCTCGCTTTTTTTTGTCGGAAAAGGGTAACACTTTTGCCATATGACATTTATTACAAACTTACTAAATCTTATCTGAAACAGAAAGCTTAGATGGAGAAATAGAATCACTCAACTCCATAATTTGCAAATATCGACACTTCAGCACACAGCACAGACAGATTAAAGTATGTTTATTTTCCTCCTGTGTCATACACTCTAGAAAATTCAGATTTTCTGAACCACATGGCCGAAGAGCTTAATGAAAAGAACGAACGAGTACAAAACTCGTGGGCTTCGACTTTCTTTAACCAAGGGGAAAATTTCGTTTTGAGATTTTGTTGGCTGTTGTTGTATCCCTGAAATATTCTTACCTCTACATCATTGCACTATTTAATTCGTCCGATTCACCTCAGCTTTTTATTTTATTCACAGGGTAACCCCGGACCACCCGGAAACCCCGGTCCAGTTGGCAACCCTGGAATTAAGGTGAGGTTTTTTCATGTTTTCATCAGGCATTTGTTTTGCCGGATTTAAGAAAAATCATAGGATTCCGAAAACTTATGCAAAAAATTTTCGATGGCGGTTGGGTAACTCTAGTATAAAATACAACAGTGTTTCACCGCGAAAAAAGTCCCCGTATTTTTGATGTGACTGTATTATCTGGGTGACCGTTAGGCGGTGCTTATATCAATCTAAATTTGTTGTTTATTTTTTTGATGTAGTTACGTAGATGATGATAAAATTTTGAAAGCCACGTATTCTCATTTTCGTTCTATGAACGTATGGAACTTAATTCTAGACACTGAATCTTTGGCTAAAAATGGGCCAAACCACATGTATATGATAATGTTTCCCCAATTTTATGCACCTGTCGTCTTATTGGGTGTGATTTTCATAGCATAACTTACGTTCTTTATGCCGCCAGCATTTTTTAAATTTCCTGAATGATATCTGAATAAAAAAATAGCATATCACTCGTCACTTAAAGTGCTTCATTTTTTTACAAGAACGTATTCTGTTCTCGTTCAGGGTGAAGTTGGTGAGCCAGGCGGTCCTGGACCGACCGGAAATCATGGACCTGATGGTGCAAAGGGTGACGTAGGTTTCCCGGGACTGCAAGGTGCAACTGGACCACAGGTAACTCTAATCACGTCGAAGCCTATTTCTGATGTTTGTATTCTTCTCAATCACTAATTCATAGATCAGATGAATATTCGTTGTCTTCACAGCCGAATGATTCTTTGCAAATATGTTTTACTACAAGAAATACAATAGATTAGAGTAACGGGGAAACGTCAAACTTTTGTAAATGCATTGGTGAAGCTCTTTTAAAACATCCCTACCTGATGGGAAATGTGAGAATGTTCTAACTGCAGTCGATGGACCGTACTGACCTTGCTTGTTTTTGAAATAGGGTCCAGTAGGAGAACCCGGACGTGATGGTGAACCAGGACAATCTGGAGAGCCGGTATGAAACTCATCTCCTATACATTGTATAAAACAATAAAAAATACTTACATAAATTAAAAAAAACTGAACCAAATATCGACCAATACCTTAAAAATGATTATCAAAACAATATACCCTACCGCTCTATCTATCGAAGATATTATTAGAAGGAAAATCGTCTTTACAATAGTTTTAATATTATCTGCGCTAATGACACGCACATAGGTATCTACCAGAAGGAATCTTGGCATCTAAAGCCCGTCAACCTAAATGAGCTCGATTACGGATTGTTCTTAATCTCTTTTTTATTTCCATTAAAGGGCGACCCAGGTCCTGTTGGTGATGATGGTCCGCCAGGTGTACAAGGTCGACAGGTATATGCGCTATTTTTATAACAAACCAAAAAACTCATGCTTTGAATTGCTCGAATTATACATTCCAGATATTTTTTTGAAAAAACTGTTCATTGGAAATTTTTAAGAAGTTCAAATGCTTTGTCGAACGCCCTATATAATTTAAATATGTCCTGACAGTGCTTTAAACAAGTCAAGAAATAATCTAGTGTTCCCAAGCGTCTTTTCCTTTAGAGTTGTGTCACGTTAGCCAACTGTCTTAAACATTTTATTCACAGGGTGGAGTTGGACAAGTTGGCGCACAGGGTCCACAAGGATCGCCTGGACGAGATGGACGACCCGGTCCACAGGTATGTGTGAGAAGATGAAATACTGAAAAGATCAATGTTTTCCCTTCTCAAGTCTATCATAAACATAATGACTTGTCGTTGGTCAAAGTGACCTGGTTGGTATCTGTCTGAAGTGCATGTTTTAATGTAAATGCTTTTTTTGCTGTTTGGTGTTGTGTCTGACGAGACAAGAAGTTTTTGCAGGATTTGATCATGTGAATGCTCCTCTTCATCCGACTCCCTTTAAAGTAGTTTGTTTCCCCGATATATGTTAAAACAGTTTGTTTACCGGATATATATTTGCAGTTGTGAGTTTCATGTAATGGTATGAAAATAAAAATGTACACCACAGTCCCACCCTTTTTCTAATGCTTACATGTTCTTGTTTGTAGGGACCCATTGGACCACCAGGACCCCCGGGACCACCAGTAAGTTGGAAATTAATTCCACGTACTTAGCTAAAAGTATATTTGTCTTTACAAACGAGATAAATTTTTTCATCGCGTCATTTCATCTTCTTCGAATTTATAAGTTTGAAATTTCTTGAATGCATTCGCTCAAAAAAGCGACGGCTATTTATGTTGTAAAAATTTACCGGTTGATTATCAAGTCTCCCCTCGGTACGCCCCTGAAAAACAAAACGTCCCTAATAGTACACATTGCAACGCCAGAGACTGTGCATGATCCAATAAGTTCGTATTTACGGCATGTTTACAGAAAGTTTTCTGCATGTCTTTGAGGTATATTATGCATTAAATGTTTGCTCCCGAGGTAAATACTACGTTTTGTTTCCCTTGAGTCAATCCCAATTTCTCCCGAGACGACGTCGAACCTCTTCAAAAAAACGTTTTTCGGGAGAGATTTTCCGCGAAATTTCGTTGCAAAATGCTTTAAGGATAACCACAGCATTTAATCGGCTAATTCTGAGTGTTTTCTGAATTCTTTTATTTGTATTAAAAGTTGAATTTTGTCGGTTTTTAGTTTTCGGCTCCATAGCTGTTTCGTTTGTTTTTACATGAAAATGATTTGGCAACAATTTTCCACTTGTTTCTTCCCTGGTGGTAAACATTAAGTTTATTTTAAGACGTGTGACCGCGAGTGAACCAATCACAGTTAACATCCACAGCACCTATATATCAAAAAAGTTATTTCTGTGTGGCGTGAACGATGTCATCATTATATCGCCCATTTGCCGATATAGTTAAAATTCGTCATAAACATTTTCGAGTGTTGGCTATATCTATTTTTTCGTTGTTGAAAGTTGTATTAACTTTTTTATAAATGAATTTTATAGGGTCCTCCTGGACAAAACCTTGTGGTAAGTGGTGCTTATTGATGCACTTAAAATGTTTAAACTTAAAAAAACAATCAAAGGAAATTCATCCATTTTCGATAATGCAAACTAAAAGTCAAATCTATAGGAAATATTTTGCTCTTTAAAAAAAGGGGAAATCCTTGAAATGATGCAAAAACATGACAGCCTTTTGCAAGTCATTCCTACAACTTTATCACGTATTCACTGTGCTCCTTTTCTCTATTTTTTTTATTTTCTTTCACTTGCTTTTGACGAAAATTCGATAAAAGGGAAAAGTACACGAAGCGCTTCTTTTCAATTTAGATCTTCCCCAACTCACGAAAAGGACCGAGATATTACCGTGGAACACAAGTAGAGGTACGAGAGTCAAATATTTGGTTTTATCTTATCACCGTTGAAGTATAGACTTTGGAGCTATTTAATAACAAACTTTTTTACATGAAGCAACCTCTTCGTATTTCAATAGGGCGCAGAAGAGGAAGAAGGCAGCCTCGTTGGCTTCGTACACAATCGTTTCTTAAAGAATTGGAAACCGACTGGTACCCGAGAGAATCCCGCAAGATGTTGTAAAGATTTGATACTAGACCATCCTGAGCTAACCAGTGGTATGTATTACGATGAAAATGTGCATTTCTGAATATATGAATACCCTCCCTAGTTATTGAAATGGCTACGGCCCTGGTTTGTTTTTGAAGATGTGGTGATTGGAAGACTCCTCATTTGTAGAAAGCTCGGTTGCAAATCGGAAGTGTACTGATATGTATATTTTCATGCAAGGCTTTCTGCAACGCATTTTGTGTTGTATGAACTGCTGCAGTTTGAGAGCTTGTCACGCATTAAAATAAGTGTGTTTTCTACGCACTCTATGTCGTTGTAGATGGGAAATGGGTGCTTGTAAATGAAAATATTTGTCCTTTAAAAATAAACAAACTATATTCTATTTTATCGCATGATGGCAGAATGCCAAACTGAAATTCATTGGGAAAAATTTAAGGGGTTAATGTGAGTTTCCGTGAAAAAATTCTTGTTATTATCCTTTTAATCCTCATCCTAAAGCGTATTATCATTTTTTTATATTTTGATATTTTATATTTTATGTATTGTAATATTTTCGTGTTTTCGTTTGAGTGAACTTTGTGTTTTGTATTTTTGCGTTCGAACAGATTTCTACTGGATTGATCCTGACATGGGCTGTCACCAGAACGCTTTCCTTGCCAAATGTGACTTCGTCAACAAACAAACATGCGTTCACTCCGTACAAAACCAACCGGTATGTATATAAACTTTATGCAACTTTTCTAGATCAGTCTTAATGTACGGCAGTTGTATATATCGTGGGTGATATAATCTCAGGCTGTTATTTGCCAGTAAGCTCTAGCCGATGTTTTGCAGATTTCACCGGGTGAGCTTATGCACTCTCCCTGTTCTAAAATTTGCAACTATATAAAGCAGGGGGGGCGTCTAAGCTCTTCAGACTAAATTTAGTAAAACAATCGCACCCTTTCTTGATAAAACTTGTGTTAACGAGACAGTGCGTTTGGTCTTTTTCGGAAAGAATTGTGCATTTGCTGCAGTTAAATTTTTAAGTAGAACTGGAGAAAATTTGAATTCTTATATACGACTGAAGTACAGTTGAATTTTTACTCGCACACCCTAACCCTCCCTTTGCATTGGCCGCAGCTTCTACCGCACTGTAACTATCACTTAGTCCTAGCTCGACCCAACGATACCTTATTTCCGTCCATTGAAATTATAAATTTAACCTTGTGCTCCGTTAACAAACATTCGTTCTTCAACTTGCCGTTAAGCTTTGCGTTTGTCTCCGTTTCAGTTCACGTACAAGTTCAGTCATCCTCAACTCATGAATCTGAGATTGTTGAGTAAACGTGTCGAGCAGAACATCACCTATCTGTGTAAGAACTCACCTGCGTGGAACGAAGATACGAAACAGTCACTCAACTTGATCGGCCATGACGGAGAAATGATAAACATTGCGAGCTCGAAGTTCTATAAACCAAGAGTATTTGAAAACGAATGTAACGTAAGTACATAACAGTTGATAATTAAGAAAGGAAAAATGTTTACTGCGTTTGCTCAGGCTTATGCTAACCGAGGAGATCTTTGGGAGAACTCGAGAGCAGATCAGTGCAAGTTCGAGACCAAAGGTCGAGAGGTCTCACAAACGTCTCCGAGCTTTGCATATTATAAGCCAGTGTAAACGAGAAACCATATTTTAATTCTTTTATAAAATAACAATGATGCAGAACAGAAAAATTTAAAAACAAACGCTTACATTTTTCTTGTAAAATGTATTCGTGATTGAATTTTAAATTTTCTTTGATTGATAGATTGATTTAATTGGTTGAGCTCACATTTGTTTTGCACAGGCTAATGCAAACACTGCTATAGACCAATCAGGGCACGCTTTATTTTGTTTAAATTGTCGAATGTCGAACCACCTCTTACGGAAGATTTTCTCAACTTTCTTGCTTCAAAGACTCTCAATTCTCGAGAGTTTCTGCGAAGGATCAACTGCAAATTTTAAAAAATTCTATGATAATTTTAGTAACGATCATAATTTTTGGAATATCGATAAAGAAGCAATAGTTCATACGAGTTACAATTCACAAAACCAGAAATTAACGAGACATTTATCCGACATGCGTTTTTGAATGGTCTGAATTTGTTTTTGTTATATTTTTGCAGAATATGGACGGGGAATGGCACAAAACGCAATTGGGAATAACAACCAAACGAAAGCTTCGCCTTCCGATCACCGGCGTTAATCCAATCTCCTTGGAATCCGGCGAATTCAACATCGAAGACGGCCCAATATGCTTTCATCACTAGCTGACTTTTGTCCGGGCCACAAATTCCGCGATATTAAGACGGGAATAAAATAACGAATTATCATAAGGTTTTGGATAACATTCTCTTTAGTCTGCAAAGCGATGGTCCTGAAATTTAGGATGGTAGAAAATTTTTTGAATTTTAATTATTGATACGTACCGTAGCCAACCGTGCATTAATATAGTAACATGTATTTTGTATGATCGTAATTCTTGTATTGGCTCTGACGAAAATCCTTGTCTTATTAAATAGTATAAACAGCTAGTAGACGGTTTGCATATTTTGTTCTTGTTTCAACACAGGCATCATCGTGGAGGCCGATGAAGAGTTGTGTAAATTATGCAATAAATAAATAGTTTACTTTTCCAATTATACAGTATACATTCATATTTTGAAATTTTTGTCAAGGATACAGCTGAACACGTTGTTTTGTGATATCAAGTGTCGTCATCGTCATGGGTGCCCGTCCGCCCCAAAAGAACTGGGAAGTGGGGTGTATTCCAGGACCGTCATTTGTAGCTATCGTGTTTATGTTTTAGGAAAGTCCACAATTTTTCCGAACCGACTTTTTTCGTCCTCAATCAAATTCTATACCGACTTTTTTTGTCGTATAGAACGTTAACTTGGGGAGGGGGTGTGAATATTCATATATTCGGCACTGCCCGACTGATTTTGTTTTTTAGCGATTTTAATTTCAAAAAAAATTAGCCGTACAGAGCTGCATACACGAATATTCACCCCCCCCAATTAACCTTCTATAGTTTCAGCACTGTCCCGGCCAGCGTTAAATTGTTCACCCTAACCATGTCTCTGATCATGATCGTCTAGTAATTAACTTGACTTCTTGTTTTTACTTGTTTTTTCAAACATTCAACATAAAGCGCAATATGGCAATATTTCATTCGATCCACCATTCGACAAATGCAACGATACTTTCACTAATATCACAAACTACAAAACATTGTATGGGAGGTCGGCAAGCATATTTAAGGTATTTGAGCAAGTAAACAGAAATCAAAGCGAAAAGCTGACAATCAATAAGAAACCACGTTTACCACCCCAGGAATTGCATCTCTAGACCATGGAAAGCTAAATTATATGTAAATCAAGACCCTCTCTGTCGCTGTGAACAATCAACACAAAATTAACACACTTCGCATTTGACATTTGTTGTGAAATTTTGCATTCGACAGAAGCGAAATCAAAACTAATTTTAGGTGCCTACGAATCGATTTCAAACAGGATTTCAAAATGAGTTCAGTGTGCTTCTTGACAGATTGTCACCATGAAATCTTGCTATGTAAAAGTTACATTGACAGTGGTGCAAGTACGAATATTAATATTGCTAATTAACCTCTTGAGTCTTGACCATGGTCTTGACACGATGACGCTGCAGATATGAGCAATCAACATCGCTAGCGCGATCGTACGATGGTTCACGTATTTGTAAATAAAGGCGGTGCGCGTGTTATCCTATCACCAAATCGATGAATGTTCTCAACGCAAAACAAAAAGGAGAGCTCAAAGGTAAGTTTCTACGTATGATCTATAACGTTGAGGTTTTTTCTGCCAACCAATATTGTCATAGCAAAGAGCACAGAAGAGTGCGGCGCCCAACGCCAAGAAAGCGTTTTCTTATGTTTCATGCGGCTCGACTCGAAAACCTGACATTTATCTGACATAAAAACCAATTTTAGATAAATGAAGAGCGGAGAACGGCGCCTATAATAAGACAGCTTGTTAGCAAACGATTTATATGACGATCCAATAGTATTTGGTTTACACAATAAAATTTCCGTGATACGTCGCTTTCACAATTATGTATGTTTTTTTCGATTAAAATTCAACACAATCCGAGTTCAGTGTCCATTTTGGGCGTTCGTGCTTTGAATGAACTAAGTGCCCACTATAAACTATTGCCTTCTACTCCAGTGACATATTTCATTCCTACAATATTATTTATTCTTGGAGACGAGCTTTAACGTCTCAATTAGTCGTTGCTCCTTATTAATGTCTATTTGTCCAGGAGGACTTACTTGAAAGAAAAAATTTGACAAACGTCTTAAAAACGAAGCAATGTAGCAGTCACTGGCGAAGACAACTCTGTCATAGTGTTAAATTTAGTTGAATTTTGATTTAACATGCATTTAGCCATAATATAGTACGTTCCGTTCGCATCACCGTAAATTAGAGTTTTGATGCGAACTTAGTTGCAGTAAAAAATAGAAGATTCTATTGATCATTTGATTTCGTATATGCTCGATTGAAAATTTATGAATAAAGAGTCGCCGTGATAGATGTGTCTGATACAAAGGCATAAATAAAGAAGGGAAATTAATTCGCTGCATGAACGTCTTTACGAACGCACGAAGTTCATCGCTCCTTTAATCCTTAAACAAAACCTCATTGACTCAAAATGCCTCACATCAGAATTTTCTCCGTTTTTTTTTAAAACCTGTACTTACGCCAACGCGCAAGTGCAACACACGCTTATGACAACTTTACTGTAAAAGGCAAAGAACATTTCTTCAATTGCTCCACAAAGCGAGGGTAATGAGGCATGTCTTTATTTATATTACTTCAGCGTCGAAACAATATGTTCACATGAGGCAGTATATGATTTTCATATTTTAACGCCATAGGGGGGAGAGAGGAGGAGTTTCATTCTCATACTGACAATTGACAAAAGTGTACATCATGAATAGATTGTGTTGTATGTAGCGAAAACTGCAACGAATGAAAACGTGGCGACCGGCGAGGTGAAAGAAATTTGCCAATATATTTTGATGCAGGAAATACTTATGATTGTTCACTTAAAGAAACAAGTGACTTCGTACACGCGCGTTAAGTATTAGTTGCTAATTACCCTTAAATATGTAGAAAAAGCTATAGAATATAGTACATTTTGCTCATCCTGTTGAAACACAGTGTTAATGAAAATTCGTCCAACTAAAGGTGATATCGTGTTGGTGTGAAGGTACTATGTTGTGCAATAGATCAACTAGGCCATTTAGGGGTCATCTTGAGGCCACTCTCTAAAGGGCTGATTACATGAGCTCGGGTAGCCGGGATTCAGCCAAACGTTAAATGGTTTTGGCAAATGGAAATGATTCAATACTTATCATCAGATAAATCTTCTCGAGCAATTTCACAATATTCTGATTTAATAACTACGCAAAACATTTAAAATTACAATAGCCAATTTGGCCTAATTCGAGAATTACAACAGGAATGAATTGCGGCATTTAACAAACAGTTCTAATTTTAACCTTGAAGTTTTGCCTCCTATCAATGCCTCGAAATCATTTCACGCCTCACTGAAACTTGGTTAGCCGGGATCATGTAAACAGCCCTTAAAATGAGCAGTTCTAGTCAAAAAATGGATGGCTCTATAACCTAATATGGATGGTTCCAAAATTGAGTTAAGGAGAAAATATGTTGGGTTGGGTTACACTAACAAAAAATTGCTAAACCATTCAGTATTTATTATCTTGTTTATCAATAAAACAAGCTCGAGAAATTTAAAAGGCTTGATGTTTATATAAATATATAATCGCAGTATTTAAAGTTTTAGGTTGTTTTCCCCTCAGACAAAACAAAAAACCATGAATTCTAATGTTTTCGTCTTTTTTCCAGTGTTTGGCATAGTTGTATTATGCAGGAGGTAAGGGGGAGCAGGAATTTTTAAACTGCTGATGAAACATGGCCAGTCGGGAATTGCGGCCATGTCGGTAGAGTAGAAAATAGGATTTATATATTATACATAGCTGGTGTCACGTGCTGCATGATGTTTGACATGGTACATGATCTATAAAAACGAAAAAAAAATGTAAACGTGTTCAAGATAAACGTATATGGAGAAAGAGAGTAAGGGATCGGCTGGGATAAAGATGAGAGAAAATGTGTGCGAAACATACCTTAACACTGTAATATTTATCTATCCAGTAAAACGCATGATCTTCGCTTTCAAGTTCGCAGTTTCTGAATGCAACCTAATCATGGTTTATCTGGTGTTTTTTAATGATGCTGAGATTACCCTCATGAAGGTGGCGATGTTGAAAGCTTAACTTCAGAAATAGCATTTACGATGATTCTTTATTAACATTACTGATATGCAATAAATCTTGGCGAGTGTTACGAAACATTGAATTATAGCAGTACCAGCCTACCAGGCTTAGACATATTGAATAGCAGTATTGTGCGGAAACCAATTTGCTCAAGATGGTGATGGGAAGAAATTAAAATCGAAAATTCTACCTGGAAACAATCTTTCCTAGCTCTACGCATTGGTCATATTTCTTTCTCCGAGCATTTCCAAAACATACCACTTGTGGTAGTTGAATGAAATTTGAAATAATTTCTAATAAAATTTTTTAAAGGTTTGTTGATTGATCACAGGTCTCACTTGTTTGCGTGTGTATCTTGTTTCAGTAGTCCCAGGACATGTTGATAGTACCTTGATATAATAAAAATACCTCTCTGATATTATAGATCGCTGTCCCATGGTTAAAGACGAATCCATGAAAGAAAGCGAGATGGCTCACATTAATTTTAATGAAATCATTTTTGTCCAAATAATATGACTTCATCGACAACAACATTTGCATGGGAATAGTGAAGACATATCTGACATTCTTTAGCATCGCGTACGACAAACATTGTGCGAGATATTGCGTTGAATTTTGTTATCGCTCGTTGTCGCTTTTACCCAGAACGACGTAGTTTTCTTTGCCCAAATTCATCGCGTGGTGGACTTGTAGGCTAGAAAATGACGACTTACCGAATAGTCTGGATATTAATAATGTGTGTTGTTGTTGCGATGGCGCTGTCGTGGATATCGTACGTCAGTATTTACCAAAGGAAAGAATTTCCTGGTATGTGAAATTTTTACCCAAACCAATCCGTAGAGGCGTTGTTTCATTCCCCTCGGCTAAACAGCTACAGGAAAGTTAGCTAACTTATATTTGGGCACGCTTTTTTGTGTGTGACCTTTGAATAACTCAGAACTGTTGTTCTATAGTTGCTTATGATTGCCGGCTTGGAAAAGTGGAATAACAGTCAGTTTCAAAGAAAGAGGGGCGCGCATTGGGAGATTTTGAACCCCCCAGCTTTTGTGAAATTTGCGAAAAGTCTGTTCAGAAAAACTGATAAAGGACCTAACGTCGGTCTACCTAAAAATATATCTATGCACTAGCTATATCTGTATTTCATACCTAAAAATTTGAAAAAAAGTATTTTAGTGAAAAGGTTAGAAAAAGATAATTGGATGATATATATTTGTTGTAGAGATTATGGGTTAGGAGTAGAATAGCTACAACACTGCATATGAATAGAGATTATTTACGTAAGACCAGATGCATGTATGTATAATGCACTTATTGCTAATTATAAAATCGTCCTTGTCGTATATTGACAGAGGCGTAACGACTAGAGCTCAGACTTTTCAAACCTAGACCATCTCTGACCCGAGGCTCCCCCCCATTTTCGGATCATACTGTAGAAAAATTGCACAAAGGTCTTTATCGTAAAAAAGGAATTCAAATGTTTGGGGCCCCAATAATGTTTACAGATTTGATATTAGTTTGTCTTAACTTATCATGTTTATTTACTATTTAATCTAAACACATTCTTTCATAGGAAAGTACAAAAACTTTGCGGACACCAGGGGTGGAAAATGTTTTAAAGAGTACTTTCAAGACGTCCTTCTGGTTATTGTTTATCACTATCCCTTCTACCAAACCCTTCCTTTCATACTATCTCAGTACAAAGACGCTTTCCCACACATCTTGGTTTGTGGACCGAAACCGAGTGCCGAATTTAAAATTTTTACTGTCGACATGGGGCCTGGTGGCTACTACAGTTACGAATGCATCGGTCGTGCCATTCGAGTTCATCCTGGCTATCGTGGATATTTGTACGTCAACGACGACATGGTTGTTAATTGGTGGAATTTCGCAAAGTTGGACAAGGAGAAGATTTGGAAAGGTGCCGAGATTGCTGTGAGTGTAGCTCACGTGATCAACCATCGGCCAATAAGAGACGATTGGATGTGGTGGAAGTTAGAAAGTGGATTGCAAAGTTGTGAAAGGGCTTTCGAAAAACTTTCAAAGTTGTCGGGCAGCCCATCAACAACGACTCGTGTGAATTACAAAAATATGTTGGCAACTCATTTCTTGAATTGCGGAAATCGGACATTGTGCTTGCGGACGTGGTCCGATTTTGCGTACATTCCGGGAAGACTGAGTCGTAACTTTGAAGTTCTTTCAAGCATATTCTACAAAAATAAAGTTTTTTTAGAAATAGCACTGCCCACAAGCTTAAGTCTTCTGGAAGACTGGAGACATTGGGAGGACGCAAAGGGCGTTTATCTCCCGGATGTAGTCGGCTTTCGTGATTTTTTTAACATAAAGAATGTTTGGCCGAGCTTTTCTGGCGATGCAACGTTTTTACATCCTGTTAAATTTTTTGGAAATCGAGGATATCACAATCGAAGGATATTCAAATTAAGAGTTTTACCCTACATTGAAGAGTATACTTCCTGCTGACTATAGAAATGGTACAAACGAAGGAGAAGTTCTGGGAGTCTAAATTGTGTTGCAACTTAATACATTAAAAATACATTTCAACTATCAAGTGCTTGAGAGTTGAAAAGCCACGAATGTCTTGATGTCCGGACACCCACAATTTTCGGAGTGCTTCATAACTAAACTAGAACTATTGTGCGTGATCACATAGTTAGCAAGGAATACCTTCAACTTTTAAAAGATTCCAAAATCCTCGAAAGTTGTAATTAGTCATCAGACAAATGAAGGGGATGAAGATATTTTTATTATCACATAGAGGGACAAATTTAAATCACAGGCGATAGACCGACTAGTGATGTAAATTCTCAAATGTTCTTTCTGTAAAAATCCTACATTGTTCAAGATAGTTAACAGTTTGTTCAGCATTGCTTTATGTATAAATTACATTTAGAAATCAAGCAATTCGATTGGTATTATTAAGGCCCGTTCACACGATTCAATTTGTCGGATCCGATTATTTCGGTTCCGACTTTTGGTTGCATGTTCAGGAGGTCCGATAATTTTGTATGTTCAAATTTATATTTATTTACACATTTATAGTCGTCGCAGCAGACATATTTATGCTATCCAGTACATTTATTGATATATTTTGCTTATTTTTGTTCCTGAATGTTTCCAAGTCTTTCACATCTAAAGTTTTGCGCCAAATGAAATTTGGAAAGTATTAAGAGTGAGAGGTCCGGGACCAGCCGGCTTTCTTTGATCTTTTTGGATGAAAATAGAGCAAGTTCTATTTCCATCCAATTTTTTAGACTGACGGATCCGACTGTCGAAAGCTCACTTTATATGTATTCACACGATCCGTTTTTTTGGATCCGACAAAATCGGATCCGATAAATCTGATCGTGTAAACGGGCCTATACATCACCGAAGCATATTGTCAAATGAAAACATTGTTACATTGGCGTAACTTTTTCGGAATATTTATCTAAGATTGAGTCATATAAAACTTCGAAAAAGATTCAACTTCGCGAACAGTTATAATGCAAGTTTGTAATGCAATAAAAACTACAAACGCCGTTTTATGATCACAATAGACTTTGCCGTTTTCTTTTTGGAAATAGACACGCCTTACGAAGTCATATGTTGTATGAACATGAAGTACACAGAACGTTTTTCGTGGAATTGACAAAATTATTAAATTTAAATTTTAAGAACGAGGAATTCATTAAAGCATAAACGAAATCATACGGGTATTTTCAAATTTCAATACCGTAAAAGATCATTTGAAGCAACAAAATCGTATAGTATTGGTCAATTCAGCGCCGGGGGTATGCTGGAACATCAAGAAGAACAACAAATTAGCAACATTTTTGAGGCCAGATTGCAACATTAAAACCAACACAAACTCCATATAAGTTGCTGCAGTAAAATTTTGTATATTTATTAATAAATTTAAAGCTTTTAAAATTCTTATTTATCGTAGGGAGGGCGTTAAATAGAAACGAGGCGTTTGTATGATTTACATCACTTCACTATCAAAAAAAAACGAAATCTATACGGTTTCCGTGAGCTCAATCGATAACTCACTCTAGTAGAGAAGAAGCGTTTATTAGAGAGTGGCATCTAGTCAACCTTCAGGTGAGGCGTTTATTTGATTTGAGGTGTTTATAACTGGAGTTTAATTCATAGAGAGTAGAGACGGGAGCTGAGTGATTAATTGTCATTTGTGGTATAGGTGTTGTTTCATTGTGGTATGCAGAATGACGTTTACATCTCCTTTCCGGCAAGTGTATATTCCGGAAGTGCATACGTACCCCGAACCACTGATCCGAACGTCCCGCGTCAAGGAAAGGAGCGAAAAGGAATATTTCGCTATTGATAGCAGCAGCATGTTTTGAGTATTGTTATGCCATTGGTGGAAGTGTTCGTCCATTATCGTTGAAATTGTTTGTTTGCAACCAACATGGAATCGTTTTTTGAAACGGTATGATGCTTTTGAAAATTTCTTCGCAAAAACATTGACAAATATCGCTCTAACTCTTGAATGTAAACAGTGATATTTGTCGCCGTTTTAACGCATAAATTTCATTGCTTGCCGTATCAACACGTTCGTTGCTGTTATAGGGAAATAGAGTTTGGCTCTTAGATGATAAGGAATGGTCTCCCTCGGTAGTCGAAGCAGTTCAGGACGGCAAAGTGACATTTCGTACGGAGTACGGAAAGGTGCGTATATTGAATTCCTCGTGTTTTCATTTTGACATTCGAGAAGGCGTTCAAATCACGTATAATCGTTTTAAATTATCGTTTTTTTAAATATTAACTGGGCTTGTCTAACATTAAGAAATTTGTCGATAGTGCCTACTTTCTAATTGCTGTACACAATTTTTAATGTGTTTCAAAATTAATTGACGAAGACAATGGCGTGTGTGAATCGGCCTGTACTTGTTTGTACGCGTTGATGCTTTATGAAGTTGTTTTGCATACAATAAAAAACGCGAGTCTGAACAATCACATTGTTTCAAATATGCGCATTCCCCCGGAGTAATTAGATCGATGTATTAAGTTAGGTCAATAAAATCCTTTTTTCTTCAAAAAATTCCCCGACTTAAACTTAAAAGCACATTAACTCGACTTTAGCACTAGCGCAGTTTAATTCTATGAATTAATTTTTAATATGACGACAAAGTACGTTGCAGTATAAGGCTATAAGGTCTAAGAAAATTTGTTGCTTTAAATTATGCGGCAATTTTTGAAATAGTGTACTTCTAAAGTTACATATTTTTATATAGCAAGTAATGTGTGGTTGTTGTCTGTGAAAAAGCCACAACCCACAAGTTTGCTTGTACTTTATAAATATTCCATTGTTCACTCACTTTAAAAACAATAGATTTCTAAAAAAATTAACAATGCCAATTCCTATCTGGTCATACATAGCATGACCAAATTTGCCTGACCAAATTTGCCTGGCTGGTTATAACACTGATTGTTGTCATTTTTAGAAAGTTACCAACTTTGTTCTTGATTACTTTGGGGATTATGTTGCTTATGCTCAGCAACTTTTCATTCTCCCCTTTCTCAATAGGAAATTTTATTGTGAACTTGTTATGTCTTCATCATGTGACTTAATGGCATTTCCTGACTAATTTGTTAACATAAGACCAGTCCACATCTGTTTTAGTAATAAGCACAACATGTTTATTTGTGTTAAATCGAGGAAAGTAAAAGCAACTTGTAAATCTTAACAAAACCCAGACATAGGATCACTAGACCCAATAAGTGATTATATGACCCTAGTAAAGCTCATTATAGCTTAGTTTACTTTAATGCATCATAATGCTGATGAATCAGTGTCATAAATTGTGAAATGATGTTACATGGTTTGCTTTACTAAACTGGTCTTTATTACCAGCAATAAATGAGCAATGCACCATCAGTATTTGGCTGCTATTATTTGTGTATCTGTCGGGCACATTAGTGAGGTTGTGTTGAAGTTGTAATGTAAGTTACGTTAGTGAGGTTGTGTTGAAGTTGTAATGTAAGTTATGTTAGTGAGGTTGTATTGAAGTTGTAATGTAAGTTACGTTAGTGAGGTTGTATTGAAGTTGTAATGTAAGTTACGTTAGTGAGTTGTAATGTAAGTTACATTAGTCAGGCTGTGTTGAAGTTGTAATGCAAGTTATGTTAGTCAGGCTGTATTGAAGTTGTAACGTAATATACGTTAGTCGGGTTGTGCGGAAGTTGTATTGTATGATGTTGACATAGAACTGTGCTCTTTGTTAAAGAGGCACAACAACGGGTTTACATTCGATGTTCCATGTCGAAACATTGTAAGAATCCTATGTATTTGCCTTATGGTAATAAATGAAATATCTGACATTTGTGGAATGCGATTGACTTCATTCAAATCTTCAATTTCGAAGTAAATGTCAAGGTCACGAAGCTCGAAGTTTTGAACCTGTCCTTTACACTTATTGACATCAGACATTCAATTGTCATTCTGAAGCATACTTTTAATATTCTCAAATGCATAAATCATATTCACCAACAGCATCTGGAACTGAAATTAGCGGTTTGAACTCTTCTCGTAGTCTTTCCAAGAAAGTCATGCGAAAGCCTCGTCAGCAGTTATGTAAAATGATTAAATCGTGCCTGTCCGTTCAATGTTTGCATTTAGTTTCATTCATGAGCACTGAACATCTTTCCTCCTTCCTTGTTGATTCTTTCCATTTCATAACCAGACAGGTGAAAGCGGGGGAGACTTTGTTTTCTATTTTTTTACACTTCAGTAAACACCATTGCATTCGACGAGTATCCGAAATTGCGTCCACTTGTCTTAACATTGTGTTCGCGTATCCTTTACAGGTTATCGCTCGAGATCAAAAATCCTTGTCCAGAGAGAATGTGTCGATCATGCACAACAGTTCTGTGGAAGGTGTCGAGGACATGGCGCACCTCGAGGATCTTCACGAAGCCGGAATATTGCATAATCTTCACGTCAGATATAAAAAGGATCTAATATACGTAAGACACGATTTAAGGGGGGCTGTTATCATGATCCCAGCTAACAGGGATTCACTGAATCATGAGAGGATATCGAGGGATGGAAAGACCTAACGGGGAACTGTTTGTTAAGCGCCACAAGTCATTCCTGTTGTAATTCTGAAATTATGCCAATTTGGTTGTGTTTATGTTGAATGATTTGCGTATTTATAAAGTCAGCAAAACTCAATACAATCGGCACTCCGTATAAAGTAAACATTATTTGTTGTTATCGTTACGACAAGTGTTACATGTCATCATCAGTTGAAAATATGAACTTTTCTAAAATTACAAACTGTAAATGAGATCGTGGTTAACCGTTCATTCACTTCAAAGTAATTAAAAATGTATAATTTAAAATTAATTTTGATTTTCACTAATTTATTTGATAATTATTTATTTTTAATTATCAATTATAAATTAATTTTTGATTTGTAATTTATAATTTTTGATTTTTGGTTTATTTTTATTTTTAATTATAATTTATAATTTTTGTTTTATCATTTGTAATTTTTGAAAAGTTCACGTTTTCTACTAACGATGACGTGTAACACTTGTTGAAACGTTTAGAATAAAATTGTTTTGCGTTTCACAAAATAGTTTTTGGCAGTCGTAATTTTATAAAGTCAGAATATTGTAAAATTGCTCAAGAAGATTTTCTGATGATAAGTAGCCAAGTAGAATCGCTTCCATTTACAAAATCGTTTAACGCCTTGTTGAATCCCGGTTACTCGGGCTTATGTAATCAGCGGTCTTCTGCACCAGTCCGTAATGCATAAGAATGTAATGCATTGTATTCCAAACAGTCAATGGCAAACAAGCGTCCTATCGTTTGTTACCTGTCTGTTAACCGCTGTACATATCCGCACTTCTCTGTAATTGGCTAAAAACTGACATGCAACATCGATCTATCGAAAAAACATCGATGGTCGATTTTTCGATATTTTTTGCTGTATTTAACAGAATGACTAAAACGACCAATTCAACTATATCAAATACATCGGACGTCAAATGATGTAGTCCTAATTGTACAAACAATAGTTTATCTAATTGCAGAAGTTCAGTGTTGATTTACTGCTTAAGGGGCTGTTTACATGATCCCGGCTAACCAGGATTCAGTGAGGCGAGAAATGATTTCGAGGTATTAAATGGGGTTAAACTTCAAGCGTGAAAATTAAAACTGTTTGTAAGCGCCACAAGTCACTCCTGTTGTTAATTTTAAATATTTTGCGTTATTATTAAATCAGAATATTCTAAAATTGCTTGAGAAGATTTATCTGATGATGAGTATTGAATCGTTTCCATTTGCCAAATTCATTTATCGCTTGGCTGAATCGCGGCTACCCGAGCTCATGTAATCAGCCCCTAAGTAGATCAGTATTAGTCGATAGTCATACAGTTACATTGCGAGTAATTGATATAAAAGAATGTCGTCCTTGTTATCATCAATGAAAAATAGAATAGAGGGGGCAATGGTTATTTTTTCTCCTATTTTTCATGTAGGGATTATTAGAGGGAGTGGGTTGAACTGAGGCTGTGAGGTAACATGTCTATTTCAGCACGTCGCTCAGTTTGTTTACCGTATTTCCGTCTTTTATCAAAAGCCATTCTATTATAATGGGATTATTAACGATGTTAGAGCATTTGAACACAGGAAAAAAACCGAAGTATGCGACATAACTCTTACCATGAACGAAGGGAATGAAGGAAACCGACCGCGAAATTGATGTATCAAACTTGGGAGACTTAGAGAAAACCCCGCAGAAAGTTTGCCAAGTCTTTGACAGCCTTAAAGTTATGCAGGGCTCGTTTGTCATCATTTATATAAGAAAATTGATCATGTTATCATTTTAGACGTACATTGGCTCCATATTGGCCGCAGTGAACCCTTATCGAACGATCGAGGATTTTTACACGAAGGAAATCATGACTGAATACAGCAAGTGTCATTTGGGGGAAAAGCCGCCACATATTTTTGCCATTGCAAACGAATGCTATTATTCGATGATCAAGAGAGGACAAAGCCAATGTGTGCTGATAAGGTGATTACTGATTACTCTATTGCTAGCTGAATATTCTATGGTAATGAGTAGCGGGCGTTGGGGAGGAGAGCAAGGTTGGGCTTGAGACCCCAATAACTTCGAAAGATTAAAAATCGCACCAAATTCCTCAAATCACACCTATATAACATAATTGTGATGGTAAATAACTAATAAATAGACGTCTGTACTTTTAACGGACCAGCAGTTGCATTCTTGTTAGTTTAGGAATATGTGCACGCAGGAATCCTTTAGTGAAATTTCCGGAGATCAAATTTTAAAAATACCTATAGGCATGCTCAGGGACCTTCCTAGAAATTTCATTCCTTGAACACAAGCCCCACCAATATTTCATGAAGTGTCCTCCACTAATCGTAATTTTTTGAGTGAAAGTCATTTTAGACGAACTTTCAAATCAAAAACAAATCATGTAAAACGAAACCGGGAAATATTTAAATCTAGTGAAATTCCATGTGGTGCTTCCAACAGCCTAAGAATCTTTTCAAGAAGTTGGTATGGTTTGTATATTATGGATAACCCTCCCCCCCCCCAAAAAAAAGCGACTTTCCGGCGTTACTGAAAGCAGTACATTTCTTGTCACAGGCATCAAACGACTTACGACTGGTATTGATCTTTTCCATACTCAGAAATTTATATCATTTGGGAAAGGCGCAGTTAGCAAAGTTTCACTTCCACAAATCTCTGATTGCTCTTTGCAACTGAAAAGGCCAATTTCGAATTTTTTTTTTTGATGTGTTTAAAGTTCATTAACAGTCATTACGCAGCCTTGAACGAAATTTCCTGTTTCAATGGGAGTTGCATTTGGATGAGATCTGTTTCTTTATAGTGTACAAAATTTGTTGGTCAGACTTCTGAAGTCGAGTGAAACTTAATTATTTGTGTCGAAAGTCTTCGAATTTGTTATGGTTTTGAACTCAAAATTGATATATGTATGAGTCGTTTGTTTGTGCGAACCATGTCATGCTTCGACATTTCGTAGCCACGCAACCGGCGCTATTAATTTCAAAACGTTTTTCCTTGGAGGATTCGCTCATTAAATCATTTCTTGAGACATTTGTTGTTTTCATGCAGCGGTGAATCTGGTGCAGGAAAGACGGAATCAACGAAATTTATGCTGAATTTCTTATCACACCTGAGTTCCTCAATACAAGCATCAGGAGAAAAGGACAGTGTTTTGAACGTGGAAGATGCGATACTCAAAAGCAGGTATGAATCTGACTCAAAGTAAAGTGAATTAAATCTGCCGGAAAGTGTTCTACCGCTGTCGAGGTGCAAGCATTGATTTATTGGGGAAACCTAAAAGAATATATGCGACAGGAAATTTTTACAGGCATCAATGCACCTTTAAAAACATGGCATGGAAAATTAGTCTTTGAGAAACAACGGCTCTGTATTTTTAACTTCAATATAAACATGATGTGCTCACGGCGCTGCCGTTGTCGTATTACCTTTTCCAGGTGTTTGGTTCGTTCTGAAAGAAATCTAATTAGTGACTTGATCATTTTCTGTTTTTCAGTCCAATTCTCGAGGCGTTTGGAAATGCCAAGACTGTGTACAACAACAATTCAAGTCGATTTGGAAAATTTATTCAGTTATTTTTTAACGAAAGAGGGAGAATTGTTGGTGGCAAAATCTCAGACTGTATCCTTGAAAATGATTTTTTGTAGCTGTTTTCCACTTTTCAATTTAGTCTAATAGTACTTCACACATTCTTCATGCGTTTAGCACCACAGATTAATCTCTTCTCGAATGCTATGGGAACACACTATAGTTCAACACCACAGCAACACACCATAGTTCAGCACTGCAATTTCTCAACACCACAGCAATACACCATAGTTCAGCACTGCAATTTCTCAATACCACAGCAATACACCATAGTTCAGCACTGCAATTTCTCAACACCACAGTAATACACCTCAGTGATACACCATAGTTCAGCACTGCAATTTCTCAACACCTCAGTGATACACCATAGCTCAGCACTGCAATTTCTCAACACCACAGTAATACACCATAGTTCAGCACTGCAATTTCTCAACACTTCTGTGATACACCATAGTTCAGCACTGCAATTTCTCAACACCTCAGTGATACACCATAGCTCAGCACTGCAATTTCTCAACACCACAGTAATACACCATAGTTCAGCACTGCAATTTCTCAACACAGTAATACACCATAGTTCAGCACTGCAATTTCTCAGTAATACACCATAGTTCAGCACGCAGTGATACACCATAGTTCAGCACTGCAATTTCTCAACACCTCACACCATTCAGCACTGCAATTTCTCAACACCACAGTAATACACCATAGTTACTGCAATTTCTCAGCATACTCAGCACTGCAATTTCTCAACACCGCAGTAATACACCATAGTTCAGCACTGCAATTTCTCAACACCGCAGTAATACACCATAGTTCAGCACCACAGTTCCTTATCATCACAGCAACGCACACACTGTATTTCAAGACCACAGTTCCTGAGCACCACACAACACACCATCGTTCAGCACCACAGATTAATCTCTCCTCGAAAGCCATAGGAACACACCATTGTTCAGCACCACATATTATAATCTTTCCTGGAATGGTTTGAGCCCGGGAGTATCGTTGCATGTTTGTAGATATAACTCTTACAGTTTTGCAGAGTCTTGAGAGTGAGAAAGACTGTTGGTGTTGATGTTAAAAAACGTTTCGACAACGTTATTTGTATTTGTAAATCATCACACAATAGTATGTCTCGCTTTTCTCTCACTGCTTGCCTCGTTTTGATCCACTTGATTATTTTGCTACCTTTGCGTCAGCATTAGTAATAAAATAATTCCATCGGGAATCTAATGCTATGTAAGCTGAGTAAAGCATTTTTTGCAAAGTTTTTTTCTTTCAAAAGTCATTTCTTAACAAATTTGTCAACCCACAGTTCTTTTGGAGAAGGTAGGCTCTTGCTGCATGAACATACGTTGTATTCAACTTATGTTAAATACCCAGTTTTACCGTTGAAACGAAAAATGTGAACATGAAAAATTCAAATATTTAATCTTTCAAGAATTCACTTTTCCGTCGGCAAGTCGCCAAAGTGTTTTGAATTTTGAATTTTTTTTGAAAATTCAAATAGTTTAATGTCGGTCAACTCGTTCCAATATTGCATACTTAGTTTTGAGTGTGGTGTATGAAAAAATATAGCATCGTTGAAGTGCTTATGCCAAGAAAATTTTACTTTATAATTTATAGTCCTACCAATGGTAGTATACTTTCTACAACAATTTGTGGATATCACCTTTCATTCTTGAGAATAACAAGAGATACTCATAAACTGTTTTAGAAAGTCCACAATCAATTCGAAAGTTCTACTGAATAAAACTATAATTTGAAAAGCAAAATTTGCACTTCATAAACACTTTAGCTAAGACACGAACTTCGGAATCCTTTCTCATGGAAAATGTCAACATGTTTGTTGAAAACATCGATTGCAATACTTTACGGAAATGTCAAAAGTATGTTGGTTGAAGTTCATAATCCCAAATTAAATCTTTTTTTTTATTTAGAATCGCCTTGCTAGACAAAATCCCGACGAACGAAACTACCATATCTTTTACGCTTTGGTTGCTGGAGTTACGGAAAACGAAAAAAGTAGGTGTATTTTTGCAGTACGTCAAAGTAAGAGCACAGAACAAGTAATATAAAGTAGGTTCACTCTTGGACCTTTTTGCCGCGCATATCTTAATACGCATGTGATCATACCATAAAGGCATTTTTTGATCAATAGGAATAATGAATGACTAACCGAAAGCCGAAGTGAGCCTTCTGCATATTGCACAGCGAAGTGAGCCTTCTGCATATTGCTTATTATATGTTAAAAGGGTGGGCAGTTGTATAACTATGCACTATCACCTATCAGTACTAACAAATAATAATCCATTAGAGTTGGTCACCCAAGCGAGTATAGTTCACACAATAGTTTGGCATCATAGCAATACACCATAGTTCAGCACCACAGTTCATTAGCGACACAGCAACATAACATATTGACTCATAGCAACTCCCGCTATGCAAAGATTTTAGCGTTAACTGTATGTCTGTTAGAACAGTAGATTTCTAAAGAAATGCGAACTGTAGACTGGGCTACTCCGCTGTAGTGAAACTTTTAGAAGTATTCGCAACATCTTTTTATAGTTTTTCGACATGTTTAACACCAACACCATAAATAGCAGTACATTTAATCTCTTGTACGCTTGTACCTCATCCAAAACCTTGGGAAGTGTCAACCTTATGTAAACTGATTTTCCAATTTTTTTAAATGAGACATTGATGTGTTTTTATGCGACATTTAAGCGATCATGTTCGTAGGTAGGTTACTTTAAAGGGTCGATGCTCAACCAAATCAACACAAATTCAGTTAACAACATAAATATCTGCTTTTTCGGTCTTTGCTAATTATACTAATTATCCTAATCATCAGCTCTTTTCGTTTATATTTATTGAACTAATTATTCTGATTATCTGCTTTCGTCTACAAGCATAAACCCTGATCATATCGATAAAAACATGCCCAACGGAAATGCATTTTCTTCTGTGTATTTTCAGACGAGCTTCGATTGTTGCAGGCGGAAAAATATCACTATCTTAACCAAAGCGGCTGTATCTCGGACTCATCGATCAACGACAAGCAGGATTTCTTCAACGTTTTGGTGAGTACATGCGTACAATATCATGCTTTGCATCGATTAATGATGAGGTAAAAAAAACACACTTGGACTGAATTGGGATGTGGATTGTTTTCTTTTTCTTCAGAAGCTTTTCGTTCAGATATAGTTAGACGCACGTTTGAAATACAAACTCTTGAATCGAGATTAGGTGTGTTTCAGGAAAGTCATTTTTGGAACAATTCGATCCTTAGCTTTGTCGTTTCAATTCATTTCTGCTTGTCAAAGCCATGTTGATCTCTTCGCTTGTTGCGATTTCAACATTTCAAAATGCGTGCTAACTGGATACATGTGGTTTGGCGAGTAAGCTAAAGCCGTTGATAGTTTCCATTCACCATAGAGTGTTGTAGATATAATAAATAAAGTACCAGTATAACTTTATTTATGTATATACTACATATATATTTCTAAATACTATTGACATACTACAGTGAGCCTCAACTTCTACTCATTGATGTTGTCGAGAGACGGACAGATTCCAGACCCTGTGCTATTATTATGTGGCTATATAGTAACCAAAATTTAAAAGAATGCATTATCTTAAACTTAATGAAAATAATTTCAATATAACAGATTATACTGACTCATACAATGATTGTGCGTGATACCTACAAAGTGTGATATACTTCACTCAAAGTGTGATATACTTCATACAAGATTTCGACATTCGAATTTCAGAGAACATTTTCAGCACTCGACCCAAGTTCCCTGAAAAAAAAACTTAACTGGGAACAATGACACCAATTGTCACGTGAATACAATTGTCTCTTGCCCGTTTTCGCATGTCGTGCTCGTGATGTTGAGTGGCGTTTTTTTGTTGACTGTAGGAAGCAATGCGCGTTATGCGTTTTAAAGAGGAGCATATCTCCGATGTTCTTCATGTCCTGGCGGGAATCCTCAACTTGGGAAACGTCACGTTTATCACGGGAAACGGTGCACAAATAAATGAAAAGTTTGGTAAGTGCACATATATTCGACTTCGCTCGTATGATATTTTACGAGTACGTAGAGTATCATACGAGACTTTTCTTATAGGTAATTGTATAGTTTTAAGGGCAATTACAGATAAACGAGTCCAAAGGAATAGCGCTATTTGTTGTCTTAAAAAAACTCACAAGTGCATGTTTAGCTGCAATTACACAAGAAACTGTACTATTACTTTGTAATGCTATGCTTTGAGTTTGACTCTGCCGTCTAACTTTGTCTCGCTTCGTTGCTCTCTATCGCTTCAGCAAAGCCTCGTTGCGCGGCCTAACTGTTAAAAACAAAATTCTATAGTTACGAGTGAGGCAAGCCGCCATCTTGAAAGGTGGCAAAACTTTCGATATTTACAACTAAAATCTTCTTCATAGCTATACTGTTGCAGAGTTGATAGTCTAGGTTTAGTTTTTAAAAGGTTTGATGAGATCGGGTTTTTAAACTTTCTTTCAGCTTATTTTTGGTCGAGAGTTTTGCCTTTTGCTACATTTCAAGATGGCGTCCTTCCCTCACCTTCACACGGGTGTTAGACATCTAGAGGCTTGGGCTCTAAATCATTGGGTCGCATGGGTATTAGCTATTATGTACCGTGTGTAAGCTGTCCCATCTGATATCCAAATAAACTCTTATTAGCGCAAGTTAGAAAGTATGCCTGCATAAAAGTGGATTTTGTTTCGCATTATTTCATTGTTTCTAACCCACTGTTCGGCTTTTATTATGAACTAAAAATGATAAACTTATTTTCCTGCAACGTACATTAGTCATTTATTTTAAATTGCACTCTATGACAAAAACATAAGAACAATTTTAATGTTTAGTTCATTCACGAATGTGGTGTCAATAGTTTCTGCATTTAATTCAAATTTCCAACGATTTGCAAATTTTAACGGACGATCTTTTGATATCGATTATTTCGTCGTGTGTGCTTTCTAATTTTTCCGTCTTTTGCTTTGAATTTTGCGTGAATTTAAATCTCGTGTTCGATTAAGTTTGTCCGATGTAATGGTTTTGTTGTTTGTGTTGTTTAACTAGTGTTGGAGGATATTGCAGAGCTGTTGCAAGTCGATATTTATGACCTGGAGGATGTTCTTACGCAGAGGTCGATGGTATTGAGAGGCGAGGAGATCAAATCACCGTTGACAATACCGCAGGTTTGTGGATTTGAAGACTATTTCAAAAATGATAGAGATAAACTCGTGCAAATCTCTCTTCATCACTCGGCTATGGAGGAAAGAGCTAGTTTGTTACCTTGTTGATTTTCCTGTCATGTAAAAAGTTTGCAAAAAAAAAACACACGCTTGATTTGCCCGAGACCCTTTTGCTTATTGAAATCTACGCACAATTTCTTCTACTCTTTTGCATCAGTGTGGCTGTCAAATGATTGTGCATCAACTTCGTCAAACTAACCGTAACGTTAGATTTTAGCTCCACTTAGAGCAATAAATCTTTGTGGAGATACATCTGTGCTCGAATGAAGTTTTTGTCTGTGTATTTTGTAGGCTGAAGATTCTAGAGACTCTATGTCAATGGCCCTGTACGCTTGTACCTTCAAGTGGATCATACAACGCATCAACGCTCGTATCAAAGGAACCCCAAGTCAAGTATCGATTGGTATTCTGGATATATTTGGTTTTGAGAACTTCGAGGTACGCGTGTATATCATATCCAATTGATGTAAACAGCAATCTTCCGTTGAAAACATATGTTATTGCGATCTAGGACGATTTGTTGGTAATTTGTAAGTTTCAACTATTGCCCCTTATGAAACTAGTGAAATCATATTTGCTACGATACACGACCACCTTCGCTACGATGCAATGCTGCCTGGAGGTGGTGGGTGGGGAAAAACAATTTGCTCTGTTCCCAAATTTTTTCAATGATTGTTTCGTATGCAACATATTTTCATCCACCAACAATGCCTCGTTTATGAAATCACTTTTATTTTATGCTTGTCGTATAGTTCTTCCATTGCTCAATATGATAGACTAGAGATTGCATTGATGACGTTTCAAGTGAACAAACTGAATAACTGTATCGGTGGGGGTGGGGAGAATTAATCACACATGAGGATATGCAAAGATATTGCTTTTATTATGCAATATCCTTTCGTTTAGTACATCCGGGTCTCATTTCCATACAACACGAACGTTGAATTTGTTAAAGTTTTATATCCGAGCTCCGCCATATGGTTCTGCCTGTCTCATGTTTGCTTTATTTCTTGCAGACTAATCGGTTTGAACAGTTTAACATCAACTATGCAAATGAAAAACTACAACAATTCTTCAACAAGCATATCTTCTCACTCGAGCAACATGAATACAACAGGTAATCTTCGTTTTACCTTCAAAAAGCGCAATTGCCATGGTGAATGGCCTTAAACCAACGAAAAACCAATAAACCCAAGAGAAAACTGAGAAAAACTCTAAGAGAAACCCAGAGTTCTGAAAAGAAATGTTTTAGCGATTTAAGACATTATGCATTCCAGCAGAGAACTCGTCAGGTCTAGTTGTTTTGATGGTGAATCAACACATATAAATACAAGTTTATTCACCCTTAACAGATAGCAGACATTAACATCTGACGAGTCGTCTGCTGAATTGCGCAGTGTCAAACGGTTCTTTTCAGAACTCTTTAGTTTCTCTTCGTTTTCTCGTGAGTTTTTCTAGGTTTTCTCATGAATTTTCTCGGTTTTCTGATGAGTTTTTCTTCGTTTTCTCATGAGTTTTTCTCGGTTTTCTCATGAGTTTTTCTCGGTTTTCTCATGAGTTTTTCTCGGTTTTCTCATGGGTTTTTCTCGGTTTTCTCATGGGTTCTTGGTTTTTCTTGGGTTTCAGGCCATTCACCACGGCAATTGCGTTTTTCAAAGCAATACTCAAATTTGTCACCACGACAAAGTCTCTGTTTATTTTTCTTTTGTTTATTTGGCTTCGATAGCACTTCGTTTAACTTCCACAAAGTCTTTCATGATTGTGGAGCAGTAGAATAGCAATGTGGCGGCCACTAATGCTCGTACCGTTAGCAGACATAGAAATAGTGAATACCTTTGTGCGTATTTTAAGAGCTCACTCACACTCACTAAGTGCTGCAAAGAAATTGCGTTCCCACCAATCGCTACAGCAAACTCATTTCTCCTTCAATGACAAGATTTTTGTTTGAAAATATTTCTAACAAAGCAATCAGTGGAGTGAAAATACCGTCCTCGTTTTGAGTGAGTACAGGTGTGAGTCAGCATTTAGTATACATGCATTTGTCTAATTTTTTTTACCTGTCATGCAAATTTCTTGTTTTCTTCACTCTTGGTGTTACATTATGTTCACACTGTAAAATGGCAACTGTACTAAAAAGCTTGAATTTTCGACTTGCAAAATTTACGTTCTTTCAGAAAACGCTTTTATTTTAATGGATGTGTTAATTCTTGTAGAGAGGGTCTAGAATGGGCTGACATCGATTGGGTTGATAATGGAGAGTGTCTTGACTTAATCGAAAAGGTAATTATCTGTTCCATTCTACGCTTAAAAAGGGAAAGAATAAATTGCGTCATGTTAGGACAGCGGGTAAATTCAAAAGTTTGCGTCAACATTTATGAGCTAAATTTTTCCAAAGAGACTTCAAGAATATTACACTTCATTTTATTAATCAACGAAAAGTAATTTCAGCGATTGCAGTGGAGCGCGAGCAAAGAAGCGCGTGCAAAATAGAGTGAGCAAAGGTGCACAAGCTAAGGAACGTGAGCAAAAGATAGTTAGCAAAGGAGTGTGAGGAAGGAGCACGAGCGAAGGAGCGTGGGCAATAGAGCGTGAGCAAAGAAGCGTGCATGAGCAAAAGAGAGGTTAGCGAAGGAGCACGAGCTAAAGAACGTGAGCAAAAGAGAGTGAAAAGGAGCGTGAGCAATAGTGGAGCAAGGGAGTGAGCAATGGAGAATGAGCAGGAGCGGAGAAAGAGGAGTGAGCAAGGGAGTGAGGGCATGAGCACGAGAAAAGGAGGAGTGGCGCAGGAGCATGTGCCAAAAAACTAACCTTGAGCGTGAGAAAAAGAACGTGTGCGATGGAGCACAAGCAAGGGAGTGTGAACATAATTGTAAAAGCTTCGAGCAGTTTGGATGGAAATAATATAATTGTTTTTTTATTTTCTTATAGAAAGTAGGCGTGCTGTCGTTATTTGACGAGGAAAGTCGTTTTCCGAAAGGAACTGACGCATCATTATTGGAAAAGTTACACGCAAGTCACGAGGTTAGAACATGACATCTGTTTCTGTCATATTTTCAATTTATCGTATGCAGTATACAAAATTTTGATGGTGAAGCTCGTTGGAATTTCATACTTCGTGTATGATGCTTTGTATGATGCTTAGTACGTTAGTCCGACCAGAAATAAATTATCATGAAGGCGCCTACGTTTTCTTGCATTATTTTCTCTGGTCACGCGCGAGCGTTTTTTGCGAGTTTTTCGTTGCAATGACCTTGCTCATGAAGGTTAGTGTCTGCTTTTCAACAATGATTGTCGTTCATTTTTGGAGGAAAAATGTTATCAAATCGTGCGAGTGCACTATCGCAATAGAAACTTCTCAAGAAAATTGGCTATCAATGTGGGATTCATGCTCATGAAAATGAAAAGTGTATGCCGCTTTTTATATATTACAAATTTTTTATCTGATTATTCCAATATTGCTCAACTTTTGCCTTTTGCAGTTGTAACAAACTACTTATCTGGTTAAATGTCCGTCATGTGCAGTTGTAACAAACTACTTATCTGGTTAAATATCCGTCCGTACCTGGTTAAATGTCCGTCAGCAGTTGTAACAAACTTCTTATCTGGTTAAATGTCCGTCATGTGCAGTTGTAACAAACTACTTATCAAGTTAAATGTCCGTCATGTGCAGGTGTAACAAACTACTTATCTGGTTAAATGTCCGTCATGTGCAGTTGTAACAAACTACTTATCTGGTTAAATGTCCGTCATGTGCAGTTTTAATTCGTTATTGCTTGATGTTTAAATCTGTAGATGATTCTCGATTCAAAATGAGAATGCCCGTCGTATACACATCAAGCTTGCATACTCTGTGCTTTTCGGCTTTCACGTTTATTAAGCACGTGACGAATTGCAAGAATTCTAAATTATTCAAGATTATTGAATTCACGTATATTACACTAAATACTTCGTTCAACTTTTACACCGGAGCAACACTGAATAATTCATCAAAATTTTACACCACAGCTACTCTTCATGTCAACATGGGTTCTCCATCACAGTATGTGCCATAGCAAAGCAATATTTAACCTTAAACCTTTACAATGCGATGTTTGTAAAATTCCAAAAAATTAAATTTCACGAGTTAATCTACTTTAGAAGAGAAATCCTCAAATGTCGATAAATCCAAGAGCGAGCTGTTTTAGATCCGCCAGCGCTCAATCTGGCTGTTCAAGTTTGCAAATATTTCCTAATTTCTAGGGCAACAAATTTTATCTGAAGCCGAAAGTTGCAAACAAGAAATTTGGAATCAAGCACTACGCTGGCGACGTAAGTCTTTATGTTCACCGTGAGGTGTCGTGACCATGGCATATTACAATTTTCACGCGACATAAAATCTCACGTGATATTTTCAGGTTTATTATACGACAACTGGCTTCCTGGAAAAGAACAGGTTAGCTAAATCTACACGTTGTGTCTGTTAACTTGGTTATTATAATGTTTCTTGGAATAGAGGGGTACAGTCTAAACTTCGTAGATAGGCAGTCGTAACGTCGTGTGAGGAGGTAGGATATTACCGTGAGATTGTGAAAGCCGTCTATTTTTATATCTGTATGTGGAGGCGATAGGTTAGCACTAGTTGTGATGGGTATAAGGTATTCTTCTCGTCTCTGCCGCATTTGCTTAGTCTATAGAGGCTTCAGAGGCTTCTGAGCAATGATATCTTGTTGTTGATGTCATTGTTGGGTAAACCTTTTTATTCTTATTAAAGCCTTTTTTACGTTCTAATGCAAACCATTGCTCAAAATTATTTAATTCACGTAAATGTTACATTAAATCTGTTTTAACTTTTACACCTTTCTTACGCTTTAATATAAACCATTTCTCAAGATTATTTAATTTACGTAAATGTTACAATAAATGTGTTCCACGTTTTTCACCGAAGAAACATCGCTCTAAAAAATGTGTTTTTTTGCCATGAAATCAATTGATGTTTTACCTTATGATACATGAATCAAAATTAAAGGAGAGTTCATGGAGAAGTGAAGTAAATTTTTTATAGCTAGTTGCTTTAATTTACAAGTAAAAAGGCAGTGTTTTTTAAACCTTGCACTATCCTTGGATTACTTAGTAATTTGGCTTACACGACGTTTATGGTAATGATAGTAGAAATGAGAAGAACTCTTTTGCTTCAGAGATGTTCTGTGCATTCAACTTATTGCTTTGCACGTGCTGTAAATGAAATCTGTTTCTTTTTCAGAGATACGTTTAGAGACGATCTTCTGAACCTTCTTCAAAACAGCAGGTTGGTATCAATTTTCTCTTGTGATCTTTCTCGCGAGTTGTTATGCTCCAGCGATTTTTAAAATTTCTGTGGATTATTGCGTCCGCGCTGGACGAATTTAACTAATCTAGCGCATGAGCCAACGGAAATGGGGTGCTCAGTTAGCTGCTAGTAGCTTTGCCTATTGCGAACGTAACGAGCATGGAATGCAGAGTATTGTGTTTTAGAAGAAAAGGCATTTTCATTTTTCCAGGTCTGATTTTGTCTACGATCTGTTTGAGCATATGAAACCGACGCCCGGAGCCAACAGCAAGTCATCCAAAAGAAGACCAACCGTTGGCTCTCAGTTTAGAGTAAGTTCTCATTCACATTTTTTAAACCCACGAAGTCTTGCACATAAAGCGGGTGTTGAATAAGATCATAACAGACGTTAAAAAGTATTCCCAAACGAGTGAAATCACGTTTTCTCATATTTTTTGTCTGTATCTTTCTGTTGAGCGCTATTTCCAAGGAGACGTACCCTCTACGTGATCTCACATTGGGTTGGGTTGGTGTGTGTGTGAAAATGTAAGGGAAATAAGGTGGCTTTTGAAAGGTTTAGGTGCATCTGGATTTTAAATCATGTAGCTTGATTTTAACGGGGCTGAGTGAAATAGTACATTTGCTAAAAATATGTCGCTGGAATTTTCATTTTCTTTTCTGAAAAGCGAAGAAATGTCGAATCAAAGTATCAACATTTCTTCTTCGAATGTTATTACGATTTCCTACGGAGTGACTGCACGATTTCAATATGGTGTAATAATATGTTAGTGGTCCTTTTCTTTCCGAGTCGTTAGCGAGATGCGCCAAGATGCAGTGGCCATTTCACACGAATACGATTCCATTCACTGCTATATTTGTTTGAAAGAGATGTGAAATACTCGGCTTTATATACCCTTTGGTTGCTGGAAATTTTCAAAACGATTGGCTTTCCTATCTAACAGGAACACAGCGAAATCAGTCTCAGATTTTTTGACACACTTCCTCTATCGCCCTCCTAATTTTTGCTATTGCAAGCCTTGTACAAATCTGGAAGGCGTCATGCTATTTTATTTACATTGCTTAAGAAATAAAAGATGTTTACTGTGTTTGCACAGGCTTATGCTAACCGAGGTGACCTTTGGGAGAACTCGAGACCTGATCAGGGCATGCTCGAGACTGAAGGTCGAGGGTTTCACATGCTCGAAAGTTCTCACAAACGTCTCCGAGGTTTGCATAAGCCAGTGCAAAACGAAAAACATCTTTTATTTCTTTTATAAAATAACAATGATGCGAAAAAGACACACATTTTAATTTTTGCTCTATAATGTATTCATGATCGATTTGCAAATTCTCTTTGACTGATTAAGTGATTTGATTGGTTGAGCTAAGATCTATTTGCCCCATTCTAATGCAAACACTGCTATTGAGCAATTACTGCAAGCGTTTTTTTGCTTTTATAATTAAATAGTTATTATTTATAATTCTAGACATCGCTGACGTCATTAATGACAACTCTTAGTCAGGCACATCCGTACTTTGTTCGATGTATTAAACCCAATGGATCGAAGGTATGTAATATACATGCGTTCCCGTAATTGGCCAGCGGTCCCTTGAACGTTGATTTTACGAAAAAAAGAAAGCCAGTTTTCCAAAAGCAAACATGCATGTAGTAAAACGTCAAACGCTACTTATTTGAAAACCATGTAATCATTCGACTCCGAGGAAGAACTTCCTGAAAGTGAGTTATTGTATGTATCACGCTTGTAGTAAGCTATTCATAGAACAATATAATACATGTCATTTTTTCAAATACTAATTTTTCATACCAAACAACACACTTTTTATTAGCCAAGCTAGCTCGGTGTGCCGAGAAACATCGAACCTTTTACTGGCTCCATATTTGCAAGAAGAACTCGGTCCGATGTTTGTCGGTAAAGAACTAGCGTTTGGTTGATAAGAGCTGATTAATGGCCTTCATAAAGTCCACATTACGTTTTGTTTAGATGGCAGAAAAGTTTGATCCAAAGATTGTTTTGGACCAGTTGAGGTACTCCGGCATGTTAGAGACCGTACGCATCAGAAGAGCTGGATTTCCTGTTCGTATCGTTTATGCAGATTTCGCTTTCAGGTATGCTTCCATGTTTGTTTATGTAAAGACGAAGAAAGCTTGGAACCACGAATATGACGTAGTGGACGTATTCTTGTCGTTTCGGTGTCAAATGCTTGTCTTCTTTAACAATAATCCAGATTCCAAGTAGTGGTCAATCAGAGCCCGTTCAGAACATTCCAATTCTACTATTTGTCTTCAAATGCGAGCGTTAATTAGTCGAGATTTTATCGTCGAACTTTGCCGTTAGTAAAATTTGATTGTAATGATAGTAAATACTTGCTATTGGATAGAATAAAAGTCATGAACACCGCTCACCGTTGATAAATCAACACGAATTTTAAATATGCATTTCAGAGGCTGAGAACCTTAGGATTCGAGCTCAATGAAATTCTTAACTCCTCTTTCAAATCTTGTTTTGTATAGCTACAAAGTGCTGCTGAGAGGAAAGGCGATAAGTGGCGATCCTATGGAAGACGGTGCTTTATTGCTCGACGAAATCGAACCAACCAGGAAGAGATGGAAAATAGGAAAAACCAAGGTAGGCCAACTGACTGTAGAAATTGTTGTGTTTTCGTTTGTCGTCTCAAACTTCAAGAGCAAGAGTTTTCATAAGACTTTGAAAGCTCTTGACGAGCCTCACAGTTCTTAACTGACACTGACCAACAGCAATTGACTTGTAGATACCTGCCGGGGTATTGATTTCCGCCATGCACTTTGGGAATAAGTTAAAGTCAGTGAATTGTAATATTATCTGGAACGCTAGGTCCAATATTAGGGACTGGAGTACATTTTTTAGCCTGCCATGATGCCTTTTTATCTGCGTTTTTGGGCGTATCACCTAATATCGTGAGGTAAAATTTATCATGGTCCTTTGTGCTACTGTATTTTATGTATATAGTTGATCATTTTTTAAGATAATATCACGGCACTTCTAAAAACGCAGAAAAACTAGCATAAGTGTTGCCTTCAAAGATGGCGTCGCAGTTAGCGTTCCAGTTAATATTACAGCTCACTGGTTAAGGTTCGCGGTCTTGCGTCTACATGACAATTTCATTTGCACAATATAGATGTTTTTGAAAGACGAACTGGAGGTTCTGTTGGACAAAATGCGGGATAAGGCTCTGAAGGAAGTTGCAAAAGTGATCAAACGCTGCATCGTTGGATATCTTGCTCGCAAACGTTTCTTGAAACAGCGAGCGGCGATTTTGCTCATACAGAAGGTCTACAGGGTACGGATTATTGCTTTTGCTATGTTGCATCATGGTATATTGTTATTGTTGCTCGTATAGTTAATAACTTTCAACACATCATCGCATGAAATGATCTGCGGTAGAAAATACATTACGTATTGCTGAAAAGAGTTTTTCACACGAAATCCGTGTAAAAAACATTACCTATCGCTGAAAAGAGTTTTTCACACGAAATCCGTGTGCAAAACATTACTTATCGCTGAGAAGAATTTTTCACACGAAATGCGTGTGCAAAACATTACGTATCGCTGAAAAGAATTTTTCACACGAAATCCGTGTGCAAAACATTACGTATCGCTGAAAAGTGTTTTTCACACGAAATCCTCGGGCAAATCACCCGCAACGGTGTTTTCGGACTATGTGATAGAAAGCATTCAAAGTATTTATATCGCCTTAGGCTTGTAGTTACCTTACTCCCAATAACTAATCATCGATCCCTCTCCATGGTAACAGGCGTGTACTTTACTCTGCTGCATTAATGCATAGGTTTTGTCCGTTCGTTTTCACAGGCTCATTTCTACCGTAATAAGTTCTTGAAAAAGCGACAGGCTGCAATCGTGCTACAAAAGGTAAGACATATTAGATTCATTACTGTGTATGTAGAATGGATCTCGCATCCCGTGTTAAATTTGAAGCCCGAAACGACAATAGGCGCCATATTGAATTGTGCCCTTTTGCCAAGCTGTCCCAATGAATATGTTGAATTAATATGGTGAAATAGTTTTGGAGGCGCTTGTTATTCTCTTACGGAACTGTTAAGTCTTAGTGTCACGAGGACAAGCGTAGAAAACACTTTGTTTCTGCATGAAAACGTGCGCTTGTTTCAAACTGTGCTGGTTTGCACATGGTCACTGAAGATCGAAGGTCGTTGTTCTGGACTTGAGAGTAAGATTCTCGTTCTCATTCTCTCTAAAATTCATGGCCACCGTTGCATACAACATGTCTTTACGACAAATTTCTCATTCGAGTGGGAGTGTTCAAGACATAGTGTTACATCCAATTGGTTGTCTTTAAATTTTATCTTTCCTCCTACCAAATATGCGCGATCCGTGTAATTTACATATCAATGATTAGAGGGTTAAGATTGTGTGCATGGGGAAGGGTGTGGTGTGGTGGAAGGGAAGCAATTTTGTAGGGAGGGGTAGCAAAGCTCACATCATTACGTGTTGGATTGTTTGCATTGTGTATTTCCTGTCGTATAAATGTCAATCTTCTCGTCCCAGTTCTATCCTGTGAAATCATATAAAAACATTCAATCGTGTAGTTCTCACGCGTGTGTCCTGTATTTCATCACAGTACGAACGTCGTCGAGCGGCGCGAAAGTTGCTGCTGAAATTACTCGAAGAAAAGCGAATTGAAGAAGAAAGAATACGCGAAGAACAGAGACGAAAGGAAGAGGAACGAAGGAGGTAGGTGAAAACTGATAGTCTTTGCGATTTTGGAGTGATACACGTCTTTTTAACTTGCTTTTGTTTCTTCATTTCTGTTACGTTTTTTCTCGACTGCGCGAGTTGCTTTTCGCCATTTCCCCCTCATAGCTACCGTAAAAAACGCGAATATTCACCATAATGTCTTGTTTTCGTTTGAATAAACAATTTCAAGAAACACGAAGTTCATAGTGAAGTGCGATTTCTTCTTTCTTCGATAAGGGATTTTTGTCCTTTGCCCAGAGCCAGACGGTTTTGTGATCGTTATTACTTCGATTAAGTTCTTATCAAACGAGTTTGTGCATGTTTTCGATCTTGGGCTGAGAAAAAATGAGAACGGAGGTCATCGTATTTGTTACCCTATTAATTTTTCAAAGCACGAAAGTTTTATCGTTTTAATGGTAGGAAAAACAAAACCGTTATTTGTTTTTATCTCACCCTGTTTGCGTCATTGAATGTTATATGTATCTTAGATTATCCGTAAATTGAAACGTAAATGAGTTCTCGGTTTTCGTATGACCATTTACGTTTGCCGAACGACTCATCTCGTAGAAATGAAGACACACGAGCATATTTCGTCTGCATGCCGTGTGAACATTGTTCATCCCGCACCATGCTTTCGTACATAGTAATAGCACGAGTACAACATGCAAACGTATTGCAACATCATAAATTTGATTGGGTAGTTACGCGGGCAGTTTTAATTGGCTACAAACGTGGACGATTTTTTGCTTTGCGAATTTAAATTGCATATCTGTTGAGAAGAAAAACTGAAAATTTCGCGAGGTGAAATGTTCTAAGCGACGCAGATAGGCTTGCCCCCAACCAATTATAGTTTTGGCTACATGCTATACTTGTATAGTTTCTAAGATGATTTAACAAGTTTGTTTAAGGTTGATAGTCCAGGTTAGTGCAGTCCTAAGAAGGCTGTTTGTGCTAGTGTTGATTGACGTTTTGACATCTTAAGCGGGAGGCATCTTCAGAATAAAGTCACTTTTGATCAACTCTACCTACCGCTGAGTATGTCGAAACGTCATTCAGCATCGACAGACACAAACATAAGCAGTCCTTCTCAGGACTACACCAACCTTGGCGTTAAACATCTTCAAACGTGTTACCGTATTCTCTCGGGCTCAAACTTCAAACCATTCACCACAATTGACCAAATCGTCGACCTTAAGTATTATATATTTTGATAAAATTGGGGAGAGATTTACCATTTCAGTGTATTCATGGGAAAAGCAGTAAATGACCTTCGGATTACCGTGGAATCATGTTTGTGCATCGAACTTTGTTTTCTAAAAATATGGGTTAATATCGAGCCATTGACGTAGGTAAAAGTGATAGGGAAACGATTTGGAATGAAATATTAGAACTTGAATATTTAATTTCCGACATTGTGTGAATCGATATATATAATAGCAGCTACTTGTTGCTTCTAGCAACTTCAACATAAGCATGCAATACTGAATTCTGTGCAGCTTCCACACTAGGAGACATAATAAACAAATTGGATGAGGTTGAGCATGACATCGAGAATTATTCAGACCAAGGTCAATGTTATCTTCCAAAGCGAAGCTGAGAAACTGTTGCGAACATCGCTATCATTTGATTTTTTTCAAGACCTACATTTTTTGTATATGAGGCGTCATGTTTACAGACATCGAGAATTATTTGCTGGCAGTTGACCAATCAAAACCGGCATTGTTTGCATAGTGAATAATAATGACTCCTTGACGAGGCTTGTGTGAAGTTGCAATTGTTATCGTGTGAAGACCTTAATTTACGTATCTCGAAGAGTTAGACGGAACCACTGTTCAGCGAACCTCCCGTGTTTCTCTCAACATAACTTGTCTGAAAATGTTTCTCAAAAGCAGCTTCACTTTTACCACATTGTGTTTCTGCGTGAGTCCTGTAACAGTCATCATAGTATATCACTAACTACTTAATGTTTGTAAATATAGATCGTCCGGGTTGGTATAGTCCTGAGAAGGACTGTTTTTGTTGTTGTTGACTGACGTTTCGACAAACTTAGCGGTAATCATCTTTAGAGTAAAAAAAAAACAAAAAAAACTTTTTTCCCTTTTTTTGTTGAGCATGATTTCAAAAATTTTGACTCTGAAGATGACTACCGCTAAGGTTGTCCAAACGTCAGTCAACAACAACAAAAACAGTCCTCAGGACTATACCAACCTGGACGATCTACGTTTACAAACATGTATCGATACTCCCGGGTTCAAACCATTTACTTTACTAACTACTTAAAGTCAACAGTATGCCAAGAAGACGTTAAGGTCATCGATGCATTTGTTAAATTTAAGTAGCCAGCTGTGGATTTGTACTCCTGACTGAAACCTTATTTCCTGTTACAGCACTAAAGTTGGTGTTGACGATACTGTTTATTTCATTGTTCATTGAAATTATCAACATTCCCGATCGTGTCTGATATGAGGTTTCATATTAGGCTTTTGCTTCGTTCTGGCGTTAACACGTCCAAAATTATACGTCATAGCCACCCAAAGCATGCTGTGTTTCATAATTGCCTGTGCTCAATTTCTTCCAGCGTTTAATGGCGACTTACAGAGTTAGAGAGCGATTTATACATTGTACTGATAAGTTCGGGCCAAGCTGGGGATTTCATGAATATTGTGTCAGTTGAATGTCGTACACCTAATTCATGCTGAATTTCAATCATTTTGGCTAGTCAACGAAACCCCCCAGCAGCCATGGAATTCAAGATTTAAGGCGTGATGTCTTCTTTTTTGTTCGTTGACCGATGCGTCACAAAATATCTTTAATAGCTATATAAGCGTTGGCGGTCGTAATGAAGATGAGGGTATGGTATGCCAGTTATTGGTGACGTATAAAAGAATCGGATGAAATCAACACGCTTGCATGTTGTTTTTACAGTCAATCAAGTACTCTGACTGCCACTGAATTTCTCGCTACATACAAGTAATCGCGAACTTTACTAGCTTTAATGTGACTGTGCTCGAGAATGTATATTGCTTGTGTAGCAATCAACTTGATTTACTTGCACTTTTTCAAAGGTTCTTTTGAGAAAGAAATCTAACAAAAAGTAGCTAACGTAGGAGTCCATCCGTATTTTCGATTGGTACTATCATATTAAATGTCTAATATCATAGCCGTGCTTTGTTCTTTCGACAGAGTTCTTTCTTATCGCCGTGTGTAAAAAAGGGCTTTTCTTAATTTAAAACACTCAATTTGGTCTTGTGAGAATCCATAAAAACTCTGGTCGATTTCATATGCATCAAAGGACTTGCGATATTCGCTCTCTTCCAATTTAAATGGACATTTTAAGCGTTGTCAAGTGCGACGGTTTTATGCGGTCATAATGACATGCTCGTAGCGCTGTGCTTATATTGTCGTGCAAGCTGTCGAAGATATTTTTTCCAGCGTGTATCTCGCCAAATCGTTTTACGAGGATATCATTATGCCAGCAAGTTTTCACAAAATTTTCTAAGGTATCTTTAATCGTATATAGGCACACATGTTAAGCTTAACATGCTATCTGGAGGTTTCTCTATAATTTCTGTTATTTATTTGCACAAATAGTTGTCCGCATTTTTGTGCTGTAACCATAGATATTAAGATAAAATACGATACGAATATAAATGGTGTTTACAGCTCAGCGTCTCCTTAATTGTAACTTAACTTGTCTTTTAATTGCAGATCAAATTTGCGATGTCATTTTCGCGCAAGTACAGTCACTGCATGCTATCGCGATTCAAACTCGCTTCATAGTTCATACATGTGTTGTTTAACCTCCTTCATTGTAGAGGCAGAGTTTTCAGCTCAATCTTAGGCTTAGAGCAACTGTCATAGGCAGCACGCGGTTTGCTTCGGAAGACCAATTGCATTGTTGAGTTTTTAATTATGAGTCGCATGTTATTGGGAGCATTTGCTCGTGGGAATTTCTCGGGAACGAACAATTTTCGTACCGCGCAATACATAAAGGAACTTCTGTCTTCTTTGTATTTAAATTCAAAACAAGTTTATTTCGTAAATGTTTATCGTACAAATAAAGGATTTTTGACAAACAACACTGGGAAATTTGAATGGTCGTAGCTATTTGCTTCCATTCAAATATGAGACGTTTTCAACAAATGGCTATTCTACCATTAAAGCGTTCGCTCAATATCATTAAGACTTATATTGAAGTATTTTCCATTTGTCAATTATGATATGTCCTCGGTGTTCTTTTATCAAAATTTTCGATCAACACAATGACTGCTTCGTAAAGAAAATTTTGGCGTTGCTGAAACTCGGCTAAGAATAGTGAACGCACTAAATCGTTTCAAAAACGCGTGTTTAATATTTCATCATCGCAGTCAAGCCATTTGACGTTGGCTGTCTTGAATGAAGATATTCGTCGTAACTTCGAACGAGTGACTAGTGCCTGCGTTGGATGTTTTCGAAAGATTGTGTCATGGTCACGTGATATTGTTGTCTACCACTAAACGATGTTTCGCCGTATGAATCTCCTGTTTCTCAAGTCTAGATCGAACTTCATACTTCACATGAACCAATCCTATAATTAAGTTCAGTTATGTGAAGTTGGACGTTTGAACTAGGTCGAGTCTCCTTTTTTCCAAAGGTGAACTTCCAACTGACGATTTTTTATGATTGTACGGAAAATTTTCTGCTCCACATGTGCAGACAATACAAAAATCTCTGGAGTATGTATTATTTTATGTGCGATAAAATGATTATTTTTATCATCGTGCCCATGAGGCTGATTGTCTTAAGTATTCATCCCGATTCTTCCAAATGTCTCCATTCGTCATATATGTATCTTCCATTTCCGTTGCATGTTTAGTAATTGCGACCCGTAATTGTGTCCTCGACTTTTCTGTAAAGTCATATCTTCATTTCGTCTTTAGAGAGATGGAAAGGCTGGAACAACAAAGGCGAATGGAAGAATTGGAGGAACTGAAGAGAAAGGTTGGTGACTGGCTAAAATCGTCAAAACATTCGCTTGAAATTCTTTCTACTTCAAAAGTGTCGTATCTCGTTACTCGTAAATGTTGCCGAGCTTATTGATGCATCGTAACCAAGTTTATCGAATTCAGTTTGTTTTATTTCAATGATTTACCGGATTTCGCCATTTTCGCGTCGTTCCTTCCACATGTAAGCATGAATTGGTATGATGCGCAGTGCCTACGAAACAAAATTTTACTTCTTATATTGTATTTTCATTCAACACAACTTTTAAAAATGATAGTGTACGTACTAATACAGTTGAAGAATACGTCTTTTCTCTCAAGATATTAAAGTTTTTGTAATGCTCGAGTTACACAATTGTGACGTCATTTGGCATAATTAGTCGCTGCGAAGTTTCGTACATCCTCGAGTTTCCTTGCGACTATTGATTGAAATGATCCGGTAATCTTTTATACAATCAACTCTTCACAATGAAGGGAACTCTGCTCTGGTTGAATTATTACTCAGCAAATTAACTTAACCGATGATTAAAATTCTCAATATGCCATGTGACGTCACAAGCTTTTTAGATCGCACATTACTTAAACTTCTGTAACTGGAGGATGAAAAGTGATAGGAGTAAACTGTTTTACAAAGCGCATTGTAATTTTGAAAGATGTGTTCGATGAAAATAATTTATTTAGCCCAGTTTTCGTTTCACAAGCACTTTAACATAACGTGCGAGACAGGAAACGATTGTCTTTGTTATTGACATTACAAGTTACTGACATCGACGCATCCGCTGGTTTCATAACCAGATTTCTTATAACACGCAATATCGTTTTCACCTGCGTACAGGCAGAGGAAGAGGCGCGACGAAAACGAGAGGAGGAAGAGGAACGATTGCGAAAGGAAGAGCTGCAGAAACAGGCCATGTTAGCGAAGGCTAGGGAGATCGAAGAGGCAAGACGTATCGAGGAGGCAAGAAAAGCAGAAGAGGAAGCCAAACGTAGACAGGTTTGTAATTGTCGATAGAATAAAACCGACCTGTATCCGTACTAACAGATAGAAGACAAATTCCAAGTCAGCGACGGACACCAGCCAACCCTCCCCCTCGCCCTCAATAACGTTGAAAGTCTAAAACTCTAGCGCCCGTTACCGCACATCACACCCATATAACTCCTTTGTCATATTAAGTAATAACTATTTGATAGACATCTGCACTGTACAAGTCGCAGAATAAGCATTAAACTTTCATGTCTCTATGTTTTGGGTAAGATATCTTTTTCTATGTGGATGCCCACCCCCTCCCCCCCTACCAATATTTCGTGAGGTATCGACCACTGATCAGAGTTGGCTATGTTTTTTTCATGTAAGGCAACTGTCCCCCGAATTGTATGATTCACTGTCTTACGAAGTGAATTCAAAATAGGTGCTCACGACGAACGGTTGCATATAGTCGATTGTTATTTTCATTATTTAAAAGTTATAATTTAAACCCACGACGTATTTCCTATGTTTAAAGGAAGAAGAAGAACGTCGTAGAATCGAGGAAGAAGAAAGGTAAAGTTCGACATGAGTATACATCCTAGAAATATTCGCGAAACTTAATGAAGGCGGAAGGACTGCACTGTGGAACGTGTTTACCGTATTTGCTATGTCTATGGGATTTTCGCACCATAATCTTCGTGACGCAAAACAGCATCGAATGTTTTGCAACTTTGAATTTGCTTTGAAATATGTGTCAAACAAAACACTGTCGACGTGTGATGATATTTTGTCATTTTTAAAAGAACGTGCAAAACTTGGACCTGCAAATAAATGTATATCAGGTCCTCTTTGAAGACGAAGCCAAGTTAAAACTTTTTCTCAAACAATGAAACTCTGTGCATTAATTGCAGTGTATACGTAGCTATATGTTTTTCATTCAGAATATTTAGGTCCACCTCAAGCTTCTTTCACGGGAATTTACTTTTTCAACCATAACACAAGCGGTTCTTTTTCAATAATTTATAATGTTCCATCCTCGATTTTAGTGTTTCTAAGGCTAGTTCTAGTTCTCATCAATTTTTCAATATTTAAGTGAAACCTTTTTATAATTTGCATTGTAAAGAGAACTCAAAGTTCGTCGCAATCTTTCAGGCTCAAAGCTGAGGAAGACGAAAGACGTCGGCAAGAAGAAGCCGAAGAAGACGCTATTTCACTACTTGACAACGCATTAAAGGTATGGCTCGTACAACACGGTTATGATCAGTCAAAACATGTAATAGCTTGTTAAAATGCAAAATTTTAGGCGGATTTTCAGTTGAGTTGTATGGCGTTTGAAGACTTTGAAAATCTGCCCTTATAACATTACATTGCAGCAAATATACTATTATGCTGTATATTTTTGTGTTCAATGATGGCAGGTTTTTTATAGCAATTTTTCTGATAAAAAAAAAATTGTTAATTTTGTTATGTTGAAATAGAAATTATTTTGTGGGTGACTATTTTTATTGTGGTTCAATACTGTTTGAAAAACCAATGTTACAATGGGTCTCGTTATGTACATCAACCCCCACAGGAGTGAAAAGAATTCCATTGATCCACTGAAAAATATTATAAAATTTAAAGACAAAAGTTTTTTTTGTCTGAAAATTTAGTTTATTAAGAAAATCGTTCGATTTTACACGACACAAGAGGAGGTGATTGCTTTGGGAGGACGGAGGTGGCTTGATTTTAAAAATATAAATTCTTGACTGAAGAACGTAAACGTTTCTGCGAAACCATTTTGAAAAACTGTTGTTGGTTATTGATTGACGTTATGTTGAGTTTGAGATTGACTTTCCTTGAAAAAATGATTTTTATTATAAGATCGTTATTTTACCGTCTTGAATGCATGGCCCTTCGTGTTAAACGTCCGATAATTCCATTTTAGCAAACGGAAGAAGCAAGCGATGACGAAGAAGAGGACGATGAAGCGTTTATAGAACGTTCGCCCAGTATCATCGATAAATCTCTCGAATTACCGTACAAAGAAAGTTATCTGACGATGAAAGAAGGTCGGTTAAAGACGAGTTGTGATTTTTGTGTCTTGTTGAATCTACACGTCATCGGTCAACTGACAAGGGTGGTGTTAAATGTTGTTTGCCTTGAACATCGTTTGTGATGTATAAATCACCTGCACGTGATTTGATTGTGACTGACGTTTTATCGGGTGTCAAGTGGCCGCAGTGTTTAGGTTTTATGAGAACATATATTCGTCAAGATAAAAAAGTTGATAATTCAGAATTTCCATAAAATAAGAACTTCCGTAAAGCATAAGTTTCTTTGAAGCACTGGACTTTTGTAACTCATGAATTTCCATACGAAAAAAAGTAAGAAGGTCCGTGAATCGTCCATTTTCTCGAAGCATTTCCAAAAAATAAGAACTTGCATGAATGAAGATTTTCCACGAAGTAAGAGCATGGTGATGAATTTCTGTTAAGTAAGAAATGCCATGAATTGGTAATTTCCATAAAGCGAAGAAATGTTTTCAATCATGCTATTGAATAAAGCGTGTACCTTCATTGGCATTAGTTTACATGTAGTATAAATTTACTTTAGGGGGTATTTTGAATCAATGGAAAAGATATTGGTGCATATTACGAGACGAAACACTCATGTGGTTCCGCGGTAAATTGGTAAGCCGAGCGTCAAGCATGTAATGACTACAAATGTCTTGTCTCGTATAACAAGAAAACAGACACATACGTGTTCATGACTGAAAATGTCTGATCAGACAAGTTTTTCTTGAAAGGTTATAGTGTGACTCTTCTATTTGTGTTCAGCCTTGCCTTCGCTTTTTCCATACCCTTATACATCTAGGAGTAGTGTTATGTCTGTCTCTTCATCCTTCTTATTGTCATATTCTTTCATACGCTTGAACTATATGTATAATATTCATTTGTCAATATGTCAGCCGTATATTAGTGCACATTTATCAACTACGACCTGTTGGTTTGAATTTAAAATGAAACCACGTTGCAATGGCGAGGAAATAACGTAGAACATTGCTCGAAAACGATCAAGAAAAACGTATACGCAATTGGGAGATGATTTTTGATCATTTAGGAAGCGTTGAAAGCAGGATGGCTTCAAAAGAAAGGCGGTGGGACTGGAACATTATCCAGGTTCGACATAGTTTGCCGTCTCCTTTATTACACACCAAAGCAGGAAGCAATTCAACTGATAAATACTCATATTCAAAACGAGTTGCTATTATTGTTTTGCTATATCGCTGAATTAAGTAGTTAATCGTTAATTTGTTGAACGTCGGTGGAAGAACCCCTTTGATCGCATCCTCTAGTGAACAAATATGTTAATGTCTGCGCAAAAGAATGAAATTGTGCGCATGTTAACCCGTTCTAAAACTTACGCCAATTTTTTTTGGGTAGTCATACTATAAAGATGTTTGATTTATGGAATTACGGCAACTGAAACGTTAAAAAATTCTTTTCTAGCTTGCACATCATTTTTATTATAATATTTTTAGGCGAAATTGGAAGCGAAGATGGTTTGTCTTGAAGGATACAATACTGTCGTATTACGAAAACGATGCCGAAGGAGCGAAAGCGTTGGGCAGTATTGATATTAAAAATTGCCAGTAAGTGTGAAATATCTCGAGAATAACTCTTGCTGTCTTTCTTAGATTAGTGAAATTGGTCGTCGTTTTTTTCGAATTAAAATATGTTTTTATTACGTCGTTTGCGATAACCATTCTTCCGTCAAATTGTTGGACAACTGGCGTTCTTGTTCCACCATATTTTACATCACTGACCTATGTGTATAGATATCCCGACTGAGCATGTTACCTCAATCACTGTGATTGGTTTGTTGTCAAAAGCATACATGCCAACAGTCTGGTTTCTACCGCAAGCTCCTTCCTACTTTTGAGTAGTAGTTTAGGAATCAGTTCTTTGCGTGCACAAGAAGCAAAACTTTGAAAAAATATCAATGAAAAGAATTGCTTAAAATATGAAATAGTTCTGTCGTTTTTTAATTAACATCAATGGGAGGTTTTGTTCGCGCCTTTTTAAATTTGTGTCTTTAAATCTTAGGCGGATTGTGGACAGTGGTGAAAAAGAGAATGCTTTCAGTATCGTGACTGATGGTAGAACGTATCACGTGATTGCTGAGTCTGCGCATGACTGGAAGTAAGTTGCATATGAGTCAGTCTTTCAAATGTTTCATAGATAGAGATCCCTTTCAATTTCTTTGCTTTGTGGAGACTTTATACCTCCCTGCTCTGCTATCGTACAACTAGCCTCAACTGGATAGTTATGCAAAGCAACACAAAATCAGAAACACGAAGGAACGGATATTTTTAGTATCTTTCAATTGTATGTTTTGAAGATTAACATGCAGTAAAACTCATGATAAAACAGCAGAAGAGGTGAAAAATTTGTTTGAGGGAAATATATATTCATCGAAACTTGTGAACACACATTCTTTGATGTAGTTGGTCGTCCGACTTTTTGTGAGCGATTCCTTTGCTATTTCCTTTTAGTCAATGGTTTAACGTCTTGAACAGAGTACATCGAGCTTCGGAGCTCGAGCTTCGTGATATGAAGGAGGAATCTGCCAACATCAAACACGCACTTGTAAGTTTAAACATCCCACAGCACAACAACAACAGAGCCTCTTAAAGGGACACAATTAGTTGGCAATTTGCATGGTGAAGTCATAATATACTACTTAAGTTCAAAATTAACGAGGCCGCTTGCTTGTACGTGTACAACGTTTTACCGATTTATTTATTTCACATTTTTTATTGATTCTTTATTAATATACCTGGAGCATTGAGATATTTCTCGACTGCGATCGGTTGATTGCAGTGCAGTTTGTCTGTAATTGCACTGTTGCACTGTAAAAATGTTTAATTGCACCGTTAAAAGGCTGTAGTTGCATTGTAGAAAGTGTACTTGTACTGTAAATACTGTAACCTGATAGGCTGAAAAGTAGTGAAAGCCACAAAGCCTCTTTTAAATTAAAAACATGGCGGCAATTGTAAATAAACAAAGATTTCCACCATTGCAATCGTTTGAAATTCAAGAGTTACAAAAGAATGCAAAGAATAGAAACAAAACAGCAAGTTTACTGTTTTTTTGGTGAATGTTTTTAACAGTTAGGTCGCGTTACGAGGTTTTTTCTAAAGCGATAGAGAGTATCGAAACCAGACAGAGTTGTACTGTATAGTCAAGAAATATCTCAAAGTATACTATTATTAAGTAATAGTATAGTGTCTCGTGCAATTACGGCTAAACATACCCTCGTGAGTTTTTAAAGACTGCAAATAGCGCTCGTCCTTTCAATCATAGTAAGATAAATTTTAATCGTGCATCGGGTGTCGTTGGCTCAACCAACAGCTCATTTTCCGAGCATGTCAACAATCAAAAATCGACGATCACTACATCACTAATCATTTATGAGATATACGTATGCATTCTACCTTTCAGGGAACCATTGATGTTCCACTCATCGAATCGTGTTCTCGTGGTGGAGTTCCAGGAAAGTAAGTATGTTTCAAAAACATGTGCAAATGAACAGTCGTATTTCATTGATTAGTTCACTTTTTTATGTAACCCCTGATGTGATCGTGAAGTTTTAGTCAGAAAAAGTTATTGCCTGAAAATTGATTTGTTTGCAAAAATACTCCGCTGGTTACATTCACCCCAACCTGTCATCGATCATCACAGAGAACTCATTTATGCACATTTCACTTTAAAACACGTTTCTAGAAAGTACATCTTTTGTCCTTCCTCGAACCTCGATGACAACGGCGAGGGATACATTGACGTTGTCTCAAGTCTCATACCATATATCCCTCGTTTTCAATGTGCCAATTGTATTTGCAGTTTTCTTTATTATTAAGTTTTGTAATCATCAGTACTAACATTGGTTTTTCCTAACACAACCTTTTTGAATAACATTGATTGTTATATTGATAAATCAATCAACCAAAGATGCGTTTTTGTGTAGGCCAAACTCCTTCACGATCATAACTGCAAATCGTCTACTGAGTTTCTCTTCTGATTCAGCAGAAGACGCGGACAGCTGGGTCAGCGGTAATACGTTTGTTTTTTTTATTTATTTAATTGTATTGTATCTAGTTTGTTCTTGATTAACCATTGAACACACTTAAGTGTTGTTGCAAGAACAACAAGTGAATTTCGACTGTCAGGAAGCGTTTTGCTTTCAATAAGGAAACAGATATTGATGACCAAAGCGTTCCACTTAGAGATGAGATATGCACTTGACTAAGGCGCTTTAGCAAAACCATTTTATAACACTATTGTTGCATTGTTATTATTTTGTCATTTCGTCTGGTAGCTGATCCAGAGTTATGAAAAATAAATTACAGCTTCTACTTTGAACTATAAAATTTAACAAATCTTCCCATCGATCGGCTGTCGTATGTTATTTTGCCTAACGCTGGATCCATCTCTTTTCCATGTTTTTACTGTGATTCTCCAACGCTTAAGCGTACGAAAGGAATGTTATTAACCTGGGGCTACATTCTGTAATGTTTTTAGCTATTCTCAAGACGAAGGAGCGAGAAGCAGAAGAAGGATTCTCTGACGTCCTCGAGCAAGGATGGCTCATCAAAGAAGGACCGAATGAATCGCGAAGAAAGAGGTGTGTAGGTCTATTATATGACTACGCTAACATCCTCCTACTTATTGCTTTCAAGCAATTCAATAGGAGAGGTGTGCTTGCTGTAACTTTAGCGTGTTAATTTAGCCATCCTGCAAGTTTTTGTCCTGCTGTGTAAATATGTGCATCAATTGAAATCTTATATATGTTTATTCTACTGAAAAATTAATATCCCATATCATATATATTGCCACACATGCAGTAAATGTTGAGTTGATTTCCCCCCGGTGAATCTTTCCCAATTAGGACTATTACGACATTAGTTTGAATTGATTGGATGAATTGCGTTCCTAACTATGTGTTTTCTCGTTGCAATTAACTATTTAACAGTACCATATCGCTAATAAATCAAAAATTATGTTCATTCGTTCATGCTTAAAGACGACCTTGACCGTTGGGGTGTATTTTCATCATTAATTTCACATTTTAATATTATGTATTTTCCATGCAAACATTCTAAATCTCAGTGCTTTTATAACCGCAAATCATAGAAGAAAACACTTTTGCCAAACATCCATATTCGTTTTTGACGTATGTTATGACCAACCAATGTACTAGGTATTTGACTCCGCCAGAGTTCTATAGTGACGAGTGAGGCAAGCCGCCATCTTGAAAGGTGGCGAAACTGGCGGTATATACGACTAATCCTGAATTCATGTGCAGTTGCAAATTGAATAGTCTAGGTTTGACTTTTAAAATTTTTGATAGGATTGGTTTTTGAAACTGTCTTTTAAGTTATTTTTCATTTCAATTTTTTTTTGCCACCTTTAATGATGGCGTTCTTTCCTCACCTTGAAACGGTTGTTAAATATCCAGAGGATTGGGTTCTTAATCGTTGAGAGCAACCTTCTCTCGTCGTTGCTTTTTTAGATGGTTTGTTCTTACGGGAAACTCATTGGATTATTACAAGTCGTATGCTAAAGGCAGTCCACGATTTGGGTCCATCTTATTAAACAGGTGAGCTCTTTACGGTCGTGTGCGAGATTTCATCTCCTATGAAACGGCCAGTAAAATGACATAAGGCAGTCGGGGTCTAACAATCTGACGGTTGCCATGTCGTTTTTGACTATTTGGTCTGGCCAACTGAGATCTGAAAAAGTTCTGATTGCAAAATGACGCAAATTTTACCGTAGCTACTGATCGCTGGATGCGTGACATAAGGCAAAGGAAAAAAATAAAGAATCTAGTAGATCGGCCGGATATTGGGAACTATGTTTCAAACGTGCTGATCACACAACAGAAGTTGAACTGATTGAATGAAAAACCGAAATTTTACAATCGAACTATTATTGAGTAAAATAGGCAATGATACGAAAGGATGGCAGCAAAATTTAAAATGACCAAAGAAGGACAAATCAGAGTTATTTCTTCTAAATTGAAGTTTGCTGTCCATTTTTTCTACATTTTGGTTTCTCGAGCCTTGCGCTGAATGTGGGGTGTGAGACTCTCGTTGTTTGTTAATGAGTTATCAAAATCAATGTAATGCAAGATATTTGAAAAATATCGAGTTGAGAAACAATGGAAGAATTTGAAATGATTGTATGCAATATTTTGTTGTTTTTTTAGCCTCTGTTCAGTTATTCCACCAAGCTCTCAGGAAGACGCAAAGGAAGGTTTGTTGATTTAAATTGAAAATCATGAAAAACCTACTGTATTGCTAGCGTAAGGAACTACCATATTGTTTGATAAGTGAGATAAGAACAGTTGTGAGGATTTTGCTGTTTTGCCTGATATTGATTTGTTTAAAAAAAAGTAGACAGTTTGCTCTGAATTTAGCGAAATATCTCATACATTTGTGCTAGTATATATGGGTACTTCAGTATCCTCAGTTCAATTTAACAGACCAACACTAAAAATTAGCTAAGAGAAAATTTGACCTCAAAACAACGTGTTTCATGGTTAACAGAAACCGTATTTTGAATAGTTCGTGCAAGCATGAATGAGATGTTGAAAATTCATTCTGATTTTTTGGGATGAAGGTTTGGGTCTTGGTTTACAAAATATGGAAAGGATAAAGAGTCAGTCCCATACCATTCCAAATCCATCAGATGTTCATGGCTAAATTCATAGTCTTCTAAGCCTTTGAAAATTGTTTACTTCTTTTCATACACCTTGTGAATTATTGGGTTTTACCTTAGAGCCCAATTGTCTAGCATTGATTTTCATCATTTTCAGGCGACTATGTTTTTGATGTGAATGGAAGAAAGCGTACGTACATTCTTCATGCCAAGAATGAGGAAGAAGGCACCAAATGGACTTCAGCAATACAAGACGTAAGTTTGTTGCGGTTTACCGCGTTATACAACGTCAATTGTTTTTGGTTGGAAGGTTTTGGCCAAGCGATATACTGTGTAACCTTAAGCTACACCGTATTAAGCGATTACCCTTTGTCAGGTAGTCATGGCCAATGTTCCAAAAAAAATCCACGAATACACGAAAAACATTTTTTTTCGAATCAACCTCATAAGAGTATCAATTATATGCACGCAACTTTATAGCGCGGTTAAGTTATCAGTATACATAATCAAGTAAAACGTACGGTGCATGCAATGAATAAGTGTATACAATAAACGATGATATGCGTGGCCTGTTGGTGAACCTGATTTTTTCACAGCTGTATGTAGTTGAATATTTTTGGTGTAAGACCATTCGCTCGAGTTCGTCAGTGTTTCTTCACGTAATAATTGTTAATGAAACAATTATGTATACTGCGGCAAAATATAACGATTTCCAAATGCCGATACTGACAGATGTACGTATCTTTCTTCACGAAGACTTTTTCCCTTCGATTTTAGGTGATCGAATCCAAACCTACAATTGAAACTCCATTCTCGAAATTGATAACCGAAGTGAAGGTATTTTTGCTTTTCTTTTTCATGCATGTATATATATGGTTTCGTCGAACATAAACATAAAACATGCACGTTCAAAATAACGGCCGAAATGTGTCGGCCCAAGATAACAGACCGGTCGTTGTTCGTCGACAGGTCGTTATTCGTCGACAGGTCGTTGTTCGTCGACAGGCCGTTATTTTGAGCCCTGGCGTGTGTGTGTGTCGGTGACTGTGTACATTCTTGTCTGCAAAAGAAATGTGAGCATGCTCCAACTATTGATTCTTGAAGGCGCGAGTGTGGTTCGCACCAGCCTAGGTATTGTTTTATATGTACGAGGGAAATCTAGTATAAGAGTAAAGTGACAATTTGACGTCTTTAATGTCCAAACGACACCGAGTTTCCCGTCTATGTCGTTGTGAATACTTATGATATTTATGCTCGTTGTTGTTATAAATATTTTATAGAACGCCCATGATAATGAGGAGGTAGACAAGTTGTACCAGAGAAATCCGATTTTACGATACACGAAGTTGGCCTTACGTGTACCACTTCTGGCGTTGCCCTACGGTTATTCACAATCCATGAGTACGTGATGTTATACATTTTAAAATGTTTATCAGAGATATGATTAAATATACGTGAAAGACTTTTTTCGAACTGTGATTTTTGGTTTCTTATTTATGTAATGACTTGTTTACTCTCGGTCCTGAAGTGCATTCGACGCATCCCGAGCGCATTTCCGGACGGATTGTGAAATTTCCTGTCATGTGATTGGTTTCTGCTTTTTTCGTCCACCTTCCTGAATAAAAAATATATGGGTTCACATAATCCTGGAATAAAACTTCATTGAACAAATTGGCATATTACTGGATGAAATTCTTAGAGAATTTGTATACTTTTTATTAAGTTATGCTCGAAAACGTTTCGTTTTGCTTTTCTTTAGGAGCAAAAGACAAAGGCTATGGAACATTCCACGAGGAAGCGATTCGAATCTTCTCTTCACTACAAGAACAAGAATCTATTGCCGACCCAATTCCAGTTATACAGGTATACACAGTGGAATGCATGCGTTTATCGTACGGTGTTAACTAGTGAGGTGTTCGATAATATTTAAAGTGTTGCACGTTCTCCAATTTTCACAGTTAGAAACGTGTAGTGTACTCGCCTTGATATTGTGAACGTTTAGCTATACATGCATATGCTAGGTAAAATACGGCAAAGTTGAACATGAATATGTTTGTTGTTTTGGAAAAGCATACTCCTCCATATCTGTCTCAGTTGAAGAAATAAGACATCTTTACATCTCCTGAAACATTGAAATGCAGCGCAGTTGTTTCCAAATCTTGACATAAAAAAATATTAACTTAAGATAAGATGCTTATATATAATAAAACAAAACATTAGTGGAATGAAGGATTTGAACTCGAGAGTGTCGTCACATGTTTGTAGATGATGATCGTCTAAGATAGTCCGATCCTTAGAAAGACTCTCGAGTGGCTTGACTTTGAAGATGACGACTGTTAAGTATGTCGAAATGTCACTTAAAACTTGCATCAAAACAGTTCGTCTTTGTACTACACTAAGCCAAATGATCAACATCTACGCACATGAAATAAAGCAAATTAGACCATTTGTGTAACTCTCTAAGTTTATATCTATGCATGTCATTTGTACATTCCTGCATTAGTATAACCCTGTACAGGTTAAGACATGTTTTATGTATTGTCGGGGCTCGAAATTTATAGTGAAAATCTAGTGTACCAAACTAAAATTTCGTATCCCAAATTTTGATATCGTAGTGTATATTTCATAGGCAATGTGAAGGTAATGAAAATCATTACAGGACACTTGTGCTATTTAAATACACTGTACATTGAAAATACGTGGCCAATATTGGTTGTTTGAATTGGTAAAAAAAGGGTGAAGTTTACATATTCTTGGAAAACCATATTCGAATTTCATTGTGGCATTACGTTTGCGATTTCATGCGACAAACAAGGAAAGTTATTTTGACAAGTATTTCGCCAAGATTCGATCTTTTAATCTCGGAAAATACTTCGATTTTTCAGTATCCCATCTGGTGATATTTATTATCGAAAATTGAAATCTGGTATTATGTGGATATCGTGATACCACAAATTTGAGACCTGAATGTAATTTGTAAATAAATGCACTTGTCGAGCACATCATTTTTCATTTCAGGGAATATTGCAGACGTGTCATGATTTGAAACCGTTGCGGGATGAGGTAAGTTCACTTTCCAAAAGTCAAAAAATGTGTATGTCTTAGCTGAAATCTTTTACGGAGTCGTACCTGGACTCACACAGGTAGTTGTGCAAGGGAAAAAATCAAAATATTGAATGTTTCGTGCTGAAATAAACTTGGGGTGTAGTAGGCGCTGATCCCTGCAAAGCGCCCTTTGGTACGACCCTCTTTTAATGATGTTAAATTCTCTTTTAAACTCACAATGTACCATTGTCCATTCGGATTGAGCGTAAAAACGAAGTTATATTTCGGATTTTTCTTTCATATGTCCGAGGTGTAAAGTCTGAAATACTTACAGGACAAATAACTCATGAAAGGGAATTGTGACAACTGTTTCATTCTATAGCTATTTGATGATAAAGGAATCATTGATGGTTTCCCGCGTGTTAGAGAAACTGTAAACGTTGAGACTTTTGTGGCAGTGGATTCTGTGGTGAACTTTCCTTGAAATAAGAGAAAATATCAATCGTGAAAGTTCCTTATACCCTAGCGTCTGACTTTGATTTTAAATGCTCTTCAATTTTTTTAAAAATTGCGAAACTCGAGTGTTTGAAGTAATTTAAAATATGAATTGGTCTATTTTAGGTAAATATGTAGACGTGCGTTCTGTGGTATTCTCTGAACACTGATTTTTAGATTTTACGCACTTCATTTTCGAAGAACAATTCCCGACAAAGCACTTTTAGCTTGCTTCGTTCTTTTATTGCCAACATGTTATATGTGTTACTTGTACTTAATGTAGGTATTCTGTCAACTAATAAAGCAAACCACAAGTGTCCCGAACATCGACTCCATTGGTAATCTAAAGAACTGGCAGGTGAGTTCTTAAAGCACAACTTTTTCCTTGTATCAACTTACGTCGAATCTGTCATTATACAATGCCATCTATGCTTGTAGTGTTAAAAACTGCTAAATTAAAACGAGTAAAATAATTTCCAGCACAATTCATGCATGCTCTTACGTACAACTCCTACCATTAACTGCAGGCTGACTGTATCGAGATTGAACTTGTGAATTTTACTTCATCGACACTGAGAATTTTTGATAGCTGACAATTTATGCAAATGATGTTTGAAAAAAATACGAGAAATTTTCAAAACTACAAGTCTGCAGTATTTGGTCATGGTATCAAAGCTTGTCGACTGGCTAGCTACATCGGTATTGCAAAAGCATGAAGATCACGGCAGTCGAGTCGTTTCTAACTCAAAGTCGAAATATTCACGATAGCTCATCAAGGAAATTTATAACATATCTCCAAGAGTTGAGACTGCCCGAGAGTATTTTGAACAAAACACAAAACGATAGACACTCTATGAGTTCCATCCATCCACCACCCCCTTCCCTATTAGTAGAAAGTCCCGACTCTTTATATCTTACATATATTCGAGAGTAGGTAATCTCCCCCCTCCTGAAATGTGTTTTCGTTATTTCCTTAAGGTTCTGGTTTGCATGTGTTGTACGTTTATACCTTCGAGAAAAATCCTTCGATATCTACGATCTCATTTGCGACGGTAAGTGGCTAATTTTATTTGTACTTTGGTTTACGTTCTATCCACACTTGCCTGCTGTTAGTAGCAAACCCAACCCGTTTTTTTACTCTATCCACGTAAATATTTTTGTGTTCAATCCCTGGGAAGACAACGAATTGAATTAATTTTCTAAAGAAACGACTTCTGAATTCGGCTGAAAAATTTTCAATGTTGGAATAAAAGATCAGGCTGGCTTCACCACTGCCTGCTGCTTTTTTCCCGTCTTTTTCTAACCATTAATTTTTGCGTCTCTTTCTATCCATTATTTTTTTTGTTGTTCAGAAGCCGCGATCAATATCATGAAACCGAAATGGCCAAGTTCGCGATATTTTGCTTGGAATGCATCAAACGAACGCGTCCAAGGTACGTTCACGTCGACGTTTTAACGTTATATTTTTATAATTATGGCATCAGGAAAACATGCATCGACATTTAGAAAGGAAAATTGGGTGTTTACTTCAAAACCATGCACACTTCGTTGTTACAGAGTATGATTTGAGAGTGAGAAGGGGAGGGAGGGGCTTATTTGAGAGGTGGACGCTAAATAGAGTGAGGATACGGTATAGGTAAAGCAATCCTTTTGGGGAGAAATCATTTACGTTTGAAAACGAAGAATCGCATATTCCTAGTCCTTATCACAAGCTTTAAGTTGACACTAAAAATCGTATTTCGTCTTACTTATTTACTGGTCTTGTGCACGGAACATAGTAAAAACCAATGATTTAGAACCCAATCTCCTAGATGTCTAACTACCCTGTCAAGGTGAGGCAATGACGCCGTCTTGAAAGGTGGCAAAAAGAAAAACTCAAATTGAAAAATTAGTTGAAAAAAATTTTAAAAACCAAACCTGGACTATCAACTATGCAACTGTACATAACTCAGCAAAAGCAGATATTTGTCGTAAATATCGTCAGTTTTGCCACCTTTCAAGATATCGGCTTGCCTCACTTGTAACTATAGAATTTCCGTTGAGTGAGATAAATAGTAGATTGGGATCTCGCTCAATGGTAAAAACCTTTTTTGAGAAAGAGCTGAAACGAGTCTGCGATCAATCACCTGACATTCTGTCCTACAATGACATAAACAAGGCAAGTTCCATGAATCATAACGTGCTGTCTCTTTCGACTTTCGAGGCTACTATTTTACATGTTTTATGCGCTTTATTTGCTCGATCATCACCCGAAACATTGTGTAACTTGCTTGGTTTTTGTTTTTATCATTTGCTGAAGAAACAGAATACATTAAACAGTTATTTTAATAGTCCATTAAAAACCTGACTTTCAACTTCTATCGATATTAGACTGTCCACTGGTAGCAGGATAGCTTTTTTGAAGGTAATTTGTTTGTTGTAGGGAATTTCCGCCTTCGAGAGCGGAGATCATTGCTTGTTTGGTAAGTAATGAACAAGTGGCCTTGTAAAATCTGTTTCCGACTTTTTACCATAAAATATTTTAAATTGTCTTACGAACCGTTCAGGATATCGTCTTTTTGTTTTTCACTGAGGGTTTCATATGTATTCTGAGACATGGTCAAAAATGTAATTGTGATATAATCCTTTCTTAAGAACATATTGTTTCTTGGTAGATACTATGCTTTACTTCCTGTCGATGACTTACCATCTACACATATAGACTTCTTACTTCTTAAGAAAACTTACCATCTGTATAGATACTACTTACTTCCTCAGAGAACTTACGATCTATATAGATACTACTTTCTTCCTAAGAAAACTTACCATCTATATATAGATACTACTTCCTAAGAAAACTTACGATCTTTATAGATACTACTTCCTAAGAAAACGTACGATCTATATAGATACTGCTTACTTCTTAAGAGAACTTACGATATATATAGATACTACTTTCTTCCTAAGAATACTTACCATCTATATAGATACTACTTCCTAAGAAAACGTACGATCTATATAGATACTACTTACTTCCTAAGAGAACTTACGATCTATATAGATACTACTTTCTTCCTAAGAATACTTACCATCTATAGATACTACTTCCCTCTATATAGATGCTTCCTAAATCTTACCATCTATGGATACTACTTCCTAAGAAAACTTACGATCTATATAGATACTACTTCCTAAGAAAACTTACCATCTATATAGATACTACTTGCTTCCTAAGAAAACTTACCATCTATATAGACACTACTTGCTTCCTAAGAAAACTTACCATCTATATAGATACTACTTGCTTCCTATGAAAACTTACCATTTAATATAGATACTACTTGCTTCCTACCATCTATATAGATACTTACTCAGAATACTTACCATCTATATAGATACTACTTACTTCCTATGAAAACTTACCATTTAATATAGATACTACTTGCTTCCCAAGAAAATTTACCATCTATATAGATACTACTTACTTCCTAACGATACTTACCATCTATATAGATACTACTTACTTCCTAAGAAAACTTACCATCTACATAGATACTACTTACTTCTTAAGAATACTTACCATCTGTATAGATACTACTTACTTCCTAAGAAAACTTACCATCTATATACATACTACTTACTTCTTAAGAAAACTTACCATCTATATAGATACTACTTACTTCCTAAGAAAACTTGCTATCTATATAGATACTACTTACTTCCTATGAAATCCCACTTACTTCTCATCGCAAACTTGATTGTCATCTCCGTTTTGAAAGCATTCCTGCGTTGGTTTTGTACAGGGTCGTCGTGATCTTGCCACAACTGTTTACACTTTCGGCGAAGGAGCCCATTGTAAAATTGAAATCAATTCTGCAACGACAGCTGGAGCGGTAAGCATCGAAATTTTTGTTTGTTCAAAGCAACATCGTATATAGCTGGTCAACTGCTCTGTTTTAAAATAAGATTAAGCAAACTATGTTTTAACCATTCTCGAGTACCGCAGGCTCATGTCATCGCGCAGCCATTTCAGTAATGTTAGACATATAAATTTTTAGAACGCCTTAGGTGCTTATTTTCGAATTCAAAATGTGCATTTAGAACAAAACACTCTTGGTAGTGAATTTCTAAAGAATAGAATCTTTCTATTGAGCACAATGCCCCTAACGCGTATGTTTGCAGGTAAATGTATCCAAGAATGAGCTACAGTAATTTATTTTTACGCACTCCAGCTAGATCTGCGACTGAACTCTATCTCCTGCTGTCTGCATTCTTCAGCTCGAAGAACACTTTGAGATTCATGAGCACCAAGACACTTGATATTTGTTATAAATAAGTCATCCTAAACTTAAGTTGCCTTTTAAAGACTGAAAATAATGTTCATGCCTCTTTCTTTATTATTCTTCTGAAGCGAGGTGATTTTGGTGACTTGTAATTAGTTTTCCAGAATGCAATAGCGCACAGCCAGTAAAACAGGGCTTGTACAAAACTCGAATGTCCTTGAATTTAAATAGAAAAATTCAATGCCTTAAATGTACTTGAATTTATTAAGATGTGCTTGCTTGAAAGTGCTCGAATGATTTTTTTGTCGAATTTTTGGAAACATGTCATCACTGTAATTTCCGTACAAATTCGGAGTTGAAATTTTATCATTGCGCAATGTATTGGACGATAAAGAAGCCGAATCAAATTCATGTAAAATAATAAGTCGTCTTACTTCACGAGAATAATACTACAAAGTTGTTCGCATGGCCTCAGCAATTTGGTTGAATAATCTATTTTCCTACGTGCGATTTCTGATAAAGTAATCTCACCACCACGCGCCCAAAGAACAAGTTTAAGATAGCAATGTGTATCATTTTAAAGGCGACGGCAAGACTTAAAAAATCATCCAAAACATTGTGTCTCTGGCTTGCTGCCAGCGACTTATATGTTGGCGTTCCGGGCTGGACTTGTCATTTGTTGCGCATGCGTTTTGAGCGTAGAAGTTGATTGATATTAATGGAACTCCAACATCATTTGCAGGTCGTGCATCGTTTATGCAAGGGTCTCAACATCACACAGCATGATAATCTTTTTGGCCTCTTCGAGAAGTGCGGTAGCGTGGAGAAGCACATTGAAGGAAGGACAGTTGTGGCCGATGTTCTTGCAAAGTTTGAAAGGTATGTCGTCATTTATATATGCTTGAATGCTTTTTGCCCCTCAATGACGTACGCGCACAGACAAGCATGCAGCGATTGAGTTGTTGGTGAAGCCGTGACAATGCATCGCTCTCTATTTGTGACTCTTTTATTTTGCGATATACGAGGTGTATAAACGTCGCTAAGTTCATCATTTGGTGGAAATAGGTAGCTGGACTTCCAATCGTTTATGCGACAGTGAAATTTTCGCAAATAGTAAAAATTTTTAGAGTGAGAATTGTGTTACAAAAAAGCACTTTTGAAACAGCTTGCGCACTAAATTGAAACAGCTAAAAGGCAATTGGAAAACATGGCACATGTTTCTCAAGGCAACAAAGTTTTAGCCTAATCGTGGATTATTTTAAATTTTTCGTTTTTACGTGTAATTTTGTTATAATTCTCACCAATTATGCATAGGTTTGAGCTTTGACTAATGCAAACACGAATAATTGATGCAGTTTAAGTTGCATTTAAAGGGGAAAACGCACAATAATCCGAAATTTGGATGCTTATTGTTCGTGTACGGTGTGGCACTTTGTCGGTAACTCAATTCTCCGAAAATGGTTATTTGCGGAAATTTTTGCTGTCGGATGAACCATTGAAAGTCCAACTACGTATTCTACCAAATGTTTTTGCAGATCTTGCGCACTGATGACTTTAGCGACGTTTTCATAACTGTTCAGTTTTTGTTTGTTTGTTTTTATACAGCCTATGTAATTTATACGTGATATTCACATACTTTGGGTGCTAAACATGAAACGTTGTTGGGAAAAAGCTACTTGATCTTTTTAAGAACAGACGTCTACAAATTATTCAGTAGTTTTTATTTTTTAACATGTGTGAAAAGTAGCTACGCTTATCACGTGGCGATTTTCGCTGTAGCTAAAGTACATCAAGTTGCCCGATAAGATTGATTTGTTAAATGGTCTGGGCAGGCGACATGCAGTCTGTAAGTAAGCTCGTTTCCGTTTGTCAGATTGCGAATCACTGCATGTACTTTTCGCCTGTACTTATAGTTTATTGCAACTTTATGTGTTTCGGTGAGAACGAGCAGTTCAAGGGAAAAAAACAACCTCTATTTCATAATCACTGTAATGTATACAACGTGTTTTTCAAAAGGTACAAAGCTCTTCGATTGAGCGGGAAAGGTCAAAAATGGCAGCTGTTTTTCAAGATATTTTGCTTCCTCAATCCTTCTGCTGTACAAGTGGACTCCGTGGAAGGACTGTTCTTGTTCGAACAGGTGAGTGAAGTCGGTTTCGTTCTTGTAACATGCGTTTGTTGAACTATGGACGTATACTTTAAAAATAAACTTTGGGCAAATCTTGCTTTCTGGAGTGATTTTTCATTAGAAGTTTTTAAGTACAGCATTAACTCCCAATGTTCAAACAATCTCTTCCCATTCTTTCATAAAGTCACAGTATAGTGAGAGTATACAGTAGAGCCACTCCATTGCATTTTTCTTGCCACGCATATCTTATTACGCATGTCATTACCATAGTTGCAGTTTGTCAAATGACCAATAGTATGAATAATGAAATGACTGACAGCAGCCAATAATCGAATCAAATATACAGGAACCAGTTGCACAGGAAAGTAGACATACTTTATGTTCCCTATACACACTACTTGTCACTTCTGCACTTTGGCTTAAGAACGTATACGTTTGAGGAAATCTAGTGGAATCACCACACGCTTAGAAAAGCCTACCCGATTCGCGAAAATTGAGATGCCTGATGATCGTTTGCGCGTAAAACCATGCGTAAAACACGGTGTAGGAATTCCATAATTCAGTTGTAATTATCGCACGACAGTTTTCAACGAACGTCACATTACATGGCAGGGCACGTCATTATAGTCCATTTGATTTCCTCTCAGTTCTTTTGGAAATAATTTCAGTACTGTGAAAACGTAGCACAAGGTCGATTCCCAGCGGCGGAAAACATTCTATGTCGTCTGGCTTCGTTGCGATTGCAGTATACGAAAGGTGACTTCCAGCCTGGTGCTTGGGTGTAAGTATTTTTTGCAGTTGTTTTACCGCTTCATGGAGTAACACAAATCGTCTGCTCCCAAAGAGTTGACGTGTTTCTACTTTCCAAGAACTACGCTCCCATTACATTATAATAACTGTTCGTGTGAAATAAGAGGGTTCTTTTATCTTGAAAGGAGCTCCGTGTTTTATCGTTAATAAATAAGAGTGCTCGATGCTTTACTAGCGCGAGTAGTTGTTTATTTATCCGAAATATTGCAATTCTTTTCAATGTTACAACTTAAAGTTTCATGCCAAGTGCGGTCATCCGAGTTACATGAAGGAATGTACTGCTGGCTCAGTTGACATTCTGTCGTCATGCAACTGCACATACAGTATAGCTGCGTCATTGTTTTATAATTTAGCAAACTATTTTCATATGCTTTAACAGAGCGTGAAGAGCGTGAATTGAACTGCAGCAGTAGACTTTTGCAAAAAAAATTATAGCTTTGCTGAAAATAAATATTTTCAAGTCAATCTTTATGTTTGTGTTTTTCTTCAACATGTTTGAGATGTTTGATAATGGGAAAGAAATGTTTAAGATTTTTCATCGTCGGACTGAGAATATTTTTTGTTTTTCGCCCACCATCACATTTATTCTACGATCATCAATCGTGCATGGGCGACCTGTATTAATCAGCCATTTTACGACGAAAGACACAAAATTAGCTTTATCAATTAATATGTTTACTATGTGTAAAAGAGAGCAATTAAATAAGAAAGAGATAAAAAAAACACATTCATTTGAAAATATAATTTACCTTTTATAATCACAAGAGTTTGCAAATTTGATCTACACCGTCAAAAATAGTGTAGCTAAGTTTCGAATTGTTCATAGTTTCAAACTGCAAATTCTGCCATTCTGAAATTTCTTAAAGCAGGTCACCAAAACGTGTGGCCATTCGTTTTACCTCCTTACAGAAGTTACATAATTTCATACTCAATGGAGAAAGAACAGATTAAAGTACATAACGATGTACTGTGATCTTTGCTGACATCAGTACGGTTCATTGAATTTGTAGAAGAAGTGAATAACTATTGCTTCGTAAGAAGTCAAGAGCTACGCGTAACAAAATTTATTGATTTTTTCCCCATTGAGCATTGTATGATTTGTGAAAGAATTTTTTCACGAAAAGACGGGCATGGAAAAATCCAGGAAAATATCGATTTGCAATGCATATTCTCTGAATAACGTTTTTATGTACTGTAGGCCAGGTTACCAATCACGTCACGTGACTACCAACCAAATTACACAATAGTTAGATACTCACATTGTACACTGTTGTTTCATTTCTAAGTGACAATATGGCCGCGGTGTTTCCAGTGGAAAAGATCAAAAGACTCCGAGATAGAAGTGCTTCGAAAGCCAGTCATCTTGCACGCGAAAAGTTATCGGGAACACTCATGGTAGGGAATCTTTGCGATTATACGTTTAGTTGTATGATGAGAACTATACTTTTATTGAAATGATGGAATTAACGAAGAGAAGAAATAGTTCGCATGCAGCCAGTAGGTAGCGTCTAGCCAGCCCGTACGTTTTAGTGCAACTATATAAATGTCGGAACATTGTCATTATTGATCTCCTTAGAAATGCATTGTTTCTTCAATGAGCGAACTGCGAAAAATTTGCACCGCAGGACTAAATTTGCGAGCTGGCTACGCCATGGTTCGCAGCTATTTCTCGTTAACACATCTCGCGTATGACAGAGAAAGGATTTACTGTTAGCTATGAGCAAGTTTTAATTCCAAGAGTTTGAAAAATGTGTCGCACACCAGAGTATCGACGATTTGATGTATAAAATGGTCAAAATATTGCTCATATATAATGAAAAAGAGTTAGACCAACAACGACGTAAATGAACGAAAGCTGCCTCGTCTGCCTCTTTAATATGCTGAAATAAGATTTCTGATTTCTAGTTTTCTGCGAAACTTGTATCGCTATTCTTGACATGATATATAATAGCTATTACCGCTATTTTGTTTAGGGCTCAATCAGGAAAGTTGTGTCACCACTTGTTAGTCGAGGTAACTTAGTTATTTAAATGTGTTTTTTAAACTCGTTTGAAACGTAGATAATCGTCAACTTCATCTGTGTTTTTTGAGTCTGAAGATGACTACCGCTAAGGTTGTCGAAACGTCAGTCAACAACAACAAAAACAGTCCTTCTCAGGACTATACCAACCTGGACGATCTACATTTACAAACATGTAACGATACTCCCGGGCTCAAACCATTTACTTTGTTTCGACAAACCTTAGCGCTAAGTCAGCTTCAGAGTCAAGTGACAGATCAACACCAACACCGACAGTCCTTCTCGTGTAGGACTGCACTAACCTAGATGGTATACATCAACAAACATGTGTTTCTGTTCAATCCAGCGCAAATGAAAACTTGGCGAATGTTGCCTTTTTTTGGGAATGTAATTGTCAAAGCTTCACAATTACTTAGCGGGTTTTTTTTTGTAAGAAACGATTGTTTTGATTAGCTAGCATGGTTTCTTGCGAAACTTGTGATTACCGATTATCGATGCCGGATTGCTGACAATAGTCCTGGCGTTCTGTAAACAGTTCTTTGAAAAATTGAATTATCGCTGAAAGAGAGAATAATTACGTTATACCTCTTTCATTTTGCTTTATTTGGGCGAACGACGTTGTGAGGCTGACGTAGGGCAGTAATGATCTAGCATATAATGTGCATTTAATATAGACGACGAGTTTTTTGAGAATAGACATGTTTCGGCATCTCATGATGCCATCTTCAGTATATGTGAACACATACTGAAGATGGCATCACATATACTGAAGATGGCATCACATATACTGAAGATGGCATCACATATACTGAAGATCAGATATACTGAAGATGGCATCATGAGATGCCGAAACATGTCTATTTTCAAAAAACTTGTCGTCTATATTAAACGCACATTAGCAATAGTGCTTCTGCAAAATAATGATCTAGCTATCATTACTGCCCTATAAGTCTCATTCATCAGGATCTCAAGCTTGTGCGTAGCGCTGCAATTGATGGCGATTAGGTAATTAGTTTACGCAATAATTAATGCACTGCTCCAATGAAATCGTTCGTTTTCGACATGGCGAAAGAACGACGACACGAAAGCAAGGTTGATGGTGAAACACCAAGCAGGTTAGTTCAATGTCCATATTTTCCCTTTTTTTCTGCAAAAATATCCACAAGCTCATACCAGGGCGCTTATTTTTTATGTTCTATGTTTTTGGTGTGAGGCCGCTTTGCTTCGTATTCTTCGTTTTTGGTTATTCGCTTTGGTTATTTGGTTTGGAATGATTTGTCATGATTTTGTCTTGTTCTCTGCTGCATGCAATGATTTGATTAGCTACTGTACATTACGTTGATTTTGATGATTTTGATGATCTGAAGAGACGCGTTGATCTCTTGGTCACTAGCACAAGTCTATACAGCATTGTGTGTGTGTATTAATCTATCTGTTGTTGAAACCAACTGTATAAATAGCTACTTGAGCATGCGCGATTTGGACGCATCGCTTGCAATTCCTAACAGTCGATAATTTATCTTCATTCTTAACCAGGCATTTTCAACGAACTGCATGATCTCGTTTTCCACGGATTTCATGGTGGCTTTTTCGCGTGCATTTGTTTATCTACTCTTGGGACTGGGAATGGCTCCGTTTGTCTTGGTGATTTTGTCGTGTGTCGCATTTAGCTTCGTCATTTTTGCATTATGTCTACCGTTCACAATTTTTCCGTTGATATTATCTTGCTGCGTAGCGTACATAATCTTTATGGATCAATCCGCTCGAAAATCCGTTCGTATCTATTTGAAATGGGCATATGCAAGTGCCATGAACTGGTTTAATCCGAACATGGAGAATATTTCCTCCTTGTCATCAATTCGTACCTTCATTGGATCATCGCTGTTGACAAATATCGAGCATGACGACATTTTATCGAGTCATCGAGAAAGGGTTTTGTTTGAGAAATTTCCGTTTGAAAACGAGGATTCAGATGGGACTGTAGACAACGGCGGACACACAAATGTTCGGAGAGTAAGTGCAATTAGTCAACTTTGTTGCCTTGTTACGATGGTAATGCATGCTTTAAATTTGAATTGTCTTAACTGGATTGCATTACCATGCAAATTTCATTAGATATATTTCTGGGTTTTACTACTAGGTCAGTTATTTCAAAATTTGAATCTTTCTTCGGTCTTTTCTCTTTCTCAAAGTTTATTTTTGTAAGCTAGAAAAAATCCTTTTTTTCATCCAGAAATGGGCTGAACCTTTCTTGTTCTTATTACAGCTCATGCGCATTGTTCGTCCGAGATTCTTCGCCATAGACGACTTGGAGATGAGCGAGCCGAGGAACGTCGAGAACGATGTTGTGAGCTTGCGTCAGCGTTTTTCTTTGCGAGGAAGCATCGACGAAGATGGAGAGGAAAATGCATCATTATGCGAGAACAGTGTCATCCGGTCATTTGACAAATCTGGAATGTTGGAAAAGATGGAAGAAATGCGAAAGCTGATGACATCAATACGTCGTCGCGTTAACGTTCAAAATCTAAGCAATCCCACAGCAAATGCGCAATGATTATTACGATACATAATAAAGAACGGAACTAAGCAAATTTGTCTTTATATTTCGATATAAGTTTATTTATTTTTGTCGTGTTTACTTTACTTACTGTGCCGCGTTTACCTTTCACTTTGACTGCATGCTTGTAAAATGCGTTTTTTTATAAGTATAACCTTGGTAGTGAGGTTATACTTAGCGATTAAATGTCCTCGTAAGCCGAGAGAGGTTGAGTAGCCCATTTGCCATGGTGTTATTTTGTAATACTACGTTTACTAATATTTTAGTCAGTGCTTCACGCACTGTCGACGATTGAGTAAATTAGATGTTTTTTTGTTTTCGGGAATACTTCAGTTTATCCGTAATTGCACTGTTGAAAAGCTTTACTTGCACTGTAGAAGAGTGTAATTGCCATGTTAATACTTTTTCTTAACTGGTTGTCACGAAGCTATCACAAAGTAATTGTAACTTTGTATGCTCCATTGAAAGAAGTCAAACGTTAGTTTCATAGTATTTTTCCAACTATAATCCACTTTACTTTTTCAAAAACGCACAGTCAAATGCATAGGCGTTTTCCCAAAAAGATCGCGAGGAAGACGTCTTTAATGCACGAAGAAGACATGTTTCAGATGAAGATATAAAAGCCCGTAAAATCATGCAGGACTTAATGTGTGTGAGTATGTTTTCAGGCTTGAGCGATGAGGCGGAAGAAAAGGAAATCGAGGAAGCAGAGCAAAAAGCAGAGTCGTCCTATATTAAAAGCTCCATATGTGATTACTGGAAAGGAAATAAAGTAAGAGTATATTGTGTGGGGATAAGTAGAGATAGCTAAGCATGAAGTAAAACATTCGCTATGTGTCGTCTTGCTGTTATTTTTATGCATCACATCAGTAAATTTTCAAGCAATAATTTGATAGCAAAATGATATGGAATGGAAAGCTCAACCGCGGTGTTTTTGTGTAGACTAAGCACCTACGGCTAGGTTTTGTATTTAAAGCCCCTCCGATACTTCTCTGTGAAGTCCACGAAAGCGAGGCTTATGAAAGACTTATTATAAGGCGTTATTTTACCCGAAACAAAATCTTTCTTTCTTTTGTCGTCCTCGCCATATTGCAATGGTTGGCTTTCAGTTTTTATTTCTATTTTTCGTCATTGAATAATAAATCCTTTCAAATTGTGTCAACTGGTTAATAAAACTCATATTTCGGGTGTTTTTCCTTCGATCACATTTCATGATGAACAATTCTTTGATGACATGCTCAACATCATCGAATAATTGTTGATTGCTTGTAACTATTAATAAGCACATTTATTGGAAGATGAACGATGTATTTTTCCAAACAACCCCATTTATGCTATGGCCTAGAACCCAATCTACTAGTTATCTGGCTCCGCCAATACGTCATATCGTTACGAGTTGCGAGTGACGAAAGCCGCCATCTTGAAAGGTGGCAAAACTGATGATACTTACAACTAATATCTGCTTTTCATGATTTCATGTACATTTGTAAAGCTAGGTTTGATTTATAAAATATTCGATACGATTGGTTTTTTCTTTTAACTTATTTTTTATTTTAAGATTTGCGTCCTCGCCTCGCCTTGACCAACGATGACACGGTAGTTAGACATCTAGGGGATTGGTTTCTGAATAATTTTGTATAACTCATTACTATCTTTAAAAAATAAGTACGCGATGCGTACATGTCGGTAGCCTTGAATATGACTCCATGGCTTCAACATAAATTGATCAAAACACACATCTCGAACCATTGTTATTAATCCGTGGCATGTCCCATGATTTAAAAGTTCTTCAATAACTATTTTCTAGGGAATGACATGCGAGGAAGCGCAAAGCCAGTATGTAGAGATCTTAGAAAAATGGCCCGGCTATACCTCGACGTTATTTGACGTTAAGGTCAGTTGAAACAACATATTTTTTTCATACAAATCTTTTACGGAAATTGGTTCGAGTGCACGTATATATGAATCCTCCTGGCAGGAATGTTTTGTAACTTTGTTATGGTCATTTATTTCTTCTTTTCAAATTACAATATTTTTCTTCGTTGAAGCCTGGATTTCTGTGTGTCATTGTTAACAACTGTTTAGTTTGCAATAATAGCTTGCCAGTGTTTCTTTTAGTCCACCAACGCGAATTTCCCACCCGAATTGTGGCTTGGTGTCAGTCTACATGGAGTTGCTGTCTACAAAAGATACGAATCGAGAGCAATTATGACCTGCGAATATGAATAGTAAGACGATCGCTCTTCAAGTTGTGCAATGTGTGCTGTATATATTGGCTAGCTTGGTTTTGATAACTGCATGTGTCCGTCTTGCATTCATGTTATTTGTGCAGCTGTCGAGTATGTGCTGTATCTATTGGCTAGCTGGCTTTTGATGACTGTGTTTGTCTTGCATTCAAGTTATTTGTACAGTTGTGAAGTATGTGCTGTATCTATTGGCAAGCTTGGTTTTGATAACTTTGTTTGTCTTGCATTCAAGTTATTTGTACACTTATGAAGTATGTGCTGAACCTATAGACTAGCTGGCTTTCGATGACTTTGTTTGTGTTGCATTCATGTTATTTGTACAGTTTTTGCTGGCAAAAGCTAGTCGTTCCTCGAGTCTTTCAATCTGATAGTGTCACGTGTAGCCTATATAAGTGACACGTATAGCCTGTGTAGTCAATTTGCGCAAATAAACATCTTTCATTTCTTAAATGTGACAGGGTTTTTTCTGGACATTTTTATCTTCGTTCCAAGGGAAGATTTGGGTCGAGGTCTTAGTTGATAAAAAATTTCTTCATTACTTTTTGTAGCATCTTGTCGTTTGGTGCACCTAAAAGCAACGTTTACAAAATTATTGTCGAAGACCGCGGGGAAATGATTTTCGAGACGTCACAGGTACAATACGTTAAATTAATAATAAAACGACGCACGAAGATACTTTTCTAATACCTTCAAAGAAAAGAAAGTGCTCGCATTTCTTTCTAGGAATGTCGATGATTTTCGCTACCTCTGATTTTTGCGTTTAAGATTTGACTTTCACGTGACATAAATATCCATCAAAGTGTGAATTCTAATTGTCGTTTTGAATTTCCGAGGATAAAATTGCCTGTCAGGTCCTTCACGAATTTCCCAATGATTGACTTTCTTTTGTCCTCTGTAGGTGGTCGAAATAGCCAAACTGATGAAAGCTTACATTAACGAAATTGTTCGCAGACGTACAAGGCAGTAAATGTTGTTTTCCAAACTACTCTTTATTCATTTTGTTAAATAATCGATTCAATGCATGTGCTACAAATATTCGTGGTTTTGCGACTTTTTACAAGTTTATTAATGCCAACATTTGTACGCTGCCAACCACTAAACACATCAACAACAGGGATACGATAATGAATGAATTTGAGTAACTACAGTTGTCTGACACTTTTTTTAGAATTTTCTTTTCATTTTATTTTCGATAGTAACGATGAATTTATATCATATTGCTCGTACTTTTGTTTACATGACATTGTCAAATTATTAAATGAAATTATGACGAAATAAATATTTGATTTTTATGGTTCTTGCAGACATGCATCGGTTCTCATGTTTTTGTGATACGCCTTATAAAACTTGTTTGATAAATTGTACTTCTCTGTACATCCGTTGAAATTTTATAAATGTATATGATTTGTATGTTACGTCATGGCTACGTCACTTCCGCCATGTTTGAAGTCGAACAGAAAAGACTATTTTTATTAACCTTTAGAAATTAACCTGCTGTGATAATTCAATGCTTGGTCACTATGCTAATTCCACTGTATGTATCCGTGGGATTATGGTGGGATTAGCATAAGGCATTGATATCATCATAATTCGTCATTTCCTAAAGGTCTTTATTTCGATACACGGTGTTTTGCATTTCGCCTGACGTCATAATGAGGCTTTATTGTTTTGAGCGCCCATGTGGCTGCTTCCTCCACTTTCAAGTTTATCTCTGTAGAATGATTGAGAACGGTTTACTTATGGCAAAAAAGAATTCATAAAAGTGAAGATTGAACGCACGAGTTGTTCATCTAATGAAACTTTTTAGTTGTCGTGTTGACTTGCAGAGACGGTGATATAGTGGACGTGTACTTTCATCCTTATCAGTTACGCCGGAACATCGCTAATGTAAGGGGACGTGCAATTCTTGACTTGCAATTCAGCCTTGTTGGTCGTGTGATACAAAAGAATATTTTATCAGAGTTATTGTTGGCACCAGCCGACGTGGGCGTGTTATATTGTTTGGTAAATCTCAAGAGAATGGTTGCAAGTCAAGAATTCATATAATCATATGTTATAATCCCTAATGACAATTTATTTCAATAGAAAATAATAAAGTATAACGTGCATTTATGAATATTATCCTCACCCCCACCCCCCCAATTAGCGTTATTCTGGCGTCACTGGTTATTCTCTACCTTACCAACCCAGGCAATCTCACAAAACGCCGCTTAAAAATGTTTCTCCAAATTTTATTGTGATATATAATCAAAGTAAGTGAATACCAGATATTTAAACAAAGCACTAAGCAGACTTTTGTTAACTTGCTAACTGCCATATGAAGAGCGAGGTCACTCGTGCTTTACTAAAGGGGTATAGTCATTTGAATTAAAAAATACCCAATTTCAAAATTGGAATTAAAATGGCATCGTTAGTTTCGCTTACTATGAAGCAACGTTACTCGTTGGCAATCACAATTGGCTCATAGAGGCAGTTCGGGATTTTTCATTTAGCACTTATCAAAAACTATCTCGAGGGAAAACGTTTTATGTGTGGTGCTTATATCAAAGCTCTCGCCACTTTAAAGTTTTTACCGTTTCAAAATGGTCTACTTTTTGCTACATCCTTTAGAAGGATGAACAGTGCCATAACTGACTCAACTTATTTAGTCCAGCTATGTATTTTTTCTGTGCTCACTATCTATTAAAAAATATATTTCTGACCAGATGAGTCACGATAATGTTCCGATTCTAAGAGGGCAGGACTAAAATTTGGCCTGGGGCTACCCAGTTGTTGCATCCATATGAGCATTCTTCCTCAGAAAATTTAGTTATTCTTTTTAATTTCGCTTTCATTTTTCAAGATAGACTTTAAATATATCTTTTCGTAAAATCCCAGTATGAAGTAGCCGCTGACGTTTGGCAATTAAACGTGGGCGCGCATTTTACAAAACCACTAAAAATTTAAATTTTGACGAGTGGAATGTTTACGGTTTATGCTCTGGGTGGTCAATTAAATGGTTTGAGTCTGACAGTGTTTGTGTGCATGAATCTATTTCTATTTGTTTGAATCATTGAAGGTATGTATGTTTATAAATTTGGGTTTAATTATGATTTATAAATTATAATTGTGCTTGTATATTTACAAATAGTGATGTGTATGAATAAGTCAATAGACAGCATGCACCGGCTTGCACGGACCTTTCAGCGCTATCATGTTGGCTGTGTTACCCCGTGAAATCTGTTTCCCCAGGGAAAATGGTCCGTAAATATGAGCAAATAGATCGGCATTTCCCTTCGTGTAGACCAATGTCTGTTAAGTAAAAAGTATGTTCTCATTTGAATTTATACATATTCATCTCAAGGGCTATTTACTAGTTTTCATATTACGTAATCTGCTGTGTTCAATGCGTCCATGTATCTACTACACAAATTACCCGAAAGTTATTATTGAGTGAGGAATTTTGAGTGTGCTGTGCTTTAAAATTCTTTTGAATTGTGAGCTGTATCTGTCATGTCGAAAAATGCCACTTGCTCGAATTTTATTGCGCTGTTACACCATTATTTCACTGTTGTGAAAGAGCCAGTACCTTGATATTTTCATTGTAGCAGAGGTTGCTACTGAATCCACGGTGGTCACATTGTGCTTGGCTGCCATCTTGTTATTACACTAAAAAATGCAGCATTATATTTCATTGTTCATGTTAACAAGTTTGCCATTGGACAACACATACTGATTTTTTCCTTTTGAATGTGAACAAGTGAACAAATGTTTTTGTTTTTAGTCTACATGGGCATTGCATTATGAAAGCATATTTTTTGTACAATTATGACGATTAAGTTGACAATCTTTCATCACACTTCTTGTCAATGATACATACACCCTCTGCTATAAAAAATTGTCAGAAACTATAGGATTTCAATAAGTAGCAGCATAGAGATCACAATTGGGTGGACCTACAATTTTTTAGATATTATAATTTTTGAAATTATGCAATGCCCAGTGAGAAATAAGTACAGCAAAGCCAATCATTGACATTTTTAACAATTGGTTGAAAAGTAAAATTATTACTTGTACAGGGGGGACTATTGCAGGTATAGACATCCTTAATTATTATCTGCATTATGGACACTATTTCTTGATTGCCATTTTGTTACAAAGGTGACATGCATCATAATGTATGTATTGTGCCATTTCAACCTGCATCTATACTGTTTAATGAGGCTTTGTGCAGAGCACAGAGCAACAGCACTTTGCAAACTCACTCGCAATGATTAACATTCCATAGGAATTATAAATAAAACTTTTACAACTGATAGAACTGTTAATGGTGCAGCACATCTAAAAGGAATAGTTGACTCTTTATAATGTGAATCATAATTATGTTAGTGAATACTTTTAAAAGTCAATACACTGCATTTATTTATGAAATGAAGTGAATTGCTTATCATGGATGGTATTGTACTATTATAGCTCTATGATTTGTGACTTCATTTTATCTAAGATAACACATTGTACGGTTGTAATAAACTTGAAATTCTTAACCGTAGAGCATCATATTGCCCAGTCAGTTGTCCTGAGTATCTGTGACTTTAGTCTTGTATTTTGCTATTGCATCATAAAACTCCGATGGGAAAACATTTATCAACCTCAAAAGAATATATTCTCCTTCAAGGAAAAATTGATTCTTTGTCAATGACAGGCAATGAGCCACGTGAGATACCCACAGCAAAAGCAGAGACCGCACAATTAATCTTTTTGTTATGTGCTTAGTCTGACCTCCATAGACTATTCGTCTTCTTTCCTTTTCCTTTGCGAACGTCTACAATTCCTTACAGTACTTATAATTATCATGATGTTCGCTCATTAAGGTGTGCCACGTGTATTGAATCATGGCTTTCACAAGTTTTTGCGAGAACGGCAAGCGTTTGGACGAAGATGTCGCGTACAATCACGGTCTACCAAGATGTTTGTTTGAAACTGTTTCTTCGGTTTTGTTGCTCCTTGTCGTCGTTTTCGCCTGTCTACCACAACTCGTCCGGATGGCTTACTCGCGACAAATGAAAAGAAGACGCTATGGGAACATTCAAGATTTTGAACAATCAGTGGAGTCCCCGGCTAACGATCTTTTGTTCAATACGGACAAGACAAATTCGGACTCAGTGACGTTTGTCGATGATCCCGCTAGTTTTATTTACGGCGAGAATTATCGAACATCATTTTGGTATACGTGCCAGCTGTTTTTTCATATTTGTCAAATTTTGTTGCCCTTGGTGGATCTCATCGCGACAGGTGAGAGGATTTTCACCGTGTGCAACATTTCTTTCGTTTCCTAAAACGTCATTAAAAGTGTCAGCCAAATTTCATATTTTCTACAGGAGCAGTGCTAAAAAATTTTCGGGGGAAGGAGGGGAGTGAAGCAGTATAGATGTGGCGTAGGAAAAGGTTAAGGAGTAAGGATTATTGAGGTGGTCGTTGAGTGAAGTCACGAAAGGTAGTGTAGAGAGTTTAAACATTGTCCAGAAAATCTCTGTTCGCCTGTACTACTGATTTGTTTTGCTCAAAATCGGGGATATAAAAATACCTCTTAGTTTAATGAACAATTTATTTGTGGAAGGGGGGTGAATTCTGTAAGTTGGGGCGGCATCACCCTCGACCCCTAGAAAATCCGTCCTGGGTAAAAATCTTTGAATCGTGGTAAATTTTCAATTTTTCACGCTGTGTGACCCATAGCACCATATATTGAATGCTTATTGCTTTTGGGTACGATTACATCAACTGTACGATATAACTGTAGTTTCGAATAGGAATGGATTCACGATGGTTATGAGGTGATATGGGGGATGCTCTTCTTTGAATTAGATTTCTATGGCTACCTGTTGCTGTGCATGTCGCCGTTTCTTTTTTTAGTTCCGTTACCTTTTTATGATCATTGGGAGACTTTAGGAAGTGCGCTCCATTAAGCATTAATCGCAATTTCTTTTGCTTAATTATTTGGTACACAAGTGTTTTGTTGGGAAATTCGCACATCTCCAGCACCCTTCTATTTTGTTTCACCGATCTCGATAAAAAAAATGCTAGTACAACGCGCTTTAATATACTCTGTTATGTTTGTTTTTCCATGCCTCCTCCCCCCCCCTTCCCGTTGAGTGCCACACATTTTTATTCTGTCGAGATGCAGGCAACGAGTTTCTTTCGAATTAAGTATATTCAATATTAACGTACATATTATGTTTCATCCAGTTGTGAAATACATTGCAATACTATTGAGTTAGTTTTCATCCATCGACAAATCACGAACAAGAACAAACTTTGAATATATATTATGCAATTACAACAATATATCGCGTGTGCTGATTGGTTGATATCTGAGTTTGCATTAGCCTGTAAAACCGATCTGAGCTCAATGAGAGGAATCTTTTAAAGAGGATTTTCCTCGCCAATTTATGTTAGAGGAAAAATTAACGCGTTTCTTTTAAATTCACCTGCAAAACTAAAAACAATTTTTACTTCCTAAATAAAGTTCGCTGTTTTTTTGGCATCCAAATAAGACGTCATTCGTAGGTTATAGTTGCATGTACTCTACTCGTGACTACTGTACTTTTCCGTTTTGATAATGGAACTGTCTAACGGTTCCTAACATTGCCCCAGCTGTAGTTTTTGATTTTAGGAACGAGAACATTTAGTAAAGCTAGTACGGGCATCTTTATATAAAGTTAATACCAATGTTTGATTGCAGGCTCAGTGGATTCATCTCGTCTACAAGGTGTGACATTGCTCTGTGACATCCTGTCATCACTGACTTGGTTTATGGCATATTTCGACATAATGTTCGAAACGCAATCTCGAAACGTTGCTCAAATCTCTAGATATTCTACGCCATTGCTTCTGTACTGGTCGTTGATGTTCTTTAAGAACAATCTCGTGCTGTTGTCGTGGAACAACGACGATTGGTGGTTTCAAAGACATAACACGGTTGACCTAACGCAGTTCATTTTGTTTTGGATTCGTTATTCGCTCTCGGGTTTTCTTTTTCTTCTCGGCATCAAAGCGCCCGGATTGTACCATAAGCCGCCCCATTTGGTGCCGGCCGATGACGATATCCTTAGAGGCACCCAACGGTAAGGCCTGTTTTATCTGTTTTTTATTGTTTTGTTAACGGTAGTTCAGTACCGAATCATGTATTTAGTTATAATACTTATGCTCGCACAAGTTAGATACCAGACTTGCTAATCTTAAGATGCTCCTTTTTTATTAAGAATTTTGTCAAAAAACGAAGCATTAGACAGCGTATCCCAAAAAAAACGGGCCTGCATAAATTGATTATGAATTCACTGAAATGATTATGCACACCAATATCAGTAGCCATTCAAACAGTTTAAGGATTTTAACAGTTTTGGGACTCAGGGACTTTATAGGGTTTGTAAATTACGTATATGAAGCAAAATTAGTTAAAAGTACCGTATGCGGTAGCGGATTCAGCGTTAGTTAAAATAAATTATGGCTACTGAATTTTAAATGTAAAGTACTTTCAGAAAAACACTATTGGTTTTGAACTTCTAAAGAATATAATTTCACCAATGGATATGCCTCTGAGGTGCTTAGAAATGTAAATATATGGCAAAATGTGCTTCAGTAATTTATTTTGACGTACCATAAAGATCCGCCACTGACTGCATGCACTGATTCCCATCTCAAATTTATTACGCAAAAGCATTGTAATATCAAAGCGACTTTAACTGACTTAGAAAGGCTACAAAACTGACATCATATTTTCCATAAGTTGCTGCTAACATGGACAAGCGTGTAACTAAATTAACCAGACGGAACATATAGCGATTGCAGTAATAATTATCCTGTGTGGATTTCATATTAATGCATACATAGTTATTTGTACGGGTTCCGTTTTTGGAGGAGACACCCTGTATACCACTATGTGCATTTATGCTATAGTCACGCTAACCCCCTATCACCCCTATTCTTTCAGGCAGAGGAAGGTCAAACATCCACATTCAAAGGTTTCTGGAAGAAGGTGAAGCTGATCTGGCCATTCCTGTGGCCAAATCGTCGGTATGTGTTTCATAAGGTTTTCTCATCCTCCAAGCGTTCGACAAACGAAACAGTTATAATGGTTGTACGTAATCTTTCCTACTCCTGTATACTGGGGCCGATAGCGCTATCCATTGGATAGCAAAAAATTTCAAACTTGTAAAAATGATGTTTATATTTTTTTACGACAAAGAAATTTTGTAATCCTCGAAATCAGTATTTTATTTCAGTGATTGCACAGCTCAAATCGTATATTTTTCTCTTATAAGAGATTTTTTAAACGTTCGGAAAAATTTGTCATCCAGTGGACAGCGCTATTTGGCCTTCGTGCAACCGGCCTCAGCGGAGTATAAACTGCTTTAGAAATGTGTTTGGCAAGTTCCTATGAAATATATTTATTATCGATTGATAAACAATGTATTAGCGGCGAAGTTGCACATATTTACTTTTGAAAAGAAAAAATTGCGAGTGGTTATGAGGGCTTTACTTTTTTTCTATTTTTGAAAATTCAAACCTGCAACAATTCACTAAGTTTTTAACAAGCACATCACACGTGTACGCATCAATTGTATCATGGGAAATCAGCCTTGATTTAAAAGGTGTTTCTTTTGAGCAACGATGAAATTCAATTCAGGTATTTTTAAAACACATGTATTTTCCAAACACTTGCTTATGATCTTCTATCTGACAACTTGTACGCAAAACAGCCGCTAATATATTGAAAGCTATAAGCGATAAGCCATAAGATAATCTTTGGCGAAGTAACGCAATACCTGTTTAGGTATTGAAACTCAATTGAGAGTCACTTGTCACTAGGTATTACAATAATGGATTGAACATACCTTAAACTTACCTATCATCTTTTTACGTGCACTTACTTTGAGGAACATTTTTCCCCAATGGCGATTGTGACCCCCGATAATGGACTAAAACGTTTGTGTGGTGTTTTTCTAGGCTTCTTCAGATTCGAGTTTTAGTGTGTTTTACCCTATTGGCTGGTGGACGGGTCATCAATCTTTTTATCCCAATCATATACCGTGAAATAGGTAACGTATGTGGCTTAAGTGTCATCAGTCAAATCTTCCACTGTATACGAGAGCTTGTATTTATGACATGTCCAAAAAATCTGTTAGAAAGAGATACTCCATCCAGTTTGGATGATGAATAAGATGCTCTCGTCCAGACTAGGGAATTCTGATGTTTTTACAGGGAGTGCATAGGATTGCTCTAGTTTGGATGAGATTTTGGTGATTACTTGATGCCGTAGCATGTCCGCTCGCGTACTGCTTCCCACCTTTACCCTTATTCTATTCCTTCTGTTAGACAGGCTGAAGCGTTTAACTATTTCATATTTTGGCATAGCCCTGTGTCTCAGTGATAGGGTGATAGGTTTTACAATTTCGTTTGCGATAAGTCAACCACTGCAACAGCTATTATCCTTTAAATTATATCTCTGGGTTTGATTGCATGCGATACGACACAATCGATCCTGTTTGATCAGAATTGCTTGCAAATTTTAAGGCTCTCAGACCGTACTTTCACCTTATTCTTCATTTCAATTATCCTTTTCAAACAGTATTTTTAACTTAAAAGTTCCATCACATAAACGAAATTTTGAGACGTTTCAAGATCGTCTGCCTTTTCCCATTCACCCTTTTTCACTGTTGTTTCTACCGTTGCGGTTTTCTAGTTAACTACCTGACTCCGGGCAAAGATGGTTTGGAAGGAAAATCAAATCCCATTCATTTAATTGTTCTCTACATATCTTTAAGATTCTTACAAGGAGGTGGAACAGGTGAGTTGAAAGCTCTTCTTGATTTCATGCATGTATTTCTGTTTGACGATTGTTGTATCTGCACTACCACATATTGGAAATGCACATTAGAGTTTCGGTAAGGCATCGTCAGCATTGCTTTATCACACACCTTTTGTTTGAAATATTTGATTGGTCAAAACATTTCAGTTTTATTTTCCACTCCAAATGCCTTCATACATGTTTTAAGAAATAAATATGCAGCCTTGCGCTCCCGGGTATCATCCATTTAGTACCCACTCAAACTTTGCAAGTAAGCGTACCTTTTTTACTGATAGAACACCCCTCCCCCTTTATACACGAACATACAGTTTCTCCCTATCTATGTGTACAAAAGCATTAACATATCTCTCATATTATCTTTTCTATATAAAACCAATGCTAAATGCACTTTAGCCAATACTTTTATGCATTTTAATACTAAAATCTCATTTCATAACAAAACGACAGCTTAGCACCCCGTATTCCTCCTGTATGAAAGTGTACGCATTAATCATTCACGCTCTCCCTCTTTAAGTTGCGTACTTACTAAGTATACGACTCCCCCCCCCCCGGAATCACTTCACGGCTTTTGCTTAACGTTCTTATACTTACACTCGACCGCCTTCATGAAATCTCTCTACCGCCATGTTGACATTTGATTTGTTGAACAAACAAAGCGTGTGTCAATTTGTTTGAATTTTTCATAGGTGCCTTGGGAATGATTACAAATTTGCGATCGTTTATTTGGATCAGAGTGCAACAGTATACGAGTCGTGCTGTTCAAGTAAGATTGTTTGCACACTTGCACAGGTAAATAGCATTCGTCGTAAAGTCGTTCTTCGGACTCGTGCTATTTCGCTGCAGTCTTGGAAAAACTCACTCGTGCATATTTATCCATGATTGCACACGAAACTACGCTATTACCTGAAGTGAAGTTGAAGAAAAGAATAGAAAAAGTATAAGTTAAACGACCTCATGCTAATATGAGCAGCATGTCCGAATAAGTCGGTTTATTTTTTGATAGTTATGATCACAATTGTAGCTACTACTGCCTTAAAAATTCCATTGGTCCGTTATAATTGCCAAATCATCAAGGTAGAACTTTGCCCATTACAACCAATTTTCATTGTGACACGACCGTTTTATCTAAAGCAATAATAATTAAAAGTTCTGTGCACACTGATTTTCATCTTAAATTTATTACGCAAAAGCTTTGCAACATCAAAGGAACAGTAACTGAGTTTTTACGGCCAGAAAAACTTAATCATATTTTCCGTAAGTTGCTACGAATATGGACAAACATTTTGACTAAATTAACCAGACGGAACAAATAGCTATTGCGGACTAAATTATCTTATGCGGATTTCATTTTATACGTATATACTTCTTGTGCGAGTTCTGTTTAGCTTAGATTTTTTTAAAGAGGGACACCCTTTAGTCCAGTTAAGACAACAATCTCTATCACATGCTAATATTAGCTGTATAAACCATGCCAAAATGTGCATGTTGATGTTAAATCATGTTATGCAGAAATGACAGGGAAATCACTGTCTTATCTGATGTGTTTGTTTCACTTGTAGTTTGTCGTTACGGTGGCATTTGGGTAGAAAACAGGCGAGGTTATAAGAATCGTGGACCGTGGAAATACTAGTATCAATGCGTTATTAAGGTAATGGTCATTGAAAATGCATTCATATTACATACCATGGAAGGATTTGTATTTATACAGGGGTGGCACCAGTTTTTTATATACGTCCACAAAAGATGCATAGAATATCCACGGATTACAAACTTATACAACGTTTGTGTATTTATTCAACCAAGAAAATGGGCGCGAAGATCAATTGATCGCGCGTTGCATTGTGGTTGACAATGATTCTTTAATGCAGGACTGTACTAACTTTGATGATCTGCAGCTACAAACATTTAACATACAATGAACAATGCGATGACATCAATGATTACAAGTTTCTCTACACCAATTCAAAAAGTGTCCATCCTGTTCATGTTTTATACGTTTGACGATTTTAGCATTTTATCATTTTTTTCAGTTATTTGTTGTTCAACATCCTTCCCGTATTTGTTGACATAGCAATCGCCATAGTTTTTTTCATTTTGGCCTTCAACATATATTTCGGATTGGTCGTTTTGGTCACGATGGGATTATACCTAGGTAAGTCATAAACTTCACTTTGCCTTCGAAGATTGTGTTGGAGATTCATCGGGATGAGTGTACACGCATGGATTTAGGGAAGGGTGCATGGAGGTTTGTACGCATCCTAGCCGTGGCTAGAGGAGGTACAGGAGGTTCATTACAACCATTTGCAACCTGCTGTTAACACTGTGCATTCTTATCAAAGTTACAATTGGCGTGTTTGTCATCCGAAAGTTATTACTTTGAGCTGTCAAGCTTGTCACTTTTGAAGGCGTAACTTGTTGCTTTGTGTGCGTAAGTGGGATATATTTTATTTGAAATTGTCGAATTTCTGAGATTATTTGAAAAATACGACCCTTGATTGATACATTCAGACACGCTTGCTAACTTTGTAACCAATAATTATGCATCTTCCTCTCGTTTAAGGTATATCATGAAATGTTTTGTCGCCAAAGGACGAGTTGTATCGTCAAAACCTTAAGTTACGCTCCCAAAACTACTAGCTATGCCTTCCGAAGTGATAATTTTGACAGCTCAAAGTAGCTTTTCGAAACTTTGATTAGAATGCACTGTTAACGGTTGCTTGCTGATGGTTGTAGTATCCCTATAGAATAAAAATATACTAAACAATTAAAGTATCCCTATACTAAACAATTAAAGTATCCCTAGAGAAGAAAACTCGCCTCATTTCAAAAAATATGGTTTTTCTGCTTTCAAAAGCTGCTGTTTCGATCGTAATTTAACGTCTACATTGCACAAAATATAAAGAAAAATTTATTTAGCACAAAATAAAAAGGAAATTATTTATTTTATTGACATGAAGAAGATATCATGCATATATTATGCATCTTCTAATATTTAGGTAAATTTGAATGCAAAAACTCGCAAGTTTAGGCTAAATTGCTCCAATACTAAACCATCAATACACACAAGACATCTATCTAAAATCTAAGTTTGTTTATAACGAAAGAATGACATGCATTCATACACGAATAAACAAGAATCCAGAAAACTAACAAGGAACTTGATTGCCGTTTAATGGCTTCGAAAATGAATTTCGTTTACCGATTCTTTTTGTCTTTTTCAGGTTTGACGATTGCAATCACTGAATGGCGTACAAAATACAGAAGACAGATGAATCTCAAGGATAATTTGACAAAAGCAAAGGCAGTTGATTCATTGCTAAACTTTGAAACGGTAATTATCGCTGCGTTTCTTTTTTGACATTCAATCTCTTATTTAGCTTCCATATTGCCATTCATCATATGACTATTACCTTGATGAATGCAGGGGGGGTGGCTATTTATGTTGTTCTTAGTCGGCTACGCATTTGAGGTTGCGTAGAATTATTCCTTTGTGAATTATAATATGATTAAAATGTGAAATTTTCCTGCCTACAATTTAAGGAAATATAATAAAACACACACTCCAAAAAGCATCATCTTGTAAACTCAAGAGTCGAGTTATATTAACGAGAGATTTATAAGGAATATTTCGACTTTATTTAAGTCATTATCAAGCCAAGAGATTATTTGTAAGCAAGCGTGATCTTGAATAGTCGTTACAAACAAATGACGTAAGAAAATACAAGAAAGTTTGAAAGTGTTGCTATTTGTAAATGGATTAATGGATTAGGAAAAGTGAGAAGTTTTCCAGAAGCTTTCAAACCAGCAAGGGCTTTTTGAAAATCTGCACAAATCCCCTTTTTTCAAAAAATATATAAATCGCAAACGATTAGAATTGTTATAATGAAAACTGCGTAAAGTAGTAGCGTTATTAAGAGTATAATCGGGAGTAGAAAATTGACGTGGTGAGTGTATGTCATTAATTTTGTCGTATAGGTTGGAAATGTCGGTTGTGTGTTGTGCATCACGACAGTCTGTCACGCAGATAATCACAAGTAGAGCTTTTAGTATTATAGTATTATAGTGTCGTCGGATTTTGCGTGTTTGTTAATTGTTGATAGAGTTTTGTCAGCTTTATCTCTGTGCGATTTGAAACAGCTGGTTCCAGCAATTCGAACAAACATATTTTTGGTTAAATGGTGAATGTCTTCCTCGTTAATGGCACGAAATTTGTTAAATTTTTCAATAGTTTACGTCCTCGTGCAAACCGAGGAGACGTCAGGGAGAATTCGAAAGCAGATCAGTAGAAACGCCAGACCGAAGGTCGAGAGTTCTCACAAAAATATTCGTGGTCCCAAGAAGTAAATGGAACCTTTAGCCCTTTTATATTTCGAAAATATTCGTTTGTGTTGCATAATCTTGTTGATGAAAGCACGTTATTAAGACAGAAATATCCTTCTTACCCCTAAATTGTCAGGCAGGAGATCATTAATAATGAATTGTGTAACAAAAACACGACTCTCGAAATCGCGTTTTAAGAAAATCTAATGCATTCATTGGCAAATCATAATCGATAGCATTGTCACGAACGCCATTGTAGGCAATCATCCTATAATTTGACTCACCCGTTGGCAATTATTCGCGGATAATGACCTCCATTTCAGCCAATAATTGTAACCTAAAAACTCACTTTTCGTCCTGTCCTGACCTAATTATCGATTGTCTTATTGGTTTACTTGTTATTCGGTGGAAATCCTCTTCCTGGTATTGTACATTTTATGCCAGAGTAATTACATTATTTGGCTTATTTGTCGCCTCGGAGATTATAACTGTGCACTTTAATCTACTTGTTGATTATAAGATACTATTTATCTTTTGTCTATAAAGGTGAAATACTATAATGCCGAGGATTATGAAGTTGATCGTTATAATTCTGCCATCGAAGATTATCAGGTATTTACCTAGTGTCAATTTTTTGAATGAGAAAGTTTAATCGGTCCGAACTCGCGAAAAAATAATGAGCAAGTGTGACGTCATTTAAAGTTTCACATTTTTGCAGGTAGCCACGCGCATGCGTGCTGTACTGGATATATCATGAACAACTTGTTTTCAATGAATACTCGAAAGCTAAATGTATTTTTCTTTCGAGTTTTTATGGTATAATGTTGCTGTTGGCTCAACAGAACATCAATTACGTCAATCCGTTTAAACAATCCATTTAAACACATGATGTGAGTCAAACTATGGGCATTAAATACAATGACATATTTGTTATTTCCAATGCCTCTGCATGAAAAGATAAAACTTAAGTTCCGATCGGAACTGAGTAGTCGGAAAGAAAGTCTTGTCACAATGTTATTTAGACAACACGGGCCACCGTACGCCCTAAAATAATACATGTGTTAAATACGGATGAGACAAGTATATGACATACGAGTAGTGGCTTCTGGGGTGGGGGGACTCCAAATATTCTAGTGTCCTGTACAAACGCAGCACTTATACTAAGTTATGAAAACTTTATCATTTAGTTGTACTTCCTTACAATATACACGTAGTACAATTTATGCAAAAGGGAAGTATATATAATACAATCAATATATTACACAAAACAAAGAATTCGACTAATAACCAGAACGTTTGGTGGTGCTCACTGCAAGCTACGTATTCTTGTACGATGTCAGTAAGACTAAGACGATCTGTCTGAGTTTTGTGCGCATGTATTATGGCAACGCGGTGAACGCTTTTGCTCCACGGTGTTATGAAGGTATGCGTTTTTACTTTCTGAGGACTTCAAAATGGGACTACGTCAGTGGCACTCTGAAATTGATGTAAAGAAACTACATATTGTGTTGAATGTAAAAACTTGAACATTGAGGTCAGGGTTAGTTTTGTTGATTTGGAGTGCTTTGATTTTAAGGGAGAATGAGGTGTCTGCGGTGTCGATGATTTTAAAGCAATAGGGTGAATAGTTGGTTTTACATGAATGGGACTTAAGAAGGGGTCGGTAGATATGAGAGTTTTTTTTTACCCCAACAGAAAAAGCCCTAACACAATCTCTGCTATTAGTCTGAATGTCTCGAGTCAAGATGAAACGTTGCGTGCTTTTTTAAATATAAATAATTATATACAAATAAATTCTTACGGCTTTTTTGAGGACGATTTGCTGCGGTCTGATCTTTATGTTGACAATATTTTATTTTCAATATTGTCTGTAAACATACGCACGATTTCTCGCGAGTGAACGACCTATGATACCCTACTGAGACGAACATATAGCGTTCATTTCACAAAATACTTTCGTTCAAAAATACAATAAACTTAAATTTTTTGAAATTTCTTTGGGAGCTACTGCACCACCTGCGGACGTAAACACACGAACGACGAGGCTACACATGTACGTTGTCGCGTACCTTCTTTTAATGATGGAGCTCGTGTCGCAAAAGTCTTTCGAAATACGCATGAAAACATTCCAAAAGCTCAACACTTTTACGTCAGAACAAACGTAAGCCTTAAAGTTGTTCTTTATTTGCACAATTCTTTCAAACTTTTACACGCGCGGGAGTGCGATTACTGTATTACGATACAGTAATCGCACTCCCTCAAATCAATAGCAAACTCGTTTGTTCATCCATGGCAAAAGTTGCGTTAAAATATTTCAAATCAAGCAATCAGTGAAGTAAAAATAACACCCTTAAATAGTTATAAGATGATATCGGAAGACCAATTCAGTGCGTGTAAGGTTGAGCTTTAATAGAATACAGACGTCAATTTTGTTGAACTGCAGGTGTTGTCTACATCGGCCTTCGCCTTCTTATTCGAACCAAACAGCGACCTCTGTTGCTTATCACTGTTCTTCGGAACATCGACTGTCGTTCGGATAATTTTTATTTTCGCCGTCATAATGTAATTTCTGTGGATATTTTTAGACATGTGAATGGGAATCGCTAGCGAGTCTTAATGTTCTCAATATCGTCCAGAATCTCATTGTTACTGCAGGACTTTTGACCGGAACTATTTATTGTGGTCACTTGGTCATTAATGGAACATTTCAGGTATCAGTTTCTATTAGTTATTCTGTCGCACTTGGAAAAAATATTTTTCGATCGGGACCTCCCAGCCGGTAAATAACATACACATATGTATTTGTATGTATTTGTTTTCAAGGTTGGAGATTTCGTTCTCTTTATCACCTATATAGTTCAACTTTATCAGCCACTGAACTTTTTTGGCACCTACTACAGGTATGATTAAATGCAATTTGCGAAGCTGTGCTTATGTTATGAGGAATTGAGTGCACAGTGTTAAAGTGCCCCTGTCAGCAAAAACTTTTATTTGCGATATCGAAACTAGGTCTAACGTAGCGGTGTAAAAAAATTTTAATTTTTTGTCTTCTTGTTATGAAGGTTTAAAGCTGCTTTTTAACAGACCTTGTCCGTCGTTACATGAAGTCTGGGTCAAACCAGATTCTTACGTCATCAAAGGTACTTGGTATATGTATCTTGTATTACGGAATTCCTTGCCTGACATCACGAAGTAAGTCGTTCCAGCCTTTTCAAACGACGGACAAGTTCCTTTAAAAGGAGCATTTTTGCCAACTTTAAATAGCCATAAAAATGAAAAGATTCGACAAACTTAAAAACTGTATTCTCTGATACGTTAACACCTAAATTTAATATTGCAATTAAAAATTTTCGCTCTGCAAGGTGTACGTTAAATCCCGGCCGGAATGTAATTTTCCCATTATTTAAAATAATGCTTCTCCTAGCGCTTTGTACATTTTCAATCATCGCAAAAGTGAACAATTTAGACAAACACCACAAGTATCGAATGATATGTTTTTTTATGTTCAGTGTCTTTAACGTTTGTGATGCGAATGTTTTCCCTGTTTTTATTTGTTAAGATTCATACAACAGGCGTTCATCGACATGGAAAACGTATTTGATTTAATGAAAGAACATGCAGAAGTAAGATGTGATGAGATTTTACTTTTTATACTGTCTGAGTTGCATCCACCAGAAACTATTTCTTACACGTGACACAAGCAATTCCATTTTCATAGATGTTTCCCATAATGCTTTGTGTTGTAATTCCGCTAATAAACGACCGGTGTTGTGAAAGTGCTGTTAGAGCAACTTGTTTTTGTATTGGAATAGCTATATTATCTAATGTCTCAATTCGATATGAATTTGCTGCTTGTACTTTAGGTCGTAAAACTTATATCTTTCATAATTCATTTCAGACAAATTATTTAGAGATTTAGCTATTAATAAGACAAATTTCGGAAAAGAAAAAAAGAAAGAAGATATTGCTTTTGTACTTGTTTTTCTTCTCGTCTTAAAGGGCTACTAAAATGAAACTTTGCTACGTAAATTCTATTTTCATTGAAGAGAACTCTTCAAATGACAGTGTTAACATATTGTTGCTTTTGTAATGTCCGATTTACACAACCAGTGACGTCGCATTACATTGTGAATCGCTGCAAGTTTATAAATATCATTCAATTTGCCGACAACTTTTTGGATGAAATACTCGTGCAGAATATTATACCATTACGACTTTGCGACGAAGGTACCTCTGTCAAGTTGCATGTAACATGTCAATAACTATACGTGGTAAATCAATATTCAATATTTATTATATGGCATGCATCACTTCCTGGAAAATGGCGCGTATTCACTGTCTCGGAAACATTTTTGCCGGTCCATTATTTGCCCGTAATTGAGCACGCTCCAATTCCTGTAATTTTTTGACAAAATGTAAACAAACTTCGTTATGCAAGCAGCTAAACGAAAAAAAACAGAACAAAAAACCATGGAAAAATGTGAGTCGAAGAAAAAATACTCGGAAAGTGAGTTTAGCTATCCAGACAACAAAATTTCAAACGGTTTATGTTTTACTGACAAAAATAGAGAAGTGAAAGCCGACCTGTACAAAACAGCGATGACGAGAAGAAAAGAAGGCTTCATTTCAGGTCAAATAATGCCATATAATAAACCTTCTGTTTTCCTTGCTTTGTCGGTCTTTACTGAGAAATATAGAAATATCGGTCTTTTTGTACAAACCTCGTCCTACAGGCTCGGTCTGTACAAAAAATCTTCGGTCCGGTATTTCTCTGTAAGGACATCGCGCTCGGTTGATAGTGGCTTAGTAATGTGGCGTAAGTAGTTGTGTTTTTTTACAAAACTATCGATATTATAACTTGTAAGAATGAAACAAGACTCCTGCACAGGCGTACACATGTGCTCTGGTGATGAAACAGTTTCCTTCTGTATGACCTGATCCGAACATGAGGGAATGCTGCGAAACGTGATTTTTACGGTTTTCGTAACTCGAGCAACTTTCCAAAGTGTTTGGATCGGGCCATCTAATTGATCAAAACATTTGAAAAAGATGAAGTAGTTTTATGGTGCAGCTAAGGTTTGTGTTTTGCGCGTTAGATTTAGCATCATTCGTGCCGTTTGTAAAAGGATGGCTTCGTCGAAGACTTACATTTTGTCACTCCTTGCGGTCGCCATGTTTTATACGCAATGTATTCTGTGTCAACAAAGTCGATTTCTCTACTTACACAAGTCGAAACCTCTACTCGTGTTCTGGAGGGGCACGAGTAGCGAGATATGAATTAACTGTTTTAGAAAGTCCGCTGTCCTTTTAAGAGTTCTATTCAATGAATCTCTTCGTTTGACTGGTCCTTTCGAACACTTGCGCCTATTTATGAATTCTATTACAAATAGTCTTTACCGTACTATGTTTAGATACAAGATGTACCGAATGCTCCTCCTCTCCTAGTGGACGGTGGTGAAATTAAATTTGAGAATGTTCATTTCTCTTACCAAACTGGGTAAGACAAATGGAAATTATAAGATATTAAAACTGTCATAATGTACAAGATAATAATTTCTTCCGACTAAAAGAATCTAAACTTTACTAAACTGAACTTGATGTGAGGCTGCAACCAGTGGTTTTACGCATGAATTCCAGTCCAACTTCTTCTATTCTCTACTCAAAATTTTTCAGCACATTATGATGAAACTGTTATTTTCTTACTTTTCTACAATCCTTGCCTCAAAAGCATCCTCTCATTATCATTGAACACAATATCGGGATTCATCACATTTCAACATACTTGATATTTAATTCAACCAACGGAATACTGTGGTATTTTCATTTATTGCATCATTTGCATGTACATGTTTTTTTCGCTTTAAGTCATGTTTCTCCCACTCTTTCTCATGCATGATTCTCAATACTTGATGTTTTCTTTTTGTATCAAAAGTGTAGCGTATATGTATCGAGTACTGTGCTCGATCGTTTTGCTATTTATTTTTGCTCGTGCGACTTTGAATTTTGACGAAAAGTTTTTCTTTGTGCTTTTACTGACTAAAACACTGTCTGTTTCTTCGGTGATGCTTTCTTCTGGAAGTCGTATGTTCTACATCCTCTTGCTACCTCTGTTCCTAAATCAAACTGACCAGAATAGTTTCTTCGCTTTTGCGCGTTTTCTTTCACTTTTTTAGACTATAAAATTGCTCTTTCTGTGTTGCTTTCGATAATCTCTCTTCGCTTCATGCCTTCGGTTTACATTATTGAGTAAATGCAATATGCTACCTTTTATGTCATCCGAGTCTTTGAATCAGCCCTTTTCTTCCTAAAAATCTTTTTCGTTAAACCATTTGCATCATATTCATTGCATATGTCTTAATTTATTTAGAAAAGAAATTTTGAAGGGTGTGTCATTTCTTGTTAAACCTGGCGAAACACTTGCGTTGGTAAGTTAACTTTTCAACAGTGCAGTATATAACCATAGCCTCCTTTCTTTCAAACACTTCTTTAAATTAGTTTATTTGCTTTGAACATGTGAAATTATATTCTAGATGTGTTTCACTTAAGAAACAAAAAGAATATTTGCTGTGTTTGCAAGCTTATGCAAACTTAGGAGACTTTTGAAAGAACTCGAAAGCTGATCAGTTGAAGTCCGAAGGTCGAGGGTTGCACCTACCCGAGAGCTCTCACAAACATCTCCGAGGCTTGCATAAGCAAAGTGCAAACACCAAAAGCATGTTTTATTTCTTTTATAAAATAACAATAATGCGAAACAGATAAACTTCAGACAAACGTTTTAAACTTTCGTCTAAATTGTATTCATGATTGATTGATTGATTGATTGATTGATTGATTGATTGATTGATTGATTGATTGATTGGTCGAGCTGAGATTGGTTTGCACATGCCAATGCCAACACGGCAATTGACCTATCACCACAAGCGTTTTATTGTGTTTTGTTTTATACTATGTTTTTCTCGCTCATGTCTTTTGTTAACTCTGTCTTACTCATGTCTTTTGTTAACTCTGACTCACCGTGTCTTTTGTTAAACCTGTCTCACTCATGTCTTTTGTTAACTCTGACTCTCCCATGTCTTTTGTTACCTCTGACTCACTCATGTCTTTGGTTAACTCTGACTCACCCATGTCTTTAGTTAACTCTGTCTCACTCATGTCTTTTGTTAACTCTGTCTCACCCATGTCTTTTGTTAACTCTGACTCACCCATGTCTTTTGTTAACTCTGTCTCACTCATGTCTTTTGTTAACTCTGACTCTCCCAAGTCTTTTGTTAACTCTGTCTCACTCATGTCTTTTGTTAACTCTGACTCACCCATGTCTTTTGTTAACTCTAACTCTCTCATGTCCCCGTTAACTCTGACTCACCCATATCTTTTGTTAACTCTGACTCACCCATGTCTTTTGTTAACTCTGACTCACCCATGTCTTTTGTTAACTCTGTCTCACTCATGTCTTTTGTTAACTCTGACTCACCCATGTCTTTTGTTAACTCTGACTCACCCATGTCTTTTGTTAACTCTGTCTCACTCATGTCTTTTGTTAACTCTGACTCACTCATGTCTTTTGTTAACTCTGACTCACCCATGTCTTTTGTTAACTCTGACTCACTCATGTCTTTTGTTAACTCTGTCTCACTCATGTCTATTGTTCACTATGACTCACCCATATCTTTTGTTAACTCTGACTCACCCATGTCTTTTGTTAACTCTGACTCACCCATGTCTTTTGTTAACTCTGTCTCACCCATGTCTTTTGTTAACTCTGACTCACCCATGTCTTTTGTTAACTCTAACTCTCTCATGTCTTCCGTTAACTCTGACTCACCCATGTCTTTTGTTAACTCTGTCTCACCCATATCTTTTGTTAACTCTGACTCACCCATGTCTTTTGTTAATTCTGTCTCTCTCATGTCTTTTGTTAACTCTGACTCACCCATGTCTTTTGTTAATTCTGTCTCTCTCATGTCTTTTGTTAACTCTGTCTCACTTATGTCTTTTGTTAACTCTGACTCTCCCATGTCTTTTGTTAACTCTGACTCTCACATGTCTTTTGTTAACTCTGACTCTCCCATGTCTTTTGTTAACTCTGACTCTCACATGTCTTTTGTTAACTCTAACTCATGTATCTTTCTCTTGTTATATTCCAGGTTGGCCCGTCAGGCAGTGGCAAAAGTACCATTATTAGACTGCTCTTTCGATTCTACGATGTTGATTCGGGTTCCATAAGCATTGACGATCAGGACATCAGCAAGGTGCGAATCTCTAGATCTTCTTGGCTTACAATCTTCAAAAGAGTGTATTTGCTTATTGTTCTGAGGAAAAAAGCGTACACAATGTAGGGGTTTTTTAGCGTGCAGTTCTACACAAAGTACGATGTTCCAAGTCCATAAGAGACTAAAAGACCACACCTATGGCCAAACTTTTATTGTTTACACTTACATTTTGCCAAACTTATTGTTTACACTAACCCATGGCAAAATTTATTGTTTACACTTACCTTTTGCCAAACTTATTGTTTACACTTATCTATGGACAAACTTATTGTTTACACTTACCTTTGGCCAAACTTATTGTTTACGCTAACCCATGGCAAAACTTATTGTTCACACTAACCCATGGCCAAACTTATTGTTTACAATAACCTATATGTCAAAACTTGTTGTTTACACTAATCTATGGACAAACTTATTGTTTACACTAACCTATGGCAAAACTTATTGTTCACACTAACCCATGGCCAAACTTATTGTTTACAACAACCTATATGGCAAAACTTGTTGTTTACACTAATCTATGGACAAACCTATTGTTTACACTAACCTATGGGCAAACTCATTGTTTACATTTACCTATGGCCAAACTTAAACTAACGTACGAGCAAACTGTTTCTTGCTGTTTAAGAGCAAATTACGCGTGTTAACGCTCAGAACTATGTTTTTTTGTTTGCATGTTTGTTTGTATGTTTTTTGAGTGTATGTTTGTTTGTTTTTTGTATGTTTGTTTGTATGTTTGTTTGTTTGTATGTTTGTATGTATGTATTTTTGTAGTTATAGAGCACAAGTCGTAAATATTATCGACTTTTACGCGTACGTTTCTCCATGAGTGCTCATTTTAAATTTTTGTTCCAAATACATTTTCACATTTCTCTCTCCTATAGGTGTCCCAGAATTCTTTGCGTCAACACATTGGGGTTGTTCCGCAAGACACGGTCTTGTTCAATGATGATATACGGTAAGAGATGCTATTTTTATTGTATAGAGCTGCTCTTAAACGTTCTCCAGTAGTTGAGAAAACTGACTTGTAATAATTATATAAAATTTACTCTGTTATTACAATGTTTTTCTTTGTTGATCGATGTAAAATCATTGCCGAAATTCCTTGTTTTTTTAAACTCCGGGAGAAATGAAGTTTCCTCTTTCTCTATGTCGGCTTTTGGAGTCGATTCTTCGATAAAAGAATTTATTTATGGGAGAACTCCGAAAGTTGCTCAATGAAGAATATTATGTACACTTATTGTATGCTCCTGAGGGAAAAAATGAGTTTTGTTTTCCAAGAGTCTCAATGTTTGCCGGGACGAAGTCCAGGAAGATTTGTCCGGCGAAATTTTGTTCCTACAGCATTTTTTCAACTAAGTCCGATTGTTTTTTGAATTTTTTGTATTAAAAGTTGAATTTCGTCGCTTATTCAGCTCAAGAAATTTTTTTAGTTTTTTGCTGTTTTATTTGTTATGTTATTAAAATGAGCGAGCAGCCATTTTTCACTTGTTTCCCAGGTGGGAAAACATTGCATTTATTTTAGTCATTAGATCACGATACGAATGAACCAATCACATTTAACATACGCAACACCTATATGACAAAGAGAATTATTTTTTATTGGCAAATTTTTTCCTGCGTAGTAGCGGACAAAATTTTACGATGTCTAATCGCTGTCCGGAATTGTACAGTCAAATACTTGAGCGCAGAGCTGTTCTGTTTTGTTTTGTTGCACAATGTAAATTATTAACCATTTGTTATATTATATACTATTAGTGAATTTTTAGTTTACAAAATGAAATGAATTAACAAAGTGTTTACTTTTATTGTTTTTTCAATCCAAGTTCAAAATTCGATACGACTGTTTCCTTGGAAAAAGCTATATAAGTTTACTGTTCATTCGGGACAGAAATATTCACTCAGTCTCAAAAATAGTTTCTCAGTTTGCGAACTCGTGCTCTTTAAGCCCTTGTATAATTTTCATACCCGGACCATGCACCCGGAAAATGACACGTATTTTTTCTACATCAACGTTTACTTAGCTTCTTTCATTTGTATATGCTTCAGATACAACATACGTTACGGCAGAGTCGATGCAGGAGACCTAGAGGTTGAAGAGGCCGCTGATTCTGCCGACATCCACCAACGTATTCTGACATTTCCGAACCGTAAGTTGAGATTAACCCATATTCACAAATGACAGATGTGTGGGACAGGAGGCAGTGGCGGATCCAGTGCTTGTCAAAATAAATTATAGCTAGCTCTTCAATTTTAAATCGAAAGTACTTTCAGAAAAACACTATTGCATTGTTTTGAATTTCTTAACAATATAAATTTACCAATGGATTTGCTTCTAAGCTGCTTAGAAATGTAAATATATACCAAAATGTGGTGCAGTATTTTATTTTGACGTACCCGAGATCCGCCTAAGCTGGAGGGCAAATTATGCAACTGCCTCACCCCACCCCCCAACAAAGTTTGAAGACTGAAAAGTCAAGTAATTTTTCACCATTAGTCGGGCAAAAATAGGGGAGAAGGAAATTATGACGTGTATTTTTAAGTTAAGAAGTCCGGTATTGCATTGCGAGTTGGGGAAAATATTTACTGCTTATGCAGAAATAATATCTTTTGTACGTCTATGTGTATCCATGGTAGAATGCGGATTGTGCTGGTCTTTAGCGCTGCTGGATTTTTTTGTTGGATGCAAGGCCATAGCTATAGCTCGATAATTGGTTTGGATGATATTCTGATTTAAGTTCCTTTGAAATCAACTGTTTTCTGCGGATTATAACATGCAAGTATGAATATTGCCACTCTACCCTCCCCCCTTTGTCGAGGCTAGCCGACGCACTGGTTGGATGTAGAAATTAACGACATCTATAACAGATATACAATAGGAAAAATGTAATGATGTGTAAAACAATGTCGAATTACAATATGTGTAAAAAATCTCGATATTTAATTAGTCGGAGAGAATTTTAGTTCTTCTACTCTGTAAATCACGCTGTTCATTTATCACATCCAAGATCACAAAAAGGAGAAACTTAAACCAGAAATCGGATATTTTTGGGACTTTTGGTGATAGCTAAGCAGGCCACATTTATTTAACACTTCATCTGTATTTGTTATACTTGATTTGATGTCATAATGTGTTGCGGAAATGTTTCTGGTGATTAACTGAGGATGTATACAATGATCAAGACTTCTTTTTGCTTAGCTAAAATACTGTACCTTAACTGTTACTCTAAGAGGTGACTGCCCAAACTTGATCTTCTCAGTAGAGAACGAATGACACGTCATTTACGAGTATAATTTTTCAAATCGGACTATTTCTTTGATTTTGCTTTTTTTCATTTTACTGTTGCTATATTTTACTGTGTCATGTGGTTTTGCGAACTCTGCTTTCATACATGTACGCATTGTTACCTTTTTTCATCATTCTTTTAAGTTTTTTTGTTGTTGCTCGTTTCGTAATGAGATTGAGCAACAAAAAGGGGTCACCGAGGTCTCCCATTCATCAACTGACATCCACGGTCTACATTAACAAACTTGCATTTAACGATACTCCGGATACTGCCATAGTACTTTTTCAGAAAGATGTAAAAATGCGGTCGGTCAAAATGACCGGCAAGATAAAAAACTGGCCAGTCAAAAAGCTTTCTTCATTTTCTGTTGACTGGCCGTTATTTTGAGTCCTGTGTAAGAATGTGGGAATGCCTGGAATGTCAGAATAAAGGAAATGCCCGTAAATCGACGGAATACGTAGTAATCAGAGCGTGCAGGCAGCTCAACGTTTTCCTAGGAGGACCTCTGGAAACAAGTTCATGTTTTCCGCGAAATCATCTGCGTGAGACTGCGCCCATACAAAATTTGTTAGTATCAGCTAAATCCAGAGCCCTGCATGCAAAAGTTGGGACACCGGGAGTAAAATTGCCTAGCGTCCGCCATTTTTGTTGCAAAAACCAGCAAATATAGACATTAAATGTGGGAAGACAAATTTTCTGTTTTGTTTTCTTTGTCATGAATTGACAGCGATCGCTACCTTTATAGTTCAGTTGTTTTTTGATGTCATAAAAATAGAAAAGCATTAGTTTGATGCAGTAGATGTAATTTATACGCCTTTAACACTGCTTTTGCCACAAGGGAGGGCGTGTGTTTCTGTTCGTCATCGCTTTCATTGACACTATTATAACGCAACATAAAATCATTGAAAACTTTTTATATAATTTATCTCCTAGGTAAAAAAATGGCTATAATTTCTGCTTTTAGAACAAAAATGGCGGCTAGATACCCACTTGACCATATTTACCCAATCACCATGAAAATAATGCGAAAGGCAGAGAACGATACGTATCGCAACTATTGAAAATACAGGGCTTTGGATAAATCCACGAACAAGTCAAACTCTTATCAACTGTCTTATAGGTTATGACACTTTGGTTGGCGAGCGAGGTTTGAAAATAAGCGGTGGAGAAAAACAGCGCGTTGCCATTGCCCGAACTTTGTTGAAAAATCCACCTCTCGTACTTTTGGATGAGGTATGTTTTTGTTGGAGCTACGTCTCTTCATTCTCCAGTATATTTGGTTTAATTTTTTCGAAATTTGTCCTCAGCAACGTTGAAATGAACACGCTGACGCATTCGTGTGTCTTGACCCAGAACCCGATCTACTAGATACATGACTTTGCCGAGATTCTTTAGATACGAGTGAGGCACGACACCATTTTGAAAGATGGCAAAACTGACCGATATGTACGATTAAAATCCATTACCAGCAGATTAATTTTATGAAGTATAATAAGAAACATACTCGGAATAAAAAACTCTCTTGTTTTTTTTTCTCAAACGTTGTGTTAAACATGGACCTTTATTTGTAGTATGTTTCTTATTATGTGTAACTAAAATTCGCTTCTTCTGAATTAATTGATATACATTTGCAGAGTTTATCGTCTAGGCTTCGTTGTAAAATGTTTGATAGTATTGGTTTTTTCAACTTTCTTTCAACTTATTTTTGATTGTGAATTTTGATTTTTTCCACTTTTCAAGATGGCGTCCTTCCCTCACGGTGACTGGGTTTCCATATCATTGAGTCCTACCAGCACCATAGCCTGCTTTACTCAAATTGGCCGAAAAGAAACGCGTTATTTTTAATTTACTGGGTGAAACAGTTAGCTATTTCGCCAGAATTCAATGAACAGCACACGCTGTAAAAATCATATAGCCGCGAATATTGTCAGTATTGCGCTTAACTTACATAGATCACCAAGTTCAAGTGTGTCACGTGTTTAGTATAGAAATATTAACATTGAAAAATGCGGCAGACTTGCTTAAAATCAAGCCGACAATATCCTGTTTTTACGTCAACCTGCCAAAACTAAGCTTTGACTAGAGACATGCAAACATTAAATATAATTATAATCAAGCACAGTGTATTTTGTCAACAGTAAAATCTTATTTACATTGTTTGTAGACTATTTTGTAATTTTTTTCATGTTTTTTATAATAATCGACAGCTACCGAAATCAGCCAATTAGTTGTAATAATCGCCTTACGGATAATCGGCTCGGTAATCGGCAATTTTCCTTATCGGCTCATCCCTAATTGTGTGAACATGTTTGTGTTGTAAGTAGCTTTCTGCGATTTCTGTCTAAGCTTTTTGTTCGTGATTGCCAAGTTTGCTATACGAGAGATCAATTAATATGATGCGAATATCCTCACTTACGGCGTTGTCTAATTTCTCGTCTGTCATTTTGGCTAGATAAGTTGCGCGTAGCTGACATGATCAAAAGTATGTTGGATGGAATCTTTTGGAATGAATTTTTCTCTTCGAATTAGCTACAACCAGACAAGATCACGTGAATTTTTTCACCTGTTCTCAAATGAACTCTATATGCACCCAGCGGTCGCTTCGCATTCCTTATAGCCTTCGCTTGAGGGGTGCGTGGCTACTGGCTTATACTGGTGCCAATCTCCAGGCGAAATATTATAATATGGCAAATATTTAGGCGAAAGCAATTGTGATTAGTGTTTAACGCAGAACACTTCCAATTGTTGTAAAAACTTAACAGAACTTAATCCGTTGCTAGCAATGCCTTTCAAAGAAACTTAGTTTGGCATATCATCCATCTTCGGACGGCTTTGATGTTACGACGTCAAGTAGCCCCTGAAATCTAATGAAAAATAGACCGCACACACACACACACACACACACCACACACACACACCACAAAATCATCTTGATTTATCCCCGTATGCAACAATACATTCATGTGCTTATAATTTCATTTCTTTGACAAATTCTAAAATTAGTTGGGCCCGTTTTATCATGCGCAGCTTAGTTGTGTTTTATGCAATGCGTCATGGTATATTTTATCTAATTCTGTTTTAATATTTCAAACTTTAACTTTGTTGATATATATGTTTATTATACTGGTAAAATTCATATTTGCTGCTATGCGATTTCAGATTAGATAATAAATCCATCTATCTACATGGTAATGTCGGTTCCTTCCCGTCATAGCCTGCGCGCAGCAACCTGGGGCGTGCCTCCCTTTCAATAATTTGCTAATAAACTATAATTTTCGGATCGCCAAACGCCCTCAATATCAGCTTACCCCACCCCGACCTCCAATCAAAAATGTTTCGTACGGACCTGTATAAATATCAACGCGAATGTCACATATTCGATAAACTCTAGGTTTGTTTTTTTTGCTTGAAACAATCCAATGAACAAGGTCGTAGCTAGAAAGGTTGGGGGGGAGAGGGTGTGTATTCATATATTGAGTAGTGCCCGCCTGATTTTTTTAAAGAGCCAAATGGCTTTTAAAGGAAGTGAATCGGGCACAACTGAATATATGAATATACACCCCTCCCCATTTAATGTTCTAGCTACGGCCCTGCCAATGAATGCGATCGTGAAAGTCTTCAACTTTTTAGGCTACCTCAGCGTTGGATACACAAACCGAGAGGAATATACAAGCATCGTTGAATAATGTCACTTCAAATCGTACCACAATTGTTGTTGCTCACAGGTAAGCCATTTATGTGGAGCGTGTAAAAGATATCGTAGCTAAAAAACATTATCGACAGAACTACTGTTCGAACCTGTGAAGTTCTAGCTATGTATGTATGTCCCAAAAGTCTACAGTGTAGACTTTCCTTGTAGCTTTTTTGCAATCTTTCAATTGCATGGTTGGGAAAAAGTTTTTAAAGATGTTTCACGTCTTGTTGTACAGTTCTCAATCACTGTTTGGGAAATTTGCTCTCGAACGGTGGCGTGCTACAAGAGTGGCCCTGAGGGCCTTGCCTTTCCCCGCAGCTGTTTATTTGGGGAGACCACTAAGGGACGTTGGATTTTGAATTTGAGTTGGAGAAACGGATTTGAATTTTTACAGTTAGTTTTATTTCACCCTTCAACGTCCAGGATTTTAGGGCTTCTTATTCCAAAAATTTCCTCGTTTCTAAAGTGTTATGTCTTTGAGGTGCGCTTTTATTGGATAGCGGCTGCGGAAAAATTGTTCCTAGCACGCCATTGCTCTGAAACATGTCATCTTCTATAATAACGTTTGTCTTTTATAGGCTGTCCACTATTGTTAATGCTGATCTCATTTTGGTGTTGAAAGATGGAGAAGTAGTAGAGAGAGGAAAGTAAGTTCACTTAATGAAAATATAGAGGCTTATCTTTAAGTTGGAGTAGCCATTTACGAGCTGACACTCGCGCGAAATGCGGCTGAAACTAACTACTCCAAGATCTCTTTCAATTTTATATCTCTCGAGTTCATGACGCGCATGACGCTTGCAAAAAATTGCATAAATCGAACGAACGTTTTTAGCGAAGTGATATGCATACATCATATACTCACTAAGCGATGCCGTTTCAGTGGAAAATTTTTCGATTGTACGGAATGTGTGATTTCATTTTTACTCCCAGAAATCTTTTAGCTTTCACAAAGTTGCATGTATTTTGCGACTTCCGTATACTCGTTATGACGTAATTTATGGAAACATGGCGCCCAAAAACCTTTGGGGTTTAAATTTGGCAACTTTCACACCAAATATTGTGGTCATTTACGTATGAAAATCGGTTGCGAACAACTAATAATTTTTTAAACCGGTAAAATGATTTCCGAAAACATCGCTTTTCATAAAATAACTGATTTACGGGTTCCAGTCGATTTAGACGTACAACGTAAACGAATGTTCGGGCTATTGGTCAGTACGAAACTCCTTTTTTACGGCCATTTCATTTCACATTGTCAATTTTGGCAAAAATTATCATGTTTAGATGAAAAATATTATATTGGCTGGTTAAACGAGTTATGTTTTCAAAAAAGCGCTTTACCCACGCCTGTGTAAAAGCGGGATATTTTGTTTTTTGCCACACCGATAAATTCATGTATACAAAAACACGAGTTTTCAATTATGTTTTTGAAACATCCCACCACAAGCGTAATTAAATTTTCTCAAGAAAAATATGTTGTTCCCAGCTCCTCAAAGCTATTTACAATCTTTTCGGGGTAATTCGATTGTTTGTGCATAGCCTATCCCATGGTAGCCCTTAGTTTGGACTGTATATGACGGATGAGTCGATTTGGTTTGTACTATTTTTGAAGTGTTGACATACAAGTTTTCGGCGTGAATGAAAATTTTTAAAACGCCGTTTTTTGGTTGTGTTGAAATACGTCATATGCAGCACGCTCGTCTTTATTTGCCGAAAAACAATCAATTTCGAAAAAATAATAGCAAAGTTGTTGAAGTTGACGTTTGCGAGACATGCATGTCCGCCTTGTTCTAAAAGCGCACTCGCTATCATCGAGTGGATGTTCAAAATCACCTCATAATTCCTCGATGACGGCATTTTCACTCGACTTATTGCTTGATTAGCAATATTGTATAGCAAAACGCTTGCCGCCAAATGTCTTTGTCCATGATTAAAGAGGGCATGATTTTTATGTCAAACTCGAGGAGTGTGAGTGTGAGTGTGAGTGTAAGTGTGAGTGTGACTGTGAGTGTGAGTGTGAGTGTGAGTGAGCTTTTACAATACGCGGGCTATATACTAATCATCTGCTATGCTATTATTAATCGATCCCACATGACTGCTTGTACACACCCATCGACTATATGCCTCGTGAAATCCAATTATTGATGCAATTTGATGTCAAAGCATTTTGCCGAATTTAACCCACATGTGATTAAACGTAGTGGATTTAACTTTAGCATATGACGAGTTGGTTTAAGCAAAGTTTCGTGTAACAGTTCAGGCTCTAATAATATTTTTCTTTGATATTTCGAAGTTTTTCTTTTTCTTTTTGCGTACAGCCCGAATTGTAATGCATTGAAAATTTCTTTGTTTACAACTCGATCTTCGTGCGAACTGTTGATTATTTAAATAATTTCAAGTTTGTTACGCAAGACTTCCAGTCTATTGATTGCGGCTTTTTTCTCTTTCATAGATAACTTTGTTTTTATAACGCTTCCTGCTTTTCTTAAGGTTGTGCTCGTATAATGGGCCGTCTTACATTACCCGTGATGTAGCTTGTTTACTCTTGCTCTATACACAAAATTCATTGGAATTTCTATAAATCGTTTCATTCTCCCACATTCCCCTTTCAATGTTGTGAAAATGTAGAAAAATGTAGTCAAAGAAGAAAAAAATAGCAAGATTAACAATACTTGTGTTATTTTTATCAGACACCAGGAACTGCTTGACCATCAAGGCGTATATGCGAACATGTGGCAGCAACAGGCGGCGGAGATCGAAGATGAATAGAGTTCGCTGACGCGGCTCCTATTTTGTGTGTTTCTTTTTCGTAAATTGTATTTGGAGGTGGATTTATAATTGTACAGGACTTACGGCTGGGTATAACTCATGTTTTTTACGGTATAGAATCCATGCGTCCAAATGCTTTAACAAATTGATAAAGAATAGCGGTTGTTTTTGTGCTTGATTTTTTTACGAGCAACCGTTCGATGGGTCGTGCCAGGCCTCTAAGTGACGAGTGCCAGGCAGCTAAGTCACGAATTTTTTACTGTTTATTTTTTTCTAAGTTTTTTGCAAAAATAATTCGCCGCAATATATTACAAGCTCGCAATATATTTAAACCGCTCCAAAACGAAAGAAAAAGAAATAATTTGCCTTTATTTTATTTTGTTTTAACTTGTTTTGTTTTATTTTATTTTATTTTATTGAGCAAAAGCTTTTAAAGAGCTACGTGGCCGCATGAAAACGGCCTACGTTCGTTAAACTGAAGGAGGTCTCAAAATGAGGAAATAAACAAGCAGGTGTACAGTTCAGGAATGGTTAACTGGCGAATGTAACGTAGTTGCATTACCTTTTCATGAAATATTTTGCGGTTACTCTTTTGCTACTTAAATGCTTAATTAAATGGTTGCCTAAATTTTCGTCCCCAAGACAACTGACGTAGACAATTGAGTTTTATATCGCACACAGCGTTGTTTTATTAATGCTGAATGAAACAGCTTTGATTGTCTTGTACAACTGTCTTTGAGAACTGTTTAGATGAAATCTATGGGCTTTTATTTTGCTTTGAGTATGGTCAAGTGTCATCTTGGGATGGGGTTTTTCGCGAAAACTCCAAGTTTTCCATTAGAAATGAAATGAAATGAAACAAAATAAAATTATTTCAAAGACTTTTATCATACTGTCAACTTGAACTTCTTTGCAAAAATCACCCACATACAATATAATATTATGCTACGTCCAGGTATCCGATAAGATCAGCGTCATGTAGTTTGTCCTTGCGACGGTTATAAATGGTTCATAAGAAGCGATTTTGTTTGATGAGCTTAGACTCTAACTCCTGCTTTACTTTATGGCAAAATTCAGAACAGGGAGAGTGTTTGACATTTGCCACGAACTAATATGAAATGGCAGTGAAATAAACATGTACTCCGATATAGACTGACTTTTCGATGGAGTTTACGCACAAGCACTAAGCAGCCCTCCAAATAAGAGTGTATGTAATGCCATGTTGTGTGCAAACATACCTCCTACTCACTCTAATCATCGAATGTCAATACTAACAATATTTCATTCAAACGTGTGAGTTAACACCTCGGCGATAAACCCCCATGCATGAAGAAAACACTTTGTTCGAAGCGCAACAATTAAAATGCTATTAGGTTCTCGCCTTGCTAACGCGGTACATCACAGCTAGATGAATTGTCCACCCTGTGCGCGCGCATGTGTATGTTTACTTTGAGTTGTCAATGCATGCGTGCATGTCCTCACAATGCTCGCGTCCCATACCATTGCCGAATCTCCCACAACGATATGATTGTTGATTTGAAACAATAAAACTGTTTACACTCGAGTGGTTGGACTCCAGTGTGTAATTACAAGATGAGCCGAATTATAAATGGACGATATGTTGACGTTGCGATTGTATCGAAATCAAAGCCGTGCGGCAGCAAATTAAAAATCATGCTCGAACCGTATGTTTGTCACTGCGAGAGCGCCTCATTAGCTGCATAGCCAGCTATATTTGCCCCTCGAAAAATTTACACTTGAACGTTAAAACTCTACGGTTATTAAGAGCACGTAGGACATGTAACTTAAGTTGCGCTTGCCCCTATCTAGCGAAGCAGATGTTTTGGCAACGGAGCTCGCATGATGAAACGGACATCAAAAACAATGTCCGAAACAACAGCAGGCAACGACAAGAAAGATAAACAACAGCATTTTTAGCGATAAACTCGAAAACTGGGCGTAGTTATATGTATCGTAAACTCGTTTTAGATTTCTTTCGTGAGAATTTAACTGCGATTCCAATAATAGCTATGTTACTACGAGGTGAAGAAAGCTCGTTTGAGCGGGAACAACGGAACGTTTTTATCGCCTTTTGCCGACATCTTTCATTTGTGATTACGATACATAGCTAAAAAATAAGGAAATCCAAATGAAACTGGTAAAATTGCTTGAGCTCTGAAATCCGTTCTGCATTAGCCTAATCATGTTCTCCTTACTATCCGTACTCGTGTTGCCTTCAAAATGTTATCGTAGGACCCATAAAAGTATATTGAACTGAAGCAAATCGTGTGCGTATTCCAATAGTTTCGACGGAAACTCGTCATTGCAACTTTGCCGTAATTACTGCAATATGTCATTGCGGTGAAGCATTTGGTGTTACGTTGATGACTAACGTTGCATGTAGAGTACAAGTGTAGAACGGTAGGTAAACGAAACATCTTTCACCACATGTGCAAATTGAAGATCATAAACATTGTATATTTCTCTACAAATGTACTGTTTTTACTGTGAAAGAACACAGAAATATTTACATCGGCACGACAAAACTTAAATGTTTTTGACCAGTGGCCAAGCAACTGACGCCAGCCCGAACTTGTAGTCCTACAATGCAAATTTTTCCGCAACAGTGTTATTTATGTTCGTGGAACATTAATTCCATTCGTTGTTTTTTCACTGAATGAATACAAAAATATTTGCGTTGTAGTAGAGTAAGAAAAACGGACTGAATTTGCTGCCACTCAATTCATCGCAGGAATGAAAGCGTATCAGTTGATTGACAGCAATGTATTTATCGCTTACGATTAAAATAGCTGCGCTCGACGTATTTGCGCTAAATATGTACACTGTCTTGTCAAAATGGTAAATTTTCTATTTTAAAAACACGTGAGAACGTTCGTACATTGTTTATGTTGTTTATTGGTCTATTGTGGGCGGACAAATGTGTGGATGCTTAACAAGATATACGGCTTAAGTTGTTTTGTTTGGCGCTTTCACATTTGATGAGACCTCTTTTTGTATTTGTGCACATGTTTAGCTAAGTTGAACTCCAGCAGTTATATAAGCAATCTTCAACTTACTTTGAAAATGACAATCTTTGCATTGCGTTGCATTTGTGTCCGGCGCGAAAATATAAACACGTTCAACAAGGTTTTGCGCACATGCAATTTAGTGCGTTCATTTAGTTTTGTATCTCCGTGGAAGAACTTTTGAACAGCATTGTCATGTCTACTTATGCTTTCAATGATTCGCCATTTTCCTAGCTTTCTCTCATTTTTAGCAACCGTGCAAGCTTTATATATGCTGCGGCACTCGACAATTTCCTTCTAATAAAATGCAAACGTCTTCCTATGAACTCGATCGCAATGTCAGGCTGTCAGCGACTGCGAACATTACTACAATACTTCAAAAAATAACAGCGACATAGTCACTAAAAGCAATCTTTTTCTTGTCTCAACGATTTGTTCAAATATGGTCGAATTTTTTTAATGACATGTTGCAATGCGGCATATCAAACTCTGATGATGTCGCTTTCTTTTATTTCGCTATGTTGAGAAGGATGTTATTCTCAGTGCGCGGTTAATGTGAACCGGAATCACTAGATCTAGCATTTTTTACCGTTCGAGATTTATTGTAACTGCAAACAGAACCGTAGTAATATCATTCGCTAGGAAAACTATGTTGTGATGAAAACGTGAAACGCGCGCGGATCATTAATAACCTGTTAAGTTTCTGTTTGTACGAAAAGTTTCTGCAACTGGAAAGAGATACGGTGCGTACATAGGATAGTAGGATTATGCATGATTGATTGATGAACCGCGCGTATACAGGCATTTTATCAAATCCAATAAGATTTAGTTCAAGAAGTCTGTCGTTTTTGTATCATAAGTTTGACGATATTCTGCCTGCGTTTGTATTGAAGCTGAAAACCACATTTGTTAAAGTAGAATAATACACCGCCATGTCATATAGCTTAGTTCACGCTGCAGAAACAAGCATTAAGATAACTGAAGTATAACCATGCACCTTTTAATCGTTTTAATTAATGCTTCGAATGATTTGGGTCTTGCCGAAATTTACATGATTTGCGCATATTCTAAAGGTGACATATGAGCAATGCACAAACATCGGCTTTAGCGTAAGCACAACAAGTGAAATGTTTTTTTTCTTGTGTATACGTTTTGTGCTTATGCTTCTTTCGTTTGTTTAAACCAGGCCTAAGTTGATTTCGACCATCAATTTGTACTGTATGGGAAGTGGACGTCAATTCAATCAAACCGTTTCTCGTCAACTGTCCATGTAACATTATATACTTGCAGTGCAACATACATTTCTTATAGTTAGCGTGATGTTTAGTTGTTCTTGGATTTAAAATTTTACTATTCAACATAGCTCCGTCGATTTGCGAACCATTGTGTAGCTGTCTTTTACCAATTAAGGTCTACGGATCGTTGTTTACGAGATTGGTATCAAGGAAGTATTCTGTCGCTTCCACTTGTTGATGCAGTATTTTTTACTTACAGACCGTGAAAAACGCGGCGAATGACTAAACATTTCAAAAGTACAGTTAGCTATCTTGCTTCATCAGAACGTCGTTTCTTGCCGGAAATTTAGCCGAGATTAGCTATCACACATGCATGTTCATTCTGTCAAGCACTGCATGTATATGACGAACCTATATCATCGGGAACTAATGGGTAACTTCATCAGTGTTTAGTTCATTGTTCCATTCATTGCAAACATAATTTATCATTTGTATTTTCATTGAGCTATATTTTTATCCATGTTCGACTCCTAAACTCTGCGATTATTCGAAGCGTGTAGTTACATGCAGTACAACATAAATTCAGTACATATCCAAATTAGTGAGCACACGGCCATCGTGACTAAAAAACTGTGTAGTAATTGGTTATGTTTTACAAACACATGCGATGCCTTCCGCGCTTAAATTCTATGGAATTTGAGGGGTATTTGCGTACTTTTTCCATTTCGCTTCGGATAAAACACTTGAACAAGTGCTTAAAGTGCAACTCCCGCGAAATTTGACCCCCTCTTTTTTCGCCAAATACAAAGTACACATTAAAAGAAACTTTTTGGTGTTTATTTGAGCATTTTCTATAACCTATCAAAATCATACGCCAAAGATCGGCACCGGATGCGAATTTTTACAAATGCGCTGTGACGTCATAAGATGTACGTCTCTCTTGTGTAATACGGCTTTATATACAAATTGCAAGACGGACGATCTCTTTTATCAAGTTCCGAGCCAAAAAATGGGTTAAAATCCACGAAATCTTACAAAAGTATTAAAAAGACAATTATCTCAACAACAATGAGCAAAAAAATTTTGGAGTACGCAATTTTTTTAGAAAATTTATCAACAGACTGCCTGACACGGATGACAGCCATGTTGATGTAATGTTGAATTGTGATGTTTGCGGCTCTATTTCTTTCGACTGTGTGCCAAACATGGATTATTTTGGTTTTGTTAACTAGCACTAAGCACAACCTGAGGAAAATGCCGTAATTCCCGACAGTACAGGTCGAACGCTATCGGTAAATTTTGAGTATTAACGAAACAATCATAAAAATGTCATATTACTATGACGATTTGCCCAAAGACAGTCAGCATTCCGACACTTGGCTTTTTACAAAACTTGACCCAGTTAGTACATCAACGGTTAAAGATAAATTCTACCTAACGAACGCTGAAAGCTATTGTACTTGAGTGCCGCATTGAGTTGGGTAAACACCAATGGTAACTAACAGAATCAGCATGTGTGTTTATATAATTTTTATGATTGCATAAGAATAAAATATCAAACACAAAGCACAATTGCCTATGCTTTAGCCGAATAAAGGTCTTAGTGTTTATTTTTGAACAATACACGCTTTTTCCATAAAATACTCGAAAAAATATTTCATCACAAAATTGCGTGAAGCCGACCATGTGTTTATACATATTCTCATATATAATTGCAGCATTGATATATAATTTTAGCACAACAAGATTGGCATTGTTATTCATGATAATTATGGAAGGCAATGAGACAGGTACTTGAAGGGCAGCAGGAATCTAAATAACACCCAAAAAATTTAAAAATTAACCATAGAATTTGAAAACATCAATGAGATGGAAAGTGGAACATCACCTTGTCAATCAAATAGCCACAATCAGAGTAATCCTGAAACCACAATCCAGGTTCTATACGTATATGGGACTAGAATTAATCCATTTTCTTCACCTTTGAGCATCTGTTCCCTCTTTAGGAAACTTATGCATACATATTCCTTGTACATGAGAATCGTTTGTGCAACTAAGTTAGGACCACCACCAACATAATATTTACCTCCACATTCGCTTTTTTCGCTATTAAAATTATAGGCCCATGATAAGAAAATGTACATCTTATGACGTCACAAGGCAATGTAAAAAGTCGCACAGGAAGTGCCAAAAATCGCAAATTTGGAGAGCTGTAAAATCGGTTTGAAAAAGTTAAATGAAATTCTGTTTTCAGATTCGTATTCAGCGCCGCGACTTCAATTAGATTCGCTCAAAAAGAGGGGGTCAAATTTCGCGGGAGTTGCACTTTAATAGAAATGTCAAAGCTTTTGGATGCCGTCTTCTTGCCACAAACCTTTTTACAGCTGCAATCAAAAGATGCTTGGGAGCAAGATCCATGTTGGAGATTATCAACTACATAGCTGTATGGCTCCTGCGATTAAATGTCAGGGCTATTTTTACCATATAAACACCAAGGCATTTCTTAATTGCAGCTACCTATGTAGCCTGTATTAAATATACTTTTGAGGCTACCCATTCGTTTGTTTTGATTTGCATGTATCTTTTCGGAAATTCACAGAATTGGGTTTCGTTAATATTGTAACTTCTTTGCTTGTACAATTGAGCGTTTCGCGTATTGCATGTTTATTGAAATATTTGCTCTCACAAACATCTGTTCGCTTTGATAAGCATTTCTGAAAATTTTTATGCCCTTATTCATAACTTATATTGCGCGCAAGTAATAAGGGTTGATTAGAATTTGTGTGCATTGGCCATAAATCATGCCTAGAGTGACACATTGCTTAGATAACTGTTGCAATGTCTTGCATTAAATGTCAAGTTCTCTGACGTATCGATGCATGTGCACAGTTCAATAACAACTTGTTTACATGCTCCAAGGGCTAATGAAACACGCAACGGCTTGCAAAATAAGAACGGTGAATATTTGCTTGTTCGACATTCCGGCACCTTCCAACAGGTCGTATCAAATCGTAATTCATGTGCCAATCTTATACAAAAAGTCCTTAATTAATAACATTTGGCGTGATATAGCTGAAGTACATTGCACGTTTAATTGCCACTCATTGTGGAAGTCGCACAATACATAAAATGTTTCATTTCATCAAGCGAGAAATACTCCTAGTGATGCATCAAATATAAGGCCCTTATAAGACACAAGAGAGGACGAGGATTTTAGATACGACTTGTGTACTGACAGAAAGTTTCGAGTATAATTTATCCAGAAAAAATTGTATGGATAGCTTTGTGCAGGCAATTGCATGCAGCTGCGCCGAACGCTATGACATGTTGCAGTGCTTACAAGTATTTTAGTTGGTCTTAACACGACAAAAGCAGTTTTAGAAACGAATTCAACAAACTGGCCTGTCTATTTTTAAAGCGCCAATAACAAAACGACCTTATACATATGAATAAGTACATTTTTACTTTCTTTATCAAAGAGTAAAGGGAAAACCGATAACGACGATTTTCACGGTAAAGACAATTGCCGTGTTTTCAAAATTGTAAAAGTACGAAAAAGGCTTCGACAATGTAAGAGACAATGTTGTGGAACATGGTATTTTAGGGGAAACATTGGTGACAAAGATTTTTGCAATATTGGAAGCGATAAAATGTCAATGTACTTTCATATCCCCGTAATGTTCTTACTTGTGATTAAAAACAGCTTATCCTATAGTGTTGACGTATTCTCGATACATCTTGCTATTGTTGATTTTCGAAAGTGTTATGTCCGATCTATTTGCCCGTACAACTTTCGTTTCCGGTGATAAACAAGTGAACATTTGACAAAATATTGCGATATTCATAATATAAAAGTTTGCAAATGTTTCCGCAACACTATGCTTCCTATGTTACCATGGGCATTTCATTATTCCTTAAGGTGATGAATTGTAGAAATTCCGCGCAACCTCTACAAGTCGCATACAGTTAGTCAGTTTCTTTGTTTTATTTTCGTGCTCACAAACATGCAGTCATTTGGATTACTTAACCACATGCATACATTATAACATTTTATAGACATTTTTACATCCTCAGTATTGATTTGCAGATTCATGTGTGCCTTAGGTTAAAACCATATTAAATCTAAAGGATAAGATGTTCTCGGCATTCATGACGAGTCAAATTCAAGTCACTCTCATATTAACCAACAAGTTTTACTTTCAGAGATTGTTCCGCTTTACACCGCACAAATTTTGTTCCTTCAAGTGACAACTAATTTCTCCGGTTGGTCATCGTTATTAATCAATTCTTATTTGTTCATTGATTATATTGAGGCCAAATTTCATTGAAAGCAGAAGATGCTTCCGTATTAGAAATGAGCATGCTTAAATAAAGTTGAACTGTGCACTACGTACTACATCACATACAAAAATTCCTGAGATAATGAGTATTGCTCGTGAAGAAGCCACGTGATTAACGAGTGCTCCAGAATTGTTCCGACTCCAGGGAGCTCTTTGACAATTATTGATTGCGGTTGACCATGCGTCGTGAAAGAACCTCCTTGGTGATGTTCAAACGTTCTTGTCAGTCATTAAAACATTTTAGCATCATCGGGTCACAGAATATTTCTAGCGGACGAACATATATGCGAAAGGTTAAAACTACCGAAGTTATCGTTGTGCTAAGATGATGAATCAAGAAGTTCTCTGACTGGCGTCGTTTCACAATAAACCTTTCATAATTGACTTGCTTTCCTGATTCATACTACAGTCCCATATATAGCTATAATTGTCCTTTGTCATGTTCACATGCCATTCGCAATTTGCTTCTGCCGAAAGATTCGGCTAAATGACGGTAATGGCTTTTAAAGATGCTCAGTCTGCAGTTGTATTTTCCGAAAAAGTTATGCAATGCTTATGCAAAAAAATGTCTTATTGAAAATCCAGTGCAAAATTAACTCACGAAGATTAGTTGAAAACCGTTGTGCTCTCAGTGAGTAGTCAACGAATAACATTGTGGAAAATTGTTTTGCAACTTTTTGATAAGCATTAGAATTTTTTTGAAAATCATTTTTAGGAACAGACCTTGAGGGTATGTGTGAACCCACAAAAATTATTGCCCTAACCTTTGCAAAAAGTGCAGCGATTGAGATTGTAAGATTTTAACGATTGTGGCTTGATTACGATAAGGTCAAGATATTTGCTGAATGTATAGTTCAATCAATGTCGTTTTTACGCCCCTCTTCTTTCTTTCTCGATGTTCACCCAGTCAGAAAATCATGTTATTTAACTGTCGATTAGATGCAATAATTCTTTTGTTAACGACCTACACAAATTGCTCTGTGGCTGCTTGTTACGGAAATAGGAAGCGCCTGGTTACATTTTCTGCCTTAGCTGTATTGACTTTTCATGATAAAGTGTTCATAGTTCAAGTTTTTCTATTTACTTTCAAAGCTGATGTAATAAATTAAATGAGGAAGATCGCCGGGAACTCAGTTACTATTTTAGCTTGCAACGCGATCATATTTGCATGATTGATTGGATTTCATTATGAAGTTTTGGAGCGTTTGTCATTCGCTCTGAGAAAATGGCATAATAGCTAAATCTCATGATGTGTATGCCCATGAGGTTTTTTGCCACGCCGAACATCTGAAAGCGTTTTATTTTGAAACTGGCACCATTGTGTATCGATCTTTTGCTGATAATAGGATGTTTTTTTCTCGCGAATTCTTCAGTGTTTTTTAAGATGCAAGTGTCAATAATGATCATCCCTTATTTGGTTTTATTGATAGAGCTTGTCCTGAACGTTTTTTAAACTATTCATTGCTACATGAGAAGACAATTGGGAAGTGATACGACTGCATTGTGTCCATTCCACTGATGAGAGCGCAAATAACTACTTATGTTTGATCTGGAATAATCGCTTACTGCCAAGAATTAACGGGCCTCATGAATAATGACAGAGTGTCACTTAACCCCTAATAAACCTTTCAAAGTCTTTGCAATCGATCTCAATTGACGTAGTCCGAGCATCGCTTGCGTTGCTGCAATTGATGTGTTTAAAATGGAAAATACCAAATTTTTGTTCGACAAAAAAATAACCACGGCCCGCAAGATAACAGTTCCGGGCTTGCCGACCTTATTACAACGTGACGCTCTTTATGCAAATATGCCTCACTGAATGCAAACTTTTATAATATGTTTGGAGTGTAACCAACGCTGCTGCTGTTAATAATAGCCTTATCGCTTCATCGGGTAGTTGCTTAAAATTCGCGCATCGAATTCCTCTTTGAAAAATAAAAAAGTGGTGGCTTTTTATAGCGCCTTATCATCACCAATGTGTGTGGATGTGCAGCATATTTTCACGACAGCTTGAATTGATTTCGCAACGATTTCAGATAGCACTTTATCACGCTCAACCCATACAGTCCAGGAATATTCGCAATTTAATCGCATGTCGATCGCACGAACGCGATACGGCTGCTCGCATCGGGACAAAATTCTCTTGCGCTTGATGGAATCCGCACTAATTAAAAGTTTCTCTGGCGCGTGGCTGTTTTCCGTTAATTTATAAAGATTGCAAATTCCTCTGATCGATGGACCACATGTTAAACTCGATTGACAGCCAGCCCGAGCCTATAAAACACCGCGTTAAAGTGGTGTGCGATCATTCTAGCTCGAGTGGACCTTAAGTGGTTTTTGGAAAACATTTCAAAGCGCGATAAACATCGACATGAGTGCGGGACGTTCGATTCAAGCGATCACGGCCACTCTACATCTGCTTCTTCTGCTTGCTGTGGCGACGTGTGGTGTCAGCGCAATTTGTTGGAGCTGCCTGCCAGAGAATTTGACCGACGACGAAATCGACAGGATACTTGCCGAGGACTTCAAGAAACGAGTGCTTGAAACAATGGGCCTGACGACGGAACCCGTTCTACCACCAAATCTCAACCAACCACCACAGGAACTTCTTGAAGAGATGTATCCCCAAGAGAGCGACAACATGGACGACGTAGAAAGCAATCTGGAGTCGGAAACAGTTCTGCTAAAACCCCGAAATAATGGTAGGTTGGGTTTTGTCGTTTTCTCTGAAAGTTGACGCGTTTGTACTTTACAAAAAACTCTGTACATGATAAGTGTAGCCTGCTATATCTCCGCCGATTTTACAAAATCGTCGTGCGTTGGACCGTTCACCATAAAAATATTGTTGTGCATGTTATGCGCGCACTCGTTGAACAAATTAAAACAGTGAACGCATGACTGACATAAGCAACTGCTTCTCGGACAACATAACGTTTGCTTGTTATCATTGGTCGCGCAACTTGCGGGCCACGAGTGGAAGCTTCAGCTCTCTTTCCTATAGCTGTAATTAAAGTTGTACAGGTTGCATGAAACATAAACTAATCAAGTCATACAGATTTCAGCGACATGTCATTTCTCGTTAGCGACAAGCCACAGCAATAAACACCTACGTACATAATCAGTTGTTAGTGCCCGTAATCTCTGTGTGCGTCAAAGTCTGGCGTCATTTCAGACATATCGCGCGACATGTGTTTGGTCATAAATCAATTCTTGTGAGCTTGCCGTTTTCAAATTCATGCTCGCTGTTCGTTAGCCAAACTAGCCCCCTTGCCGAACATAACCATGCTCGAAGTAGACCGTACGTTTTCGCAATTAATAATCGCGAGCTTAAAATGCTCGTGCAATTCTAAGTCGTTAAAAATCTCATAAAAATATGTTTTGACGTACTTGACATAATCCACCAAAAACATTGAGATGATAATCAGAAACATGAAAAAGTTACTTGATTGTACTTATCCCTCGTATAGTAAACGAGCCACACCCCACAAAGAGGTGGGTGAAGGGAAGAGTAGTGGTGTAAAGATAACTCAACAACATATACAATCATAACAATACTCTTTGACGTTCTTTCCCCTTCTTAACTACCATGACCAAGGAACATAAGTTCTATTCGCAATGCATGTTGCATTGTTTTCATATTTGGGTTTGCTCATATTATATTTCGTGATTGTTAAGCTAATCAGCTGGGAGAAATAGCGCGAATAGTTTGTTTCTAAATTTGCAATAAATCATTATTTTGGGTGCAGCATTAAAAAACTTGCATCGCAATGAGCAAACGATAATCTGATATGTTTGTGTATATTATTAGCTTGAGAATTTAGTATTTGCTGAAGGATAAAATGGCTACTGGGTGTATCTGAGCGTTTTTTATCAGCTGAAAAAACATTCAACTTCACGTCACGAGATGAAATGACTGATATAAATCCATGTGTGACCCGAAAGACGCGATGTCTCGCAATTCGATTTCGTGTCACTTTTTTCAGTCTTCAAATTCAGAATGCGCTGATAATTTGGGTGATTTATTAAAGCTCGTGCTTAATTTGCATTTTGGGCGTCACTTTTTTATCAACTTTAGTTTTCTTGGTCACTTTGTTGTTAAGAATTGATACGTTGAATTTGAGAAGGTTTTGTAGCATTCAACGTGAAGGAAAGGGCTTTCTACTTACAGAGACGAAATTGAGTGTTTTAGGGACTGCCATCACACATTTGCCTGCTAACTAAGACGAGTGACGTCGTGTATGCTGTAAAAAATGTAATAACGATTCAAGCAACGTCTATAAACCAAGGCAAATAATATGACTGATTTCAAAGCTCTAGTGTTTTCAATTAAAATAAAGCTGCCTTTAGTTCTAATGGCTGGAAACTGTGGCTTTGTCGATAATTCGACGCTTGTACTGTTTATGTCAAAACAATAATTTTGGTTTGTGTATGCGAAAATAACAACATTGTCTTCGCGGCCATTCCCTCCTCGAGCTGCGCCAACCAGTTTCGATCACGTGGTTTTGTATCGTTCACTGAACGCATTGTGTGGTATTTTTTTGTAAAGGCCCAACGTCATCATGCCAGGTCTTACCTTCAGTTTCCTTTCGTAAATTTTCATATCTGACAATCAGCACTGCATGACAGTCTTCTGCTGGTGCCACCCAGGCATTTCTCAGCTTATATTTTGGAGATCTAATCGGTCACCTCTTCAACTCCCACGCATATAATGCGCTCCTTGCCATAAATAACCTCTATCTATCTCGCAGGAGTGAAACTTGTTTCAAGGCTTTTCATAATGTGTGCCGTTTTCCCACTCCTCACGTTAGGACATGTACAGTTTTTAAAGAAATTGAGTAGGGGGTCAAGCGCCATTTCATCGACGCGATGCCAGATTTGGTTGTGACACATGACAACACACGAGTAACACAACTGTGTAAAATCAGTGCGGGCCCACATTTATGGTGTGAGCGATAAAAATCGCTTTAGCTTGCAATCTTTGACTCATTGCCCATAAACATGCTCACTTTCTGTTACAAATAGCGATTTAATAATAGGGGTGGGGATAAGTTATTCCCTTAAGATCATAACTGAACGAAATTGTGTTTGAATGAATTGTCGACGAGGAATCCCGAAACCACTTCGATTTGATATCATGCGGGATTTTTAAAATGATAGCAAAATTTTTGTCACTAAAATGAAACCTCGTTGTCTTTGAGGAACACTTTTCTGCATTCATTACTCTGTTTAAACCTTAAAGTATCTTTAAAAAGAAAACATCGTCCAATGGGAACACCTGATCAATTAAAAAAATGATAAATACTGCAACATAAAAATCTGCATTTTTTAGACACAAGTGTTGGAGAGAACATTTCGTTTTTCGAATACATCATGAAGGACAAAATCGACGGTTATCGTGTTGAGCATGCGTCGTTGTGGCTGCACCTGGACAAAGCGACTGAACATTACGATGTTTACGAAAAGATCTCCAACCTTCCGCGACGTCTTATTTATGCGTTAAAATACTCGCGAGAGACCGATGGAAAATGGCGAAAACTTATTTTCCAACCAAGTGAAATATGGCGTGATCATCCGTGGAGGAAAATGCGTATCGAATTGGAAGGAGTGAAGACGCCAGTTGTCGAGAAGCCGTTTTTACAAGTCAGCCTTAAAAAGAAATCAAAGCGCATCCAAAAACGATCGCAATCATCCGATACCACAACTTTAGACTGTCTTCCAAGCGATAAAAGCCTCTGCTGCAAGCATAAGCGAACCATACAAATCGCAAAAGTCTGGACTTGGGTTGTCTATCCCAAAGTGTATCAGGCGTTCACGTGCTCTGGTACATGCACTCCACTGCATCGCAACAACCACACGTGGACACACGTATCGCAGCAGGCGAACCCACCGCGTGCGCCGTGTTGTGTGCCCACTGCATTCACAGCCGTCAACGTTTTGACGCCTTCAAAGGACGGCACTGGCTTTGAAAATAGGCTCATTAAAGATTTGCAAGTAAGTAAATGCGGGTGTAGTTAATGTCGATGTGGAATATGAGTTATGTCCTGCGGACGTGTGGTCTGTTAATCAACGCATTAATAGATATGACGTATACTTTATAAGTTTTCTTGTTGGATTGGTAGAAATTAGAACGTTGTTCTACAGTATTTGAACAATTTAGAGCGATTTTCTTTGATTGGAACGATTTTGACGCGGACATAAATATCTTTTTTTTTGGCCGCCTAAGACAATTCACCCATGAAACGCGATGGTTGAAATACACTTTTATTTGCATAAGACTGTGCTGATAAAAAATATTGGATCCGCGACTTCTGGCTGTATTGGCCATTTTTTGTGTCGTGCCTTGAAGAGCTTGTGGAAACAACAAAATTTGTTTAGAATTGTTTGAAATTCAAAGCAACAAGTTCTTCTGTTTCCTTCTCTGAGTATAGTTGTAAATAAAAAAGTCTCTTTAAAATGCAGCATTATTGCGAATGGCAATAGCCAGCAAGACCACGATCAACAGTATTGTTTTTACCATCGCTGATTTTCTTCAATGTGGTGAATTTTTCATCGGGGGAGAAAGAGATATTTATGCTCCATAATTTCTGTCGACGCGTGAGACTAAAATAACGCTTTTATAGATATTTAGTTGTAGTCTACAACTACCTGAATTCTTTGGATGATATTTTCTCGTGTAAGATTTATAAAAAATTTATACGGTTAAACCGTGAATGATTTCAAAAGATGTGGATGATAATTACAAAGAGTGTGCATGAAATATTTCTTGACGAATACATACATGTGAGAATAATAAATAATTGTTTCGGCGTTCGTTCGCATGGAATCTTATGAATTGTAAATGCTATCAATATATCTATACATATAAATGTAATATGAATGTAGAAATGTGAACACTTCTTAATAAATTCGCTGTCCTATATGCTATGTCGTCTTATGACTGTTAGAGCCGGTACGTGACGACACAAACTTGTAAGCCGAAAATTTGAAAATGTTCCCAAACGAGTATTTTGAGTGATTATCAAAGTATCGTCAACCTAATGATCAATTAGAAGGCTAAGAATTGAATAAAACTGAACATTTTACATTGCCTAAGCTATTGGAATTAGACGAAATGACCTTTTCTCCTCCTCCACACTTAAAAACACTTTTGGTAATCTATGCCTCGTTAACAATTCAAGTCTGGAAGTCTGGTTACGACCTTGTTAGCAAATACTTCATTTAAAACAAATCCAACATGGCTGGAGCGAAAATGGTTATCAAGTACAAAACTGCATTGGTAGTACCTAAAAATCTGCAAGGAAATTGTGGGCTGTGGACCGATGTACGGCTCTGGGTTTTCGATAAGAGATATCGAATGGAATGCCAAGTTCTTCGATAATTTGTCAAAATCTCATTTTTAGTAGAAAGAACGTTTTTCATCAGTCATCAATAAAGTTCTGCTTACCTGTCACAAATCAAAGGATAATCTCTCCCTAGCTATACATGTGTTGCCAACTATTATAGTTTAACGATCTAAAAATTTTGTGCGTCATTGATATCCTCATTTTGACGATCAAAATTGTTTTAATCATTTGACCACTTGAGTACATTGTGTTTGTAGAATTAACGGTCGCTTCGAACTTTGGGTGATTTCGTTACGTTTATAGTTATTTATTCAAACGATAAAGTATTGCAAATGTTCAATCCCATGTGAATGCTTGTGTTGTAAACGGTGAGATTCACAAAATTTGTCGAAAATACTCAGCCTCGATCATTTAATCACCACGCATGCAGTGGCGAAGCAAAAACACAGCACTTTCATGATCACCTTGATGATGAACTTATTTCAAAGCGAGTCGCGAAATGTAACGAAACAAACAGGCCATGGCTTGCCTATCAGACGAAAAGCATGTAGGGTAAGAAACCGTTGTTAGGGTAAGAAACAAACAATAAATGTTGGTATATTTTCAATCAAGAATATTTGGAACTCTTGTGTTCTTCGATAACAGGTAGTAATATTATGAGCAGAAAATCAATGGAATAAGTTCGTCTCTTATTTCCGTGTGTAGACTTAGGAATGGAATTCGCATCCTTCAAGGGTCAGTGTGTTGGCATCACTGGTTGGCATTGCAGTTCTTTGCATTAGCTTGCCAAGGAAACTGACTTAATGAAAGCCGTAAACGTCGGATTGTGAAATAAGTGAAATTATTGAAGATCATAGTATACACAACGTGTGCAATCGTGGCAACTCTTGTCTTAGTTCCCTAGTTTTTCGAGAAGCAAATGCGACTCTGTATAATTTCGGAAGAAAAACTCGTTCTTCCAATAGGCAAAAGGTAAGGAAAGAAAGTAAGTGTTTTTATCAAATTTAGCTACGGCTCCATACGATTGCAGGGAGTCATATTTTTATTCATCGAAGGCTGTTTCTTTTTTGGACTATTTCTCTGTTTATTTCAAGATTGAATCGAAAGAAAACGAGTTTTTCTTAAAAATCTTAGATTGAGAGGTTGTAATTACCGAAGATATGGATGCGATATTCGCTATTAAACAATTGCTGCACAAACTGACAACTACACCACTCAGCCAGACGAGAAATTTGCAACTCCGATGAATGCTGAATGATGTCTTTCAATCGTATATAAATTTGATAATGTATAGAATATTGTAGATTACTTTGTAGCCGTCGCTGCAAAAGAGAAAATATACCATTTAAAGAAAAGACCTAACTTTGCTTTTCTCTTGAAGATGCTAATGAAGCATATCTTGTATTCCAATAATTCTAAAAACACTAAACTCAATAGTTTAAAACCAGAACACTGATTCTGTAGTTCTGGGTAAGTGTTTTAAACAGTTCTTTTAGAACTAGTACGTTATTATTTTGACCAATCACCATGGTATTTGCTTTTTTCAAAACAATGTGTAAACAAAAAGATTGACCTAAAGATAAACACAGAGGTAGACAAAAAATGGACAGAAAGGTAGATACTAAGATAGACACAAAAGTAAACACACAAAAGTAGACGCAAAGATGGCACACAAGTGGACAAAAAGGTAGACATAAAGATGTATACAAAACTGTGCACAAAGATGAACACAAAGGTCGACGTAAAAAATAGACACAAAAGTGAACACAAAAGAAGACAAAAAGATAGGCATTAAGGTATACAATAAGATAGGTAAAAAGGAAAGAAAAAAAATTGACACACAAGAACGTTACAAAGAGAGCTTCTATATGCAATGCTTTTTCTAATGTCAACGATTATGAAAAATTCAGGTAAACACGAGAGTAAACAAAAAGGTTGACAAAAAGGTTGACTAAATGATAGACACAAAGCTGGACAAAAATGAAGACTCAAAGAGGCACAAAAGGTGACAAAGGGTGACAAAGGAGACAAAAGGACTATAAGGGGACAGTTCAAAATGGTGACTCTTGTAAAATTATGACTTTTAAAAATGTCCTCGCCTATAAAATGACGAGTTTTTCGAATGTGAACGATTATAGAAAAACAAAACTTTGACAAAAACCATCGACAAAAAAGTAAACAAAAATGTAGACACAAACAAAGGTGGACACAAAGGCAGACATAAAAGTACACACAAAGGTGGACAAATAGGTGAACACATAGGTGTACACAAAAGTAGAAAACTAGGTATAGACAAAAATGTAGACATATAGATAGTCACAAAAGTAGATCGTCATGAAGGTAGACAAAAAGGTGGACATAAAGAAGACACACAAAGGTGGACATAAAAGAAGATATACAAAGATGGACACAAAAGAAGACACAAAGATGGACACAAAAGAAGACACACAAAGATGGACACAAAAGAAGGTGCAAAGGTAGACATACATAAGGGTAGACATTAAGTGACAACTATAGACAAAAAGATGAATTTTTTAAATGTTCTCTCCTATGAGTTGACTACTTTTTAATATGTCGTCTTCTATGAAATGAAAACTTTATTAAAAGGTCGTCTTTTATGAGATTACGACTTTTCTTAATTGTCGTCTCCATAAATGACGACTGTTTTAAAAGTCGTCTTTTATGAAATAGACATAAAAACAAAATATAAGCCATACAAAAAGTTAGATAGTCACAAACGAAAACAGTCACGAAGGTAGACACAAAGGTAGACGCAAAAGAGTAGACAAAACGGTGGGCACAAAGGCAGACATAAAGTAGACACAAAGGTAGGCATAAAAATAGACATAATATAGACACAAAAGTAGGCACAAAGATAGACATAAAGTAGACACAAACGTAGGCACAAAGATAGACATAAAGTAGACCCAAAAGTAGGCACAAAGATAGACATAAAGTGGACACAAAAGTAGGCACAAAGATAGACATAAAGTAGACACAAAAGTAAGCACAAATACCGCACTGATATCGAGTTGCACATTGAAGTGGACTTTGTTTATATTCCATGTACTTTTGACGTTTTTATTCCATGTACTGTTGACCTTTTTGAAATATCGTTCATGTCATCTTTTTGAAATATCGTTCATGTCATCTTTTTGAAATGTCGTTCATGTCATCTTTTTGAAATGTCGTTCATGTCATCTTTTTGAAATGTCGTTCATGTCATCTTTTTGAAATGTCGCTCATGTCGTCTTTTTGAAATATCGTTCATGTCATCTTTTTGAAATATCGTTCATGTCATCTTTTTGAAATGTCGTTCATGTCATCTTTTTGAAATGTCGTTCATGTCATCTATTTGAAATATCGCTCATAATGTCTGTTTTTAATGCTGTTCATGTTAGTTGCTTTTAAATTTCAGTTTTCTGAGGTGGAGACGTAATTGTTAATGGTGTAATTATCATCAACAACCCACTAAAGCCGGCAATTAACAAAGGTTAACATAAAGGTAAACACAAAGGTAGACATTAAAGGTGGAAATAAAGGTAGACATAAAGATAGACACAAAATTAGACATAAAGGTAGACACAAAGGTGGACACAAAGGTAGACTTAAAGTAGACACAAAGGTAGACACAAAGGTAGACTTAAAGTAGACATAAAGGTAGACATAAAGGTAGACTTAAAGTAGACACAAAGGTAGACATAAAGATAGACACAAAATTAGACATAAAGGTAGACACAAAGGTGGACACAAAGGTAGACTTAAAGTAGACACAAAGGTAGACACAAAGGTAGACTTAAAGTAGACATAAAGGTAGACTTAAAGGTGGAAATAAAGTTGGACATAAAAGTAGACATAAAGGTAGACTTAAAATAGACATAAAGGTAGACACAAAATTAAACATAAAGGTAGACATAAAGTAGACATAATGGACTCCGTCGATTTCGACGTATGAGGGTTCCACAAAGTGGAACATCCTGGTTACTTAAATTATAGTGAAGGCAGCTGACCAGACTACAATCACTCGTACCTTTCACGCAACTACAACGCTGATATCAGCGTGACACACAGTGTGACAAGGCTGCAACATTGCAGATGCAGATACAGTCCATCCGAGGACATAGTTTCCTCTACCAAATTTCCCTCACATGGCTTTGGTCAACCCGGGCTAGGTTTACAGACACATTGCCAGATGTGCCACGAGCCGGGATTGAACACGCGCCGTCTGGCTTACAGCTCACGCAATTAACCATTCAGCCACCCGCCCCGTCCAAAGTAGACATAAAGGTAGACACAAAGATAGACATAAAGGTAGACATAAAGGTAGACACAAAGATAGACATAAAGGTAGACATAAAGGTAGACATAAAGGTAGACACAATGTTAAACATAAAGGTAGACATAATGGTAGACACAAATTTAGACATAAAGATTGGTACAAAGGTAAATATAAAGGTAAAAATAAAGGTAGCGAATTTTTCATAGTCGTTCATATTTGAAAATCTCGTCATTTTATATGACAGGGCATTTCAAAAGTCGTCTTTTGATAAGACTCACCATTCTCAACTCGCTATTAGAGTTTTTGTCTATACTATTTCGTCTCCTCTTGTTTACACCTATTTGTCTACCTTAGTGTGTACTTTTATGCAGGGGCGAATCCACCGATGGGCAAAGTAAATTACCTCAACACATTAATTGGTTGATTTTTATTTATAAGCAATGAGTTTGTTATTAAGGTATTTTAAATTTAAAATTATCAGTAATAATTTATTTTGCCTAACCCTAAATCCGCTACTGCTTTTATGTTTACCTTTTGTTCACCTTTATGTCCTCTTTTGTGTTAATCTTTTTCTCTATCTTTTGGTCATCCGTTTAGTTTATCTTTTTGTTTATTCTTGTTTTTACCTTTTTGTCAAATTTTTTCATTATCGTTAACATTTAAAAGTCATCATTTTAGGGGATAGGCATTTCAAAAGTCGTCATTTTCAACACATTATTACATATAGAGGTTTTGTTTCTAACGTTCTTTGTACACTCTCTTGGACTACCTTTGTGTGTCATACTTTTTTCTCCCTTTTTGTCTTTTTGTTAACTTTCATGCCAATCTTTTTATCTCGCGTTGTGCTATTTTAGCGACCTTTTTGTCTACCTTTCTGTTTACCTCTGTGTTTATAACTTTTTTTCTATCTTTGAGTTCATCTATATGTGTTTACCTATTTTGTCTAACTTTGTGTATACTTTTATGTCTCTCTTAGTGTCACATCTGTTTGTGTGTACCTTTTTGTCTACCTATTTGCCCATGTTTTTCTCCATTATTTGTTTACCTGGTAGCCTAAAGTATTCATAATCGCTCACATTTGAAATCGGTTTTCATAATCGCTCACATTTGAAAACTCGTCATTGTATAGGAGAGGATATTTCAAAAATCGTCATTATATTAGTCACCGTTTTCAACTCGTCAGTACATGTAGAAGTCGTCTTTCTAGCGTTCTTTGTGCACTCTTCTAGGCTACCTTCGGTTAAATTTTTCAACTAATTTTGCATACCCTTTGTTTATTACTGTTGTCTATCATTGTGTCTATCTTTGTATTAACCTTTTTGTTTACTATCTTTTTGTACACCTTTGTAACTGTCTTCCTTTGTGACTATTTACCTTTTTGTCTAGCTTTATCTCTATATTTTTTGTCTACTTTTTTGTATAAACCTAGGTGTTTACCTATTTGTCAACTTTTGTGTACACTTTTATATCCACCTTTTTGTCTACCTAAGCGTCGATGCTTTTGTCGTTTTTATTTACCCTTGTGTTTACCTCTTTATCTAAATTTTCTTAATCGTTCACGTTTGAAAAACATGTCATTTTTTAGAGTCACCATTTCAACTCATCATCTGTAAAAGTTTTTGTCTGCTCTTTTTTGTCTACCTTTTGTGTACTCTTGTGTCTTTCTTTGTGTCTACCTTTTTGTGTACTCTTGTGTCTCTCTTTGTGTCTACCTTTTTGTGTACTCTTGCGTCTAACTTTTTGTGTACCATTGTGTATTCTTTTGTGTCTAACTTTTTTCCTACCTTAGTGTCAACCTTTTTGTCTATATATCTTGTGTACACTTCTTTCTACTTTTGTGTCTATCTTTTTGCCTTCCTTTGTACTATTCGTCTGTTTTTTGCTTATGTTTTTGTCAACCTTTTTGTTTACATAAGGGTGAACTTTTGTTTTTCCCTTTTAATTTACATTTTTGTCTAACCTTATCTCACGCTCAAAAAATATCAGGAAACAAACGAATCGCAGCACTACACTGATCAAAATACAGTAGCCACGTTTTAAAAAAGTTACAATAGTTTAGAAAACGTGTAAGTGGCAGCCATGTATCTTTAACAAAATACTAATAACGAACAGGCAATCCTAACATGTTCAACAGCATGATCAGCTTGTATTAAAATGCATATGTCAGCACTGTTTGACTATACCTACGAAAGAACGAAAAGATCAAGGAATAATTGTTACCATCCTTAAGAAAAATATTTTAACGCGCAGTATACATTGCACGCTCTACAGCAGGATTATTACACATGCGGTGATGGTAAGGAAACTCGGACAAATGTTGCTCGCACTAAACGTTTGAGGTAATTTTTACACAAATTTTGCACCATTTCTATTTGGAGATCTTCGTATACAGATTTGTGGTCTAATAGTTATTTCATAGTACTTAAGACACGGGAAGTACTTTTCTCTTAATGAGCCATTTTGATATCAAATACATGAGCATTCAGATCAGACATGGTTCAGGATAGTTTGTAGGAGAGGGAGGGGTAGTTGATGCTCTACTTCGCATAAGACGTCGTTTAGTCAGTCTAATTTGGATTTGATGACAACGGCTCATTTAAGGGTGTTTTTATGTGATTTTAGCCAAAGTACTGTGTGTGGGGAAGGGGTGGGTGGTTGTACACCTCCAGCTTTCTTCCCCTAAATCCATCCCCAATTTAGATGATTTTCCCAAGTAGCGTTCCCATGAAACCCATGAGTGACGTAAAACTTAAGCGTACGTAAACGGATTTCACAATTGAGAAAGAGATCGTCAGAAAGACAAAGAGAAAGAGAAATGTTGTTAGGGCTTCATACTCTTCCAAACATATTATTCACATTGTATAATCTGTATGATGAAGTTCCAAAACCAAAATTTTTAAATTTTTGAAAGGTTGACGCACTCCGCACTTTGCGCGCTCTCAAATAATCGTGTCGAAATGAACTAAACAAATGTTTGCAAAATAGATTGCTTGTTGAGCGATCAATAATGGATCGGAAAAGAGGGACACAAGGAGTTCTGGCGTAAGCAAATCCTCTTTCTTACGCTTTCTATGCTTGCTTGAACAAGATTTCTGCCTCTCCTTTCACAGCTTGCTGGACGGGTATTTACGTTTTGGCCCTTTGCTTTCTTTTCTCGGCTCGACCGAGCATACGGAAGACTTTTTTTCTGTTCTCTTTGAGTCGTGCACTTCTCTTGTTTTCCTCGTTCATTTTCTTCTTCGTGTAAACTGCTTTCTTTTTCGTCATTTTCTCTTTACGCTTGCGAAGTTTTTCCTTGTTGGCTGTGTACAGTTGCTGCATCAAAGTGTACGCCTGCAATTGTAAAAATACAACAATGAAAACTGTTTACAATGATAAGGGAACAATGCAAAGATTTATGAAATCATATGCAAGTTAATTTCATTGAAAATTTAATAAAATTGACACATCCTAACGCTATGATATTACAACAAATTTCACATACAACAGAAACAGCTTGGGTAAAGTGATCGAAAGATCTTTTTGTTTCCGACGATATTTGTGTGAAAAGGCAATAAAAAATAAAATATTGACAAATGCGATTTCAAACACAGCTTATACACAAACAAATGTTATTACTTGTGATTTTACACAAGAACTAATGTTATTACTTGTGATTTTATACATGAACCAATGTTACTACTGTAAAGTGGGATTTTCGGCATGAAGGTAACAGAACGACTTTACGCTATAAACGTTGAAGGTGGATTTTTTAACCACTCACATTGGAAGATAAAATTTATTAATGTTCAAATATATTTAATGCTTTTTTGGGAAGCAATAACAGCCGTTTACATCTACAAGTCAATACATGTTGTGATAAACGAGGCTTTCTATTCTGCAGACTAAATCCAAAAATTTGACGTGTCAGCTAACACAGTGGTTAGCTTGTGAACAGGCTAACCACAACACAATAAGGCCGCAAAATGTCATGACAATACAAAGCACTTACTCGTTTCTCGTCTGGTTCCAAAACAACGGCTCTTCTGCTTTCCAGAGTTTGTTTACTCCGCTTCGTTTGTAATTTTGGCTTCGACTTGAAAGGCAATTCTTTTTGGAGAGTCTTTGGTATCACCAATGGTGCGAACCGTTTCTGCATTCTCTCGATCGGCTGCCAATAAATATTTTATTAGAGAATGACACGGTTTTTCGTCTCAAAGTAGTTTCGACATACTGCGCGCATTCTCAGAGAAATCGAAATGGGGAAGCCAACTCGTTAGAAAAATGCTCGTTACGGACAAGTTTTCAGTAATAGCCATAAAAAGTACAGGAGGCGAGTTTGATAAGTCAAGTTTAGAGAACCTGCGATCTTGGAAACATTATTTTTAGAAATTATGCGAGTGCTTCAAGATAGGCAGAAAAGCTTCTATACCACAGAACATCTAGAACTACCAAGTAATAAATGCAAAGCTTTACATACCTTATACAAGGAATCCTTATTGACAGGAATTTCCAGACCGCTATCCCGGCGTATTTCCGAGACTGTACGCATTCCTTTCCAGCTCATGTCGGACATAAGTAATGATGTCACTGGATTGTAGTATTTGGGCACAAAAACTGGGTACCAACAGCGAATGAAGACGATATCTAAGTGAAAAGTGGTGGAAAATCCGTACCTTATAAAAATTTTTTAGCAAGGCTATCCCAATCAGATGGATGATGTTAGGTTTCAGAGATAAACATGTTTTTCGGCTAAGCGTAATGCAATCTCACTTTTACTTTGAGCCGCAAACGCTTCCGTTGACACTTTAGGCAAAGTCTTCAAGGACCAATGATTTAGAACCCAATCCCGTGGATGTCTCTAACTACCGTTTAAAGGGGAGGCAAGGACGCCTTCTTGAAAGGCGGGAAAAAACAAAACTCTTCGTCAAAAAAAGTATAAAAAAAAACACTCATGTCAAAAACCAAACCTAGAGTATCACCTCTGCAACTACATATTAAACTTAGAAGAAGCAGATTTTAGTAGTGAATATCGTCAATTTCGACGCCTTCGAAAATAACGGTTTAATGCCTCACTCGCACCTATAGAAGTTTGGGGATGTCAGATTTCTAGAACATTGGGCTGCTCTATCTGAAAAGATTATAAATAGCCTTATGTGCGCGCTGTGGCATCATGGAAATATTCAGCAACGCTCTGTTAAAAACATGAAAATAAAATATAGTGAAGAGCAGAAACGATCGCCGTTCGCAAAAAAAAGTTTCAACACGAAAAAGCCACCATGTAGCTTTAAAAAGATAGCAAGAAAAAATGATCGTACCACTCATCAAAATTTTATCTTCAAACGTCGCTCGAAATGCTCCTTCGGGCGCCTTAACAAACATGAAAAAGTAAATAACTCTTACTGTAAGCATGCTAAATGTTTAACAAACAGTTTTAACAAAATCCAACCTTTATCGCTTTCTTTACTTGGCCTCTAATACCGCTGACCGTACGCACGTTGGCACCTTCGAATTTCGCGACTTCTAACGAAGAGTTGAACATACCCTGAGAAACAGACAACATAGTTAAAATGTCATATCTAGGAACACTGAACACTTCACTGAAAGTTCCGCAAATCATACGACGCGCCAAGATACGGTGGAGTAAGCAACATTTCTACTATTTCTATATGTTAAAGTACGAAAGGTTTTCCAAACTTAAACTAAATAAAATGAATGGGAATACCATGGCAAACCATAAAACTGCGTTTTTATTGTAAACTACTTGGAATAATGATTGACTTGTTTGTACATAAATAAAACGAAATTTTCAGCACTACGGAAAAAATACCCCTAAAGAACTGGGACCAAGGTGATCACTTGTACGAGTGCAATTTCCAGTCATTTACATCAAGTTTCATCAAAAATCACATTTTTGCTGCTTGTCCATTAAAGTCCAGCACTGTCATTTAAAATAGGTTGAAAACTTAGGTGCTCGATACACGTTTTAAAATAGCGCAGTAGGTACGTATATTTCGCTGCTGAACAGGCAGTGAAGTAATAGAGAAGAGAACGGAATACTCACCTTTATAAACGCAGTATTCCTGTGAACTTTAAGTGGAACACCAGTTAGTTTTAACTTCTTCACGATGTCAACCGATTTATCCAGATCTAAGATCACTCCAGTTGCAGCGATTCGAAAATGTGTCTGGAACAGAAATCAATCAATAATTTATCGAAGCAAATAAAAGAGCAAATTTGCAGGAAAGCGTTCGAATGTTTTGAAATGTTTTGGAAATTTCAACAACTTATCCTCAAGTTATTAAGCATATTACATGACTACCCAAAACATCTAATTATCAATATTGCGGAATGTAACATGATCTATTATGTATAATGTAACATTATCTACATATGTTATACAGTAAGTCTTCAACATCGTCAATAATTGTACAACACTACATCATCTATACTTAAGAATGCAACGTCATGTGTTATGTAAAATGTAACAATATATACGTTGTACACTGTAACATCAGCAATATTGTAGAACACTACATCATCTACATTGGAAAATGCAATACTATTTATTACGTAGAATGAAAAGTGAATACATATGGTTTAACGGAAGTAAGCATAAAACACGAGCATCACTATATCTGAAATAAAATAAACGAATTCTTACCGAAACATCTGAAACGGACTGTACAGCCAAGACTCCAGTGGCTGGCGGGACGACCGGTCCTAAAAATTGAAATAGTGAGCCGCTTATTTGAAACTAAATATAATGTTCTTGTTTAAATCATCAGCGACTTTCAAGTATTCTGTATCTGGGCTCCTCATTTGTTTTCTATTCTGTAGAAGATGTATGTTCTATCGTTTCCAAACAATCACTTCGCATTGTGATGGATGAGTCTGTACACAAATTTGTTTACGTTGACGCAAAACAGTATTTTCTTATTGCTTGCTGACGGTTTTTAAAATATCTAATTATGGAAATGGTAAGAGGGGATAAAAACAACGGAAGCAAAATAAAGAACAGAACGTTTTCACTCTTTTGAAGCGCTTCCACTACCTTGCAGCGGTCGTAAAAGAAAACATACTCCGAAGAAAAAGTCTATCTTCAGTTCAATATTTGAGAAATTAGAGAGAAAGCTCTTTTCAAGAATGAATTGGCGATGAATACGACATTGTAAAATTTGAAAATCGACGAGTCTTTATTTTCTCGAAAGTAAAGTTGAAAATCAAGGCTCAAATTAACGGCCGTAATGTGCCCAGTGAATATAACCTATCAACTTCATTTTTGCTCGATCCATTGACCGGTCACTGTGCTTACGTCATCACCACACATTGTCTCACAAAAGTGAGGGTGGAAAAATCCCCGTAAGACGAAATTGGCTAAAGCACAACAAAGAAAAATTCAGCTGTTGACGGATGAGCCAAACGATCCAGTCAGAATACTTTTATCAAAACAGAATAAAACCATTCGATCCAAGTTCATCCAGCTCATAATTACAAAAGCAAACGCAGGTTTTTTGTATTAAAATTCATGTTCGAAGAACATTGAAAAGAAAATTGACTAACAATTGTTGTGGAAGACCTGGAAATGTGGACGGTGAAAATGACCGGCAAGGCAACATGAATCCTGCAACATGAATGTTGAGCCCTGCAACATGAATCTATTTCTTCGGAGTATGTCACCTTTTAAACTTCATAAAATTGTCGTCTGGTAGTGATAATGGAGTCTAATGTATGTTATTATTACCATGCATTTACAAGCGATCGTACAAACTATGTTTTGCGTTGTTTTCCGGCTTAAACGTCATGTTTTGCCCGTCAAACATACACAGGAGAGTTTTGTAAAGTTAATAGTTCGAACTTGTGACATTGCATGCCTAATTATATTTATATGCTGTAATGACGTAGGTAATTCCTACGATCATAAACCATTTGCTTATAAACCGGTATAAACCATTGAATTGTTCCTTTTGAAACAAAGGGCAAAGAGGACACAAAGCAAGAAGATGAATCTTATAAGGAATCAGAAAAAATATCAAATGGTAATGATGGTTTATATATGAAATTGAGTTCAAACCAATGTGAGGAAGTAAATATGGAGACATTAGCTGAGACAGAGAGTGTTGGTAATATGCAATTTGAAGTAGTGCTTCAACAGAGTACTGATCAAAATGATAATGAGGAACCCAAAGGATCTAATAAGGATATTGGAGATGTTGAAAAATCAAGCAAAGATAATGTGCAATCAAGAGAAAATCAAAACACGATTTTGGTTGAAGAAAAGAATAATCATGATCAATTGGCTGCAAAGGTAACGGTAAAAGAAATTTCTGTTAAAGAAAAAAATGACAATGTCAATGTTGAAACAGATCATAAGCTCTTAGAGCAGATTTTCAAGAAGCCCCTTCATCAATCTCCATTGAGACTTCAGAAAATGTTGCTGAAACTTCAAAAGTACAGTTTGAAAGTCTCTTTAAGAAAGGAGCAGAACTTTATCTCGCGGACCAATTAAGTCGAGCGTATATCCAAGAAGAATCAGATGATCACTTAGAAGATTTTGAGATAAATGTTGTCTTGCCAGTAAGTGAAGAGAAAATGAACCAATTGAAGGAAGAGACAAAGAAAGATAAAGTAATGAAAATGCTACGACAGTACGTAGAAAATGGATGGCCAGATCTACGCAGTAAAGTCGATTTGGATGTTTTGAATTACTGGGACTTTAGAGAGACTCTTTCAGTACAAGATGACCTACTGTTTAAAGGAGATCGAGTAATAATTCCCGAGTCATTAAGAACTGATATGTTGAAAGCTATACATCAAGGACATTTTGGATCTGAATCATGCAAACGTAGGGCTCGAGAGTGTTTATATTGGCCAAAGATGAGCTTAGAAATAGAAGCAGAAGTTAGAAAGTGTGAAATCTGCAATGCCCATAAGAGTCATCAACAAAAGGAGCCTCTACAATCATATACTGTACCACATCGACCGTGGAGTAAAGTTGGAGCAGACCTGTTTGAATTGAATGGTAGAACCTATCTTCTTGTGGTAGATTACTACAGTGGATTCTTTGAAATTGATTACTTGTTAAATACAACATCAAAAACAGTTATCACAAAGATGAAATCTCAAATTGCGAGATACGGAATTTTCGAAGATCTTATAACAGATAATGGTCCACAATTCAGGAGTAAAGAATTTCGTGCATTCTCGTTACAGTATGGATTTAAACATACAACAAGTTCACCTGGATATCCAAAAAGTAACGGCATGTCAGAACCTGCTGTGCAGACAGCAAAAGCAATCATAAAGAAAGCAAAATATGATAACACCGATCCTTATTTAGGACTCCTTAATTATAGAAATACAAGACTTATTACATAGAAACAGAAAGAACAGTAAAGACTTTAAACAGCTTTTATCCCCAGGTTGATGAAATTCAATACCAAATAGTATTTCATGATGTAAATGTGCAAAAGAAGCTACTTGTAAAAGACAGCTTAGACGACAAAAAATGTGTTGTGATTGAGGGTCCAGCAGATAAAATTCGGAAAAAATGGCAAAAATTTACAAATGAACATTTGGGAGAACTTTTTTGTCGGGTTATCAAAATTCAGCCAAACACATTTTGTATAATAGCAAGATGCAAGACGGAGGACTCAGTTCTACCTAAGGACTTACATCAAATTCTTAAGAAGTTTTTAACAGAAGACAAAAAAAGCTTATATCCTCTCCAAGCTCTTTAGTTAGAACCTCCAACAGGTTCATTCCATTAGTGGACAAGTCAATATCAATCGCTTGTGTTTTTGAATTGTTCCTTTTCGTAAAGATCTGGCTTTTATGAACAAGAAGAGACCCGTTTCTCCTTGTAGCAAACTGTGTGCCATCACTTTTCTTTTGTGGCATTAGCAAACCATCATTACAATTTTGCATGTTGTGAGCTGCTTTGAGACTGGCCATTAGACACGTAATTTTTTTAAATCTGTGAAGAATTTTTCTTTGTGAAATCTGTTGCCAAGCATTTTTCTCTTGCTCATACCATTCTTTCGATGCTCAGGCTTTGCAACAACAAAGTGGAAAAATCTTGAAGAACGATGAAGCGATCACATTTAGAATATGACTACAGTTGTCTTGGGGTGCTTTTTGGCACAAAACGTAATTCATCCCGAACATAAAGGAAAATGGAGGAAAAACTTTCATGATTGTATTGGAAATATTGAAGATCGCAGGAGATTATGTGATAAAATTCGCGAGCTGATAACACTCTTTTACGGTGAGGATTACAGAACATTGGTTGACATTGAATTGGAAATTTCTGTTTTAAACAACAGAATCAAGATTGAAACGATCGATAAAGAGAAAAATCCAGAAGAAATTGAACGATTAGTAAAAGCGATTTTCGATCCAAATACAAGTAAAACGATGACAGACAAGCAAATGGAATTCTGGTTGCGGTATAGTCGATACCAGAAACACGTTCCGAAATTGACAGAAGTCCAAAAGCATGTCAAGACTTGGCTAAAAAAGAGGGGGGGAAATGGTGACGTATCACCAGTTGCTAAATTCTATGACTACGTCGTACATGTCTTGAAAGCCATGCAAGACCCTAACGATGTTCAAAAGCAAGAAAAAGCAGAAGAGCGATTGAAACTACAAGATAATAGAAAGAGGTCAAATCGAAAAGAAGACTCTTTACTTCCTATCGAATGGCTGTGTCCACAAAACAAACACATTAACTCCTTGGACAGTTTAATGCACCATGAAGATTTAGTGAAAGAAACACGTGAGAAAAGTGGTGTCAAACACGATGGTCAGCGTGCACTTATTGAAGGGGGTGCTATTTCTGATATTGCCACTCTTTTGTTGCCTTTCTTCTTTTTTTTCTTATTTTTATATAAGAACCATTGTATGTAATTGAATTGTTCCTTTGCTTATAAACCATTATTATGAGTACTAAATACTTATGAGTAATGTATATAAGAACCTGTACTTATGTAAGTTTCAGCAACATTTTCTGGAGTCTCAATGGAGATTGATGAAGGGGCTTCTTGAAAATCTGCTCTAAGGGCTTATGATCTGTTTCAACATTGACATCTCTGCCATAGATGTAATCATGAAATTTTTCACATCCAAATACAATTGCAAGTAATTCTTTTTCAATTTGTGCATATTTATTTTGGCATTCAGTTAAAGCTCTCGATGCATAAGCAACTGGTTTGCCATTTTGAAGACAAACTGCTCCTAAACCTGACATACTTGCATCTACGGACAATGTCACATCTTTTGATACATCGTAGAATTGCAATACAGGATGCTCTCCACAGGATTTCTTGATTCTGTCATACACTATTTGATGTTGATCTAACCAGCACCAATCATTTTCCTTCTTTAACATATCTCTGAGGGGACTTGCCATTTCTGAAAGATAAGGAATAAACTTGGCCAAATATTGAATCATTCCAAGAAATCTTTGAAGATCTTTCTTATCTTTAGGAATTGGCATGTTTAATATTGCTTTAATCTTTTCAGGATCGGATTGAAGACCATCTGACGTTATTTTGTGTCCCATGTAATCTACATTTGTTACTTTAACTTTTGTTTTTTCTTTTTTAATTTGAGATTGATTTCACGAGCTCTATTCAGCACATTGATAATTCTTTCATCATGCTCTTTCTCTGTTGTTCCCCATACTAAGATATCATCCATTATAATTTCACAACCGTCTATTCTGTCAAACAGCTGGCGCATAGCTTTTTGCAACACTTCAGGTGCTGAGGATATACCAAATGGGAGACGATTGAATTTGTATCTGCCAAAAGGCGTATTGAATGTTGTAAGATAACTGGAATCTTCATCTAGAGGTATCTGCCAAAATCCAGAGACTGCATCGAATACGGAGAAAATTTTAGCTCCAGGTAGTCTTGATACGACTTCTTCTATTGTTAAGAGAGGGTAATGCTCTCGCTGAATGGCTTCATTAAGATGTCTAGGATCAATACATATTTGTAACTTGTTTGGTTTTTCCACTGTTATCATTGACGAAACCCATTCCGTTGGTCTTCCTACAGGATCGATGACACCCATCTGTTGCATTCGTTCTAACTCTTCTTTTATTTTCGTTCTCATAGCTACTGGAACGCGTCGAGGAGGATGAATTGTAGGTTTTACATTTGGATTGACACTGATATGATGTTTAATGGGTAAACATCCCAGTTTGCCATCGATGAGATCTGCATATTCATTGAGAATACCGTCGCTAGTGAAAATAGGTTTGACATCTAGAATTCTTTTCACCATACTCAAACGCTCAAAATCAGGTAAACCAAGAATAGGCTTTACATCGTGTGTCGCTATATAGAAAAGAAGATTGTATCGTTTGTCTTTGTAAGAACACGTCATCACTGCTTGTCCCAAGGTTTGAACTGAATCTCCACTATACGACATTAGCTTTGTATTTGTTTTGGTAACTTGTTGCTCAGCTTCTGTGACTTTGTCGAACAATTTTTTAGAAAGCACATTACATTTTGCGCCTGTATCCACCTTCATGTTCACCAAATGTCTGCCAAACTTCAGTTCAGAATACCACTCGTCATTGCTTTTTTCTACAGCTTCAATATTCATTCGATAGTCGACTTTCGAGCTTGTGCGTTGTTGCGTAGGTTTGATTGCATTAACAGCACCAATAAACACTTCTTCATCACTAACTTCATGAACTGTTCTTTTTGACTTTTGTGTAGACGTTAGACACACCCGAGCAAAGTGGTTTTTCTTATGACATTTGTGGAAAATTTTTCCAAAAGCTGGGCATTGCTTTGGAAGATATTTTCCTCCACAGTTTCTGCAATTGTTCTTTAATACGAACCTTTGTCCTCGATGTTTATCTTCTTTTGTTTGACTTAGGTTTGTGTAACTTCCTCTTGAGGTTTTCAAATTCTTCCTAGCCTTCAGTTCATCGACATCTTGATAATTAGTAAGATCTTTTACTTGTTGTTCCGACAATTCGTTTGCACTGCATATGTTTAGAGCCTTGTCTAAAGTTAAACTTGTTTCGCGAAGGAGAATCTTTCTTACTGCATCACTGTTAATCCCTCACACAATACGATCTTTAATAAGTTCTCTCTCGAGGTCACCAAACTCGCACTTTCGACCAATGTTTTTCAAATCTGTAACAAAGGAACTAATCGACTCTGACGGACTTTGCTTCCTTGTATGAAATAAATGTCTTTCGAATGTTAAATTCTTAAGCGGCAGACAAATTTTTTCAAATTTCTTCACTAGAATTTCTGGATCATCTTTGTCTTCCTCTTCGTTGTAGGTAAAAGAATTATATCTTTCAACCGCATCTTCGCCAGCTAGATTTAAGAGGATGCATGACTTTTCTTTCTTTGATTTCCGACTATGTCCTGCAGCAACAATGTATATTTCATAGTTCTGTTTGAAGCGACGCCAATTCTCAGCAACGTTGCCTTCAAACGAGAGTCGTGTTGGCCTAGAAAATCCTTCTGCCATTCGATAAGAACCAACTTTTCCTAATCGCTACCACCATGTAATAAGTCTTGTATTTAATTCTCAAACTTACATAAGTACAGGTTCTCATATACATTATAATACCATTGAATTGTTCCTTTGACCATTTTATGGTCATTTTATGATCATACGGTTCATTTAAGAACCATTGTATGAAAAGGAACAATTCAAAAACACAAGCCATTGATATTGACTTCCACTAATGGAATGAAATTGTTGGCAGTCCAGCTCAACGACTAATGGGACGAAGAACTAGGACATTACTACCAATATCAGAGACGTTACTTGAATTTCAACCATTAAACCCTGTTAATGTTTAAGAAAAGTTGAAAATGTATCACAAGAAACAAAAAGAGATTTATGATCGCAATGCAAAACCACTTCCACCATTAAAAGAAGGAGATAAGGTACGTATAAAAACAGAAAAAGGCTTCCAAAAGAAAGGAATCGTGGAAAAATCGTCACTTGAGCCAAGATCTTATTTGGTTACGTCTGATGGTACCTACTATAGAAGGAATAGAAATCATTTATTAAAGATTAATGAAGAATCGAGAAGTCAAAATACAGATAAGTCTTATAGTGAGAACAATAGATCTTATAAAAATTGCAATGAAAGTACTAACAACAGTAATATAAGAACTCGGTATGGACGTCTCATCAAAAAACCTAATAGATATTCTTATTAGATAAAAATAAGTTAAAAAAAATTTATAGTGTGAAATTATTTAAAAAAAACCGAAGAAAAAGAGATGTGACATTGCATGCCTAATTATATTTATATGCTGTAATGACGTAGGTAATTCCTTATTTATTATGCATGAGTAATGTATATAAGAACCTGTACTTATGTAAGTTTGAGAATTAAATACAAGACTTATTACAGAACTGTAAGATGATAACGTTTGACAGACCTCGTCTGTATGTTCGACATAAATGTGTGCACGTTTTAGCTTAGGATTTTCATGTTTTGTCAAAAAAAGTCATTCGGAAACTGCAACTGGCGAGATTAGTGACGATTAAGAAACATTTGTTACCATCACTGACGAAAATGTCATAAAGGATGCAGTTTAGCATGAAGACGAGACATTTCAAACGTTATCCTCTCAAAGTCCAAACTATTAACTTTACAATCTTATCGTATATGTATATTTGACGTTTAAGCCGGAAAACAACGCGTAAAACAGTTGGTGCGAAACGGTCGCTTGCAAATGGTATAGTAACTATTTATTAATTTATATTCCAAAAGCGTCAATTTGCGAGTCACGGGCGCTTTTACTTACCGTAAGCGCAAGCAATGCAATGCAAGTGTTCCGGTGTGTATTTTAGCAATCTATAGCGTCCATTGTGATCTTGTGTAGAGTACATCGAGATTGTTTGAAATCTGCGCCATCCAATCGACATTATAAGAGGATCCCGAGTTTTCAAGATACGCTGATACCAACGATGTTTCTTGAGTCGAACCTGAAGAAAGACATTGTCTTATTAAGCTAACTTGCATTTATTCACATAAACAGAACTGAGTTTCGAGCGTTCTTTTTGACAAACATCATTGGTAAAGATGTTTGAAAGAGATTAAATTAGGGAAAAATCCTTTCCAATTTTAACTACTTTTTATCTTTGCTTTGAAAGCAAGTACGAGATTTTGGAAAAACTTTACCCATACAAAATATTGGTAAATGTTATTTTTCGAAATGTTATTCTTCAACTGGAAGCATACTTCTTTTGATCTGTTTAAAATTTGCGAACGTCTCCTGCGCAGAAAACTTTAAAACGCCTACATATCAGGGTCTTAGAAAGTTTAACCGATTTTAAGAACATGTTTGATAGGCCGAAAATTTTAACTTCATTGGCTTTTTGGACCTAGATCTAGGTGACTTTCCACCGGAAGTGACGTGAAAGGAAGAAAACGCAGTTCATCCCCCCCAAAATAAATATTAGCGTTCAAGTTTCACCCTAGCATGCTTATATCTAGAGAAGAATTTTTAATACAAAAGCTTTGCTTTACCATTTATGTGCGTATGTAAATAAGCACTAAACAGTTTCAGTCTATATAAAAGCTACTCACTCTGATGAAGCCGATGTTATCTTCGTTGGCAAGAAGTCCACCAATAACAACAGGATAAGCAGGATCGAAATTATTGATGAATTCGCATGGAATATTCTTGATCTGGAAAATAAGTTTTTTGATCAAATACTACATAAAATCTCAGCAACGTACACAGAATGGTAAAAAACATAAAGGGCAACGAAAATTCTTCACAATAAGCGATAAAGTGATGTTGAAAACAGGTAATCCATTTTGATAACATGTCTGATTTTAACGATGAAATGAGTAATTGAAAATGACAAAATGTTTGAAAACATTAGCCATTTCGTCACGATCGCATAACTGCTGAGCATGAATGGTGTAGAGTCATTTGAAAAAAAAACCCCATAAATTTCTTCAAATGCCCAAAATCACTACAGTATTTCATCTGCAGTTGTAAAAAAGATGTCAAACCATGAATGCTCTTTCCCGCGCATTTTCATTCAAAATTTTGCATACGCGGCGAAATCGATATTTTCGGTCACAAACCACGCACGAAGAAATGCTAAACACGAAGAAAATGCTAAGAAATGCAGTAATATATCATAGACATGGCAACCGGATTAATGGCTGCTCACGTAGATCAGTTGTTTGAATCTGAGATCAATGACGCACCTCAATACGCGTGTACATTCCGGCTCGATACCCCTCGTATTGTATTCTTGTCTCGTCGTCCATACCTTCAAACTCTTCTAGGTTTAACTGAAATCAACAGATGGCAACGCTGATATCCTGACAGCGATAAACCTTAGAAAGAGAATGAAAAAATACCCTAGTTTGTTCCGTCATTTGCGCCTTTAGGTCGTCAAAATAACTGCTCTCTTCTTTATCGTCATATCTTTAGCGAAGGTCAAGGCATGAACAGGCTTGCTGCTAGTTTTAAAAACTTTTACTAAATTCTGTAACCAAACATTTGCATTAGAAAATCAGATCCCAAATTGCAAATTTCATTTCATTTCGCAAGGTCAGCTCTTTATATACAGAGCCCTCAGATGCATTGCAATACAAAAATAGAAACTTTTGCGTAACGGTTTAAATGATACTTTTGAGTTTTGACAAACAAAAATCAGGTCAAAATTTGCACTTCATAATCCGTAAAAAGAAAACTTCGCATGATAAATCGAAGCTGGAGACAATCAAAAATGAAAGGATACTCAGAATCAAAAGCCGCCTTTAATTTTTTCTTTTTCTCCATTCTTTCTTCCGTTTCAAGTTGTACGTTTTCCTCAACGAACTCAGGTGTATCATTCCGAGCTTTTTCGTTCTCCGCGCCGTGATGTACTTCTCCCGCTTCAAGATCTTCGAAATCTCCAAATATTTCATCTACAGCGATCCGACACATCAATATATTTTTCAGTGTTAATGATAAAATAAACACGATAAAACGCGTGTGCTGATTGGTCAATAGCTGCTTCTGCATTAGCCTGTGTAAAACAAATCTTAGCTCAACCAATTAAATCAATCAATCAATCAAAGAGAAATTGCAATCATTCATGAATACATGTTAGAGAAGAAAATAAAACATTTGTTTTAAATTTATCTCCTTCGCATTGTTGTTATTTTATAAAAGAAATAAATTCGGTCTCGGGCTTGCACCGATCTGCTCTCGAGATAATCTACATTGCCGAAGAGCGGAATCTCGATAGTAGCCTCCCCTAAAAGTAACCGCCCCTTTGAAAGTATCCGCTTTTTTGACACTAACATAAGAACCGCAAAAGTATCCGTTCTCTCTCTTAAGAAAACACCCCTTTTGTATAACTTTTAAGAAATTACAACGCTTACACTTTCATTCAAACAAAACGTTCTTGTACATTGGTGTCAACTACCGTAACTCTGCACAAGTTTAAACATATCGAAAAAACGGCTTATGAAGAAACATATATCACAAGTAATAATTAAAACCAATCCTTCTAATGGGCAACAAGAGTCATTCTATCAGGTTATCAAAATTCACTAAAGCGGCATGCGTAGAGGGCCTGCTGGGGTGAATGCGCAGGAGTTTTACAGTTGAAAAATGCCCTGATCATAAACGCATTGTTTCGAGACTCTGGAGTAGCCAAAATGAAGCTACCGGAACGCGAAAATTTCGTGAATTTCAATTTGGTGGTTTCAAAATGAATAATGAAGACCAATAAATAGCAAAAATTTTGTGTATACGATATTTTTCCCATTCAACAACACATACTGGAATATTTTCAAGAAACTTCGTACTAAACTTACTCGTTTGAGTTTACAGTCTATTGAACGTTCGAGATTGAAAAACGTAAATGCTTGCCTTGTAAAAAAATTGATTTACTGGGATACGTCAAGAAATTGCGTGCCTTATGTTGTTGTGTTCTAGCGATCTCCTTCAAACTAACAACAATGAAAGACGTCAAGAAAGTGGAAAACTGACTGAATTTCATTTGCAATTTTCAGCTACGCATTTTCATATGAAATCAGGACAAGTAATAATAACACATCACTAACCGTCATCTTCCTCGTTTCGTAACAACGCCTCCGCATCTTCTGACTCATTCCACTTTCCGGTGACGAAGCAATCCTTAACCTCTGCAATCAAATCAACTGCATCCATCCCAAGCTCCGTAGAAGCCTTGGAGGAATCGCACTCGTGGAAGACTCTTTTGTTCGCACGTTTGATGTTCGTTTTTAGTTTAAAAATGCCGCCGACATCATCATGCGAGGAATCATCACCATCATCTTCGACAAGAACGTTCATGGAATCTTGAAAAAGTAAAAATTTCATACAGCTTAAACAACAATGAGCTTAAACGTTGCTCACCAAGCAACCATTTTGACTTATCTATGTATTTGCAACTTTCTTTGAATATTTGTGCAAATCGATTTAGCACGTAGCATTAGTAAGAATCATACTAGTATCCTACTGCAAATGCTTTAATTTGATTGGTTACGTCACTCGCCATCTATTTTTCAACAGAGAGCGACTAGCAAAGCAATAGATGGCGAATAGAGAACAAACATGGCTACCGACCCTGTCTCGCGTTTTGCTTAGGTTTCTGACGACAAACTAGAATTGTTTACTTCAGCAAACAATTCTAGAGAAGACTAAAATTGTTACTAAATACAATGATAAGATATTTAATTATAAAATAAACAAAAATTCAATTAAAACAACTAAACATGCATTGAACAAGAATCGTCGCTTTTTAATAAGCACTACGTCAACAGCAACAAATGCATAAAAAATTAAGGAAAACTATTACGACCCTTTTCTTTATGAATACGATAGTATTCCGCTACTAAAACAATTAGATTACTCGCTCTCGATTTCTATGATGAGATAGTTGATCTGCCCTCATCAGCTATCACCTCATGACAGTAGAAATCTCGATTTCGTAATCTAATTGTTAAATAGTATAGTTTCGAGTGCAATTACAGATAAACATGAACGAGTGAGTTTTTTAAAGACTGCGACGGAATTCCAAGGACAAGCACCTTTTGGAGTCTTCAAAAAAGCTCTCGAGTGAATGTCTTGCCGTAATTGTTTACACTTTTTTTGGCAGTGTAAGTACTGATGCACTGCAATCAACCAATCCCAGTCGGGAAATATCTCAAAGTAGCTGTTTCTATAGAGAAACCGATGGAAAAACCGCTTTGGAAGACGGTCAACACATCAAAAAAGCACATGCACGATGAACAGCCTTCTGTTTTGAATATTTGTTTATACATTTAATCTAAGTATCTATCAATCTTACACAAATAATGGCGTAAACGATTTTGCTTCGCAATTATAAAAAATTAAAAAACTCAAAAGAAGATCATACCTGGATTGTATATGAGCTTTTTTAGAGTGCGCGTATTGTTCTGGTGGCCTACGAAAGCATCTCGGGCTTTTTGCATAGAGTTAGTTGTCCTCAGTTTGTACCCTACAGTAGAAAATGAAAAAATGATTAGTATACGGCTGGTCTGATCCACCTGAAAATCGGTTCAACGACAGTTTTTGCTCAGAGAAGATTAGGTGACGTAGATTTGTTTTAAAAATATCATATGCAAGTATAGTACTTCATAAATTTTTTTCTTATTATTATTAGTGTCATTGTGATATTGTTCATTGCTCATTGGAATACATCATCGTGCAATATGTATTTAACATTATAAAATTAGAATCGACGAGAGGTCAATGGAAACTCAAAGATTTTTTTCGCGCCATATTGTCATGAAAGTTGATGAATAGTGCACGAATTTTATGATGACGAGCAAGCAGAGCTGAAGTGAAACTTCAAAACGTTACAACAGACACAAGCGTAGGGCTCAAAATAACGGACGAATCGTCTTCAACCCGGATGACCGCCCAACTTCGTTTTATGTCGGCAAAGGTAAGTTTTTCATCTGTTATTAATACACATAAATCACGTTTTTGTATACGTAGACCGTCCTAGTTAGTTGAGTCTTTAAAAGGACTGTTAGTGTTGGTGTTGACAGACATTTCGATAACATGACGCTCATCATCTTCAGAATAAAATAAGGAGTAGCTTGTACTTGCAGCCCTCGCTTAACTGTGAAGATGACAACTGCTAAACATGCATCCTTATCCTACTGCATAATTGTGTAAATTGCGTAAGCAAGTAATAAATATAGCTACTAGACTTAAAATCGAAAATTTCTCCTTGGGCAGTTGCATACTTAATCCAACGACGCACTCATGTTGGAACTAGAGTCCGTTGCACTTACTCTATTATTTATTAGCTATGCCGAAATGTCTACGTCATGTAAGTATATTTGGCATAGAGCGATAGTGGTTTCTCGTTGTACATACCTTGCTGTGATATCGTATCGTGATTGGAATCAACAACAGCACTTTTATTGATCATGTCAACATCGCTTAACTTCATGAGTCGCTTTCGTTTGGTGGTACGAGAATAATCACTCAATTGATTGAATGAGTTCGAATTTTTTCTTTTTTTGTTCGGTTTAGCGCTTTTGGCTAAAACACCAACCGATTTGCAATCTGCAACGCCATCAGAGACGTCGCTCAGGTCGACATTGTTATCTTTTTGCGCACTGCCCTCGCTTTCTTCGCCTGAAGAACTTTCGCTCTCTTCGTACGCCAGCATCTCGCCTTCCTTTAAAAACACAATACGCTCTTTATAAACATATAATTAACAATTATTTGATGAGGTTGAGCATGATACGAAGAATTATTCAGACCGACGTCAATGATATCTACCGAAGCAAAGCTGAAATGGTTAACTTTGATTGAAGTCTAAATAGTTCTTGATATCATGAGAAAAACGAATTCAATAATTGATTTCTCATTGTGTTAAAAATACAGAAGCCTTACAAATTATTCAGTACGGTAACCATAAAGTTTTCCATGCTCCGACATGAAATAATATTAGCGGTTCGCTTTCGTGTTTTCCACGTAAAAACTCGTTAAAAAGTATCCAGACTGACGGTGTAGCTCTATTCGTGTTTCTCGAGTCTTTATTCTCAAAAATTCGAGCCAAATACGTTTGTGAAAGTCTTGAGTCGCAGCACTTTTTGTGCTTACAGTTGTCATAAATAAAAATTACGTCGCGTAACGATAATTTTCAATGTTGTGTAGATGGCAAAACATTGAAAATTATCTCTAGGCTCTTAGCAAATCAGAATCGTGATTGCATCTTTATTGTACAAAAACACATTTTTTTGTACAAATAAGAAAAACATTGTGCAACGACTATGAATTTACAGATGCAATCATGTATTTTCACTTGTATTCAAATAGCCGTCCTGGTTTAACTGAACAACGCCTTGGGATAGATTTAAAGAACGAGTCTCACAATAACCCTTTGTGCGCACAGCTAGGCATAGATAGCTATTTCGGAGCACGCAAAAATGGCAGCATATTAGGTTGTTATTGCAGCAATATGTCTTCTTATACTACAAAGTCTGACCCATTGACATCAAAGCACGGTTGGCCAAGAAATGAAGAAGAAACAACGAGAGTTGTGTCTTCTACCATATATATGTAGTTTATAGGAGTTGTGTTCCGGCTAACCTAATCTAAAATGACATCGTTCTTTAACTCAACTCTCGTCGTTTCCTCTTCATTTCTTGGGCAACCGTGCTTTGATGTCAATGGGTCAGATATCGCTGAGATTCACCACAAGAAATAAAAACAAGCGCGCAAAGCATTACCGTGATACTTATTCTGTAAAACATGATAAAGCGTCATGATGTAAAATTATTTCTATTTTCTCACTTTCAAATCGCCACCTTCATCTTCTGAAACATCACCATCCTGAATGTCCGCACCATTTCCAGTTTTTATTAAATCGCCATCTTCGACGTCTGATAAATTCCCATCATCAACGCTTGATAAATCACCATCTTCGACGTTCGATAAAACACCATTCACTCTTTTTAACATATCTACATCTGGCTCCTTCCCATCACATGACCTCTCCTCGTATTCTATTGGTGCACGTCGCCGACCATGACCATTTTCATCCTTGTCAAAACTGTTTCCAGAAAGAAAAAACTTAGGGTTAAGAAATCTTTCTTAAACAAAGAAGTTCATCCTTAACCTAATCAAAAGCGGATAGTACGGCCCATTACTGCCGACAAATTTAATCGGTGCTGCCGATTTATAACAATAATCAATGATAGTTATCATGATGGTCAATAAATGTTTAGAGTTTCTTCAACAAAAGTAGGATGACTTTTATATTTTTGCTTCACTTTTCGCGCCCATGTTGACCATTGCCTAGGGGGTCGGCATCCCTGTTGACCATTGCTCAGGGGGTCGGCATCCCTGTTGACCATTGCCCAGGGGGTGGGCATCCCTGTTGACCACTGCTCATGGGGTGGGCATCCATGTTGACTATTGCCCAGGGGGGAGATATCCCTGTTGACTATTTCCCAGGGGGTGGGCATCCCTGTTAACCTTTGCCTAGGGGATGGCATCCCTATTGACTATTGCTCATGGGGTGGGCATCCCTGTTGACTATTGCCCAGGGGGTAGGCATCCCTGTTGACCATTTTCCAGGTGGTGGGCATCCCTGTTGACAATTGCCAAGGGAGTGGGCATCCCTGTTGACTATTGTCCAGGGGATGGGAATCCCTGTTGACCATTGCCAAGGGAGTGGGCATCCATGTTGACCATTGCCTAGGGTCTGTGCACTCTCCTACAATTCAACCACTAATAGTAACAATGGTGGACAATATGAAATATTTAGGGGGAGGGGTCGTCCTCAAGGCACGACACTTCTAGGGAGATCCAGGGGTATAGAAATTTTATGTGAAATAATATTACGCATAACAAAAGTCGAAAAGATTTAATGCGTATCCAGTACAGACGTTTATAAAATAGTCATTATTTAACATGACAGTTGTGCGCTATATGGATGTGATTTGTGAGATATGGTGCAAGATTTTTAATCTTTTAAATTTATTTCAAAGGTTCGATCCCTCCCCCTCCTCCCCCCCCCCCAGTTTCTCCAATGACTATCAAGCACCACACAAGCAACATGCAAAAGTATTTGCGATGAAAATACTAACCTGTCCAATTCACCATGTCCTAGCAATACCGAATCCTAAACCATAAATAAAATATCGACTATTTTTGAAGCACGCATTGACAAAAAGTAGCTGAACCAAATCGGGGATGTTCAAGGAATATAACCACAAAACAAATCACTTAAAGTAGTAAATCTTTCACTAGCATAGATCTTCTGACGACTAAACATATTCTACTAGCGTAAACACGTTCAATCTTTCAATTGAATGTACCTTAAAAAGAGACATCTGACTGGAGGCCATTTTTGCATCAACGGTTTGTTGCATATCAGAAAGTGACGAAATTATGTCGTTACCAGGTCCCAGCTCCATCTAAGATGAATTATATGACTTAAATCGGCATGTTTGACTGACTAAAAAACAAGGAAAATTGCTGACCAATTAACAGCAATCTCCAATGGCGTCGCCAGGGAAGGAACTGACGGGGGCGTGTCCCCCCAGTTACTGAAAAGACCAATTTTGAGATTTTGAAAAACATGAAAAGAAAAGGAGTGGGCAATGAATCCAAATTCAAACAGAAATAGAAGTAATTGCTTCCTGTATAAACAGTTATATAGCAAATTTAGTATAATAAACAGCAACTTTCAAGCATCGTTGTTTGTACGATTGCTTGAGAACACTTGTTGACACAGCTAATGGAAAGATGCCCTTCTAAAAACGTGTGGATTTTAGACTATTACAAAATCAGCCAAAAAGAAATAGCTCCATAGAGAACATACAATCAAACAATATTGTAAGGGGCATGCCTTAAAACCCCCATTTATTTAAGTCTCACAGTTTTATCGTCGTCTCCAGTCTGAACAACCTTGGTACGCCCCTGGCAATCCCATGTTAACAAAATCTCAGCCCAGGGTGTCAAATATCATGTAAAAAGATCACCTTATCTTCCAGCAATCCATCTTGACTTTTGTTATGATGACTTCCACCGAGATCAATGTACACCGCATCCTATGCAGAAGACGGAATAAACAAAAGTCAGAATTTCACAGCACAAACTTACTGACGATCATCGTCACAAATATGTATTTCAACAGCAAGTTTTTGTACTTTTTAGCTAAGAGTTTCTCAACTCTTCGTGAAAATAAAATGGTTGAGTACGAGCGCTGTTGAAGTCGAAATTTATTTGCTCAACTTGCAAAACTTTACCTTGTCGTACATCACTCCACCGACTCCACACATTGGGGCGTACAATAACTTTTCTTTTTCATTCAAAGATCGTTTCTTCTCTTTTTCGGGCAACGGGCAAGGATCGGGGAGTTGACTGATGTCCTTCACTGCAAAATCACCGACTCCTGGTAAAAATACGAAACAAGTAAAGTACGTTTTTCATGTCAAACCAAACAAGTAAAAATACACACGTTGCCAGGAAACAATACTTCACTGCGTATATCTAGTATGTTGAGACCGAGTCAAATGTGCCTTGATAATCATTTTTGTGGTATATTGGATAAGTAATTTTGATTTAGGTTTATCATAGAAGATCATAAAAATATTACACAAAATCGATGATTATCAATATTATCAATAAAACCGACATTTTTGATATAGATGAATCGAAATTTTTCAATAAATTAAGAGCCTGTTTGAGTTCAACCTGCACCCTAACATCGTCACCTCAATTTGCAATAAAACAGTTTATAAACCAAAGATGAATTTTTCCGGACTAGGTTAACAAACAGGGCATATGAAAGCATTTCGAAGACTTGCAAAGCTATGCAAACAGTAAAAAGTTCGCTTCCCTTTATTCTATCCTTTTAACAACACACGTGGCTAGTCCTTTATACCATTTACACAAAATCAGCTGCAACAATCAAGCCTCTCTTTGAAAGTTTATCATCAAACGGAAAAAAAAATTCTAAAAACCCTACGAAGCACGACGCTGTACATGTTATAGCAACTTGCATTTTCTACGGGACGTACCCAACAAATGAATCTTGCAGTGCGACTTAATATTGGAACCACGAACGTAACCATAAAAGGAAACATGACGATCGCATTTCGGGTTTTTACGCAATTCTTCCGCATCCGTGAGGTCCTCAATTCTAAGTGTAAAATGGTAAATTATCACACAAAAATAAACACGTCAAAATTACATTGCATTTCGAGAACAATCAGTTATACAACAAGAAAACAACTGCCCGATCAACATCTCTGGGAGAATGATTATGATCTAGTTTGCTAACTTCAGTGCTTTCAATGGCTATAAATGTTTCCATGCATGCAAAGGCAACATTGCACAACCATAATGTAGTTCTTCAACGCCGTATATCTTCGCACTTCGCAAAAAATTTATTTGATTTTCAAAGACAAAAACAATAAAGACGAAAACGTTCTTTGAAAAATCTAATTTTTTGGTCACATCATGAAATATGGGACGGTGGACTTGCCGATCTTATGACGAGAAAACCGCGCTTTTATGCGTACACTTGTATTCAAAATTTATAATAACTGAAAGCATGTTAAAAGACTATAGCAGTTCAACCTCAGCATCAGTCACTATTTTAATGGTTCAAATTTCACGTCTCGCAAGAGCAAACATAAATATGACCACGAAAAGGCCTTTATCATGGCATAAAAGCATACCTGTCGACAAGGACATAGGGATGTGACGCTCGCCACGAAAGCGGTCTAAATTTCGCAACCGATATAAATCTTCCCAAATTATGGATTTCGGTCTTTGGATAGTAGCCATGGGAGATTCCGGAAATGTAAAACAGCTTTGCGCCCTATAAATGTGCAAATTAAACCACAAGGAAATTAGTTTGGCATAGATGATGTAACTTCTACAGAAAAAGATGATGTAACTTCTACAGAGAAAGATGATTTAACTTCTACAGAGAAAGATGATGCTGTAAAAATGAAAACAGCCAGGCACACACGTTGGACAACTGCAACTACGTACATATATAGATTTGAGGGGCAAGTCAACTTTAAAAGACATCCGAAACATGTGGTTCAATTTTTCAAGGTTCGAACGAAAATCTAAGAGTAAGACTGAAATTTACCATATCTACTACATGTATAAACAAAAAATAAATATCCCTTGCTTACTAACTTTTGTCTTTTTCATTTCGGCGATAAATTTATTGCGAAAAAGCTTTTGATACTGTATATGAGAATGGTTAGAATTTTTGATTCTTTTATGACAATGGTTGTAAATTATGGAGAGATAAAGTGGAATCGAAAATGAATCAGTGAGCTTTATCACAACTAACCAAGGCAACAATTGAGAACATCTTTCTGTAAGGGGAGTTCGTTGTGTTGGAGGAAGATAACAACAGACTTTGAAGTCATCAAAATCAGAAAAGTTGTTTCTGATTTATAATGAGCGAATACAAAGAATACGATGGGACTGGATGACGGTTTCTTTGTTTAGGAAGGAATTCAAAAATGTTCTACATATAGTATAATACTGCAAATGACGTTGAAAAACGTATGTGTGATACGAAACATAGTCGACAACTGAATATGTAAAAACACTACATCTCTGAAATTTAGGAACTATATCTTGGCAAAGAAAAACCGACGAAATGCATGAAGATGAGCGAAATACAAATAAATTATTAAGGTTGCTGATAGCAGCATTAGCTACATGGTCGGGTGATTTGGGCAGGAATCCGAAGAGAATGTGAGCTACGTATGTGAGAGAATGTGAGAATGTGAGATTCTGAAGAGAATGAAGAGATTGTGAGGACAGTGTTGAGAAGTGGCTTTAGATTCGAAAACTTTGTCGAAAAAACGTCAAACAAGATAATCAAATTGAAAGATCTGGGAAGGAAGTCATTCAAATTACTGTGAACAATTTATTGACAAGTCAACTTAAGAATAAAAAATTACGACGCAATTTTTCGGAGGTAAGAGCTGAGTTTGAAATTTGATGAATGAACAAAAAACTAAAGAACGTTAATTTGTTCGTAAGAAATACCATGAAGATGGAAATTAGTAAAGAGATCAGAGAAAGTGGGTTTTGAGAAAAATGACGTGGACTCATGCATCCATACGTAAACGTACAAATGACGTGGACTCATGCATCCATACGTAAACGTAAAAATGACGTGACTCATGCATCCATACGTAAACGTAAAAATGACATGGACTCATGCATCCATACGTAAACGTAAACATTGTCACATTCATGCGAAGGATAAAGCTTAGTCCCAGACCTAACGCTGAGAACAGTTCAACGTCAATAAATCTTATCTAACTCCACTCTGACTCTCAAACCCCACATTACGACTTAAAGTGCCAAAATTCCAACTCATTATCATAAAAATATCTTTCATAACTTGTAATTTTTCATAGGTATTCACATTTCCTATTAAACTGCAATCTTCTGTTTAAAAGACGAGACGTTACACGATAATATCCTTAAACATCACATAATAAATGGTTTTGTTAAAAGTTTTATATTCGGGAGTTGTGTAGTGTTAAAGCGTCTGTATCATGCAGGGTGAGGGAAATGGCTTCTTTAAATAGTTAAATCAATTTTAAGAACATTTGCAATTGCAATACATCTGATAGGTCGAATAATTTATCTTCGTGGGTTTTTTGCCACCAAGTTCTATATATTGAGTTGTATTGGGGGCAATTCCGTGTTAAAATGCATTTGATGTTAGTTTTGAAAATTGATTTTAAGAAACCAAATACAATCCTTCAAAATTCAAATATTCAATTTCTTAAAAATGCAACTTATGTAAAAGCTTACTGGAGGATTATTAGTAACTTTTTATCTTTTTGAACATAGCTACGTACATAATATTGTAGTTAAAGTAGCTGCGTCATAATGTATATAGTTCAAAATGCCTATTTTATGTCTTCTAATTATATTTAGTCACTAATTTGCAGTTTTCATTGTAAAAAGTGAAGAAAGCGAATCAAAACAAATTTTGCATCAATATTACAAATATTAATTGCTTATTTGACAAATGCATGTGTAATGTCCGTTACGGCAACTATGTAATTTCCATTACCAAGGAAACAGTGATTTATTGAAGGAAACAGAATATTTATGCGAGTTTTGCTCCAAATTATTAATCCTGAATATTCAAAATGTTCTAAACAAAATAATTCGTGATGCATGGTAGTTTAGAGGAAACAAAAATCATGAGCAAAACAATCGCATTTTACTACATGTCTAATTTGGTAAAATGCCCGTTACGTTCATAAATTTGTTAATTCTTGAAAACTGAGTAAACTCCTGAATATCGCACATATATGGCTGCATTTAGGGGGCCTTGGCGAGTCATGCTTGTCAAATTTCAAATTATTTTAAATAAAAATCGCCCAGTCATTGAAACGTTTATATGGATGATCGGCAGACAGCAGAACCACCAACTTTTACTCCAAAAAAGCCCGTGAAAATGAAATTTTCGTCATATCGAATAAATAGCAAATGCTCTTAAAATCGATTTAATTTTCTAGCTAATGACGATATTTATCTAACCCCGACATGCGTAAGCACTTTGTCTTAAATTACCGGTGAAATAATTTGCAATACCTGGTATACTTCAGTCCAAAATCTGTTCTTCAACCTTTTCTTCGTTTTCTTGAGAGACTTGTTGTCTTTGAGAAGGTCAAGATGCGTCAGCACACCCATAATCTTTGGAAATCCATGGACTTGACAAATGTTGAGGAATTCGAAAATTTCCATCTCAAAACCAAAACTTGCATCAATAAGAAGTAATGCCTGCACGAAGCAAAAATCCTACATGTCAAGTTACGAACATGATTTCCTATGTATATACATCAAGAAAAAATCAGTTTCATTTTACCAAAGCAATCATTGTGTTTTCAAATGGTAAGAAACATCACATGCTAGTTTCAAAGTGGTAAATATGTTCTATTTCACTTTCTCCTCTTATTCATACGTAGAGAGCTTTTAGAATAAACTGCTAAAAGTACTTCATTTCATCAGTCTTACAAAAAAAAACACTTGCTCAATGGGCAAAATACGTAACTGATAAACAGACAAATAACCACTAATAACTAAGAAAAAGTTAGGTTTGATGAACTGCATGAATTGCATGTATTGAAAGTCATACCAAGTCTGCCACTTTTGCAATGTCAATCATCATATTCATGTCATTTCCACATTCAATTATTGTCAGACGTCTTTTCTTTCCTGTTCAATGAAAAGTAAACTATACTTAACCCTTTCTGTGGCAATTTCACAGGTCTGCAACAATTACCGAACGAAATTGCAAGTAATGAGCTATAGTACAGTAGCATAGTGAGCTCATTTCAGAATAATATAATCATTAATTTCTTTAGTCTAATGTTGTATAAGTGAGTTAACAAAGAAAAACTTGCAAATAAGGATGTCAACCACACTGCTCGATTACATCATTTCATTTGAAATTTCTATACTACCATGAAAATAGATAAATTAAACCAAAAAGGATTTTTAATGTGTTACAATGTTAAGGTTAATACACTCTAAATTAAACTACACATTATTGGAAAATCTGCTTCATGCTCAGAGCTTCAAACAATGTCTAGTTTAACCAGCATCAAAACAACACCTTTCATTTTATAATAAATTAACTAGTACATTCCTGTTGGAAACCAAAGTCTCAGGTGAGCAACCTTCTGAAATAGTATGGTTTGTCACATATTTAAGATGTAATCTTAACAAGTGTATTCATCCTAAAATCAATTGATAAATGAATACAGCTTTTCCATAATTGTTTTGCTTCTTATGACACAATTCTCATACATCAATTGCAGGGAAATTCTCAAAATATTTCAAAACTATCTGTACAATGCGTTATAGGTGTTAATACGTCTATTACAGTTCAATTTAGGATTATTTTGTAGTAATCCATGTAGTTTTCACTAATTTGCGAACTGAGAGTTCATAAAGTTTAGCACTTGTTAAAAGAACTGAGCAAACTTCTATTTTTGTGGGTTGAACATTTGCATTTTCTGAGCGACTGAGAAGGAGAGTAAAAATCTATGACAGTATTTCAGGTAAAGTTACCACAAAAGTCTGAGACACAATAAATATCATATGTATGCATTGGATTTGTGTGGAGCTGACAGTAAATAGTTCCATATCATGATAACGTAAATGAAGTGACACACTCTCTCTAAATACCTTTAAACAAAAATTAAATAATACACACCTGAGACAATGGTCATTGGGCCTTTGATGGTTGTGAGATTCTGCCGTGTAAAGTTCTTCAAAATAGACTTTATCAAAGTACTTTTTCCAACATTTGGAGGACCTATTACGGCAACAACTATTGGTGGAGGTTCCAAAGGAGTTCTATCAACAAGTGGAACGTGGTGCTTCTTCGATTGAACATCGAGTTTCCTTTTCGCTTGGCGAGCAGCTCGCACATTCGATTGAAATGTGAACGCCTTTGGATTCCTATTCTTTCCATCTAAATTTCGACTTTCGTTTCGTTTTTTCTTCTTTTCAGCTTTTGGACCAGACTTACGTTCTCGGTGAGCTTTGGATTTCACATCCTCGGCATCCATGTTGTATATTGGCTCGTGGCGATCCGAGTCTGCATTATACACAAGTCAGCCGTATCCCACTGAATTATCCCACGGTTGAAATAAATGCGACTAATGAAAGGTGGCTCAAAACTTAAATTTTCAGATTATAAAAAACTAGATTAGCATTTTGTGCGCGATTTCTTCAAAACTTAAAAAGTCATGGTGCTCATGTGCTGGACCAACTCTCTTCTTATCCAAGCCTAGTAGCCTACTCAGCTCACCACGCACAGTATTTGCAGATCACTCGAAGATCTAGGGAGGATCTAGGGATTAAGGGGAAATGGTTCCGTGTCATTTTGATTAATTTTAAGATGTTGGTACACGCGTTCAGACTGGTCGTTTAATCTTGTCATTACGATAATACGATTCGAGTCATTTGAGCCAATGATCTCGTTTGAGTGTAAAGGCCTGTTCCGTTTAAACAAATAGTTATTGCCTTCAGGCAATGCTTTAGCGGAGATTAGCCAATGAGGAGGTGGGTCAACCTATATTAGGCTGCGTTTACACGGTACCGGATAAGTTTTAATCCGGATTAAATTTGTGACGGATTCGTTCTGTTTACACGGAACCTGTACATTTCATTGAGTTCTATAATAACTGGAGCGGCTATCTTTACTGGGGCGAGGTCGCCAAAAAAATGGCGGCCAACGGACGTATTTCCGCTGAAATGATCGCTTTGCAGAAAAATAATATTCTCGACCTCCCCCTGGTGTATATAGTAAATTATAAAGAATTTTTCAAAAACCAACACGATATCGTTAGTTCCATATTCTGTGACGATATCTTTTTTGGCATTTCTTTTATAATGCCAACACTTCAATCGTTCAATTGTTGGATGTCGTAGTTTCCACAAAAAGGAACATATCGCTTCTCACAGGTGAGATAGTTGCTTAGTTTTTTAGTCCGTCAACGATTGAAAACTGAAAAGCAATTATACATGCACTTTAAAAGCCATAAAAATACATATTAAAGATCGTATTTTTTAAGACTGACTTGAACGCCAAATATACTGATGTTTTCCTGTTTTTGTTTATAAAATTCTGCATACTTTTCTAAAGTCTGCATGAAGTCGTAAATTTACCCATCTATTTGCAAAATAGTTTCCCTAAAGCAAAAAAGACCCTGCACACATTTTGCTCTGTGAGTAAGTATCAAAACGAAATGATCAGCCCCAAGAGTACCCATGATTTGGAGCAGAGCTTGTTATGTTCTATTTGCTGACAACATGCAGGGAAGACCAAGGAGTAAAGATGACTGGAAGATGTTATTGACCAGGCAGAGTCTTAAAAAATTATAATGCTGTAAAGATAATTGATTTATCGTCTGCCCTATCCAGAGTTATTTAATTTGATCATGGTCAAATTCTAGGGATGGAGACAATGGATTCACTAAGGATGCCTTGAATGCTTTGAAGTTAAAGTTCATGAACCAAAGAAAGATGGCAAGGTTGTGTGTGTTTTGATGCTTAATGAAATGTCAATTCACAAAGATATAAAATGGGAAAGCCATAAAGTCTATGTAAACATTTGTACTGAGATTGATGACTTGATGCAGATGTGAAGCATCAAACTGTATAAGCCATTGGGTTTTATATAACTTATGTTTAAATCAAGTCATATCTTTATCAAAACATTTTAGTTGAGTGTTGTATAAATGTTACTAATATCTAATGCACTACACTGAAGCATTAAAGATTCAGTGATGAAACTTTCAAAGTTACTGTACTGTATATTTCTTCATTATTTTTTGTTTCAAGAAACAGTTTGAGCTTATTTACCTAGTAAAGTACAGAATGGAGATTTATCATATGCATTATTGCTACTTTTTTAAAGAAAAGTTTTTCACTTTTCAAAGCTTTCCTACAAATTTTTTGCTTCTTATTTCTTTTCATGAGATTGATGATATATGGTTAATATAATCCAATAACTTTATAATTTCTAAAAGCTTTTAAGCTTCTAGCATAAAAGTACGCTATAGGTATTTGATTCATTTGGTTATATTGCCTTGCTATGACATATCTACTTGCACTTCATCATTCTTGTATGAACAAAACACCAGATGTGGATACTCAGAGAACAAAATGCACTACCAACTGCTTATGAAATTTATTATTTAGGTGAAAACTGTGTTAATCATTCAAATTGTGTACTTATTTGCAAATATAGGAAAAACAAAACAAAGTGAAAAAGAAGGGTAGAAGTATTAAAACTACAAATGAATTATAAACACCATTGGAAGCACAAGTGTTTTGATGATTATTTGCATTTTGCCCAATTCATGTATCAATACAACAAAATCAAAATGTGCTACAACTTTACAAGTATTTGATGCAGTTGCACTTCAGAACATCACAAAAAGGTTACTTAAAGTACTTTCTATACAATATTGTTTGTTTTGATTTACCAAACCTATGCAGACTTGAGTCTTTTGAAATTTAATATGAAACTCAATTACAGAAAATCCGTAAATATCCAGAGATTTAATATTTACTTTTAAAGAAACAAGTAAAAATCCAACAATTGTGGCGAAAAGCCATTGCCCATTGCATCATGAAAAGAAGCAAAATAGCAATGATAACAAATAAGCTAACTTCTCTCTCGTGAACCGTGGAGATGAACTATGATATACTTTTTTGTATAGACTAAAGAGTTTAATCGATCAAACAAGTTCGACGTTGGTAAAAAAACGACGCACATCTGCATTCATACATGTGTAGCCGACATATAGCTCTTTCGTCGATAGTTATAAATGCATCCTCGTAGTAGCACATAACTGACAACCACAGTTGACTCGCTGTTATGAATTTGAGGTTTTTACCTTGATTTTCATCAAAAAATTGCTTGACGAATCCCAAATACACACATACATTTTCTTCTCTCTTTCCTCAGGAGGGAGTGGGAAATTGTGAAATTTTCGGAAAAGCGATCAATTTCGGTAAATCTCAGCGGCAACGGACGAAATCCGCCATTTTTTTGGCGTCAGATATCTAAGGCCGCGCTTGAGATAGCCGCTCCAGTTATTATTGAACTCAATGGTACATTTATGAGAGAAATAAAGTTTCGAGTACCGCGCATGTGCAATGATAGCATGAAAGAAAAATGGCTACCGTTGCTAAAAGGAAAAAATCGTCCGAGTCAGAAGAAACGAATTTTACTTGGTCGGACAAGGAGATGGCTCTTCTTCTTGATGTGATTGCTGCCTATAAGGTGGATAAAGAAAATGAAGGTGTAGACTGGGAGTCTGTTAAATCGAAATACGATGAAATTCGCGAAAGATACCTCGAGCGTTATCCCATAGAAAATTCAGAAGGATTTCCACATGTAAATGATACGATATCAAGCGTTTTTACCAAAAGTCGAATAATAGCTAAAACCAAAAGAATTAAACTTTGTTTTCGAAAAGCAGTTGATTCTGGAAGACGCAGCGGAGGCGGTAGAGTTGTAGCTGTTTTATACGATGAATGTGCTAGTATTTGGTGTGGGAGCCCAGCAGTAGAAGCAATATCGAATGCTCGAGAAAGCATACCAAGCACATCCGAAACTGTCAGTGATTCCGAAGACTCTTTCTGAGTATCAAATAAATCGTGTGTTCAGCTTTGTGATGTAAGCAGTGAAACACTCGACAATTCTGCTCAACAAGAGATTTTAAATACTGATGCAATAAGTAGGGTAAGTGAAGCTAGAAGGAATCTCATCTCAAAAGTACAACAAAAGAAAAATTCAAAGTTAAATAAGAAAATACCTGCTGAGAAACAGATGATAGCCATGGCGAAGGAAGATTTAAGTCTTAAGAACAGGATTGTGGAACAAATGGAAAAAGCTGAACAGAAGCACCAAGAAAACATGACTGCGTTTGCCAAAGGAATTTCATCACTTAATGATACACTAAGTCATGGGTTTGCATTGCTTGCATCACTTCAACAGCAACCAAATCAATTTAACTTTCCAAATTTTCAACAACCATGGAGATACCAACAAGCAGCTATGTCAACTAATAACAATGGCGAGTCTAGCCATAGTAATGCCAATGATAATTTTATACCGTTTTCAAAGTCATAGAACCAGGATTTCTATTCTTTTAATAGGTATACTTCAACGTACATTTGTTAGTGTTTGGGTTGCCATTGTTTAATCTAATGTAGTACATTGCTTAAATATTGCACAAAAACTATTGTTATGAATATACTTTTTAGACAAAGTACTTATATAATTTAAACAGTTTTAAATTGCCTTTTTTTGTCATGTTTTATTCCAATAATTTTATTACTTAAAATGCAACTAATGGATTATTGTATGTACAAGAACAATTAAATCATCTTTGTACAAGTATATTATTATCAGTAAAGTCTGTTCAATAAGGTGTTTGTAGATATAATCTCTAATCAAAATACTGCACAAAAATGTCTCTTACTGCCTTTGCTGAAGCCTCACATCCTTGATTCCGTACACTTGAAGATGCAGGTTGAACTTCTCTGTCATAAGTTATTGCATTATCTACTCTTTCATTAGCTATTATCTCACCATTCATTTCACAATAATTGTGCAATACAAAACAGCTGTAAATAACATTTGGCAAATCAGCAAGGTTTATGTCCATTTCACGCTTCAGACACCCAAATCTACTCTTCAGGCATCCAAAGGCACATTCAATAATCATTCTGGCTGAACAAAGTCGATACCCAAAAAATTGTTCCCGTGCAGTCTTGCCCCCACCAGGAAATTCCTTCATCAAATAAGGGAGTAAAGGATATGCCGGATCTCCAAGAATGCAAATTCCAACAGGTTCAGTGCCTGGCAATAAGACTCTTGGCAAACTGGGAATTGAACCTTCTTTTAACATCTCATTTACTTTTGAGTTACAAAATATCCTTGAATCATGCACACTCCCCGGCCATTTGACCACAACATCTAGAAAACAATACTTGTAGTCTGCAATAGCTTGCACATTCAGTGAATATCTATGCTTCCTATTGATAAAATCACTTGCATTGTTGGCTGGTTGTTTAATGAAGATATGAGTGCCATCTACAGCACCAATACATTGTGGAAAGCCATGTTTTTCATAAAAATTTGAGACAGCTTCAAATACATCATGTTCTGTTTGAGGTAATCTGATGTACTCAGGACCTAATACGGTGGAAATTACAAAACATACTCTTCTAATAGCCAATGATACAGTTTATCTGGAAACGCCAAATGCATTTGCAACTTTTCGTAATCTTCCTTCATCAGCAAGATAGTATAAAGTCATAGCAACTTGCTTCTCAACAGATGTAGGAACACGCATATTCGTGACTTTCTTTTGAAGTGGGATTCTGATTTTGTTGCACAGTTTCATGAAATTGTCTTGTGACATCCTAAAGTTCTCTCTCCATTCATGACCTACTACAGCACCGGATAAGAAATTTTCCCACCACAGAGATGTTCTCCCAGGCCTCACCCAACATCCTTTTGCCTTTCTTTTACTTTTCTTCCCTCCAACGATGGACGACTGTGTCGGCAATGTAGCATACCTTAAAAAGAGAATTGAACGTCCTTTTGAAAATAAAGGAAGCAAACTTTTGAGTGAATAAGCCAGTAAGTTTTGTCATAATATGTGTGGATTACAATACTGCGTTATTTATTTTCTGCCGTAAATCCAAAACTTATGCTGTATTTTAGATGCAAAGAACGACATATTTCCGTTTGTCATCAAGCGTTTACCTTTGTCTTTGCCTTCGATAATTTATCAAATTTACCAACGCTAGTTCATAAACAACGTTCAACGTCGCCACAGCACCAAAAATAAATGCAAAAATGCTCATAAGAATCTGTCTCATGTTGGAAAATGCAGTATTAAAAAAATATTGACTGACCACTGACTCACTGTTTTGTCGAATACCAGTGAAAACGGTTAAAAACTTACCTGGTTAAACCGTTCACACGGTAACTGATATAGAATGGAACAGTACCGGCACAGAATTGTACCTCGATTTTTCAGGTACAAAGTTGTACCGCTTAGCCGACACAAAACTTGCACGGATCAGAGCGGATCCGTGTAAACGCAGGGCCTATCCGTCACAAATTTAATCCGGATTAAAACTTATCCGGTATCGTGTAAACGCAGCCTTACTTAGCCAAGTTTTTTTTGACGGCCGCCTGCCTACTTCAAATAATTTTGAAACTCCTAAAATGAGTTATCTCAATTCTGCATTGCTAAATTTCATCACCAAACTTTACTAAGATTGTCTGTAATCATATTGCCTATGCCTTGGAATGCCTGACTTTTGACTCATTCTTCAGCCACAATTTTTAAGAACTTGACTAATGCATTTACACAACTAGTCAACTACTTACGCAAATCGAGGAAACTGAAGCAAAAATATAGTTTGACATTGTCACTGACATGGAAACGATGTTGCAACCAATTGCTCAGAACAAACACTTCCAGCGTTCAACTTGCCAGACTGATGCATATGTTGGCGTCGGTTGGCGTGCTAAGAAACTATCTCAGGATCTTGCAGTACATGTATATAAATAATTTATATATAATTCTTTGATTTCTTTCTTTTATTAGAAATCGAAACGTGAATATATCAATAAACTACATTTATGGTCATCAAACACTTCAGAGGTTAACAAAAATGCAAACAAGACACTGTTTGTAAGATCAAGAACAGCAAACCCCAACACCATCGCAAAATTCACATTCGGTAAGTCCTGGCGGACAGGCGCTACTGTAACAAATTCCACTAACTTTGCCACCCTGACACCAACACTTTGTGCTTTCTCCTGAATAATTCAAAAATTATCACTGATATAAATCAATATGCACTCGATGGGATGCTAAAATTTCAAGCAAGAAGTTCTTGAATTCATTTTATGTATGTAAAGCATGCAGCTCAGTGCTAATATTGAAGTAGATAATTATTTTTACTTTTCGCTTTGTGATCACGCTGCAATAATGCAAACGATAATACAATTATTAGCATAGATCTACCTTCTTCCTCTTGCATGATTTTACAAAAACATACAAGTTACATCATACCTTCACCTGCAAACATGTCCGCGTTGTTTGAAAGGCGATATCGTGCATTGACGACAACAATCAGAAACACTAGAAAAAATGCTGCTTTCGGGACCGTCATGTTTACCATCAAAGTTAGAAAACACTGGATATATTTGAATTCAACAGCCAAGGATTACTAGGTGTACCGCCGTATAGCAATTTGGTTTGACTATTCTTTCCCTGTACTGTACGTGTATCTTCTTTACTGTCAGTGGCTTAATTAATTATCCAGTCACGCGGTGAAGCGGGTCCAGTTTATAACGCTTTTTAAATTCAAAATATTATAACAACAATATTCTGTTGGATATTGGATACCATTGGATACCAGTTCGATGATTTCAGAGGAGCAAGTTCCGGCCATTTGTCTTTGTTGCTGTCATGCAGTACCAATATCTTTTGGTTTTTCGAAATGTTAAACTTATGAATAAGTTGCGAAGTATTTTGAATTGAAACTATGTTTCTGATCTACCCTGGATCTGCCATCGTTGTAAAATTGTTTAGTTTAGTTGCTGAAAATAAGTGGATTTGTCACGCAGATGGTAAAAATTTTACAGCATTAATACACCGCAGACTATGGAGATTATTGCATCATTCTTCGTCTGTCATTTATATTCATTGGTTAGTGGTTTTGTGAAGGTCATTTGCCTTCGATCCACGTCCTTTGAAATGTATCTTGTTTCGCTTCTCTTTTGATTTATGTTTGTCTACCAGATACATGCGTGTAGGTTCTTTGGAATTTGGATGGTTTGATTCGTCAACCTGCACAAAATTTATACTTCCGTATTCTATGGTATTCGACTTATACTCCTTTTTCATAATTCTCTGTTGCCTCTTCATTGGCAAGCCGAACGAGAACAGGTTTGGGGAGTAAACTCTAATGTTTTTATCCATTAGGAGTCATTTCAACCAAAGCATTGCTCTAAGCATTGGTCGATTATTCGCTCTCTTTTTAGTGAGTCTTTCACTGTTTATTGAAAGTGAATGCTTTGAACCAGGGAGTGTCAATACATGTTTGTAGATGTAGATCGTCTAGGTTAATAAAGTCCTGAGAAGGACTGCATGTTGATGTTGACGTTGACTGTATGACTGATATCTCAATGTTCTTACAGCTCACTCCACTTTTCCATCGAAATTCTACATCTAGTACGGAAGTGATGCTGCTGTTGATGTTGATGACTGATGCTAATTTTAATGACTACTGCTGTTGATGTTGACATTGACTGTATGACCAATTTTTCACTGTTCTTACAGCACACTCCTCTTTGCCATTGAATTGGGAATTTATTCAGATTTTTTGCAGGCCTAATGTAGTTCTTTTTATATGCCGGAAAACTGGACTTGGCACTTGTCTGGCTGGCGATGATTTCGAACTGGGCTGTGGATCGTTTGTACATCTTTCTTTATGCACAAAAAATTTCTTAGAGACGTAGACGTAAAAAATTTGCAATGTAGCTGTCAAAGCTGGGCTAAACGTAAGACAATTTTCATTTCGACAAACATTTTTGGCAATGTTTATCAGTAAACATTAATTTCAATCTTATATCCGTATCATCGACCACAAGCGGTTTTGTAGCTACGTGTCGTATTTTTCTTTATAGGTGGCTACACTGATAAAATCAAAGCGAACAATATTTATCTTGTTAAAAATATTACAATCAACTTTGACGATATTTCCTGGCTGTCGGATTGCACGTTCAAAGGTGGCTACACAAAAGATTTTCAACTTTTTTGTTGCTGATTTCGAAAAATCGCTTTGAAAATCGCTCGTGTGGACACGGCTTAACAGAATTACCGAAAAAACAGAAATTTCTAACAAATCGCCGATTTTATGGAAGTTAGGAGGATGGGAGAATTCCCAAAGAATTCCCAGACTTACATCACTGATAAAAAAGAGCGAGTTTGTATTTGACTTTTTTAAAAAATGTTCCTATTCATCTTAGTCCTCCCCGTTCTTCTGATTGAAATTTTTTAAACCTACATGAATGCTAACCATGATTTGCGTCTATTAATTGTTGAACACATAAATGTTTTATAAACTTTTTCAGGTATCCAAAAAACTTGTTGTGAAAATTTTCAATACTGTATTCTTCATCATTCGTAAAGCTAGAACTGGAAGTAACTAAACCATACCGGTTGTCAAGTCTGGGTTTTTTAATCAAATCAAACAAAACGAAAGCTTGTATGAAATCAAATTATTTTTTATTGGCTTTACATTACAGATGCCTCTTTACCCAACAACGTTTCATCCAGTATATTTACTCACATCGAAATAGTTCAAGCCGTGCGGTCCTTGAAACATTCATGCAGTAATTATGATAGAAAATCAACAAAAGTGTAATTATTTTCAAGCAATTTCAATTACTGTGCAAGTTGGCGTAGCATTCATTATTCATTTCACGGAGACCAGCAAATTCAAGGAAGTATTTGCATTACAGAAAATCACACACACACAAAAATTTAGTTTCTGCCAAAAAATGGATGGGGTCAGTTATTGGCGTTTTTTGATGTTTTTTTGTGTGCTGTCCGCTAAAGTCGAAGGTAGCTAGCTACGTTTTAATTTAGAACATTTTTTGGTTTGTGAAATCAAAATCTAATGAAAATCTCAGCTTATTTCCTTTACTAGATTGAACTACTGGGAAATGCCATAGATGTCTTACATATTTATAGGTCTCAACACCAAAGACTCGAGATTTGTTAAATTTATATCGACGCCCGACAAAGTCACAAATGTCTTGGACGGAAGAAATGCAAAATTGGAATGGGTATTTCAATTAACCTCGAACAACTCGATAAAGATAATGCTGTTCACTTACGATAGACCAGAGGCCACGAAAAAATGGATTGCCCGGAAAACGTTTCCACAGCGTGGCACCATAACACATCGCGAAGAATTCTCCTCATACAAAAGCACGATTTCAATTGATCAAAATGGCAATGGACATGCCTCCATTTTAGTCCCAGAAGTAAAATCACCTCTCCTGTATGACAGTTATGGATTAAAGTTCGAGTCGTCTGTAATTGAAACGGCGGTGGAAGATTCTGTTGGTATACGCATTGTGGGTGAGTGCTAATCATTCGTAAAAGAAATCTTTATGTCCTGTGCAAAAACACACGAAATAATGAAAGCATATGTAAATCTAGCTAAATCATAATGCAGATTAATTACGGTAAAATTTTCAGTCTTTCCTAAACTGTTTGTATACAGTTTGTCTCATAAAGTTTATTTCTTCTCGTAATATAGTCATACACCATATATGCAGTGTGATGCGCATATGTGCTCTTTTTAAATGCGTGTGCATTTCAATGTTCGCCAGCAGTAAGCTTCCGTAAAAAAAATGAACGTTTGTGGTGTTGCTGACAGTCTAAAAAAATTAGCTCTACAATGTACTTTGCAAACGTCAGCGCCATGCTGAGTCACATAAATTACACTCATATATTATGAAAAACTGTTTGGCACTGTTGACTTTAACGAATCAGAGCTTAAACACGGTTCTTTTTACGGAACATTTTTTACATGTTGTTAGTTAATCGAAAAACAAACATGAGGTCATGAAGAAGAATTTTCAACAATATAGGCAACTACAAAAAGTTCCAAAGCTGCTCAATGTATGTCTATAATTAAAGTTTACAGCTGCTTGCAGTACGGATTTTGAAGTTGACACTAGATGCATGCATGTATTCTAGCAACTGAAAACACTTGTGTTGAGAGAGTTTGCTTGAAATTTTTTGAAATGGTCGTACTTGAGTTTTCATGTTATTCTATTTGATATGAATCAGTACTGTGACCAACATATGATCTCTATCATGGCTATTCTTCTCCTTATATCTGTGGTTAACGACATAATTTTGATAACAAACAACTAACAACAATATATTTGCAAATCGGTAGTGGTGTAAAAGATTGCTCGAACGCCACAGTTCAATCAGTGCGTCATGAACAAATAACATTTTAAAATATTGGACATTTTTGACACCTTAGATGCTGCATGTCAATGACTGCGAACAATGAATTTATGAGAACAGGAGCCCACACCATATGTCTGCCATAAATATTTGCAAAAACGTTTGCTTCGTTGTATGTATGAGATAGCTAGGATAAAAACCGCACTGCAAATAGAAAATTCAACACAGTTTAGATAGCTTAGTGATAATACCAAAAAGTAAATAAAGATGTACGATTATACTGAGGACAGTCTAGTTTGAGTTTTCATTCGCAATTCATAATAAATGTTTAGTGAATATAACTAATTACTTTTGTATGATTTATCCTTTAATTTCTATTGAATTATAAATAAATTTTGACCAGAATTTTACTCAAACCCAAACAGCAATATATTTCGCAGTGGGTCGCATTTCATTGCATAATTAAATGAGTCGTAAAACCCTACGGAAAACATTAATTATTTTATCTTAACCGACTAGTATAATGTATTGGCTTATTTTTACGATCTTCCAAACAAACGTTTCTTATAACTTATCACTAATGTGTTCGCCAAAATCATAATGATTCATGCCTTCAAAATTATACTTCAAACATATGCCGAATTTATTTATGATGTCTGTGGGGTTGAAATTGTTATTGGTATTTTTTTTACTTTATTACTTCGCATAGCAATGTCCAAAACGATCATCACATCAGTGTATTCTCACTCTTACCCCGTAAATATGAATTCGTAAAGAACATATACACTGTTTATCAAGTTTGTCGTACATGTAAACATCGAAAATGTTATAGCGGCAGAAATATTTCTAGTTTTTGATCTCTTAATATACAACAATACCACACTTTCCTCGACACTTTCTGGGTGGAGGAAAATAGAAAACATAAAATAAAAGGAGGTTATTTTTGTCGTTTACCTGATAATATTTTAGGTGGATAAGCGACGTTCCTCCACACGACAATCTATATCTTTTTTCCAGAGTGGTAAAAATATTTAAAATTAAATCTTCTTCTTGGTAAGATTTCCGGTGCTTTCACCTTCTTCAAAAAGACATCTTGTCACTCACATTAGCTGTGTGAATCGTGCAGTCTAGCTCTCTATGCACGTGCTTATAGTTGAAATACTCGACTATCTTGCTCAAAAACTTCAAGGGAAACGGGTAGTAGCAGTGTACGCTAGTGTATGGAAGTGTTTATTTTGTTCATTTAATGCATGGAAGTGTTTTTTGAAACATTGTGAAAAAATATTTTCAGTGCATGTCGAAAATTGTCAACCAATTTATCTCTTCCCCTGTTCTGCTCTAGATATGGTTGCTGGTCGCGACAGTAAGCAGCCTCAGATCATTACAAGGTGGTATGGTCAACAAGTTAACTTGAAGTGTGACGTTCATCATGACAAGAAAGTCGTGCCAACTTTCCAATGGTATAAACGGCTGCCGAGAACGCACGAGAAAGAAAAATATCTTGGTGAAACGGTTTGGAACACGCTAACTCTCATTATAGTAAATGACACATGTTTTGGCGCATATTTTTGTAAGGCTATATCGAATATGCGAGAGGTGGTTGAGCTGAAATTCCAAATTCATAAATTAGGTAGGTTTTCACTTTTTTGCTTCGTTTTTATGTGATCCGCTCCAACGACTGCATCATTGAAAAACGTTTGAATGAAAAAAATATCACTAGACTACATTTATATCCATCTATATGTGAAAACTGAAAACTCATAAGGGTGCATAAAGGTAAGGTCAATCTAATCGAAACCAAAGCCATTGCATGGTAAATAATGCAACTTTGTTTTAGGACAAAATAGAAAGGAACTTTATTTTCATAAAGTATCAAGTGTTCTATTGAGAAACATTGGTGTACAATTTTTAAATTGACTTAGGCAAGTTATTTCTCAAAATCATTGCGTAGAAAAGTAAATCAAACCGATTGAAATATTAAGTCGAACTTAATTCTGCATAGTTAGAAAGATGGCATACTATATAATGTCCGCATGTATTATGTGCAGGTTACCCTGGTTCCCCAAGCAAGGTCATATTCAAACGCTATTCTGACAAAGGAAAGCATGTATTACACTGGGAGAAGCCATTGAACAGCAACAAAAATTGGGTGAAAGAGTACGCTGTGGAAAAGTTGGACGGAAAAAAAGGCATATGGATCGAAAAACACAGAACAAAACGGTTTCTTGTCACCGTTAACGATGTTCAAGCGGGAAAATATCGGGTTTGTTCGGTGAACGAGGCTGGCTATAACTGCTCAACGCCTGTGTCATTACGTAAGTTTTCATGATTGCACCTCCACTCCACGATACCCTCTTATCATCATATTATTTTTTACTTATTTTTTACTAAAATAGTCATAATACTTAATTATATTCATAACACTGACATCAAATATGCATCAATAATTTATTTCTAGTCGACTTAAATAGCTAACTATTTATTATATAAAAGCGTCACTTCCGGTAAAATGGCACACTTTGATTGCCTCAGAAAGATTTTTGCCGGTCTACTGCTTTCGCGTAGTGGACCGGCGGTGAAGTACGCGTAACCGTACGAACGAATATAAACAAACTTTGTGAAGTATTGTAAACCGGGGAAAAAACGAAAAAAAATCATGTGCAAAAGTGAATCGAAGAAAGAGAACTCGGAAAGTGAGTTTTTTTATTGAGAAATATCAGACTCTGTTTTTTCAATAAACCTCTCCCTACGGTCCGATATTTTTCCGTGAAGACCTTACTCTCGGTTGATAAGGGTTTATAGATTTCCCAGTAGAAGTATGCCTTCAACTGATCAAGCTTTTGTTTTGAAAACAAATAAACGCTAGCGAAAGCAAGACTTCCCATCAAGTTCACTTTGGCCGAGGTTTTCTTCGCGTCTTAACATGCATAAATGGGAATGGCCTGGGAAATCTTCCAATACCTTATTCTAAATACCATTCCTTGTCAGTCCAGATCAGTTTTTCGGTCTTCATTTTACTACGCGACATAACATGAATTTCAACTTACAAACGCATGTCGATCGGTAAACATTACTTTTTGCTAGTAACTTCTAGCAAATAAGGTATTTTGGATTAAAAATTATGTGCTGGTGACTCACAAATATTTTATGAGATTTGCTAATTATTGTTTTGCATCATTCATGTAGCAATGCAACAAATACCAGAGGGAAAGTCAAGTTGTTTCTTGCCAGATTTCTGTACCATATTTATGACTATCGTGGCATGTACTGTCATGCAATACGAATAAAAACTTGTAGAAAATGCAATACGAATAAAAACTTTTAAATCATTGTAACTAGATTTTTTCACTCTTTCGAGAAAAAAAACCAATTTGCTTTGAATATGAACGATAATGTTTCAAGAATAAATTACAACACTTAAATTAACTGTAATATTATATAATTAGGTCAGTTTTCTTTGATGTTTCCGGGCTGTATCCAAGCATACATCTGGATACAACTCGCTACTGTAGGGCTCGACCACAGTATAGGATATATACAGTAGGTGCACTTAGCTGTGCAACTGGATGCTGTATTTTTTGTGAGATTGCTGGATGCCGTTAGCCATTTCATATTTTCATTATTCCTACTGGTCAAAAAAGCAATTGACTGGCTGCCACAATAGTAATCGCATGCATAATAAGAAATGCGTTGCACAAAAAAGTTCAATGGAGTGACTCTACTGTGTATACATCAAATATATATCACTCTTTAAACCTGTACCATTTTATATTCATGTTTCACTCACGTATTAAATACAATCATATTCCTGAGTTCCACAACAAAATATATTTTACATAATCCACCTGCTTTTCAGGGTTCTTCTACTTAGGGGCTGTTCACATGAGCCAGGTAACAGCGGGATTCAGCGAGGTGTGAAATGATTTTGAGATATTGAAAGGAGTAAAAACTTTAAGCGCAAAACTTACAACCTTTTCTTAACCGTCATTCTAGTTGTAATTTTCAAATCAGGCTAAATTATTTGTTTTCATTTTAAAGGTTTTGTGAATTTGCAAAGTCCGAGCATAGAGAAATTGCTCAAATAGGTTTTTTGTTGAGAAGCATTTATTCTTTTTCATTTGCCGAAATGATTTAACGCTTCGCTGAATCCCGACTACCAGGCTCATGTGAAGAGCCCCTTACTGCTTCCAATGTCTACTGACTGAACCTCGGATTACTGTGCTCTTGACCATTCTTTCCCAGTGGAAACACCATACATAGTATTTAACGACCCTCAAGCAACTTTCAACCTTAGACTTCGTCTTCATCATCCACGGTGAATTGTTTAGCTTTCTTCAAATTTGAATCGACATCTCGTGTTGTAGCGCTTCATCGTGCACAGAAATGTTTAAAGTGTACGTTTCCAAAAAAATTCAAACCTGTCTGACTATTATTTCTCGGATATATCAACACAAGCGCATGGAAGCAAAGCTGGCATAAAAAAGTCGTGAAAAAGATGTGAATTTTAAATAAAGCCGAATGCCAAACACCTTTGGGATTCACCTCACTCTTTTTACGCATACACGCACTGATGGCCACTTCTTGATTGTTTATTTTAAAATAAAAAGTATAAAACAAATGCGCTGATTGGTCCAGAGCCACGTTTGCATTAGCCTGTGCAAAAGAGATCTGGGACCGGTTGCACGAAGGCCGAATAGCGCTATCCACTGAATAGCAAATTTTTTTGAAAGTTCAAAAAATCTCTTATGAAGGGAAGTTATATGATTTTACTGTGCAATCAGTGAAATAAAAAATTGTTTCGAAGATTACAAAATTTCTTTTTCTCAAGAAAAATATAAACACCATTTCTATAAGTTTGAAAATTTTTGCTATCCAATGGATAACGCCATCCTGGCTTTATGCAACCGTCCCCAGAGCTCAACCAATCAAATCAATCAATCAAAGAGACTTTGCAAATCGATCATGAAGACATTTTAGAAGAAAATTAAAACGTTCCTTTTAGGTTTTCCTGTTTTGCAATAAGGTTATTTTATAAAAGAAATAAAACATGTTTTTCGTGTTTGGATAGGCTTATGCAAACTTTAGCGGGCGTTTGCGACAAATTTTTAGGTCCATCCTTCGACTTTTGGTCTTGTGCCTGTACTGATCATCAGCACTCGAGTTCTCCCGAAGTTCTTCTCGGTTTGCATAAGCCTGTGCAAACACAGCAAACATATGTTATTACTTAATGCATGCACGTTTTCGCCCTTTATAAATATAATTAATTTTGTTACACACAAATTTCTACACAATCTGGTTATGGTGACTGCAGAAGAAAGGAATGCAGCTGAAAAACACAAAGTTTCTCTGATGAAAACAAGTCGGTCGCACGATATAAGTTATGGAGTTGTTACCAAAATATCTAATATATCAATAAAATTGAATTACTAGATTTAGTTGTTTGAACGATAGTTAGCTTAAGCGGTCGATAGGTCAATGACTTCACAACTGGAATAGCAAAACAAGAATACAAGTCTTCTAAAATGAAGAAATCTAAACATGCAAAGCGAACAAAGCTTGAAACAAATTTTATAAAATGAAAACAATATAACGCGTGCGGTGATTGGTTTATAGCTGTGCAAACCGATCTGAATTAAATCAATCAAAGAGAATTTGCAAATCAATTATGAACATACATGTCAGAAGAAAACTTAATACATTTGCTTTAAAGTTATCTGTTTCGCATTATTACTATTTTACAGCAAAAATAAACGATGTTTTCCGTGTTTGCACTGATCAGCTCTCGAACTCTTCTGAAGGTCTCCTCGGTTTGCAAAATCCAATGAAACTCACTAACATCTTCTATTTCTTAAATAGCTAATACAAGAAAAACTCATTTTCGCTTTGACGCCGTTTTGGAAAGCAGACCGCAAAAAACCCCAAATAAGTCCTAGCAAATAAGACCGACAGATCAAGGGGTACTAGTGCAATGGGCCAGCCATCTTGGTTGTTTCTTCTTCTGGATATTCAAGTCCAATCTTGGAATCATCGTTGGATATTGCCTATTGAACTCTGTCATGATTTCATGTCGCGAAAAATACGGGCTGTCAACCTGCATGATAAAGATTCGTGACAATATTCAAAAAGTAACGTTTCAGAAATGGTAAAAATTTCTTGTCTCTGTACTTTATCCATTTAGTAAATCAAAAAAATTGCTTGTAGTTTGGACTATTCCCCCAATTACCCAGTAGAATAAAATAATCAATATATGCTCTGAGGCGGATCCAGAGTACGTCAAAATAAATTACTGCAGCACATTTTGGCGTATATTTACATTTCTAAACACCTTAGAGGCTTATCTATTGGTAAAATTATATTCTTTAGAAATTAAAAACCAATAGTGTTTTTCAGAATGTAATTTGAATTTAAAATTGAGGATCTTTAATTTATTTTGTAGACAATTTTAAACGAGGAAAGAAGAAAAATGGCAGCTACGTATGTCGAAGCGACAGTTTTACCTTTAAACATCCAGTTTTGCTTTGACAAACTGCACGAGGTTTCAAATGAGATACAGACATTCTGGGAGTATAGATCTCACGACGGGCAGAATTTCCCATGATCTTTTTCACAACGAACGTGTCATTTTTTGAAGAAACGTAGCTCCTCATTGGTTGAGGATCTTCCTCGTGACTTAGAGGGTCTACCACATCAGATGCGTCCGACTTCGGAAAGATTTCATGCCGACACATGTGGGAGCTCAATGGATGTTCTTGGGGAAACTCGATTTTTATTTGTTTTTCACTGAAAAATGTTGACCCTGCATTCATGTGATGTATTTGATAAGTTATTCGTGCTTAAAATATGACTATGAAAAAGATACGTATCACACATAATAAATTCAACTTACTGCAGCTGAGTTGTGGAAGGTCGAGGAATTCTGAAATGCACATAACAAATATTTTAATGTTCAATAATCACATGCAAGAAGCCGAGAACTTCAGAAAATATAATACAAAACAAATTCCAAAAGTATTTATTTCGCTCTCGTGATGCTCAAAATAAAAACGACAAAGGAAGAATGGTATTGTTATGAACTTTCAAGTTCAATCCAGAAGAATGAAGCGAATCATATATAGTTTAATGCAATCACATACAGAATGCATCTTTTCATAGAAAAAACTCTTTATATAGGTGTATGGAGAAGAGTCTCTGGGGTGGGTGGGCGGTGGGGCAGTAAACATTTTCCTCATCTCACAATGGTAGACGAGACTTCGTGACTTTAAATTAGCATAATTAGCTAATTTTGTTTTGCGCTAATAACGAGGAAACATTTTCTGACTTTTCAATCTTTTTCTTGTAGGTGGGGCTGTCCCTTGCTCTCCATTTCATTGCAACTGTAGCTCTTAAAAAGGATTTGATGACTGTCATTGTTTTGGTCAACAGCTTTTGCTTCGACGGAGATAACCGATGTAGCTACTTACAATTCATCGTTACTTCTCAGATCACTTTTCTTTAATGATGTAAGTTCGTAACATTGATGAAAAGGATGGCCTCTAGGAATAAATTTATTTTGTAATTACAATTAATAAAACTTTAAATTGCCGACGGGTTTAGTGTATTTACGATATGAGTCCAAAGGTTTATTAGATTGAACAGACAAAAATGCTTGACTTTCCTGCGCATTACCGCATTTATATGGCTCCTTGAAATGAGTCTCACCCTCTCAAGAGCTTTAATCTCATACTTTACTATTTTCCACAGCTTTGTAATAAATCAGTAGCAAACAGTTTTGATAGAAAAAGTGGCTATGTTAGCTTGTTGTGAGAGAAGTACAACGTAAACATTTAATGAGTATATTCTATTAAGTATATATGCATGCATGTCACTGAGGATATTAATGAAAGCAAATTTAAATGATACGCCGGAATCGTACTCGCTGAATTTTATTTCGAATATGAAAATATCCATACTAAGTATCTTTATTCCTACTGAACTCGTAAAAGACGTAAAAGACCACTCAAGACCTAAAAGATCAGAGTTTCGTTTTGCTTTTTCTTCATATCATGCGAAAATAGGATTTTAATTCACGAAATTTCTATTCTTTGCTTTCAAGTAATCTTTAAAAATTTCTCTACAAACTTTTGTTGAAGAAGCCATGGTGTGACGCTGTTGATATCATCGTCATTGGTGTGATGTCGTAACGTGATAAAGCACTGTTCATCACACGTTATGACGTAATAGCGTGCAAGAGAAAAAGTTGTACTACACGTTATGACGTAATTTTTTTTTGCGATCGATTTTATTCAACAACAAATTTGTTAACCAATCATGTCTGTGAACACTTCTAAGCTAATGGTAAATGTTGAATACACTAAAATAAAGCGAACCAAGATCAATGAGAGCCTCCATGTCCAGAAAATACAACGAAAATTTTGTAAAGCGTATTGTATTAGCTCACCTTGGATAGGGAAACAGACCACTACCAAAATGCCGATGTGTTCTTTGGAGGACAAGTGGGGGCTCGCCTTTTGGTCTATGATTGGTCGGCAAATATACCGGTCCGTCTCCGGCATAACTTCGTGATCGTCCCCATGGCGTTTTTACGCGCTCTTCGCAATGATTATCTTCTAAAGTATCTATTCTATAAACACAATCAACGAAAAGGAATATAATGAAAGTATATCAAAAACTGTACAAACTGAACGGTTAGAGTGAATTTGGACAAAACCCAACTTGTCTTTATCTACTTTTTCTTGCAATGTTCACACGTGCAATCGTTTCAAACGTTTTAATGGAGAAGGAAAGGAAGATAAAAATGAATTATTTCTATATTTCCGAAACAGTTCATCTTCACGCACCACCGTCTAAGATGTGACCAATTCAGATCTTTTTACTGTGTAGAGTTGTGAGAGATTATATCCTATACTTCATACTGTTTATATGCATTTGTATATACCCTCCCTCCCCTATATATGGTGCAGCAATATCTTCAACATTTCCATATTATTGCAGTCTTTGCAGACTTGAAAATTCAAAACACCATTCATTTATCAGAAACACCAAACACGCAAGAGATTATGTTCATGTAAATTAGAAGCAAATGAAGACACACCAGCTTTGAAATGACTAGAAAATCCTTATACACTCATCTAGTGTATATGTTTTTTGAGGCAGTGTAGCTTAAAAACGAATTCACTGCCCCAAACCTCGCCAAGGCTACGAATTCTGCTTGAACAAAAAAGAACACAACATATATATCACCAGCCAAACGCCTAAACCAATTGCTTTTTGTTTGTCAGTTTGCTTTTCATCTCATTTTGAGAATAATTTAGTTATATTTAACTAAATTGTTAAACTAAATTATAAAAAACAGTTTGTTAAAATTTGAAAGTTGGTGCAAAAGTAGCTGTAAACTAAACTGTTGACATTTGAAAGTTGTACAACTTGTCAACTTAGCCTGCGACATGAAATGAAAGTCTGCTCTGAAAGGATCATGACGGTGTTAGTCAGATTCATTCGTAACGATTTTGACTCTCACTTACTTTGACGGCGAAATTGTTCGGTTGCTTTGAAAAATTTCATCTCCTTGAAATATATTCGAATGGAAAGTTCGCGAAGATGGATCCATGCAAACATTCTCTTTGTAGAGTGTTTGTTGATATGGTGTCAAAAATTCCATTTCCAGCAGTATGAAAAAAACTGGGATAAGATAAAATAGCTACCACGCGTCGAGCTTATTGTCGGATAATATCATTGATGATTAAAGGATTACAGCGCTTAGTAAGTGATAAGAATTTTAATTCCCAAATATTACGGCGAAACAGCAATGAAATTGGTTACTTTCGTCCAGCTATGTCTCGATTTCGAACAGCTCTAAGATTTGCGTGTTGACAGAAATACTTGCGTTACCCAACAAACAATAATTACCAACGTTACCAGTTACTAAGTAAGATGATATTTATTACCAAGTAGAGTATTGTTTATATTAATAACTACTGAACCGGTTAAAATAATTTATCATGCCCCTTACCCCTGGCCACTGGCCTATGTTATGTTTTGTGGGTTGTAGTTTGGTTGAAATATTCGTATTAAATGGGCTCGTTCAATAGAACAGACGACCGACTTTTCTTCCTACGATAAGTAGATATTTTTCTTCAACTGCGACGGCATTAATTAATTGTAGTTGTAGTTGTACATAATTTTTACATGAAGTAAGGTCTTGCCTCTTAGAAAAACAATTAAAAATGGCGGATGAAACCAAACTTGTGACGGTGAAGGTACGTAGCCAACGTATGCCGTTTTTTGTTCATTTCATTTTACATTATTTTAAAATACTTTTCATTGGTATCCGCGTATTGATATTATTTCTTCTGAAATTTGTTAAAATGCGAGTAAAATCGACATAATCTCATTATGTATAACGTGGAGTGGAGTACTCCCAGTCCGAGTCTTTGTTCTTGACGACGTGGCGGAGTTGGGGCCAGTGTATTTTAGCATCAATTCAGGTTTTTCTAGTGGCTATAATAGTACTCAAAACATTATTGGACAGCAATAATGACCATTCATATAAATAATCAGATAAATGCTCATTCATATAAAATGCGCTATTTTTACATTTTGATAATAGAAAAAGTTTTCAAACAATGCATTGACATAATAAAGCGATAAATGTTCTATGGTTTTCTATAGTTACACGTCATCAATATTATGTATTTCATTAACACTTTCCCTCTATCTCTCTCATAGTAACCACACATCTTTTATGTTTTGTGACTGACACTGTTTTACAATCCAGAACATGTTTTAAATATTGTTGTCATTTTATACATAGCTGTATTAGCTGCATTAACATCACCTGAAAACAAGTGGTAAATTCCTAGGCCCGTTCATCTTTCTTTTTAGATTCATTTTTATCAGAGCACATTTCAAGTATTTATCTTTTTTTTGGCATCAAATAATTTTCCAAAGAATAGCAGTTGTCATCATGAGCAGTGCCTTATTCAATTTGTTGGTCAAAACTGTTTTTTCTTGTCATCATTTGATTTTCTTATTTTACTTCTTTCTCATTTTAATTTCCAGTTGTCTGAACTTGTGTAGGTTTAATTATGATGAGTAGAGATAAATTAGGTAATCTGAGTTTGCTGACTAGACTATATAAGAATCGATTATATCTGAGCCAGGGATATTGGGTGACAAACGTGATTTGAATAAGAATTCATGACACAATGATGCACTTTCTGCAGTTAAAAAAGATAAATTGTCCTTGAAGATGCACAATTTTTACTTTTATGCCTGTTTTCTTGCCCTCTTTGAATTTAAAGATTCTGATGAACAGAAAAAACTATTTGAATATAGTTAGGTTTTAAATAACTAGCTCTACGAAACACTTTCATACGTACATCATCCATCAACTTATTTGCACAGATGTGATTTAATGATGCTCCCCAATTTGAATTGCTGTAATGTCTTAGAGCATTTTTCCTTTTAGATTGATGATGACATAGATCCTGAAAACTTTGGTATTAATATGTATTTCATTTTTCTTTGAACATTTCATTGTAATATATCTTCTAAATGTTTACAAATGTTGTCCATCATGCCTCCCATGCAAAGACCTTAGTGTGCAAAATTACATATTATTACATGAGTAAAGACCTTAATATGCAAAATATGGAGTCACCCCTTGGTTGCCATTGCCTCTTTTAGGCTTTGATTAATAATGTTTACCTCTCTTGCCTCCCATGGTTACCCAACTTCACAACACACATAAAGTAAAAGCTTCAACTTTTCACTTCTAAGATTATCGAGAAAAAAGTGACGACGAAAAAAATGTCGATGTATCTGGATTAATCAGTGACGACGACTTCCAAGGTATAAAATTACGACGAGAAATTAAACATTTCAATTGGTCCAGAGCAAAGATATAAAAGAAATCGTTAAGAATGATGTCAATTGATAATCGGCTGTGCTTTTATATACAGAAATATGTAGAAACAAATAGTGCAAGTATTTAGAGTTTTGACTGATATAGAATTTACCATTGAATGAGAGCAATGAAACTTTGAAGAATATTTAGTGTCAATACTTATAGTATTCGCGACTGTTTTTACACGAAAAACTTTCTTCAACACTTAATAACTACTGCAATGACCTGCATTACTGACCAAACTGTTATGATAATTTTGTGTGTTGATGTTGGCGAATTTACTAATGTTTTTTCGTTAATAAAAAAGTAATTTACTTAATTTCACACAGTTTTAACTGATCGTGATTATTAGCTACAAAACCAATTTGTACGTTATTCAGGTGATCCAGACGATGACGATAGCGACACAGCCGAGGTAATTGTTGCCTTTACTGTACTCACAAAGCTTCATCCGAATCGTACGCCAATCAAATAGCCTAGATTCAATTGAGTTCATGACTTCTGATGTTTTCCTTACTGTTGCTCCTCACCGTAGCTTTTGTCGGGAAAAAAGAAGACGCCGCCATTTTGGACGTTTGAATACTACCAAACATTTTTCGACATTGATACTTCGCAGGTAGCTAATCATTATTTATAAGTAGTTTTTTTTTGTTTTGTGCGCTGCAGAATTACCGTTAAGTGCTGCTGAAAATGCACAACTTTTTCAGTACAAAAGCAGAATTTTTAAAGAAATTTCAATGGCAGCTTTATGGGCAAAAATGATTGACTTAAATAGAAACTACCTTAAATTGAGAGAAACGACGACCAGTCGCTATCGGCCGAGTGGCTTAGGCAATGAAATGAAAGTCAACAACTGCAACTTTGTTTCATCAATAACTCCCTTAAAATTTCATCGTTAGGTTTTAAAACGAATCCTGGGCTCGATGGTGCCCGTGAAAAAGAGAAATTTTCTCACCACGCAAATACGTTCAAATCCGGATCTTTATGGTAAGTTAATCTTGTTCTTCTGTTAAACTGTGTTTCTTATCAGGAGAAATAATACAATCTGTAAGCATATTCGAGTATTTTGCTTCTTCAACCGCATTTGGCATATAAGTGTATTATCAATAGTCAAATCAAGCGGGTCTTCAATCTTCTCTCAACTTAATATTTCATTTTGGCTGCATCAACTTTTGACATTTTAGCATTGCAAGGCAGAAAAATCTTTTGTTTTCGCATCGGTATATTTTTTCCCGTCATAGGACCATTTTGGATATGTGTCACGTTAGTCGTGACCATAGCAATAACCGGAAACCTTGCAAGCTATCTCGTCCATGTTGGCGAACACAAATGGTCGTACAATTTCCACAAAAGTAAGCTTCGTATATAAACTGTAGGACAGCAATATTTTGCATTGATATCAATTTGCGTCGCTTGCTTGATTGCTTACGTTGCTTTTGTTATTTTTTAGTAACTTTGGCTGCTGTTGCCGTCTTTGGCTATGCATGGCTTGTGCCCATTTTTGTTTGGGCTGTTTTGACTTGGCGAGGAAACACAGCAGCCTACTCGTTTCTCGAAATAATATGCGTCTATGGTTATTCTTTGTCTATTTTTGTACCCATTTCGGTGAGTGTATAAATATGTACACAGCTCACCCTGTACAACAATGCAGGTATAAAACTCTCCTAATGGCAAGTTTCTATGGAATTTGACTGGCTTTCAAAACTACGAGACAGGGGCAACAGTATAGAACGATTAAAAAAATTTTCTCTCTAGATTTTATGGGTGATTCCTTTGGAATTGGTTCGATGGATTTTGGTGGTGGTTGGTCTTTGTCTATCAGGTAAAATAACGATACTAGAGGTTGTGTAGTGCACATATTTAGATTCACTTCATGATTTACGACATACGCTTTCAAATCATTTACTGAATGTGGGAGAATTACATTTCAGGCGCCGTTCTCGTTTTGACATTTTGGTCAGCTGTCAGGGATGACGACAAAAAGGTGAAAAGTTACGTTGAATGAGCTTGTGCGTTGCATGAAAAACCGAATTTATTGGGGATTTTTTTTCATTCTAGGTCGCATTCATTATATTGTTGATCATATTTCTTCTTCACGCCAGTCTCGCTGTTGGATTCAAGGTTTGAAAACGTAAAAATGTTGTACAACATTAGAAAACAGGCTGCATTCTCCCATATTTTTTTGCAGCGGTACTATAAAATTCATTCTACACGATACACCATAAGAATGCTATCATTTTCATTTGCATTAGACATTGTGATTTTCTTCTATTAAAAATTGAACTGGTCACTTTTGGTGAATATCTATGTTTAGGCATTCAATTATTGACAAAAAAATACTTAGTAAACATGGAATCGTTCCTAATGCTTGTGTTGTTATTTATTTCAGCTGTACTTTTTTCACTCACCTCCCAGCATTCCAAAAACAAGCAACCAAAAGTCCACGGCAAAACCATTTATGAGTCATACTGTTGCAAAATCATCTATTCTTACCGATGTTACAAAGCGCCCTCGCAAAGACATAAATAAAAAACGAAATGCACCACCAAGACCCAGAGTGACATCGACACCGTTACGGAATCACGCGCATACATTGAAACCCTGAAATATTTAAATATGTCAATTGTCAATACAGGCAAAACTATTGGTCATACTGGTTTGTTGTTTTGTCAGCATTGTACATGGGAAACATTCATAAATACATGTTACATGTTTTCGACATTTGTTGTAAACTCATTCGCAGAGTACAAAGAAAAGTACCTATAGTGATAGAAAGTACTTTTTTTGACATTACTTGAAATCCAACACGACTTGCGTTTAAGGATACCGTCTTCATGTAGGTATAGTTGAAAGCAGATTAATGTTAACAATGTCATGTTTCATGATCTCAATATGTACTCGAATTGTATTTTGAATTAATAAAATTCAATCAATATAGGAACATTGATATGGGCATGGTATTGGTATGATCGCCGCATTTGTCTTTGACTTCTGGATTTCAGAAATAATAAAATAGAGACTTTGTCGTGGTGGCAAATCTGAAAATAGTTCTAAATATCGCAAATACCATAGTGAATGTTAAAAGTAATATAATAAGTTGATAGTTCTTAAAAGAACTGTTTTAAGTAAAGAGCACTAACCCGATAGTTCTAAATTAAATGACACGATGCATTTCGGCAGACTACTCCTCAGGTGTCAACGTCTGCTAAATGAAAATTTACAATCTACCGATATTTATAATACCAAGAAAGAGTGTACGTCTCCTCCAAAAGAGGAGATGACGCTCAAAACAGGGATAAATGAAAAACATAATCCTTTTGTCGGTAGAGGACGGGATGGGTTAACTTAATTAAAACAGCTTCCATGACGCGTAACTGAAAGAATGAACGGCATTTTTTAATGATTCTAAAATTGTGGTTCTGAATAAGAATCAGCACAATATATCTTCAGAGAAATATCTTTTTCAATGAGTTGAGATCACCCTCAATGAACTCCTCTGATGACAGTCTAAGCGTACGCTTTATTAAGTTCGCTGTACTTCAAGAGGTTCAGAAGAGGAGGTTCCTGTGGTACAAACGTTACGTTGACGACACCTTTTCCCTTTTTCGTAACGACAAAAATCGCCAATTATTTTTGCATAAATTCTGTTCTCTTCATCCTTCTTTCAATTAAACGTCTGAACATGAATCAAATTGTCAGCGTCTTGCACTGGCCACAGAAGCCCTGCAGACCACTTTGGGTTATTAAATGATCTTTACAATGAGATTGGAAATTGATTTGGTAGGAAATTAGTGAAAATAATCCATCTTCAAAAGCATCAAAGTGTAAGACATCACTATTCTTTCCAAAATGGTGTTCAAAATAATCCATTTGAAAAGTTCGAAGTACCAATGCTCACCTAACGATATTTCAAGAAGGATCAGATTGGAAATCTAACTAGTCATCTGTATCACTGCCGAATATGTCAATTTCGTGTCCATCTTCCTCGTTTTGAATAAAGTTTGTGCATGCACTACAATTGCAGATGTCAGTACATTTAAGTCCATTTGCCACACATATGCACATATTGTTTTGACATCGTGACTTCTTGCAACCACAGGCTAAAAATTCGAGTATGGAGTCCGGTGGTGGTTTCTGGCTCATCCAATGACTTCCTAATGTCTCATTCACAAACATCCATCCACCGCCTTCTGGCGTTGGGGACAATTCATTACATGATAATGCTGATTTCCAGATACAAGTCACGTAATTTGCCCGTTTACAATGCTATAGCAATTCATCTTTTGTTGGTGAAAGTTTATGCGGTTCTGGGATCTTACTCTTGGTGCAGAATTTTCTGCAGCGCGCTTCGTTAATATTTAACACCATATAGTACAGATCTGACAAGATTTAACACCATATAGTTCAGATCTGACAAGATTTAACACCATATAGTTCAGATCTGACAAGATTTAACACCATATAGTTCAGATCTGACAAGATTTAACACCATATAGTTCAGCAACCATTTCTTGAACTGTCGGAAAAAGCTTTTCATCAAAGTCAAAAACCTCACCAATTTTCTTTAATGCTTTTTGGTATCGATCTGAACCCTCGACGATTTTGTAAGCCTTTTGTTTTCCAACTCCAAAGAACGCACTTGTTGAATCACAACCAGTAACTGCATGAAGAGCCGGCAAAACGTTAGACATTGCTTCACCAAGACTTTCGTAAATTTTTGAAACAGAAAAGATTCTCTTCTTTCCTTTTAATCCAATCTCAACATATAAATTACAGCAAATTCGCTCTTTGTAGTAGACAGCCAAGATTGCAGCATCGCTGTCAACAGTTGAGATGCATATACTAGGATTTATATTGGTTTGGGTAGCATGCAGGCAACAAAGAAACATTTTAGTGTCTGCTTCTTCTTGGTTGGAGCAAAGGCTAACTTCTTTTCTTGACACTACTTTGTTATTTACTAGTTCTAGTTGATAACATTTACTTTCAATGGTTACAAATACAGTTCGTTCTGAGATGGTGCCTTTGAAGAGCTCGGGATCCGACCAATCTTGTAGAAAAAAATTCACAAGATCAACTTTGTTATTGATATCAATTAGGTATTCTTTGAATTGCTTCGGTCGTTTCTGGTCCCTTCTTGACAGCTGAATTCGAATGATTTCTGAATTTTCACGTCATTTGCGTTCACTACCTTTTAAAGATTCGTCAAAATATTGGTCGGTGACAAAATATATGATTTTACCAGAATTAGAGGTGATATGTTTCAAGACATATTCGGACATTTCGCCAAATGTTGTTAAACTAATAGAGGCCAGCTGCTGAATGATGACCATACCATCAAATACTCTTTCACAATCAACTGGAAGGGAATCTACCATGGGATCTTCTACATCTTTCTCCACACTGTCCAGCAGCTTAGATTTAACAGCTTTTACATAACTTCCATCAGCAGTGGCTAAAGACCAAAGAAGAGGATCAAGAGAATAGGTGAGCACTTCTCTCAACGAAACATCGCGCTTGCCACATATGACTAATAATCGGGCAAATAAATCACGACCCGCTTTTAATGTTAAGCTTTTATCTCTAATGACGCGTGATTTTTTAATTTTCATCGCTGCAAACGTCTTTGGCTTCATGTTTTGAATTGGTGCAAACAGATCTTCGTCGTTTGATTCAATTCGTTTCGCCAAGAAGTTGCGAAGTGCTTCTTTCCCTTTTTCTTCCGTATTAATCATGTCGTTCTTAATATCATCGCTGCATTGTAGTCCAGAACTCAGATGTACGAGGCAAGTAATTTCTTTAAACGGTGTCCCCCACTCCATAAGAAGATCATAGCAGCGAAGAACGTAATTTTCGTCGTGCAGCATTCACTTTCTTCCAAGATCTTTTGTCACGGATTTAGCCTCGGACATTCCTAGGAACTCCTCCATCCCTTTTTGACACTTTGCAGCAGAATGACTGGTTAATACCCATCTTTGAGCTGTTCCTTTTGATGTACTATGGCCAACAATTCCACCTGCACATTTTTGCTCTTTGTTGATTGTTTGCTCTATAGCTTCATCTCATGGTATCTTGTTAAATCTTCCTGGTTGTCTTCTGACAGAAAAATAACCTGCTTCAAAGTTTTGGATGTGTTTCTGGAAGCTTTTTCAGGGTTACCAGGTAGTCTGTCAGAAAGCGTGCGTAGTTGGGACGATCATAGCCAAACATCCAGGGAAGCATGTTTTCTGTCGATTGCAGTTGCAATTTCCATTTCTCGAGCTTGATTGATCTTGAAAAATCGAGTAATGTCTGCACCATACTTAAAAATGACGACCATACGGATGCTGTTAGACCAAGAGAACCATTTATGACAGAATCTTCATAATTTTGTAATTCATCGAGAAGATTGGCGCGATGTCGGCTATGGTTTTCTAAGAGTTGTTTTTTTGGAGAGGAAAGGAATTTTTCTAACTCAACTGAGTTGACTAATCTTTCATAAAGCTCATTCGCCTGCTCTGTTTGGTCGTTTTTTGAATGTTTAAAACTATCAATCATATGTCTTTGGAAAGCCTCGTACAGGTATTCGCATTGCGTTGTTATAATGCTTTCCTTTAAGCATTTGGTCAACGGAAGATTCATCAAGAAGATTTGCCTCGATTACGATGTCGCGAAGACCAGCATCAGCAAACCTCTTTCCGATAACAGCAATGAATATACACATTGTATGAAACCCGCCAAGCCGCAAAACAACGAACTGCTTAAGATCTTGTACCTTGGATTCTTCATAACTTCCACAACCTTAGCGTATATTGCCATATCTAGCACCACATCTGTTTCGATCAAACCAAGTTTTTCTGTCTTCACCTTTGATTGACGGAGGAGTTCCAGAACAGTATCATGGGACGTTGGAGATTTGGTAATCGACGGCAGGTATCCAATTTCATGGTAGCTGTTGCTTTTGTTGTCGCACACCAAATAATTAAAGCCTGTCCAACTAGGTATCTGCTGCTGGAAATTTGTTTGATTGACTTGAGTTCTGGCGATGATCCAAAGCGTATCAAAAATGTATGAAAGTTTTACTTCGTCTTTGTGCATGCATAGCTGAATGCTAGTCGTGGCTTCTGTATTTTTTCGCTTGACCTGAACGTACGAAGGTATCTCTGTTAGAAGAGGTTGGAACTTTTTCATTTTTTGTTTCATGCATGACTGTGGAGACACTAAGGCATCTTCGGAAGAGGGCTGGGGCTCATTTATTACAACATCTGATGGCTGGATGGCAATGCCATTCGTACAGTGCAAACTAAGCCCTTTGAGACTTTCGGGATTGATGTCGTCATTATCCCAAACAAAAGTGACGAATTTAGATGGCTGAATAATGGCTGGAGAGAAGGACCTGTGAAATTGGTCTTTTGAATGTTCCATTGCCAGAGAAGTTTCAACAATAAGCACATCATCATAAGACATCTCGTGGCCAAACTTTTGTGTCCAGTTGATAACTTTTTTGGAGCCAGTCTTTCTTTTGATACAGAAAGGAAAGGTTGTATGCTTTAACGTTTTTTTCCGACTATTGTTGGCGTGGTAGATCAGATCTTGTCCAATTGAAGACGCTAAACGCATCACCTCTGCGGATTTCGTTGATTTATTAGTGAGGACTCCTTCCAAAAAACATGTTGTCAACATTGGAATTTCTGTTTCTTTGGACAGAAGCTCGTGCTTTAGTGGTGACCAACTTCTAAAAGTATTGGGAGTTTCCAATAATTCTTTACGTATTTCATGGGCAACTTGCATCGCTTTCTCCTCCAGCGATAAGTCGTTCCATTGATAGTTCAATAACTTTGCCTTAACAGCTGCTTCAACTAACTGCCTCTTTTCAACATTGTTATTAAACAAATACTCACTGCCATACTTTGGACTTCAAAACCCAACTTTTGAACCAAATGATTTCTGGATCTTATCTTTAAGCCTTTGTATTTTTGGTGAGCTAAGCTGATGTTCATCACCAAATAAACGTTATGCAATTTCTAAATTTTTAGTTAAATCAACCATCCGCAAAACTTCACACTCAAGGAATACCTTCTCTTCGATGACTGCAGATAGCTCCTGAAAAACGGTTTCAGCATTGCTTGAAGCCACTGGTTTTATCTTGCGCTTTTTGCAGATTTCCCTATAACACGATCTGTGGTAAAAATATTCCTTTGCTAATATCGTCTGCCATTCTGAATTCCCAAGAATCGAATGATAGAGCAGCATCGTGCAAAGATCGTGCACCATTCTCAGTCTCGCATTTTTCCACTCGCACCACTTCAACGTTTTGCTGTTTTTTTCTTCCACACAAACAACACTCGTGATCTTCCAATATCTTACCTACATATATTTACATAAGTTACTTAATCAAATGTAAGTTTTAATTAAAATTAACGTCTTGTTGATAAAGAGACATTCGCGAATTATACCTCTTCGATCTGTTTTTCTTGTTGACTCTCACTGTCGCTCACGTATAGGCTTTTTGACTTTTAACTTGCCGTGAGTATATTTTTTATAACATTTTCGATGATACCCGTACTCTGGCGAGGGAAGATCTTTCCCAAAAGAATCGATTATTTCAATAACTTTCTTATCCTCACGTTGCTTTGCAGCTTTGTAAATAGATTTTTTGGACGTGTCACTGAACCTAATAATCGATTCACGTGGACTCTTTTCACTGCACTGAAGAATGCACCCGATAAATGTTTTATTTGATGTAGAGTTTTTTTGTGCTTTTGACGGTGAAATGCTCACATCAACTTCAAACGGTATATTTTTTCGTTTTCTAGACATGATTTGTCAGACAATACATGCCAGGCGAACATAGAATTTTTAGGTAGTTTTTATGAAGTATGATAAAGTGCCGCTGATCAAATTAGCCAAGTCTCACTTCTTCTATCAAAAATATTCAAAAATCATGGCGCTTCTCAAAACAAACCAAACACTGTCAGTAAAAGTTATAAGTCGGCCTTCTCAAGAACATTTTTCAGATGGTTTTTAAAGGTGTTAACTACAATTCTAGCATAACAAGAAATTGCCCCTAGGTATGGTAAGTTTTTACTCAATTTTCTTCACTTATCTGCCTGACTAATAGGATCAAACAGCATGTACCAACTTCAATCAGAAATGGAACGGTCCTCTCAAGACAACAACCAAAACGTGATTGTAAGAAAAGTAATTTAGTTTCATGTGACTCCGCGATAGGTAAACATCTCTCGAATAACTTCCACTGCGCCGATTCTTATTCAGAACCACAGTTTTAGAATCATTAAAAAATGCCGTTCATTCTTTCAGTTACGCGTCATGGAAGCTGTTTTAATTAAGTTAACCAATCCCGTTCTTTGCCGACAAAAGGATTATGTTTTTAATTCATCCCTGTTTTGAGCGTCATCTCCCCTTTTGGAGATGAGGTACACTCTTTCTTGGGGCATTATAAATATCGTTAGGTTGTCAATTTTCATTTAGCAGACGTTGACACCTGAGGAGTAGTCTGCCGAAATGCATCGTGTCGTTTAATTTAGAACTATCGGGTTACTGCTCTTTACTTAAAACAGTTCTTTTAAGAACTATCAACTTATTATATTACTTTTACCATTCACTATGATATTTGCGATATTTAGAACTATTTTCAGATTTCAGAAATAAGAACTTACAGCTAACCCCTCCTTTTTTAAATTTCGTAAGAACTTACACCTAACCCCGCCATTTTCAAAATTCATTTAAAATGTAAAAATGCATGGGGTAAATGTTTACGATTGAAACCTTGTTCTCTAAGTCGTTATATTCAGCTATTTTTACGTACATCAAGCCTCCTCAATTTATAAGAAACTCAATTTATCGTTTAATTACGCGAATAAGCTCCGACGTCAGGGAAGGCCTTTGGCAAACAGAAATCGTTTTGATTTAGGTTTTGGCTTCCGTTATAAAAGACAAACCGGGTGCCATTTAGCCTAAATCACCACTTTTTACGAGTTTTGGAAGCTAGGCGTTAACGTCCACATGCAGTTTCTATCGTCAGAGACTTGTCTATAAAGTGACCTTTCTAGACAGTAGGCTGCCTTTAGCACTGATTTCGAATTCAATTTAATGGCTTGTAGATTTTAGATTTACTTCTAATTGGGTGTGAATAACACGTGCCTGTAGTTCGTTCTTTCGCTACACTGTTTGTCCTTGCTCTTCTGTCAATTGTAAGCAAGCTGAGAATATCGATTTTCTTACAATCGATTCTTCATAAAACAGCTACATTGCACCTTTTAATCAGTTTACCAATAGTCTGCTGCAGGTTCGTCAAATTTACCATTTCGTTGATGATGTTATCAGTAGCGTAGCCAGCCCGCATGTTTTGGCGTTGCTATGTAAATTCCACATTATTATAATAATTCATTTCTATAGAAATCTTTAGGTTTTGAAGTGTGTGAGTGAAGAACAAAAAAAATTTGCACAGCAGGATCAAATTGCATGCTAGCTACGCCACCGGATGTGATTTGAAACTATTGCTTTCGGAACTGTTCTGAAACTACAAATGAATCCGAAAAAATCTATCCTAAAGACTTTTTCTCTTTTAAGATCAACTTATGTAATCACGGATACGCCAAAAAAATCTCAGCCATATTCATCATTTCTTGTATTACACATTGAAAAAAGATCCAGAGCTTTTTTATTTAGAATGCTGCGATGTTTGTTACGAAGAAAATATTACAAATGTTTATTTGACCAGCAAGCGTATTATATATCCTACATTCAATATAAACTATAGGATTCAGACAGACTGGAGGGATAAAAAAATCGCAATAATGCGAGTTCAGAGCTATTGTGGATTTATACGTTCGCGCATGACATAAAGTAGGATTTTAAAACTACACTGCCTTCTCGTAACTGTCATATATTTTCGGGTTATTTTCGGAGCCCGTGCTAGATGATCCATGATAATTGCAGGTTTTTTACTTCATCGTAAAATGATGTGTTGATTTCCCTTTCATCCGTTAGTTCCATGCATTGCGTACGCACCATGATTGCCAACGATGTACCCACCTTGCATACCATTCACCAGAACTTGTCCTAAAAAAGATTGAAACGCGTAATTTTCCGTGTACAAATAGCTATGGTAATTGTTTCTCAAAACCACATTACATGGCCATCAACTATATTTTGGAACAGTAACAGTATTTTACAAGTTACATGTTTGTAGATCTAGATCGTCCTGGTTTGAAGAGTCATGAAGACTGTCGGTGTTGATGTTGACTGACGTTTCTACAACCTTAGAGGTAGTCATCTTCAGAGTCAAGTGACAAGTGTAGTGGATTACTCAAAAGTGCTGTGCTTATTTGTTGTTTTTTCTTAGGTTGTGAGTAAGTTTTTACAGCTTAGATATACATAACTAGTTTAGAACTATCTTGCAAGTTCTCGACTGTCTTGTTGGACCTTCTGCTTAATTTAGATAGCATTTCGTAATCATTACACTTTTCGTAAGGATATCCATTTCTAAACGAGATCGTGAATGAGCAGACGTAGATACTGCGTTACTAAAACCAATAACACGACACTACTATATGTCAAAATCGCTAACATTGGTTTGAATGTCAAACATATTGTTAGGACTTCGTCAAGATGGCACACTAAAGCAAACTAACTAAAACTATTTTAAAATACAAAAAAGCGAAACATGAACCTGTATCTTTGATGTCCCAAGGTCACACTGAAAATAGCCAAGTATGGCGGCAAAATTAACTTAATTCCACTTAATAAATAACATTGATTTGTACTACTTAATGCTTGAAAAAAGCAAACTTTTCATTGACGTAAAAGTTCAAAATTATGTGTAAAAATACTTTAAGTTAGATCGAAAGTGGGAGGCAATACGCCCGAAATGGTATTAATGCAATGCTTTTTTTGTCTTGTCTTTGAGTTTCACTTTTAATGAAATTTAACAAATTGGTTGCAGCTATAAAAAAGTACTATTAAACAAATAAAGCCCAAGTAAAGAAGCGTTTTCAGCATGGACGTGCGATAGTTCACCTCCAAACGCTTTCTCATGTGATACACATAGCGAAACACACCTATATAGTAAATGTGTATCGCACTTACCAAAAAGGAGTTAAAAAAATCGAACTCTTTGTCCGTTGGGGCGGCCATTTGAATAATAATAATACATCGTCTATAATATCGTCGCTTAAATTGCACGACGCAAACTAGCTTTCAAAAAAAGTTGCCTCGAACGATCAAATAACAGTTACAGTTTACAAGAGTACCTTGAAGTCCCAATGTGTTCACTCCAAAAGTGGCATTGGATGGTACGACTCCGTTCGTCATCACGCCACCAGCGGAGAAGTCGTGATTTACAAGGCCCAAAGACGTTCCCACGTTATTAGGGATACTAGACCAGTATGTTTCGGTTGGTGATGTCGTATTATTTCCCGTAGGCGGATTGCTTTGTGTACCAGTGTATCGGAAGTAAGGATTCTTCAAGTCCAGTACATTTCGAGAAATGACATTTGAACCGTCAACCGTCACCTCAATCTCGACATCATAGCTTTGCCTGGAGATTTATGATGAAAAAAAATTAAATGGAAATTACATAGGAAAAAAACACGTTTTGCCAAACTGATCACACCAATCGTCATATTTTACTATACTTTTTATATATTTACTCGTGCTTAAGATATACTTTTTATATTACTAAATTACACAATTTGGGGTTGCGTAAAGAAAAAGCAATCGTCGTAAAATAAAGGCAAACTCATAAATTGCTAAAAAGAGCAACATAGATGATGTTGTGTGAAAAGATTCTGGTAGGTCCCGTTTGAGACAATAGAAAACAACTTAAAAGAGCATGTTGGAAAAAGTAACAGGGGTTATTAGTTAGTCTTGGAGTTGGCAGAAGAAATGTTGATCGGCGGCCTATAGAGGATATTGTGGAGAGAATGGACTTGGCAGTCAGTAACACTTTTTTCCAAATGAAGATGGAGTGTCGGATTACATACTACAGTGGACGTAAATATAGTGTAAAATACGGAAGTGGATAATAACTTAGTGAGAAGGGAAAAGTGGAATGAAGTTAAGAACTTTAAGGTTAAGGAAGGTAAAGGACTGAGTCGAACACTGTAAGTGAGAAGGAGACTAAGCAAGACAGAGAGCGAAGTGAAGACTGTAAATGTGTGTGAAACAAAGAAAATCAGGAAATCCTGAGCGAAGATTTACATGATGGAAAAAAATAAAAGAAGATGGAGCTAGCAAAAGAAAAACAAGTTTAGTTTTTGATGAGCTGTATAAGCAGCTTGAGGGGAAAAGAAGCTGTTTAAGTTGACAAAACATATGGACAAGTATAGGAAACAGAAGAGGAAAATGTTTAAAGAGGGTGGAAAGTGACAAAGGAGGTGGTGAAAAATTTCCAGAAGAGGTTGCGACAGCAACAAAAAGGATGAAAAACTGAAGACATTTGGTGCGGATGGTATTTCAGAAGAAGCTTGTTTATCCATTGGCAAAGTTTTTAACGAAGATGTTCGACAGGCCGCTTCCAAAAAAGCCAAAGCTAGGAGAATGAAAAAGGTGTGTGTAACTGCCAGTTTGTAATGGGGGTTTTGAAAACTGCAAAACTCGCCAAGGAATAAAACTGACAAAACAAGAGTTAAGAGACAGCGAAGTGTTGTGTGATAAGAAAACATCAGCTAAAATAAAAGAGGAGAGTTATATGAGTGTTGCTAGACCAGCAATGATGTATTGTACGGAAACGGTGGCAGTGAAAGTGAAACAAGTGGAAAGGCTTTAAGTAGGAAAGAATGGTCAGTTGGACGCTTCGAATGACTAGAAACTAAAGAATCAGGAATGAGTACATTCGAAGAACTACAAAAATCACGATGATTGAAGGAAACGAGGTTGTAGTGGTTTGAAACGTAATATTGAAAAGTAAAGGAGGGATGATGTGGGAATAGAGATGTGAAAGATGGTAGTGCGAGGGCAGTGAAGAAAAGGAAGACAGTGTTAGAGGTGGATGGAAGGGGGGAGGGATTATACGAGGAACATGGGTGAGAAAGAAAAGGATGTCATGGAAAATCATGTTGAATGGTGTTGTACAACAGCGCATGGAAAACCTCACCCCTAATAAAGAAGCTGGGAAAGGAGAAGTAGTATGTTACTTATTATATACTTAGTATACTATACACATCAATGTTTTTTTCCGATTTGAGCCACGACCTTTGTGCAACACTCACTTTTTGTTTGCTAGCAACAAGACTTGACCACGTAATATTTGACCAGTTCGAACGTGGACAGGATGTGGCAGTAGACACCGAACCTGTAGAGAGGAAAACATAGATTAAGAAGAATATTGTAAGTTATGAAGGAAATTTCAAAAGCCTGCGAGGAGTGCACTTCTAATGGATAGAAATGTTAAATCGTGAGAAACACAACCACGACTATTGGAAAACAGGTTCATTATGAATGCAAGCTTTCATACTGGATTTTTTTGTCGAAAATTACCGGATTCGTCTTTGGTAAGTCAAAGTAAGTTTGTTGAAATTTTGAATTTTTCAGTCATAAAGAACAATTATACACGTTGTACAAGTATCTCATTAGCTTTCGGCATATCAATTTTAGCAGTAAGATGGCAAAAAAATTGTACATCGAGGTAATCTGGTTATAAAAAGTATGATGGAAATAATTAGATACTTTTTATTTCCAATCAGTGAACTAAGTTTCATTCAAATTTTAGATAAACTTAACTCTCAAGAGAAGATACATTTTTAGAGTTTCAATAATCAGTTCGGATCTCCGCCTACTTGAGGAATCATAAGCTGAGCAATCATTTCGCAAAAGCGCAGGCAAGCAATTTTAGCCAAGTGTGTCGTAGGCGATGAACATGTTGACAAATTATGCACGACCCTCCGCAAGGAAGATATAACAAATTGCTCTGCTTCTATAGGATGAGATCTGAATAGATTGCAAGACAAATTTACCGTAAAACAATCTTTTAATCAAAAACAGCATTGCATAGTTCTATACTTTTAACAATAATGTAAAAGATAGGTTTAAGCAATGTAGCTACAGTATGATTTACACTATTACGCGTGCGCACCTGGACAAAATTAAAAAACAGAAAGTGGCGTTCGATTTGCACTGATCTTACAAATTCATTGGAACTCCTACACAGTGTGAAAAGTCGTGCGCACAGAGAGCTTATTTTTCTGGGTTGGTTAGGGCTCTTAACTTAATCACAGGGTTGAGAATATACAGTAGTTCCAATTCGTGTGCAACTGGCTGCTGTATATTTAATTAGATTACTAGCTGCCGTCAACCATTTCATCATTCCTATTGGTCAAAAAAGCAATTCACTGGCTGCCACTATAGTAATAACATGTGTAATAAGATATGCATGGCACGAAAAAATTTTAATAGAGTGGCTCTACTGTATATTCACTATACTGTGACTTAACCTTTCTTAACCATCGTTCCCTTTCATTGGATGATTTACCATACCCAGGCAAATGTTGAAATTTGATTATAGTTACTTGTCATTTATTTCCAATTCCGTCTGAAGGTTTTCCGAGAAATTTTCTGTAAATTTACACTTTATCTTTTATTCAATTAACTAGATTACTCGTTTCCAGTCCTTATCAGGCACTTGTTGCGTTCTGGCTTTATCAATTGCTTAGATACACCAAGATCCAATAGAAATCTCAAGCGAGTTGTCAGAAAGATGAACATAAAAACTACGAATTCCTTACCACATGGAGGGGAGAAATCATCAGACACAAATCGAACAAAATAAAAACTTACATATAATACGAAAACTTACAGTCTGCACACAAATGACATGTTTTTTTTATTTAAATAACTCATGCTTTCCGAATTTTAGCGACAATTAAAACACACATCTTTCAACACAACAAAATTGTCATTTCCTCAACAATACTTGGGCCGTATCTACAGTCAAACATGTATTAAGCGGCCCTGCACTAAGCGACTACTCCATTAAGAGGACACTCCAATAAGTGCCGAAATTAATGTCATATTATTAGTAATGAAACCTTCATAACATTTTATCGTATCTAATGAAACCTCTTGATTTATATATTTTCGTTATCTCCTAACGAGGAGAGGCATGGTGAAGAGAACCTTTGATACGACACCTGCATTTAGCAGAGAGCGGACGCTGCATACAGGTTTGACTGTATATGAACTCATAAACAGACAGTTGGCCGCTACAAGTTCGAACTTTATCATGCTAAGGCGAATAGACCACTTTCAAAACAAAGATAGCAAAGAAACATCACTTTTCTTCAACATCTCTGCTCAGTTAAAGCATTGTTCAATCCTCTGTTTAACACTAAATAAAGTTATAATTCCTTATTGTACAAAGCGCAAATTTGATCCCTTTATTTGGCCCTTTGTGTTTGTCAATTCTCATGTTGGTGATTGGCATTCCAAATCACAAAATCATTTCATACCAATATCTTTCACCTTTTCATTGATTCGCTAGGACCAAACAGAGTCAGAGTCAAATGGCAAAATAAACATATTGGAGTATAAATTTTCAGTGAATGTTAATGGCGAGCACCATGCCCCATGATAATAAAAAGGATTAGTGATCAATTTAAATCAAAACAACTCGTACTCTGCAGAATCTTCGGAACGCGTACGATGGTGGGAAATTGTTCGTAAATAATTCGATTCAACTATTAAACGAACAAACCACCGAGGACAAATTAAACAACAGCAAAGTGTTTACCACAATCATTCCAAACAAGACACCCATCGGGCGTTCAACCGGGGCGACTCGAGAACAGTGTTTGGTGGACATATTTGCGTATTATAAATGGTTAGCAAATAGCACAACGAAATTCACGGAATGTAGTCTCACATGTGGCATTGTATGAGAACAGTCATGTTTCATTACACGTGTCATAAGTAACATACACGACTAAAAATAAACATTGAAAATTTTTCATTATCGTCCTCATGGGCAAAATTTTTACAAAAAGATTACGTTCTAGCAACAAAAGTTTTCCCTCAATTGAATAGATAGTTGGCGTTCGTAGTCCCTTCTCTCTAATTAATAAGCCACCAGAAAAATTGTTTCGTCCATTTTTCTCGAAAACTCTCTGATTTTGTATTATCGTTTAACTCCCCTCCCCCCAACGAGCAATAAGACAACTTTAAACAGAGGGAATACGTCAATACCTTATTGTGAGAGTGGTCTATACACCTTTAATAAAAAATGGCTACTGAAATACCTGGTACCAGTGAGTAAGAGGCTCTTGCGGTGCCGTGGAAAGCCACACGGATCGCCTGAAAATGTCAGCTCTGTTAGTTCTTAACCACTTACACGTGGTATATCTCTACTTATTGTAAAATGAAATTAATGCTCGCCACGTGAGCATCATACTTCGATCATGTGTGATCATTTACGAACGCTTGAGTCGAATCCCTAATGCCAAAGTAAGCTACTTTGTACTTTGAAGAAGGTATTGTCATGAAAGTGCTTCATAGTATCTGAAAGGCTTTAGTTTGTTTCACGGAATACACAATACAAATTTGTTTTATTTTACAGCTCAAAAGTAAGTTTGGACGATTACACAGAGTTGAATAGCAGGTAGACATTATTTTTTGATATAAAGTTTCATTCTGAAAAAACGCTATCGACAATAGCCGAATCAAAAAGATTTTTTTCATATCGACAAAAATAAGAAATCCTTGCGATGTAATTTAAACGGTATTGATGGCAAGTTTTTACTTTGTTCAATTTGATACTTCGGATTTTACCGACCAAAATAATTGCATAAGTTTGTAATAATTTATAACAGATGCATTATTTTGTGTAGATACGTCATCTTAATGTGGCGAAACGTAAAATTTTATGCTTCAAACATTGCTATCGTAACTTATCAGAAAACGCTCTGAAACTTCAAACTTTTACAAAAATCTCATCCCTCCCCCCCACAGGGGATGCGTTGATAATTTCAACAATAGTTGACGCGTGTACATATAAAACCATTGTAAAAGAGGTGGCGAACTTTCTAAAGTTTACTTAATTATTTGTGTTTAAAAATTCCGAAATTAAGAATTTCTATGACAAGTTTTCCGTTCGATTTTTTTTACCACTGCGTAACAAAATTAAAAGCGAAATGTAGCTAAAAACGATCTTTTACGTAAGCCTCAAATCCAACATTCAGTGCCATAACCGAAATGTTACTCAAAACACGTCCTATTATTAAACACGCCGTTCGATCCTTCAACGATGTAGTACGTTTAGTAAATCCCACAAAGCCACGCGCGTGTGAGAAAACAAATCTCCTGGGAGGGCTAATGACACATATCATTTTTTTGGTACACAGCGGAGGAACATGTTGTCAATCAACACATGCTTCCTCGAGAATTATTAAAAAACTATGTTTACCAGTGCTCGAAAATGCAATGCTTTTTGGCGAAACATCGTAAGAGAGAATTTAAGAGAGAAATGAATCGCTGTAAAGGAGGTAAACATTCTTCAAGCATCCATCATTGATTTGGTCGATGGTGGTGGGTGGCTGTTATCAGTCAGAAATCACAAAAAACAGAGTACATCCAGCCACTAGTTATCACATTTTTACAAGAATGATGGATAATTGATTCGAAATCTCTCAAAATCCCACGACCACCCCTGCAACTGCACATGAAGAAACAACGCAGCATTTCAAAGACTTACGTGCTTCCATGAAAAGCGACATCGAACCAGAAGGCCAAACCGTGAACATTACCAGCAGTCAACGCTGTAAAGTTCAGTGGAATGACAATCCTAAAATAACGACAACAGAAAGCAAATTTCAGTACAAAGAAACAAAATTTTACGTTCACGATAGTGAGTCTTCTTCTCCACCGGGAGGGGTATGGCACTAAAATTTACAACAATCGTTACTTCACGAATATTTAATCCGAAACTGTACTAATACAATACAGTATACCCGGAAATGTCTAAAAAAGGACACTGAATCCCTTGTTGTGTTTAACAGCACTTAAAGAATCGATGTCAACCAATACGAACTTTTTTGACACACATTTTTTTAAGGAAAATGTGACGTGTTTTGTGTTATGCTGTTTTTGACATTCTCAAACATAACCGAGACGAAAAAAAATTTACGTCACATCTTTTTTACATGACTTTATACGTTAACTACCTGTGCAAATCTTCTTCTGAACTGGTTAAAAAGTTTATTACATGGGTTATGGGTTTTGCTAGCAGAATTTGAACATCGAAGGTATCCTGAAAAGTAGAAAATATTACATGAAACATTGCCACAAACTTTTGTGTACAGAGTTTCAGAACGAATTGATATCATCTTAAGCAGCGGATCTAGCGTTCGTCAAAATAAATTATAGCACTCAATTTTAAATTCAAAATTTAGAAAGATTTCATTGGTTTTGAATTTCTAAAGAATATAATTCCACCAATAGATTTGCCTCTAAGGAGCTTAGTAATGTAAATATATACAAAAACGTGCGGCAGTTGTTTATTTTGACGGATCCTAGATTCAAAACACAAGTAAGAATGCAGACACATGCACAAAATTCCATAAAATTGCAATCACACAGAAATTCCGACTTACAACAATAGGCTGTTTAAAGTATTCTTCGATGGCTTTCTCCCTTAGCTGAGTAAGATTGACTCCATAAAACGATGGCTGAAACCTGCGCATAAAGAAGGATCGAATACAGTTATGAACGACCAGAGGGGAAAATAGAAAACATTTCCTCGAGCATTGACACCGTAAGATAAAGTATAAAAAAGTACGATCAGCAACGGCAGTTGGAAAAAAGTGAATCCATGTTGTTCTAGAAGCGAGGCAAATTTATAAAAGTTTGAAACATTAAGTATGCCTCAATTTTGAAAAATTCGCAAGATATTTTTTCGAATCATATTTCACGAGCAACAACTTCGCATAATAATTATGATCTTTCGAAAGGTAAAATTAAAGGGCTTTTAAAACACCAGCTTACGTACGTAATCTCCAAACAGCATTGATTAAAGTTGAAAAGTACAAAGAACTCCATGCTATATTACCAAAAGTTCGCTTTAGAGTAATGTTCCATGTAAAGCGCATCATCCATAAATGGTGCAACGTACATATTGCCTTGACTGGGAAACATTTTTCCTAAATAAAATCGCTAGAAATTAATATCTTCGCATACTTTGCTACACATACGCCTCATAAAGGAAGATTGACAACGGCGAGAGAATTTAAAAGACATGCTACTTAGATTATATTTTTATTGAGCAAAACTTTGAAAATCACAGTCTTTCTCTTAAAATGTTAATTCCTATCTCTTTTCATTTTCAAGATATTTTAGCTTATGTAATGGACGCTTAGCACAACTTGTGAAGTCACATTGGAAAATGAGAATTTGAAAGAGCAGGTGTATTTGCTGACATGTTACTTCAACCGAGCAGAGTTCCTTTTATATTGAAGAGTTAAAGGTACAAAAAATTGCCAGATCATTTCAAGCAAAAGTTGCCAGGACACCAGAAAACTTTGTAGCGACTCATTATGCAAAATGACGTCAAAAGTTGTGTAAGCCGCACTTTACAAAAACTTCAATATCTTGGGAATGAAAATCCATACGCTTAAACTGTTTTAAAAAACATGCTGTCATATTAAAAGTTCTGTCAAATGAAAATAATTGAAGTAGTAAAATTTACGAATCATATGCCCTATGCGACTTTTAAAGAAAATATGAAAATGTCGAAAGTCTGAAACTAAAAAGAAACAACGTTTAATAAAACTCTAAGCTATGGCTGTTCGTAAAATCACGCAAGCTTTGCCATTTTATATACTTGCAAGATATAGATGTTATTTACCGACTAGGAGATCCAGATAGAAAAATATTTTCCTTTGGCTTGCGGCCTCGGGCCCTTTTTGAGAACGAGCGGAAATATTTTTTCCATAGAAAAGTATCAGGTCGAAAAAGTATTAAGCCATTTAAGCCGGTCCTCACTGAAAGTAATTTCACTTGGCCTTCGGCCTCAGGCCACTTTTGAAAGGCCGAGAAAACCTTTTTTTAGTATGGACCTCACAATACGGACCTCACTTAATTAATAAAAATATTTTATCCATCGACTTGACCTATATGTAAGTAACTTTGAGTCTTTGACAAGTCATTTCATACGTAGGAAGAAACGTGCAAAGGCATTGAACCTGGATGGTGTCGTTACAAGAAATGCCTCTTAAGCTCATTATATATAAGCTTATACAGCTACGTGTATGTACAGCTAAATGAAAAAGTAATCACAAACCTTCGGGCTTTAACCATTTTTTCGCGTGTAGAAAACTTTCGAGCATGCGTTCGTTAACAAGCATGTATCCCATCGGTTCCGATATGATCATATCAATTTTCTCAGGAATTTCAATCTACAAAAAATACACTGACGCATTTGGAGGTTGAATGAATGAAGTACTTTTGCTTTAGCGAAAGGTAATATGTAAAATTTTCGATGTCGTGCGCTTTTCAATCTGGCTAATTTGAACAACTAGCTTCTATTAATCAGTCTATAAGATATACTCGGTTGAATATACAGATATTAAGATATATCGGGTAAATGATACGCATTTGAAGTGCAAATATATCTCAGGATATTCCTCACTAAAGCGCCAGGCAAATCGGAAAATAAGACAAGCTTTAATGAACTCAAGATGGTTGGAGACAGACAGTTTCTCAATCGGCTTTCTCTTCGTTCTCTATCGGTTTATGGACCAAATATTTAAACATACTTCACAAAAGCTTGGGGGCATCACATCCCTTAATGCGCGCCCCTGCTGACAGCTCTCCTCCCAAGACAAAATGACAAGAGTGACCAGACATTGTGTGTGGCAATTTTTGCTAATTCTTTTAACTTAGTATTGTTATTCAAATGAGCAATAGGAAAATAAGACAAATTCTAATCAACTCAAGATGGTTGGAGAGAGCCTGTTTCTCATTCGGCTTTCCCTAAACATAATAACAGCGTAATGATGGGCGTGTATTATTTCATCAACTTAAAACGTTTAATAAATATTCGGACAATCGGCCACTAACACACGCTGGCAGCCATGCTTCATGACAACAGGGTTGCTGAACAGTGAACGCATCTTTCCTTTACAAGTACGTATGCGAGATGATGAAAATCGCTTTTTTCATTGTCGCTAAAACAATTATACGTAGCTATGCTGCAACTTTTATGATTTTCTCAAGTTCGCAGTTGTCCGTAGCAAAACGTCTGCATGTACAACAATGATCCCAATGACTATGGCATGTTGATGAAATTGAAGCAATTAAATGATCTCTTCAATCAATTGACTGACGTCATGCTCTCTCAGGCGTAATCGCAGCGTTTATCCGAAGTCCTGTATTTATAAGACTTGGACACGTATCGTTCTCTGCATTTCGCATGAAGAACATGGTGATTGGGTAAATATGGTCACGTGGGTATCTAGCCGCCATTTTTGGTCAAAAAGCGCAAATCATAACCATTTTTTCATACGAGATAAATTATTAAAAAAATGTTGACAACGAATTTATGTTGCGTTTTAATAGTGCCAATTAAAGCAATGAAGAATAAAAATGTACGCGCTCCCCTTGTGGCAAAAACAGTGTTAAAGACGTATAAATTACATCCACTGCATTATGCGTTTATCAACTCTACTAACAACAAAAATAACATGATATAGTTACCTCTTCTAGTTTTCCCGCAATTACGTGCATTTTATCTTTCAATCCGTTGGCTTTCGTCAAAGTCTGCAACAAAGATACACATGGTATTTATCATCAGGGTAAAACATGCGAAACAGCCACAAAACGAGAATATTTGAATCTTCGAACGAAATTAACGAGATTAGCAGCAAAAGTTAAAAACGTTAAAGCGTTTGAATACAAGTATAGCATATGACCAACTGAACGAGAAAGACCTGCTCACGAAGCTAAAAATCATTGCAGAAAAAAAACTAATGAAAACTTGAGGTTTTCGCGTATGTTATAACGAGTTATTGGTTTTATAACTTTGATTTTAGATAAAATGAGTATTTTTAAAATCATAATGTTATTAGGAGAACAACATCACATATAAAGTTATAACGTTCATATTTTGTAATAAAAGCAATTAACATTTGGGGACTGGAACCCAGGAACACGTCAGTGGAACTCATTTAAGTTTATTTTACGAGATGCTTTTCTTGTACCTGCGCAGTGCTTGAGTAGTTATGAATAAGACATATTTCGTAAAAACACTTTATGACAACGCATCATTTACAAAATAACTAGTCATTTTGACTAGGTGTTTGTGATATATTTGCCAGAATGAACAAAAACCTGACCTAAATGTGGTCACGAGCACTTTGAGTAATCACAAACTATCCTCAATAATCGTTAGCCATCTACGATAACGATGAAACATTACCTCACAATGAACTGCCATGGTACTCGCTTCAACAGCATAAACTTTCTTGGCTCCGGATTGGATGGCAAAAAACGATAAAATACCTAAACAATATTCACTTAATGTATGCAATAGCTACGTATACGTTGTCAAAAAGATGCCGGACTTCATTACGTGTAACCTTACCAGTTCCTGCACCAACATCAAGTACTACCTGTATAAACAGAATATAGTTACTATCAATAACAATGAGTTGATAAAGGTGAGCGAGTTGCAAAACAACACGTTTTTCACCGAACAATATTGAAAATTGACTTTCATGAAAATTACTTCATTCCATCACGTCAATAGACAAATTATGTGGCCATATGGAATTGCAAAACAAGTTTCGATCTATCATTACAGTCATTAAAGAGCAACCATACATAAATTTATATTGAAATAGAGCCTTGCACCAGTGATACTCCTGGTTCTCTTCAATTTTAATAGGTCGAGAAAAATTAGAATTTTAACGTTTCAATTGTCAAGGCAGTCCGCCTTAAAAACGCTCTATATTCTTCGTCGAAGGGCACCGAGTGTAGAAAATGCAAATCTGGCCAATCGTGTTTTTAATAAAGTGGTTTGAATCCGGGAGTATAGTTACATGCTATGTGGAGTATCAATATATAAATCGTACAGGTGAGTAGAGTCCTGAGAAGGACTGTTGATGTTGATGTTGACTGACGTTTCGACAACCTTACCGTATGTCATCCTCAGAGTCAAGCATCCACAAACATCTATATTTTCAAATTTCAACTTTGAAATGCTTACTTTTGATGCAAAAACACATCCGCACAGTTTGCTTAATCCTCACTCATTTCCAACAAAAAACACAACACAAGAGGCTAAAAGTTGAACGACTTTTTGAGGAGATTGTTAGACATACGTTTGTTTGACAAACCCACTTCGCTGTGTTAATGTGAAACTTACGGCTTCTGATATTATGTCGGTAAGATTATATGTTACTATCTAGGTAAAATATATTCTCTAAAGCACTAAAGACAAAATTTTCATTATGTAAACACCATTTCCACTATAAAAAAAGTAATTTGATATAGTCGAGCATGAATAATACATATTTTACCATAAAAGTAAAAAAAAGTAATATTTAATAAGTTTACTAAAGAAACACAACGGAACATATGGCATTGATCTGAACATTCTCATTTGACGATCAGACAGGATTTCTCAAAGAGAAAGTTTGAATAACGTTCACACTAAACAAACAACGAGTCTAAATAAAAAATATGTGGTACTAGTAATGCTGTATACGTACAAACATTTATCAATAATATGTCCTGTAGTCAAAATGAAAAAAATGAAAGGCTACTCACTGGACGTTCGAGCAGACAGGGAAAACGTAAAACAGATTAATAGCTAACCTTATCTTTAAAATCAACTTCGTTTTGTAGCATCGCTTTTTGATATGTAGACGTTCGAATATAATCCTACAAGCATTAAAAATAAGAAAATGAGTTCTTACTGCATAAATGCAAGAATGCAAAAAAAATTGGGAAAGAGAAAATCACATTATTAGTCAGAGAAATGACCAAAACGATGGCAAAGAGAAAGTGAGGGGGAACGAAGGATAATATGAGTTTTATCATTTATGCACATGGGAATCATTTCAAGAAGGAATTTTAAACATGCAAATGAAAATCTAGAGCGTAAACATGCATGAAAAAGTTAGTAGACACACCTGCATCATGTTTTGTTGTTGAGAAAGATATCCATAGAACTATAAATGAAATCATAGTTGAGTATATAGTTGTTGAGTGTATCGAGAATTGGGTAAGGCGCCAGCGTTTGAGGTGGTTTGGGCATGTGGAAAGGAGGGAAGAAAGTGCTGAAATTCGTAGAACGTTGCATATGAATGTTGATGGAGTCTGCAAACGAGGTAGACCGAGAAAGAGATGGATGGATGCTGTGAACAGTGATATGAAGGCGATGGGTATAACGAGAGATATGGCGAGAGATAGAGGCATTTGGCGTAGAAAAGTTCATGGACCGGTCAACCCCCCTGGCGGGGATTAATACTGGCCGGAATACAAATGTTGTTTGTTTGTTTGTATAAATGAAATCATACTTGCTTAACGAGTCGATAAATCACCAAAATAATTAACAAGTTAACTTTAAGCACTAACATTTCTTCAAGAAGTCATTTGTATTTCCAATGCATATAAATCTAAAGCCAAGATTGCACCCCCAAAAAAAACTTGGACAGCTTTATGTTCTGGGACTGACTCTTAAAAAGTGTCTTTATCTCATAGAAAAGTCTAGCCCAAAATTCTAGAGAGACCAACTTTCTTTGTTCTCTATCGGTTTATGGACCAAAATTTTAAACATACTTCACAAAAGCTTGAGGGCATCACATCCCTTAATGTGCACCCCTGCTGACAGCTCTCATCCCAAGACAAAATGACAACAGTGACCAGACAATGTGTTTGGCAATTTTTTGTTAATCATTTTAACTTAGTATTGTTATTCAAATGCGCAGATTTAGTCAATCCATATTTGCTACACAATCAACATCTTTCACAGATATCAATTTCTTCAAAAATTAAGGCTTTTAGCTTTCAACATTTTGAAATCCCTCAACTATGCCTATATGTAAGCAAATATAGCAAGGGTGGATTGTGTCTTGACCAATCAAATTATAAATACTTTACTTATAAGATAAATTGTCTCTCTTTGACAGTTTACAATGATCAAATGTTCATTAAGAAAATAATTAGAAAGCTAATGATGGCACTAATTCTAACCTGGAAATATTGTACAGCCGAACTATCCTCGGTCCTCTCAGTGAAAACTGATTCTTTACTGGTGCCAGTACAGTCACTTATTACACGTTTGAGATAAATCACATCTGAAAAACAAAAGCTCACTATTTTCATCCAAACACACAAATTGGTTATGCAAACAGCACTTGCAAATGTGTTTGCTATTACTGCTCACATATAGTCATATAATGCAACATTACTGTAAAATTTATGGAGCAACCTTGTAACCAATTTATCACTCAACAAAAAATTAGTTTTGTAAGAAAATTGGTTGTTTAAATTTTGAAATAGTAGCTTTTTGTCTACTACACACAAAACATAAATACTACAGGGAATTATATGCATGAGTTTGCAAAATTTTCTGTTAAAATATGTATAAAAGTACGCAATGACATGATTTCAAGTGCCAATTTGGAAAATTGTAAACAAAGAGTTTTTCAAAAACTTTTCAAAATTGTCAATGACTCCATGTTTTCCAAATTGCACAAGAAACTATGCTATTACATGTAAATACTGTACATGAAAAATTCTCATATGAACATGTCACTCGGCAAGTTAAAATTCAATGGTTCAAATCTTTTAATTCTGTTACATAATTTTTCACAACAGCAAAATTCCCACACACACATAGGAAAAACAAGGTACTTTGGGCATTGATTATATTTTAACAAATGTCTTGCAAATGCTAAAATGTAGATTCCACCACCAAACGAAAATTTTTTGATCTATATTAGTATGTATTAATCTTGTGGCTTGCTTTACTTGTATCAATGGGTTATTTTTCATATTGATCTGACAATTTTTTTGGTTTTGGTCAACTATGTATCATTTTAAGAATAGCTCCTTCGAGCTGAATAAGAGAGCAAAAATTTAGAGTTCAAGAATGGTCATACCATGTAGCTCCAGTTTTCTTCTTCCATCATGCTGAGGTGATGGAATAAGCAGACCAGATGGTAGACTGGTAGTTACAAAAGAATCAAATGGGAAGTTAAATTAAACACAGTCAGACAGTCACAGACTGTGTAAAGGGAGAGTTGAGGTTGTATACTAATCGAAATATAGATGCTATATTCGTATAAAGATTACGAAGAGGAAACGGCCGGCTTAATTTTATTCATGCACAATGTCAACATTTTACGGAACGTGTCACTCTCGTAAAAACTTCCGTTGGGTGAAAACTTAACGCTTTAACCGCAGAAGGAAACCGTGGCTACTTGTTCTGCAGAATGGCAACGGTCTATCTACCTTGCTGTTTAGGAAAACACATCATAGGAGAGCAGTCTTTCAAGCTGACGATATAAAACAGTTCTCCTGCCTGATAATGTCCCGTTTCTTTCGTCACAGTAAAGGATAACACGCTCTCACCGCCTATAAATATAAATAAAAGAAAAACAATCCCATATCAAAATTTACAAGGAGCGATCGAGGCAAAACGAGTTATAACGCCAAATAATACATAAAAAAGGTATTTCCAAATGATTGATTACCGCGAACAATATCCACCAAACATTGCTCATTGTCTATGGACCACACCACAACTTCAAGTGGTTTGTTGTGGACAACAGAAAAATCGCCGTCTTTGTTAATAACTTTCACACAATTCGCTTGAATCGAGCAAAGTTTTTGGCTTGGTGGATGACCGTCGCTCAACGTTTCCTCCATTTTGTAAATGAACCCTGTAGCTCGTCTCAAATTCTCAAGTCAAAACGCGTGTTTCTTTCGTGGGAGCACGTGCTCCCCCCTCGCGGACATAATGGTCTGCAAAATGTCTGCACCACTCTGCACCTCTGCACCTGTTTTCTACATAGTGCACCACTGAACTGCACTTGTTCCGTGATTTCTATAATTGTTAGATGCTATTACTAAATTGTGTCGGTTTTTCTCATTATACATGTATCTGCAAAATAGTTTTTAGAAAGTACTTCGAAACACTTCCGAAGAAAATCAGTTTGCAAAGCAAAATCTATCCATTTACGTTTTCTTTTTAGTAGCTAGCTATAAGATTACTTAAGCATAAATAATAAGCGTTCTTTGATGCAAATATTCTTTTTAACATTGCGTGGGTATTATCACCATCATAACCATACGAAAATTTCAAAAATGCTACAACTTCTTTAAATAGATGGGTTTTTTTTTTACCTAGTTTGAAGAAATGAATTTCCATTCCTATTCCATTACATTGAACGCTTATTTATTGCTTTATTTAAATACAAGAATTTCGTTGCTAGACAAGAAAGAGGAGTTTTGGGCAAGAAAAAGAGAATCTGCATGTGAGTGGCTAGAAGAAAAAAATCAAACACGTTGTGGCCACGAAAGAGCATGTCTTTTACTTCTGGTCTCGTTAGTTGTTATAACCTTTCATATACATCGTTGAAAAGCTATAAAATGTCTCTACCTATACACTGCAGTGATTGGAATATATCTTTTTAATTTGACGTGACAGTCGACTTTTTACGACTTAGTATTAGCTTTTGCCATTGCACTTTGCAATATCTTCCCCAGAACATGTTTCGGTTAATTATATCGCACAACATTGACATGCAGTTTCACACACGATATCTGTAAAAAAAGATATGCCTGGTGTAAAACAAATTCATATAGAATAAATTTGGATCGCCCTGACGCGAAAAGATATGATGATGATGATGAATTCATGCTACTAACATACAACATTCTTTAGTTTACTGTCTCATTTACCGAACTGTCAATTTCTGACTACCCTTACCCGCCTCTGGCGCAACCCCTGTCAAGAAGTGTTGCGCATTATTTTAAAAGATAATGTACGTGTGTCTAAATTGAAACACAAACAAGCTACATTTTAGTGTGTGAGCTTCTCCCGTACCAAGTGTGTGTCCAGGGGTCGGTTGCACGAAGCCTGGATAGCGTTATCCACTGGATAGCAAATTTTTCTCAACGCTCATAAAATATCTTATAGGAGAAAAGTATACAATTTGAACTGTGCAATCAATGAAATAAATATTGTTTCGAAGATTAAAAAATTTCTTTGTCATAAGAAAAATATAAACACCTTTTTAGAAGTTTGAAAATCTTTGCTATCCAATGGATAACGCTATCCAGGCTTCGTGCAACCGGCCTTAGACCTATAGCATTACTTTTGTATCATAATTGCACTGCACTGCCGTAGTCCTATGCATGTTGCAGTTAGTCTGGTTAATTTCATAAACTTCGATATCTACGGAAGCTGATTCTCCTCAACCCTGATTATTGTGAATGTTCGTGTTTTACCTAATTATTAAAATTTATCTAATATATGATTTAAAATATTCCGTAAACCAATTTGAAGGCAGGTATTTGCAGAAACAGTGTTGCTGCAGAGAATTTCAGACGCTCGAAAAGCTACGATTATCATAGGCGGCACAGAAAATCACTTACACAATTAGCTAGCCATATAGTTTAAACAAACGATAACGCTCCCCATTCCATCGTAACAGACCGTGCGCCGCAAACTTTGTATTAATTGATTGTATATAATTAACAAACAGAAAACATTTAACCGTTGTCTATACAGTTATAGATACACGGGTATGACGTCAATAATGATAAAAACAAAGTGGCCACGAGCCGAGTTTTACAACGCACACAAAAATGTACCGGGCTACAGCTCCCCCCCCCCGTCGGGGAATCCTAGCTCCCCCCATCGGGGAAAATTTGACGATTTGTCGGGGAATGAATAACGAAAAAATGTAATTTCCGATGTCGATTATTGTCGTTCTATTCGTTTAAAGTAATGTGAGCACTCAGCATCGGCAATAATCTTCATACACGTCAGCTATCCTACGTGCTGGATCTCTAAAGTGGATGGTTTGAGCCCGGGAGTATCGTTAGATGTTTGTAGATGCTGTTCGTCCAGCTTTGTTGAGTCCTGAGAAAGACTGTTGATGTTGATGATGACTGACGTTTTGACAATCTTAGCACTAGTCATTTTCGGAGTCAATGCGTCCCTTGTTACGAAAATTATTGTTGTGTTTGTAATGTATATTCGACTGTAAGCGTCATTTAACTAATAACATTCTCTGCTGACAAAAGAATGAACTTTAAAACAGTTCTTTGAGAATTAATGTTTAGTGTTCTGCTTTCAAACAGTTTTTTAAAACACCACGGTCTTTGGGATTTTTAAAACAATTTTTCTATTTATTACCATGAGAAAAAGTCTCTATTTTATTATTTAGTTTCATGTGTCCACACATGTGTGTACACAAATGTTTTATGGAGCCATTGACGTTCCTGATGTCACTAAAATGCGTTCCTCGTCACGCATGCTTGTGTTTGAAGGCTAATTTTCATGGAGCTACAATTTGCGCTGTAGCGCAAAATGCTCGCACGTTCATTAAATTTCGCATGCGCAACTTTGTCAAGTTCAAAAGGTCAATATCACTCGTGTGCTCGCGATTAGCTCAATGCAACGCGACAAACTTGAATTCATTGAACTTTTGAGTGCGTTGTTTTGCTCGCAAGTTCAAAACATTTCATAGGCTTTTCGCGAAATAGCTTTCTTATCCAAGTAGGAATCCTAATCTACGACGAATCAAATAGATAGCAATTAGGGTGTTTTTAAGATTGAAGAAGTAACTGAGAAGCCTTCACAATTGAGAGCAACACGCGCCCGAGCATTTTCCTCTATACGTAAAACTCAGCTCCATGGAAATAGCCTTAAAATAGCTATACATATGCCACAATGATATTTTTTTTATTAGTAGCATTTTATATAGAACCCTCATAGTCTGGTGGCACTATCCTAGAACAGCTATATTTTTCACCTTCGATGGACATTTATAGTAGAAGCAGGAAACAGAGCTTAATTAAAATAACCGTCTTGTGATACTTTTTAAGAATATCGCTGTTTCAAGCTCCAAATATAACCTTTATACGTGTAAAGGAGGTTTTGATTGTGGCATTTCGTATGCTCAACGTGATAACGAGACCGAGTTAAAAAAAAACTTTTATCGTCGATTTCAGTTAACTTTTCAAAAGGCGGTTGCCAAGTTACTTTCCAATGTTGCCAACTACATTTCCAAATATGGAATATTCGTTATGAACTTGTCAACTTGAATTGTAAGTTGTGTAACTTGAGTACTGAAGTTGTGAACTTGAGTACTGAAGTTGGGAACTTGAGTACTGAAGTTGTGAACTAAAGTTGCGAAGTAGTGGCAAACGCGAAAGGTCTTTGTACCCTGTAGACATTTGGCAATGAATCCGTTCAGTAAGCAAGGAAAAGCTTTACCAATAGAAGTAAGAAATGAAATACTTGAAAGGTGGTTAAATAACGAGCGTTTGACAAACATTTCGAAACAACTAAACCTACCGTATAAGACTATATCAAATATAATAGATCTATGGGTAGATCGAGGAATTTGACTTATCTTGTAAGAGTAACCAAGATCTTTAGTCAAAATTCTACTAATGGATGAGCTGCTAGGTATGTTTGCTGGAAGGCAAACTTTGTTATTTTCTAGGTGTTGCTGAATCTCTTTTGCGTAAATAGATGGTTTATTAATTTTTAGATATTCAGTGTATGCAATAACGTCATCTGTACGCGCGGTTCGAACATCACGTTCGCTCTGGCGAGGTGATCTATTATATTTGATATAGTCTTATACGGTAGGTTTAGTTGTTTCGAAATGTTTGTCAAACGCTCGTTATTTAACCACCTTTCAAGTATTTCATTTCTTACTTCTATTGGTAAAGCTTTTCCTTGCTTACTGAACGGATTCATTGCCAAATGTCTACAGGGTACAAAGACCTTTCGCGTTTGCCACTACTTCGCAACTTTAGTTCACAACTTCAGTACTCAAGTTCCCAACTTCAGTACTCAAGTTCACAACTTCAGTACTCAAGTTACACAACTTCACAATTCAAGTTGACAAGTTCATAACGAATATTCCATATTTGGAAATGTAGTTGGCAACATTGGAAAGTAACTTGGCAACCGCCTTTTGAAAAGTTAACTGAAATCGACGATAAAAGCCTAGAAATGAAGGATTTCAGCCTGTGTAAGTGCAATTATAACTATTCAGAGTATGAAAGTATTTATATCTGCCATATGAAAGTTACAGGTTTTTCAATTTGTTTGAAGGATTGATCACGTGACTATGAAAAACTTGCTCGATACTTGCTTTTCTTTGCCAAGTTTTACGTTCTGAAATCAATTCTTAATTTAAAATAATCCTATATTACTCACAAAGAGTTCAAAAGTACAAGAAAAAATGTGTATTTAGACTTTTTTGTGATGGAAGTAAATTGTCTATGCAAAATAAAATTAATTTGTAGCAGAGGCACCTGTCTGTCGTTGCTAAACACAATTATATTCTTAAAGCTAGTTTGTACTTTAAAATACATTCGTAAGTAAACTTAGATGTTATTAGATGTAGATCGTCCAGGTTGGTAAGTGAAAAACTTTCTTTCCAAGCTTTTAAAACGTTTTTTCAACTCAGCCTTGTTATCACGTTGAAGAAACGAAATGCCAGAATCAAAGCCTCATTAACACGTATAAAAATAATTTTTGAAGCTTGAAACAGTGATATTCGTTAAGTCGGTCATTTTCAGCTCTGTTTCCTGCTGCTACTATAAATCTCCATCAAACATGTTTTTGTTTAAGAACGGTCTCCAGACTATATCATTTGTTGCACGGAAGGACATGATTTGACTGTGACCTTGTCCACACGCATATGGATTTTTGAATATACGGAGATATTTTCCTCCGTTTCTGAAAAAATTTGCGTCCAACGCATTTGAATCGTTTTTGCCTGTCCACACGTATACACTGAAACGGAAGAAATTTAATAGTTATCACTACAGAGCATGCGTATTAGTCAGTAGTTTTAGTAATAAGAGATCCTTCAAGCCTTTGCAGGATCGAAAGGCACTTGCATGATTTTGCGCTATTTTATAAAATCATCTCTTTTGTGGAGAGACACATTTTTGATTGATTATAATGAGTTTACAAGAGTTAAAAAGGCCAAATCAGTTGAAGACACAACTAAATCTACAAGGAAAAGGCAAAATTTTAAATCGTTTTTTCGGACAGATCATGTGGTCGAGCTTCTCCTTAAAATTATGAAGTATGCAATAAAACAAATCATCGATAATGTTGAAATAATTTCAAGTATAAGCAAGCATTTCAGATCCTCCATTTTCAAATGCGGTCAATCGACTTATCACTTATCATTGGACTGGGCTCGATGGATTACGTCATCGTTTTTAAAAAACTCCGTTTTCATCTGTCCACAGTCCACACGTAAACGCAAGACCAAGGTTTTCAAAAATTTTAACTCTGGTGACCGTCTTCGAAAACCTCCCTTTATGGTTACCAAAAACGCCGCTTACGTGAGGAAGCAAGGCCAAAAACGGAGGAAAACACCTCCGTTTTCAAAAATATCCGTTTACGTGTGGACGGACCTAAATTTATACTATTTTCACCTCTTGGAAGTCATCGAGCACGAATTTTATGGCGTAAATATGGCGTCAATAAACCATTTATGGGCGGATTCAATTGTCTCGGTTCCGACTTTTGGTTGCTTGTTTAGACGGTTAGATAATTTTGTTGACGCAGTATTTTAGGAGATATTTATAGTCGTAAGAGCAGTCATTTGTGTTATCCAGCACATTTATCGATATACTTTGCGTATTTTTGTTCTTTTCTCCACGTCTTTTCGAATTTAATTTTTGGCACCAAATCTAATTTGGGAAGTGTCGAGAGTGAGAAGCCTGGGGCTAGTCGGCTTCCTATGATCTGAATTTTCAATTGCTTTTTTCTTATTGACGGATCCAACACTCGGGACTTACTTTATGTGTTCAAACAATAATTTTTTTAGGATCCGACAAATCTAATCGTGTAAACAGGCATTTACCCCCTTTAGTTCAGTCAAAAGATGCATACCTCATGGTGCTACGGCGCTAATGAAGTTTGACAAAAATTCTAATAGAAGTAGAAAATAAGGCAAATCTTATAATTTAGGAGTAATAACGCCTCTCCATTTTTCATCACATTAAACTTTACCCTCTAGTGCCCCAAGTGACAAAACATGGGCTACCACTAGAAAGACAAAAAAAAAATGAATTGATTTCTCTGGGCTGTAGAAATTGAAGAGAACCTTTAAATGACAATGGAATTTCTGCAACAGTTTACTCATGTCAAGATTTTGTCGTGTTCGATTTACACAACAAGTGACGTCACATTGCATAATGGGAGTTGCTGCAAATTCTTCAATATACGTCAATTTCCCCACAACCTAAGGATGAAATACTTTGGCAGAATATCATACCACTAACACTTTACAAAGACAGGACCTCAGTCCGATGGAAGTAACATATCAGCAAGAAGCCATCCCCCGACTCTTCTTTTTCTCATAATGCAAAATTTGCGTGGTGGTTGTGTAGCTAAATCAGACATTAGAAAACTTCAATATTTTCAGAATGGAAATAAAGTGTTAGTCTAAGACAGGGGTCTCCAAACTATGGCCCGCAGGCCAGATGTGGCCCGTTGGGCCTCTCAATCCGGCCCGCAGAGACACTTAAGAAAGCCAATTTCACCACTCACATTGAGAAAACTGAATAGACTAATTGTGATTTTGTTATGATATTACACTTGGTTGAAATTTAACCTTTACATTTTGAATAAATATTTTCTTAACTAATGAAGCTTGTGTTATGTACTTCGTTTTATCAAAATATTCGCTCTTTGACCAGCGGTATACGATTCGTCTGCCCTCAACATGCTGGATGAAAGTTCATGTGGCCCTCTGGCTGTAAAGTTTGTAGACCCCTGGTCTAACAGACTAGAAAGTCCATTGTCAATTTAAAAATTCTTTTCGAAACAGATAAATTTACAAACATCTTGCTAATACAATTATATTTTATGAAAATGAAGAGCTAAGGCTGTAAATCTATTTTTCAATATGCACGAACAAGACAACAAATCGTACTATCCTTCGATGCCCATAGACCCATCATCATCGCCAGACTCCATTTCATCCTCTACAATGTCTTCATGTAGGATGTCGTTCAGCAACGCGATGGGCGAACAGACGGGTCGGTTAATCGGAGAGCCATCTTCTTTATCGAAAATTTCTTCCGTCCCTGTCAAATATTTTGGCAGCATTGCCGTTAAAGTATCCAGGTATTTCTTAGAGCCGACCGATTTCCACGATGAGAGCGCTGTGAAGCGAAGCTTCTTCGTGTAGATAGCATCATTCAAAAAACGGTTCCTGTTCGCAACCTGCTCTTCCGATGGTTCGTCGACCGCTGACGCAGCTATGTAATCTCGCGGCGGTAAATGTTTTAAGTATCGAACCGCAGTCAGTTCGCTTTCATTGCATATCGGACTGTAAACAAACGAGCAAACATGCGGTCGTAAAAGAACTATCTTAGAGCGTGTCAAGTTGGCAAATGCAATCAACACAAAATTGCACTCGGACAGTACACCGAAGCGAAATGAGACGTCTTCGATGCTTTTTATGTATTCGTAAAAGGACAGACTACTTGCCATGTAGTTGTCGATAGCGTCCTTGTAGCGCGTCGGATGAGACACAAGTTCGTTTATTAATGCTTTTCTTAATCTGAAATGTAAAATATTAGTATAAAGATACTATAGTGAAGGACTGCTGGAGCGTATAGTGCAGTAAACACAATCAACACTATATCTACAACTCGTATACCTGTTTTCGGCTTCTTCCTTGCTGCCAGCATCTCCTTTTATGTTGCTGTAGATTATGCTAAGAGTATCGATAAGTCCGTGGCTTTCGCCTTTCTCATTGGTGCGCATGCCCAACTCTTGCAACATATAATTACAAATGTAATTATCACGCTCAAACTGGATGTCTGAAGCGACGGTAAAGCTGAGATCAAAATGTCGCTCGAACTTCAGCGTGTCGTATATCTCAAGGCTCGAGTTGACTGTATTGTAAACAGCCTCGCCGTCCGTACCGTTGTTCTTCATCAACATGAGACAAAAGAGAAAGTCGCGAAAACCAGGCTCCCCTCCCAACACGTGTTTCCGTTGTTTCCACGTCGCCAAATACTCTGCCTGAAAGTTTCTTGTTTGATATAACCAGAACATTGCTCGAAACGTGAGCAACATAATGAAGGCAGAGAAAATTGCAATAACCATCATCAAGCCATACAAAAACGGAGCGGCGGGAACAGTGCATTTCGCACTTTGGTATATCAACGCTACGGAGTCGGTCAGCTCGCAGTCAAACACCAACATCCAGTCGAAAAAAAGAAGTGAGGTTACATTACCAGCGATGACGAGACTGCTACCGACAAACAGAATAACCTGAAAACAAGTATGAACATGGAAACCACGTAAGCCATAAACAAACATTGAGCACTATAACTCCAAGCGTTTTCTGGAAGAATTATTGAACGTCTCTTTTAGAAATAGGATGGTTTGGTAAAAGTTTCAAATTGAGCAGTGCTCACCTTAACAAATGATGCAAACAACAGTCATAATTTGATATTCGTCCGCAAAATATCAAAATATATAAAAATGAAACCTTGATATATTTTCTTAGCATATGATACGTACAAAATCTGAGATTAATTACCGATTTTACAACATACACAACAAAGAAACCGGGATTTGATGCCAATGTGACGATAAGTCGTTCCACAAGGGCGACAACTTGTTCCTTGAACTCTGCTTTCACCGTCTTGTAAAACTTGCCGCCCTTCTCTGTCTCATCGCTCATGCGCTGTTCCTCTGGATTTGTCACGACTGCCTGGCGACCATAGTACGACGACGAATTCTGGAGTGTTTTAAAGTCGGCAAAAAGATTAAACATACGCTCAAGAAATGAGGCAGTCGAAGGGAGCTTCACGGAGAGTATATGACCAAACAAAAGTATCAGATAAAGGATAAGAGCGATGTAAGGATAATACAAGAGAAAGCTACCGCCAAATCGTCTCGAACATCTACAACAAAATGTTTGAAGGTTATGGAATGTCTGCGTTATTTTAAAGACGCAAATCGTAACAACAGATAATTAAAGCCATCATAAAGTAAATGAACAGAATCCATATCGCCGCAGCAAATATGTAATTTATCCCCTCGTGACTTCCTCTCCCTCCCACCAAAAGTGAAAATACTTTTCAGTAAGGACCAACCTTAATGAACGAATACTTTTCAGTAAGAAACGGCGTTATCCTTGAGAAATTCATTTTTTAAAATGGTGTAGCTTGTTGAGACTAAAATTAGATTGTTTTCTGCGAAGCTGACTTCGTCTCAATAGTAAAATTATTCTCGTTACGATCTCAACTACCATCTCAATACATTTTGTTTTCTCCTTGAAAAATTTACATGTCTTTTGAATCAATTTTAAAATTTAAATAGCACTATGTGAACAAATTCATTGCAAAAAAACAACACTTTTGGACCATAGTCAACATATCGTAAAACGCCTCCTGCAGCCAATCAGATTGCAGGAAATCAAAAAATATCACTAGAATAAATAAAAAATCTTGCAAGCATATAAAATAGCAAAGCTTGGGTGACTTCAAGAACAGCCATAGCTTAGAGATAGATATTGGCATATCTCATTAAAGTTTTTTCATCGACGTCTTCAGCACAAAATCACAAATTCATTAAAAAATCAAATTTGAAATACACATGACGTCAAATATCGTCGGGCATTATTAAACATTCCATATAAAAGTCTTCCAAATAAAACAGCCTGAGCAATGAATTGAGAAATAACAAGCACTTACCTAGCATTCACGTAAGATACGATACTAAGATCCGTCGAATTGATGCTAAATAATGGTATGCAGACAATTTCCGATGTGCCAGTGAGAGTTACACCAGCCAGTCCAAGCAGAACTGCCAGAAGAATTCCATAGAGGGAATAGTCGATAAGTACTTCCCACCATGGCTGAAACGGTGTCACAAGATTGCTCCCCGCTTGTAATTCAGATACCAGTTGTAGCGATAGCATTTTCAAAACGACGAGATCGGTGTTGTTTCAACTACCGTTGTTCAATAGTGTAAAATGTTGCCGTTCCTGTTTAGATTAGACAAACAGTGAGAGGTAAAAGATCTGAGCATAAAAAAATAGCAACCATAGATACGTAGCTTTGTATGTATGAGATTTCCTACAGTATCGACAAAACTCAACGCACAAACGAAATGGAAACGGTTCGTTCGTTTTTAAAGCGATAACATCTTTTTTCGTCCATTCAGTATCACGTCCAAGCTGTGCAAACTTTCGCACACACAAATAAAAACATTCTAAAAATCAATCAGAGCAAGTGAATCATATAATTCACTGATTAGAGAACGTATTCTGTATCTTATATTTCTGTGACTCTAGTACAGGGGTCTCCAAACTTTACAGCCAGAGGGCCACATGAACTTTCATCCAGCATGTTGAGGGCCGACGAACCGTATACCGCTGGTCAAAGAGCGAAAATTTTAATAAAACGAAGTACATGATAGACATACAAATAGACATGTTTCGACATCTCATGATGCCATCTTCAGTATAAGTGAAATAATAAATGATACAAGGTTTATATAAAAGTAATATGATACATAAATTACAACAATAAAAAGGAAATAAGATACATTGGCGAAACTTCGCGCCATTTATCCACCAGAATTAGGGAACATACCACAACAGACAAAAACTCTCATATCTACCGACACCTTCTTAAATCTAACTTATGTAAAACCAACTATTCACCCTCTTGCTTCAAAATCATCGACACTGCCGACACCTCATTCTCCCTTAAAATCAAAGAAGCATTCCACGTTAACAAAACTAACCCTGACGTCAATGTTCAAGTTTTTAAATTCAATACAATATTTAGTTTATAATACGCTCGGACGCTCCTCATTATATTATCTTATTTCCTTTTTATTGTTGTAATTTATGTATCATATTACTTTTATATAAACCTTGTATCATTTATTATTTCACTTATAATGAAGATGGCATCATGAGATGTCGAAACATGTCTATTTTAAAAAACTTGTCACGTATATTAAATGCGCAAAACGAAGCACATTACACAAGCTTCATTAGTTCAGAAAATATTTATTCAAAATTTAAAGGTTAAATTTCAACCAAGAGTAATATCATAGCAAAATCACAATTAGTCTGTTCAGTTTTCTCAATGTGAGTGATGAAATTGGCTTTCTTAAGTGTCTCTGCCGGCCGGATTGAGAGTCCCAACGGGCCGCATCTGGCCCGCGGGCCGTAGTTTGGCGACCCCTGCTCTAGTATTATATATCGTGATTATGGACCAAGACTATTGACATGCAAAAGACTATTTGAAATGATTGTAATTTTCTGTGCTACAAGCTGAGAGTCTATTCATATTAAACAACAACAACTTTCGCACGTATCCTTCATTACAAAGCAAAAGGTTTTGTCATAGCATTAAATGTAATTGGGCATATATTGATATTCAGTGGTGGATGCATAATAAATAAGAACATATCCCAGCAGCTCGTTTTAAAGTCAAATTACCAAAGCAATAACTCTGTAGGTTAAAAATTTATAAAGAATACTTCGAAGTCAAAATTTTATCAATTTGAGGGATTGTTGTGGGTAAAGTATTTTGAATTTTAAGTATATTGATTTTACTGTATTTTGATTCACCCTAGATCTTCTACAGGTTACAGTTTGCACATGATGGCAGTCTTCAATCTTGGAAAAGAATTTTGATAAAAACTAGTCAAATAGAGGAATAGAGGAAACGTGCAGCAATTGTTTCATTATTATATTCAAGATAACAAGAATGGCAAATATAATATTTAAAAGAATAGATGGTGAAGCAAAAAAATATACACATGTATTTTACATGCAAAAGTATCCATGGCAACACAATGCAATGATGTTTAAATAATCACTATTCACTGCATATTGCAACTATATGGGCCCAAGGGCAGTGAAGGATTTCATTCAGGGAAAGGTGCATCATTTACAAATTTCGTAATCCCCACATGCTACCTATCATATCATTAAAGCTCTAGAAAGCGTACTCATCTCCTGCACATCCCTCCAGATTCATCCTTTTAAGGCTTTTGCAAAATCAACATGTCATTGGTAGATGTAGAACATTGTTTTCATTATGCATGTAGTTTTTATAAATACTTGCAATATCCACGATATCCACGTATACAAACAGGGAAATTACGTATATATTCATAGATAACAATGCTGTGTTTAGTAGAAATGTAACTTGGCAGGCTGTCAGCCAGTCAACAATCACGACCAGACTGTATGTTTAAAGTTTAATTTGAATGTTCAACACAATGGGCTGCAATTTACTGAATGAAGCAATTTTTACAACGTATGAGAATGTGATGAAATAACGAATTTCATGTTGAGGATTGTTTCTAAAGACGTTCGTCGAAATGGAACGTCTTACGAGTTACGTTGACGTTTCTATTCCAAAAGTGGGCGATAAAAGAAAGCTACAACGCAGAAGACTGTCAGTCATTATCTTAACATCTTACCAAATTTTAGACTTCTTCTGGCGACTATTCCACAATTGACTGTAACTTCTATTATATTACATGTATCTTATAGGAAATTTCATGAAGGAAACGAAAGCGGAAATCCTTTGAATCTTTGAATGGCTGACTCGCAGGCGCAGCTGTAATAAATGCTATTCTTGGAAAATCTATGATTTGTTACCAGAAGTAATTTTCTCATCCGAAACAATGAAAATATTGAAAAACTTCGAAAAAATTTTTTCAATTTCCTTATTTCGATAAACAAAAATTGTTACATAGAAAAAGACAGACTTACAACAGTGTAATAACAAATATTCACAGAAATTCGGACATGCTATTTATTTACTGACCTTGTTTCGCCAGCGGTTTACTCGTCTTCAAAAAAACTTCATTTAAGGTGAGCAAAGTTGCACTAGCGTTGTTTCTGGGCTGTTGTCATGTTCGATGTTTTAAGAAGTTGTCAATGACAACACGTTACACGAAAATGACTGAACTTGCGCTTAGCAAACGAGGAGCTTGTATAGGTTTGTCGACGGCCTATGATGAGAAATTTCCTCCAGAAAATATCATTGACGGGTAGGAACTACGAGCTTGGTTACATGGACACACTCTGTCATTCTGTCACTAACAATTCAGGACATTTTTCATTTCCATTTAGAGAGTAATTATTATACACATTTTTAGAGACAGAAATAGCTTCTGGTCGACAACAGGAATGTTTCCTCAAGAGTTCGTGATTAGTCTTCCTTCCACTGCCGAAATTGATGCCATCAAAATGACATGTTCAAATGGTAATCATTTTATAAATATCGTAGATAAGGATGAATTATGCATTCAATTGATTTGTTGCTTGCCGCCATGTTATTGGCATGTCAAGTTTGTTAAGTTCAAATCAGGTGGCGAGGAGTTGTTGTCAAGCTCAAGTTACTCCATTTTATAAACAACTTTAGTGATTCCTTTGAATTGTTTGTGAAACACAATCTTTGTTTTTGTAGTCAAGCATATGTGCATTGAAAAATCAATGAAACAGGACCCCGTTCATTTTGAAAGGCTATCAGAGAAAGGTGCAAATAAATCTCAAATAGGACCATTTTATATCTAAACTCAAATCTCAAAAAAACTTGGTTTGATGTAATTCTGATATTTTATAGAAATGAGCAACTTAGATGGTCAGATGCAAATAGATGATTTTCCGGTAAGAATGTCCAAGTATAACATAAGGTAGATCCACAATTTCTTTCAAGGATGGGTGTGGGCATCATTTTAAATGTCGTATGCAATACAACAACATTATCAATTAGCAATTAAATTATCCAAGCCTGGTTAGGGGTGCACGCCCTTCTGCGGACCTGCCCATACAACAGCTGCCTCAAAATTACAGTGATTGTATGAATCTCCATCATTTGCACAAGTTTGCCTGGGATTGAATGTAGCTTTTGCTGCATACTGTATGTATTTACTTGTTTGAGCGCTGCGGCGTTCATTAAATTTTTTGAACTTTAGTCGGTGCTCATTCGGAAGGCAGTGCTTGATTGGATTAAAAGATCTTTCAGTTGTGCATTGTAGCAAGAATATTTAAAAACAAACTAATGAAAATTTTGATGGTTTCTCGATTAATCACACATTTGAAAATAATTTGATCGGCACTCATTTGAGGGCAGCGTTCAAACAAGGAAATGTGGTCATAGGGTCTTTGTGTGTATCATATATTGGGAGACCCTAATTTTTTCCATTTTATTGCAGATTCCAACAACTAGGGTTAATCATTTGCGATTTGTGATCAAGTCTGGGTATGATCATTTTGCTGCAGTTTATCAAGTCAACGTTAGTGGATCGTTGGAAGATTAAACTCTTGCAGATATTGAGGTTACCCAATGGTATACTTGTACATGCACAAACTTCATTCTTAACATACACACATGAATACATGTATTTATATCATTGAAGTATGAAAAACTATGATTGATTTCATAAACTTGTTTAATAATAGTAATGGTATGCAATACTTATGCACTAATAATTATAAATACATGATTTGTTTGCTTTCTGTTTAATTTTTCTGAATGATTACGATCTGCTCTGAAGCCTCTCTCCAAAGCCACTTTAGTAAAAAGTGCCATTTTTAAAGGAATGTCTAATTTGACGAAAGTACAAAGTGAATGATTTAAAGCGCACTTTACTCTGAAAAAGACGACCGCCAAGGTTGTCAAGCAACACCAATAATATGACCATAGACAGGACTTGAATACAACCAACGGAGGGGAGCAAACGCGAATTTATCTATACCAGTGTCAAATTCATATGAAGAAATGGCACAAGGTAAGAACGTAGAAAATAAAATGGTCATTTACAACGTTAGCACTTTATTAATGCGACATTTAATTAACTTTTAATTAATTGCTTTACTTAATAACATTTAAATGATTCCTTCAAATATGTTATTGTATTAACGTGAATCTCATCTTCGTAGGTGACAAAACAACAGAAAATTCCAACACAACAAATCTTTGTTCTGGGGTTGTGATATGAACGGCGCTAGTTTCCCGCTTTATTTGTGTCGCAGCGTGTTCGTTTATCAAAAAAGCTGTTTATTCACAACTGTAATATCTTGGGAAAATAGGGTCGCTCAATTTATTTGTAGAAAGTAGAAATTACAAAGAACTGGCTTTTCAGAATTACTTCTTAAATGCTGTAGCATCCATCTACAATCTCAAGTGAAACAGGGGCGTTGATAAAAAATTGAAACTTGAAATTGCAATCACCAAATAGTGTTTAATCATTTACAATTTTGCTGCACACAACAGAATACAAAAAATCAAAAATATAAAATGGACGGCTCATGCACATGTGAAGAGACAAAAGACCAAAAGCAAAGCTAATAATTATCTTTAAAATGCTTTTATAATGCATTAAGTTATGAATACGTGACAACATAACAATAAGTACAGTACTGTCTAATCTTCAAATAATCAGCCTTAGAAGGACAAATTTACGCAATCCCAGCATAGATTCAAGTCAATTGCACTCAAGTATGAAGACTACAGATTGATCTTTAGATTTGTTTCGCATAGCACGCATAAACCACTCTCCTCCACAGAGACTTCAAGTTCATATGAAATTCAAATTTGAAATTCGAAGAGAATGCGCTATATATAAACATAACATGTATGACTATCTAGTACATTTTCTTTAAACATTAATGTTATTATTTGAACTTGCAGGCTTTGTGACAGATGGAGGAGAAAAGAGAAAACGAATAACAGGCTCATAAACGGTGCTACCGGGTTGCGCAGTGGAGCATCGCTTTACGGTCACCTCGGCCACCTTGTGAAGTGGTAATTGAAGTGGTATGACACATAGTAATGTGTATCTTAGTTGCATTATCATAGTGAGGTTACTTAGTGATTAAATACTCAAAAGCCGAGGAAGGTTGAGTAAAAGTTTCGAGGCGCGACCAGGCACCTCCACTCGGTTCGAGTACATTTCATCACGAAGTAGCCTCGCTTGCATGGTTTTACTTTGCAATACAATGATTGCCAAAACGTTTTAGTCGCTGCTTCACACACTGTCAACGATGGAATAAATTCAATGTTTTTGCGAATATTTCGTGGTGATTTTTATTATTTGAAGTTAAAATTTGGGATTGTTTGGAATACTACCAGTGCACACCTGAATTTGAATAAGTGAATTCTATGCAGGTAAATTCCTTATTAAATCGAAACAATAGAAATGGAAGAAATCATGGTATTGCTAATTATATTGCTGTTGTAATATAGAAGTTTCTTTAACTTCGCGTAATTTTGATAATTTGTTTTTCATCCATTTCTCCATATTTTTTTCTTATTTCATTTCTGACAGGTAAATTACGTTCAATGTCCACAAGTTACCGAAATAATTCCATGTATTATTTAATATTTCTGATAAAGCTTTAATTACATAACGCTTGAAATGTCATTTCACCCCGTCAACAAGACCACTTCATTAAAGGGGTTCCACTGTATTTACTTAAATTTACTTTACTCAATATCATTCGCAAGGAGATGAAGGGTTTAAAATTAAATGTTCTCATTGGTAGCATATAATATCAATAATATACGTACCCTACAGTCTCATTATAACCATAGAATAAGGAATGCAAAAAAAGGCAGTTTGCTGTGCAACTTGCTGCTGTAGCTATATTTCATTAGATTACTAGCTGTGGTTAGACCTTTCATCATTCCTATTGACCGAATAAGGCAATTGACTGGTTGCCATTATGGTAATCACATACGGTAATAAGAATGTAGAGGTCCTTCTGTATATTCCTTATTCTGAGTCATAACTCTACCTGTCATCCGCCACAAAAGATTGAAATCCGATGACATTAGGTATTCAGAACGTCCATTTTTGATACGTACTCACCCACGGCGTAGGATTCACCCAATTAGGTAGTCTGTCGATGAAATGAGTTAGGAACGGGGTCCTTGAGTCTTTGCCGTGGCTGTAATGACCGGATATTGCGACGTCGACGACGTCGACCACATCACCGTAGGGCTAATAATATAAAATAAAGTGAATAGTTTGAACCCGGGAGTGTATCATCACATGTTTGTAGACATAGATCGTCTACGTTATTATAGCCTCAAAAAGAATGTTGGTGTAAATGTTGAGTGACGTTTCGACAAGCTTAGCCGTAATGATTTTCAGACTTGACTTCAGACTTTGACTCTGAAAATGACTAATTCGAAACGTCAGTCAACATCTACAAACATGTAGTAATATACACTTTTGAATTTTGCTTGACTAAACAGTATTTAACATTTTTGAATAGACGCTTCTACAACAATAATTTTGTGTTTTCAGTAACAACATGCATATTTATTGACAGCATGAGAAAAAGAACCAAGTCAATGAAAACAAAAATGGTATGTAGTGCAGTGCATCCGATCGGAAACTGGGTTTTAATGTATTTTTTCTAGAGCAGTGATAACTTGCTCAATTGTCGGACTTCAATGTATAAATCTGACTATGGAGCTAGAGCTAGTATCAACCACAACCAAGGGTTTTAGCCGGAGTTAAAATACAAAGAGTTTGCGCACCACTGATGAGATCCAGTGTATGCCTTAAATTTCTAATTGTTTTGCTAATGGACTGATGGTTTGTCATTGCATATCTGTATACGAGTTGCGCACAATACACTTGCCTTGAGTTTTATCCAAAAATACCAAGGGCCAGTGTAGACGCCATGTGAATAATACACGAAGTATTGGCTCCTTTCATTGTCAACCGTTTTTTGGAACGTGGATCTTTGATAAAGAGCTCCCAAGGAAGAATCGATAAATTCAACGTTTTGTCGAGGTGACAAGTACAAAGACATATGCGATGGACCTAAAATGCACCTAGATCATCAACTTGTTCATTGCAAAGCAACAATATAAAACAACATAAAACCGAAGTATTTATTGTCGAAAGTACGTGGAGATTTAAGAATAATCACATACAAGAGCCGAGTCTACCAGTAATTGTTACGAGTTCAAATTACCATTTATTTCAAATTTCAACTTTACAAGATCGTCTTTTCGGATTTTTTCTTTAGACAGTAACTTCAGGTTCGACTGAGTAGAGACGACCGGTGCTGGTCCTGGGATATACCAAGTTTTGCTAAACAGTAAATAATTTAAAATCAATGTCCCAGAGATGCTCATGACACGCACGAAAGGAACAGATATCTCACGAGCAGCACAAAAAATACATTGTATACAATGCAACATGCTTCGATGTTCCAAAACATGAGTGCAGGGGGTGAAATATCGGTGATGTGGTGGGGCTCCTATCCTTTCTTTTCGTAAAATCAGCGGTTTGTGAAAAGTTGATGCATAAATAAATCTAAGCAATTGAATAGCTGCTAGGTATCTGATTGACAGAACACACCGGAATTAGCAAAACAATCGAGTTCCTTGTCTTTATTGTCGAGTTGTATTTTTGACATTTGTGACACAAAGAAGCGGCAGCTAAATGCCTTCTCGCGCGTAATTTAAACCTATTTAATGGATGTATGGATGGTGCAGGTGAATGTATGGATGATGCAGGTGAATGTATGGATGGTGCAGAAGTATGTATGGATGTTGCAGATGTCTGTATGAATGGTGCACGTGTATGAATGGATGATACAAGTGTATATGTATGAAACACATCTTTTTTAGGTGGAAAATATACGGCTGAAGTTATCTATGAAAATTGTTCTTTTGTGGTAAACAAACGAAAAATACTTATTTCACGGGGTATATGCTGCAGCAAATCTTATTTGAGCGCGATAAATCCTATTTGAAATTGGAAACTTCGATTTTTGTTACATGTGAATAATCACAAAAGGAAAATACGATATATAATCGCAGGAGATTGGACAGGCTTAATCCAAGATGGAATTTCCAGGTGGTTAACACATGCACTTAAATTCTTCCCATCATAAGTAAATATTTAACGGCAATCAAAGTATAACCAAGTGTTTGTAGCTTAATGACTAAACTCTGTTGATAATTATGTGTACTCTGCTTAATCGTGACAATTCATTATAGTTCCCGATAGTTTTTTCGTTACTATGTGGTAACCACATTTGGTAAAAAATTCAACTCACTCGAACATGAAGGCAACGGGCACATAATAGGGAAAGTCGCCAAACATTCCCTTATTCATGTCAGGTCGTTTCGCTTCCTTAAATTCGGGCAGATGATCGATGTATTTTATACCAAGATAATCGAACGGCGCCACCCACAAGCCCGCATCTTTTTGAACGACCTTACCATACCGATCGTGGAAAGTTCGTGATATGTGCTGAAATGGACAGAAAATTGAAATGCGTACAAAAATTATGTGCAACCAACAACAGTGAAAATGTTTATGTACACGACAGCAGAATGCTATATGAGAGTGCGGTCATAACTGATCGCCATGATGCCGCGTCTTCACCTGAAACACGATGCGTTTTGGACACCATGGCTTTCTTGAATAAGGAAACACAGTTCCGGTTAGCACAAGAATAGTGGTTACCAACCACACTACAATCAATGGCACTACAAGATACCTCACACTGCTGATCACGTGAACAAGACTGATCTATAAAATACAATGGATATTTGGAAGATGACATGAACTCGTGTATGCCTTCAAAATGGTAATGTCATTTTTTAAGCTTGACCCTAAAAATAAGGGCAATGCAAATTCCAAATGCAATACAAATTCTTTGAAATGTTCAAAGAGCAAAAAACAGGTACAGTAACTGGATAGGTAACAACGCGCATAATAACAACAGCTTACTCAATTTACAAAACGTTATCGTTAAGAATAACAAGTTTAAGATCTGCAATGAGTTATGAAAGAAATCCTAGTAATAGCTTTCTTAATTATGGTGAAATAGTTGAGTTTAAGATGACATGGTTAACACTCATGAGACGTGACTTGACACATATCCTCTCTTTCAAACCTTTGCGTTTGAGGGCCTTTTTATATGGAGCCGAGTTACACGGCTAGGCAAGTAGTAACTCGGTAGCACCGAGTTCTCGTCTGTTCTATAAATACTATGATAAACTTGCCCGACTGTTTACATGAGACATCTGAGTAACTCGCTTTGCCGAGTTCTCGAGAAACTGTGACGGGATCACGGAAAGCGAGTTACTCGGTTGTACAATGTAAATACGTTTGAACGGGAAACTCGGTTAGACGAATTAGAATAGGTACCAATCACGCTTGAGTCTATCTTACAACTAGCCTGTAAACTAAACAATGATAACGCAAAAGCATAAAAAAACATCAATTAAATAAGCCTTTTGAAACTTTTCTCGATTCATTTTATTATTTTTGCTGTTTTTAAGACTTCACGATTAAAGTATACTTCGATTTGCTGACTTTATGTAATAAAAATGAATAGGATTGTAAGTCGAGTTTCTCGGTGTCATATAAACACAGTGTTGTTTTATCCCGGCCAGCCGAGTAACTCGCCTAGCTGTGTAACTCGGCTCCATATAAAAAGGCCCTTAAAGATCGCTGCACGTTAAGTGTAATTTCGTCCAGTGGATTTTTCCAAGAGCTTCGGTGCTAAATAATGTAGCTAATGATACAAAACGCAGTGGTGGAAATTCAGTTCTGGAGGTGGGGAGACCGAGTATAGAAAATTTCCAAGACGTGTTTTTTTTGTTGTGTCGAGACATGCACTGTGATGTTCGAGAATTATGATTTTCATCAAAATTCTATAAATTTTTTTCCATAGATTCTATAAATTATATGTTATGAAAGATCTACTCACTGAAAATTGGGATCGATGGTGCTGTCCTGAGGTCTATGTGACAGCAACAATCACATAAAAAGAAAGCAGCTACATAGCTTAAAGATAGCCAGGTTTAAGTATGAATCATATCGAATGAAATTTGTCACGCTGCAATATCATTTCTATGAATTCATACGCCGTACATTCAGTTGCTTTTGTATTTTTTGACGTAACTAAAAGGGCCTATGACTCGAAAATTGTGCTATTTAGATAATATTTTCATGAAACATAACTTTCAAAATGACAGTGTACCTGTTAAGAAAGTTTATTCATATCACTTTTCATTTTCAAGATATGGTAGTTTATGTAATGGACGCTTTACACAACTTGTGACGTCATATTGCATAACAATAATTTGAAAGAACAGGTGTAATTGCTGACATGTTACTTCAACCGATGAGAGTTCCTTCATGAAGAGATAATGGTATAAAAAATCACTTGATCATTTCAACCAGAACTCGCCCGGAAGCTAAAGGATGTTTGAAACTTCGCAGCGACTCCATCAAACAAAATAACGTCAAAGTTGTGCAAATCGTACATTGCAAAAACCTCAATACCTTGAAAATGAAAAGAAATGTACTAGAAAAATACACTGCCATCTTAAAAGTTCTGCTGTATGAAAAGGTAATTTTTCAAAAATTGCCGACAAACTTTTTTCCAAAAAGGTGTGAAATAAATAAATAAGACTATTGTTCTCAGCATGAAATCGATTTACGTAGAATCATGCACTCACCGAATAGGAAAGAGTGACCAGCACGAAGATAGCAACAAAAATGGCCGTGATCACATCGGGAGGATCATTACCACCACTTCGCCCAAAGATGGGCACGAGAAATTCCAAATGAATCCACAACATGTAGGTCCAAAGTACAAGCGGTATGGCCGTCGATAGCAAATACATGAGGACGAAACTGCCAGGATTGCTGGGACAACTTGGCCAGCGGTTTTGGCTGTTGATAAACAACTCCCAAACAAGCACGCGCCCGAGTAATGGAAAGGCGACCATGAGCATGAAAAGATAAGCGGAGCCAAAATCATGGTAGTTGAAAATTGACAGGAGGGTATTCCATAGAAATAACGTCGCATAAAACACATGCGCTTCCTGGTTCCATCGGGCTTCCCAACTGTTTGTACTCTAAACAAGGCAAGAATCTTAATTGTACAATATACACTCAATGAATGCGCCTAAAGAAAATGTTGTGTTTTGTTTTCAGAGAGTTTCATGGTTTCCCAAGAGAAGTCAAGGGCAACACTGCATGCGACTCAAGGAAAACAAAACTCACTATGTCACTAGGGAACGTAGTACAATAAGTGTTTTGTTATATGGAAAAAAGCATCAGTGATTTCGACAGCTCTTCACTATAAAATTAACGTCTTCAGGGCATTCGTCCGGCAAAATTTCGTTTCAAAATAGAGTAAGGCTAACCATAGCATATTTGGTACACTTCTAAGTGTTTTCTGAATCATTTTTTTTCTATTACTAGTTGAATTTCGTCGCTTATTAAGCTCGAGAAATTTTTTTTCAGTTTTCGGCTCCATAGCTGTTTTACTTGCTTTAATTTGTTTTTACTTGTTTTACTTGGAATAAAAATGAGCGGGAAAAAATTTCCACTTGTTCCCTTAGCGGGCAACAATTTTTCACTTGCTTCCCTGTGGGGATACATTGCAATCATTTTGAATCATGTGACTACGAATGAACCTATCACGTTTAACATACAAAAGCACCAATATAACAAAAGCATTTATCGCAGAATTTATCTCCTATTTTTGACTTTCATCGGAGATTACGTCTATGGCATAAACGGAGCAAATGAGATTTTCTTCAAGAGTACCTTAAATTGCGTTGCTTGCCAGTAATGAACTGCACACATGACAAGCATTCCAGGCAGAGCATACAGACCAATGAGTATAAAAGGTTTACAGTACCACGATAACGATTGACCACAAGCCGTGATTACTTTAGCAAGAAGGAACACAAAAAACAGGGATAGTACCCAAGAAAGTATGATGCAAAACAATGCTTTGATGAATGACGTCATATTCAAACATGCCTTGCTGTATAATACTAAATGTTAATAGAAAAAAATTGTTAGATACTCAACAAAGTATGAAAAAGACCCAGTGTCTCAGTTCACCCCAAGATGTCTCACTCTACCTCAGGTTACCCCAGGTGACTCAATTTACCCCAGGTTACCCCCAGGTGTCACACTTTGCCCCATGTTACTCTAATTACGTCAACAATCGATGCTAAATTAGAACAGATATTTGGGTTGTGTTTTCGATGTGTTGGGTTGTCTTGCATTGTGATGTGCTGTGTTGACTTGTTTTGTCTTGCCATAAGTCGCGTTGTTTTATCATTTGTTGTGAGATGATTTGATTACCTGCCTGCTGGAACCGCGTTCTTTTCGAGAATTTGAGGACAATACAAACGAACGCTATTGCAGCAACAATAGTATTTAATATCCATCCGATTTTTTGTGGATAATGAACCAAATACAAACCAAGAACGTCGTAAAACACCATGGCACCGTGCTGATCATCACTTGGATCATTCACCAGAGGAGATTGAGTAAGCTGCACTAACATCCCCAGAAGATTCTCGCCTGCCCGCTGTATGCTGCCTGGATTGATGAACTGAGGAAGGTCTCGGGCCGTGTGATAAACGTAGCCATTAGAAATATATGCAATATCTATGCCTGTTGGAGTGCGAGAAATGAAAATTTTGAAAATTGACACAACAGTCACTAGAATACATTATAAAAAGCGCTAAAGCTTTGTGCAAAAGTAGTTTGGTTTTTAAAAAATTTTACAAAATAATTTCAGCACGGGTCTAATTTTAATGGAGAAAGTTTACTTTCAGGCTAGTTGATGTGGATAAAAAAACATAGAAGAATTGTGCTGAACAATAATTAAGGTAAATCAAAGAAAAATTAGAAGACTCTACATACTACCTCCACCACCACAACAATTTGCCGCCGAAAATCAACTAATCACAATTCAATTTTGTTGCTACTATATACAGTACAACACAAATTTGTTTTGTTTTTGAGAATTATAATTACAATATTTGAACGTTCAATATGGCTACTTACTCGTGATTTCGTTTATGTGCGCAAATATTTTGCAGTTTTAGTTAAACGATTTTGGAGTGGATAACGCTACGAATCCATAAATCCAGATTGCTTTGAACGCGTAAACTTTAGAAGCAGTGAAAAAGTACTAGCGAATTCATAATCGGATGGACGGTTCAATAAGTTGCAAGATGGTTTTAACATTAATACGCAATAGAGACAAAATTAAAAAAAAAAGCTGTACTCAACGTTCGTTTCCCCTATACTTTCTCAGCTTTGGTGCGAAATAAAAATCTCAAACTAAAAGAATTTTCGGTCAATCAAACAACTCGAATGCCGACTTAAACTACATATTTTCCTCAAACTGACAGCCATGGCGCAAGCAAAGGGGTGGGTCAATGTGAGTGACCAATGATTTGTAGAATTTTTTTTAAAAAGGTATATTCAAAAAAACCGCGGTATGCCACTTCCCGACGTACCTGACACGAAGGGTCGTGGCAACCTAACCCAATTTGTTCTTTCGTCGTACTACGTATACGATTAAATTATGCCGAAATATTATCGAGTATTTGAAATATTTTCTGTTTCTGATCAGTAGCTAGGTACGTGTGATATTGAATGTTGGTTCGAACGTAAAAACAAACCTGGGATATTGCCAAAGTCGCGAAATATCCTGAAATCAGTATCGGCGGGAATCAGTCCAGTTTGAAAGATTTCTTGACCCAGAATTGAAGCAAATGGATAGTTTGATGAGTTTGCATATGTCTTGATAAGCCAAGGATGTTCTGGCCCCGTTTGGAACACCAACTCTCGACCACCTTGAAAATTAGTTTGAGGGAATTGAGTGTATTTTAGCAGGGAGATTTAGCTACTTAGCAAGAGATTTAGCTTAATTCACAATGACAATACACAATTAACACCCACACTTTTCCTGTACACACAATACAATGACATAAAAACCAGATAACAAATACGGCTAACCTGAGGTTTACTCCTCATTTGACTCTGAAGATGACTACCGCTAAGGTTGTCGAAACGTCAGTCAACAACAACAAAAACAGTCCTTCTCAGGACTATACCAACCTGGACGATCTACATTTACAAACATGTAACGATACTCCCGGGTTCAAACCATTTACTTTATTACAACAACTAAATCTATCGAAATAAATTTCTTTCATCAATCATGATAAAAAAGTGTACCACATTTGAAGAGAAGGAAATTCTTTGAGCAGTCAACAGTGACCACAGAAGATCAATAATTGGAGGAGAGGTAGTGTTCATATATGTAAGAATCTGATAATTATTAGTATCAATTGTGAATATCTTGAGCAGGTGCAACCCTCCACCTTTAGTCTAAGGCTTGTACTGATATGCTCTCAAGAAGTTCTCCTAAAGGTCTCCTTCGTTTGCATACACCTGTGTAAACACAGTAAACATCTTTTATTTCTTTAATTATAAAATAACAACAATAAAACATGAGCACTGATTGGTCCATAGCTGAGTTTGCATTAGCCTGTGCAAAGTTGCAAACAGACCAGAGCTCAATGACTTAAATCAATCAAAGAGAATTTGCAAATCAATCATAAATACACGTCAGAAGAAAATTAAAGCCTTTGTTTTAAATTAATATGTTTCACATCATTGTTATTCTAAAAAAGAAATAGATGTTTTTTGTGTTTGCACTGGCTAATCTAAAACTTCTTAAATATGATATTGGGAAGGAGCCCCCATGCACCACAGCAACAGAAGCACCAAACCTCTTGTGATCAAACCAAGTTAAGAAAACACTGAATTTTGTGTGTGAAAACAATGAAATCAATTGATACACTTTACGATTTTAATATACGTATATACAGTTATTTTGCCTTTGGTTGAGCACTACTTGCTAATAGTAGAACCTGTTAAATACTGTTTAGAAAAGAAGGTTGGGGATGATTTAATTTTCTATGAATGGAGGTGCATAGAACTTTGGTCAATTAATGACACTATACCTGCTCCGGCAGCCTCAAGGTTCACAAACACTCTGATGTCTTTTGCCCATGGATGTTGCGTAATGAAACCGTGGCTGGCCTGAAGAAAATTCTCTTCAGCACCATTAAATAGGAAAACCAGGCTATGATTAAGCTCAACATGTGCATTTGACTCTGTCAAGCAGCGAATGACCTCAAGCATAGTTGCACAACTGACAGCATCATCACTTGCACTTGGACTACCAAAACTTGAGTCAAAATGTGCATTGATTAAAATGCTATGTGTTGTATGATGACTTCCTCGTGACCCGACTCTTGCAACTACGTTGGAAACATTTCTATAATAACTCGTAAAACCTTCAAGGAAGTCAATAGTAAAATGTCCTGAAGGTCGCTGCAGATCAATGTCCAGTACAACATCTTCCCGCTTCGAATCTAGAAAGGACCGCAGTGTGTTCAAAAGATATTCTACCGTTCTGTGTTCGTTGGCAAAGCTACCGGTTGGGCGAACGCCGTAAGAAGTGATTTCCTCAAGGTGTTTACGAGCTCTCCATTCGGCGAAATCTGCTCTGTTTGAGTTTATATTGGTCTCTGGGACGTAATGATGGGCGACGATGGCCAAAACGACGGCAGCCAAATGAAACACTACAACAAGCAAACAATTCCACAATGTTAATCCTTTGTATTTGGCTGGCGAGTCACCAAAATCTTTGTTACAATCATTATCAAATTTATTCACATATTCATCTCCTTTCAAATCTAAAGTATTTCTCCGCCGAACGTGGTCCATCATCAGCGACAATGGGTACTAGGATCCCTAACAGGTAGCATGTGCTGCCTTTCTGAATTTGAAATGATTGAGCTTGACAAACGTTCTTCTGCAGTACAGCTAGTCTGCTAGTCAGTGCTAGCCTTGGCCACAATACTTGACGTTGTCTAATTGTTTTCTTTATCACTCTTAGATATATAGCGCTTGTTCCACACTTTTAACAGTGCGGCAGCTATTTTCAAGTTCTTCATTTATTTTTTGCTTGCTCTATTGAATCAGTATTTATAAAGAGAGTGTGAGAGAGGAGAGTGTGAGAGAGCTGGCCCAGTAGCCAACTATTTTGCTTTAGCTGTGTCGAGCTAATCATTGATGGCGTGACTAAGGGGCTGTTTATATGAAGTCGGGCCAATCGGGCTGGCCCATTGAACTGACACGCGTGTCTGGAGGTCAATTTACGTGTATTGCAGGCGCGAAGCTACACGTTATGCGAGATTTGTCAAAAAAAACATGTTTTTACCGAAGCCTTTTTCTGATGTTATTCAAAAAGTAAACGTAGAAAATTATTGTGGCATTGAAGGTGACGGGGCTTGGTCTTCATTCAGTCAATTATGATGCTTCCTATTGAATACCTATTTCGAAATGGAAAATATCAAAGTGTGGAAACTGTGAAATTTTCAATGACATCGTTGATCGTTCAATTTATACAAATCTGAAACATTGCAGCAAGTACTTGTTTATTTTGAAAAGATTCAACTGGATGTATTCAGTAATATACATGCTTCTCCATGAAATATTTGTACGTACACCTATTTACAGAAGCCCTTAGTTTGAGAGTATGTGACGAGTATCTAATTTATCTTTTAAAACCAAATCTCGTGTAAATTTGAACTAAAAATTGTGTTTATCTGTAATTTTGTACGTCCACAGAAAAACATTGATAACAATTGTTTTGGGTAAAAATACATTTACAAAACTGGTAATTTTTTTCGAATTTTATGTGCATTTCTATGCTACATTGAAACAGAAACGCTTTAGTTTTTGGCACATTCGCAGACATACCAAAACAAACAACAACAGCAAAATGCCTTATAGTTATGGTCGGCTATAGCCTCCTTTACAAAAATGTAATTGCCAAAATTGTGTATACTTGGTATTAAGTCTCATTTATGAAAGTTTTGTTTGCCAAATTAAGACAAGAAAGAATTTGGGTTTTGTTTTTGAAGCTTCGTAGTTTGTTCTAGTTATTTTACGCTTCTGTCTATAGCAGGGGTTCTTAACCTTTTGTTGGTCACGGACCCCCAAAACATTCTAATGAAAGCTTTGGACCCCTTTAGAAGAAACACATCGCAATTGTCAAAATTAGCTTTTAATTAACTTAGTAATATAGTCCAGAAATTTGCAGACCAAACCAAATTAATAATTCAACGAATAATGAATAATAAATCAATTACCGAGTCAATTAAGTTATACAACAATTACAAAACCATAAAGAATCAAAAAATACAGTGCAGTAACCAATAAGTAGAACGCAAATAACTTTTTAAATCAATGCGAAGGTTGCTCCTGCTTATCTTCAACAAGAACACGAAATTGTCATGTTATCATAGCATCCAACCGATTTCGCTGTTTCGTTTTGATAGCAAGAAGAGCAGAAAACCCTGCCTCACAGAGGTAGGTAGTAGCAAAAGGAATAAGAGCAACCATGGCTCTCTTCACCAGGCGAGGATACGCTTGTGCCAAGGAACACCAGATTCTGCAAGGTTCTTTGAATTGAATTCGCTCCTTAGCATTTGCATTGTCCTCAACTCAATGAGGTCATCTTTGGCAAGATCGTCATCACCAATAGAATTTAGATCTGCAAAAATGGGTTGCGAATCCACAATTCAAAATTCGGATCATGTGAGCAATAACTTTCAAAAGATTGCTGCAATCTGTCTAAATTTTCATATTTCCACGTAGAGAGGAAAGCAGGGCTTCAGTATTATCGATTCGAGTTTGAGAGATCACTTCCTCCAGCATTGGGAAGTTGGCAAAGTTGTCTGTCTCAAGTCTTCTTTCCACAAAGGAAGCTTTGCTTGAAAACCTGCAGTCTTTCTGTAACGTCCATAATCGTTACATCTGGTCCTTGAAATGACAGATTTACTTCATTCAAATGACCGAAAATATCTGCCAATAAGCTAAGCCATAAAGAAACTCCTTTCTGTCAAATTGCACTGATAGAGGATTTTGTTTTCTCGTAAGAAGAATGAAACTTCCTTTCTCAGTTCCATCAAACGCTTCAAAACTTGACCTCTCGAAAGCCAGCGAACTTCAGTGTGGTACAAAAGTACTTCATGTTGTGCACCATTTCTTGCAAAGTCTTTTGAATATACGATTGTTTAAAGCTCGAGCTCTGACAAAGTTGACGATCTTTACAGAAACAGACAAAATTTCTTTTAAAGCTGGTGATAGAGTTTTTGATGCCAATGCATGTCGATGTAGAAAGCAATGAGTCACAATGATGTGAGGAGCTTCTTTCTTTACCAACGAAGCAAACCCTGAGGTTTTCAAGCATTGCGGCGCTCCGTCGGTACAAACTACCAATATTTCTCTTCCAATTGAAGTCTTGTTTGGCAAAGAAATTGTTCACCATCTCTAATACGTCTGCAGCCTTTGTAGTTTCTGAGAGAGCCTCGCAAAATAGGAATTCTTCTTTAATTGCATCAGCGTGCATATAACGAACATATACAAGAAGCTGGGCACACTGAGAGACATCTGTGCTTTCATCCAGTTGCATGCTAAATGGAAATGGTGATGCTTTAAGTTCCTCCATTACTTGTTTCAGAATATTATTAGAAATGTCAATAATTCTGGAGCTGATGGTATCGTTTGACAAGGAAACGGCTTCAAGTTTCTTTCTTTGTTCTGTGCCATACTAGCTCAGTCATTTCCAGAGCACAAGGTTTTATCAATGTCTCTCCGATAGTGTGAGCTTTCTTTGCCTTGGCAATGCGGTAAGCGACCTTATAAGATGCTTCAAGGCAAGGCTTCTGCGTCTTGATGAATCGAACTTCGGCAAAGTCCCTGATTTCTCAAATCGAGCCTTCTTAGAACGAAAAGAATCAACACTATCCAGTGCGTTTTAGGATGAATAGATGAGGTGCTCTTTCAGTTTCGCTGGCTTCAAACTTGCATTGGCAAGGACTTTACCACATAGAAAACATTGCGGCCTTTCGCTGCCATCACTATCAGTAATAAAGGTAAAACCAAAAGCTACATAATTTTCACTGTACTTTCTCTTCTTCGACATTTTTAAATTGGTAAAATTTTTAATTTATTTATCCTTCCAGGTTATAAACCTTTGTAGTAGAAACACATAAGCAAATTGACAGCTTTCTATAATACTCAATGCAGCATACACGTGCACGGTTTTGTTCAATCTATTTATTCTATTACGACATAGAGTCTATGTCGTAATAGAATCATACAATGTCTATGTCATAGACATTGTGTATGATACAAACCTATTTATCACAAATGCGATGTGTAAGAAACATTAGACTACTAATTATAAATGCACAATAGAAAGAAAACATGTCAATCATACTTCAGTTAAATATACATATCGAGCGAAAACATCTTGTTTTATTCCGTCAAAGATTTGTGAGCATATATTTCTAACGATCATTAAACGATGTTGCTTTTTAGGTTCTAATCGGTCAATAGAAATACGTAGCCTACTGTAGATATTCTTATTTGGATTTGCGGACCCCTTAAAGCACCATCATGGACCCCTTAGGGGTTCATGGACCCCAGGTTAAAAACCCCTGGTCTATAGGCCGTGTGTTTACAAAAGCGTAGAAAGACTGGGCTCTACTGGCTTCAAAATATCGATTGAGGTAGCCTTCTATCTATTTAGTTCAATGGGCTGGCCCGCTTAGGGGGATAGCCCGGTAAGCGAGATGAATTTTTTGATGTGTTTGTGTGACGTTCATCTCGCTTGCCGAGACGTTTCTCCTGGTCGAAATAAAGTCTTGTATAAAGCCTCTTTTACTTATAATCAGACAGATTATCAATCAAATACTCCATCATCTTAAAAATTGCAGCGAAAGTTCATTCTTTGCATCATTCTTGTGTCTATTTTTCTCGCTTTTGCACGTGCACGTATTCTGCCATTTTAAGATGTTATCATACGCATGCTCAAAATTTAGCTCGGCAAGCGGGCTAGTTCGGCAGTTGAGTGTTTACATGAGAAAAATTTCATCTCGACAGACGAGATCTCGCTAAGCAGGCCAGCCCGTGTTGCCATATAAACGCAAAGAGATTTTTGCTATAATATGTATTACGTAGGGAGATCTCGCTTAACAGGCTGTTTAAGTAACGGGGCCAGCTCGCTTTCTATATAAACTGGCCCTATGTAGTGTCACTGGGTGTCACGGTGTCAAAGAGAATCAAGTGAGCACCTCCCTCCCCATCCGACAGAAATTCCAATAAAATTTATATAATAACAGTACATTTACAGGAAATTAAACTACGGACTACGGACGTATTTTAATACTATATAAAATAAAATAAAATGTCAACAAAATAAAATGAAAACTAGTTTTTGTGTTGAAGAATCTTTGGAGGCGTACTCTCAACAGTAAACATATGTCATTTACTTGCTGGGAGGTCCGTACTGAAAAAATATTTTTCAAGCACAGACCGACCTGAACGGCACTAACATTTTTTCTTTTTCTTTTATTTTTATAACGAAGAAATTCGCGTTGTTAAATGGCTGATGTTGTTTGTTGAGACTAAAATTGTTTTCCACTGAAGTTAACTTCCATCATAACTACCGTCGAAATACACTTTGCTTTCTGGTTGAACAACTTACATGGCTCATAAATTAATTTTAAGAATTTGAATTTCACTTTGTAAACAAATATTTTGCCAAAAGTTTCACTCCTGGACCACGATCAAGATATCGTAAAAAGCCGCTCTCTTATGCAGCGAATCAGATTGCAGGAAATCAATGTAATTTGTTACCAGCAGTGAACTTTAGGTAGTAAGCGGTCGAGACAATTGATGTTCATAAATTTAGCAACTTTTCGCTCATAAGCCATCAATTTTCACATTTAGTATGCCATTTTAAGATGCGGGAGAACGTTTGAAAAGCAATTACAGAGAAATGTTTCTTTTAACTGAAATAATCATTACTTAAAATTTACTTTGCTTCTTCCTCCTCAATAGGGAGGCTTCCTAAATGCTCCGATGTCAATAATAGGTGTCATTTCACATTGACAAATTTGCTTTGTTTCACGCGCGAAAGTGACATAATTCCACACAAAGACTTAAAACAGATGTTATCAAAAACCACTTTGATATGAAAAAATTTTAATGGGTAAAAGCATAGTATTCTTTTGCCACTGACGCAATGTAATTATATTTATAATCTTTATTTCATTTAATCATTTAATGAACTTTATTAAATGGGTTGAAGGGATGAGTAAGCGTAACCATTCGGGACATCGGTGAAGATTTTTTGAACGCAGAATTATTTTCGCTTAGAAACTCTTCGTGAGATCTAAATAAAAAGAACATAGACAACTATTTATATGCTAAACTATATTCGTGATAAACTTGACCTGAGAAACTGTTCAATTTTTCTACTCTAACGTGACATGCTTTCGACAAATAAAACGTGAACTTTGACAATTGCCATATACTAATAAATATTATTTGCATAATGTAAAGATGGTGCCTGGTTATTGACCAGTGATAAGCTGGGAACAATTTTTCTGGGGGGCAATCACGTTTAACTGGCATGCGCCCCCAAAACGTAGCACTTCAAAAACTATGGCCAAAGGACAAAGGTGCGAGCCATACTAGGAGGGTTTTGGGGCCATGCTTTTTTTATATTAATAAGCTCTAAAATGCCTTTTCCTGGATTTTGGTGGCATGAAATAATATTAACTGTAGCATTTTAAATTCATTTTTCATACCTAAATATCAAAATTTGACGCCCCATAGTCATTTCTCCCTTACGAAAATTTCACATTGGATTTCATATATGAAATGATATGTGAAACTTATGTGAAATTGAAACACTTCATATATGAAATGTCTATTTCATATATGAATCCAATTTCTTATATGAAATCAAACGTAAAATTTTCGTAAGGGTTGCACCCAAAAAATCAACAGCTGGAGGGCATGGCCCCTTGACCCCCCTGACAGCAAGCCAAAGACTGACACAACGCTTTATACTTATTCTTTATATAGCAACTCTAAAGTTTTAATAAGAATCAAGGACAAGAGTATACATTATTGTTAATTGGTATTTGGATTATATTTTTCATTCATCATATCCCATTCATCATATGATTGTTTAATGTATGATGCAACGCATGGAAAAACTACTGTAAAACTACTGTAAAGTCAATTAAATGGCACTCGATTCCCAGCAGTTGAAAAATAATGCAATTTCAATCTTGTAATTTCTATTTGGATAACGTAATTTCTATTTGGATCATGAAGAAAAAGTCATCAGCCAAAGTTATTGTAAGCAGGCGTCGCTTTTGACAAATGGAAAAATTTCGATTATGAACAATGTAAGATATAAAGAGACCGGTGTTTTAGGTTGGCTTTTAGTGCAACAACATCAATGAAATTTTAACAGCTTTATTATACAAGCGAGTTGTTCATAGCTGGCTAAAATTATCTCATGAATAAATTTATCGAACATTTGGATATCGTATGCATTTCACCTGTACGTAAGTCTTGTTGTGCTTCGTTGATGTTCGGGATCATTAATACCAGCGGGATCGTAGTTGCTGAAGAGAACACAGCCTGTGTATCCGGGAATGTTTCCTTTTCTAAATATAAAGTAGACGAGAACTCATAGTAAGTCAGTTCAAAAAAATATTGAAACGTATACAAAAAATGAAAAACAGACTGCAATAGACTTTTAGTTGAGATATGCTGAAGCAATAAAGTATGATATTTCATTGCGATTTTCCAAAAAAATATTAAATATATTTAAAATCGTGGGCAGAGATATGCCAAACGGAAAGCGAATTATAAATATGAACATAATAGCCCAACATAAGTCTTTTAAAAAAGCCATCACAACAATAAAATACGAAAGAAAGATAGAAGATTTTTTAATAATTACGTTTCGTCTTTAACTTAAGACATCTTCAGATTAACTGAGATGAAAGCCTTCTCATATCTAAGCGTAAACCCTCTCTTAAACGTATTTATTAAAAAACCTTTTATTTTTCTTTCGTATTTTATTGTTGTGATCGCTTTTTTAAAAGTCTTATGTTGGGCTACTATGTTCATATTGAAAATATATTTAATGAGAATTTTGCAATACTTCTCGAATTCTACGCGTCTTGCCTTTAGAGATAACAATAGACTGATTGTTTTCTTTGCAGACATTTTAAAATTGAGGAATTGAAATACAAGGTGTGACAAACCTGCCAGCAGTTGCGTATTTCGGCTGCATTGTTCTCTGTCTGTTTTGTGAGTGATATAAAATTCTCTTATCGTCCATCTCGTCTGGTCCACTTCCAACATGTCCTCTGTATCCCGAGTAAAGAAACAAATTCTAAACTGCATTTGAAATAACGCAACTGGAAAGGAACTTTATGGCTAAATTTTAAAGTTAAAACTTAATACTTCAATAATTTCGAAATAGCACGATTGAAACGATGCATTTAACGTAAACGACAACCTTTTAAATTTTTATTGCAAACATGTTTGGGCATAAGTTTGTCGAAACATGCTTGAAATAAAAAATTTAAAAAAGTTGTCGCTTACGTTAAATACATCATTTAAAACTAAATATCTTGCAATACATGTAACGTTTTGCACAAAAATATTGTCATCCAATGGACAAAAGCAGAAATGACGTTTTTACTCAACTAAACTTATGTTTTTCATTTTAACATTTCCCATGTCTGTGGCCATAAAGTCCATCAAAAGGATTAAAAAATATACCATGCATATACATCAACCGAGTTAGGACTTCTCACAAGAACAACAGTATATAGTATAAGTTCTTTATATAAAAGAATGTGATCATTAATGAATCGTACGTGTATCCTGGTATATGAGCAGTCTTCTTAGTGGATGAACAGCTATAGTTAAAAAAGGAGATAGTATAATGGAGTCGTTTCTTGCATAAACTACACGTGAGGAAATGCACCAAAAAAGGAGATCTCTGACATCAACTACAGTTGTTCAATATCTAAACCGACCAAAATATCATAATATGCATCGCCAGATGAACTTATCTCGCTGCATGAACGTAGAGTTATTCTATTGTACACCTCATGCACATATAGTACAAATAGTTCAATATAGTTTAGGTCTAAGGGGCCAGTTACATGAAGCAAGTTGTTTCGCTAAAACGGGTTGAAACGTTTAGCCTAGATGAGTTAAAAATTGCAAAAACGTGAAAGGTGTTGACCTTCAAGGAAGAGCAATTTTTCGCAGGAATAAATTAATTGGGTATAGTTTTTTTGTTTTTGAATTGTAACTGTATCAGATGCATTTAAACGCCCATCTATTTCGTCGACTTTGCGGGACCAAATGTATAATCTCCATACTTGTGAGCCATAATCACACATTTTATGATTTGATAACGCATTTAGATAATTTTTTTATTATTTGATAACCCAATTCAACTTCTGAAGACAATTTTCTTCTATATATTGCAGACAGTTATATATTGCATTAACGTTTATTTTAATTTAAATTAAGCAATAAACGCATGCGCCGATGCGCGATTTGAATTCCTGGCCCAGTTTGCCGAGCCATCTCGGCAGAATGCAATTAAATGGGAATTTACTTCCCGCCTAAGCGAGTAAAATATACCAAATATCAATAGGTTCTTTGGGACTTGAAATGCTGCAAAACAACAAGCGCTTTGCCAGCAGCATAACATCGACAGAGTTCGAGATGGCAACTGTTTACGCAGTCAGTCAAGGCTGCCGACAAAAATTGCAGAATGCGAAGCAAAATTTTATTTCCAAGCAAATATGACGTCATGATTTCAAATATCATCTCCACTGTTCTCATCTGAACTGATTTTTATACCGACCCCCAACACTTTATAAGAAGCTTAGGGCTTTACGTTTAGTCTTTACGTTTAGTCTCTCAAATCGCCCCCTCTCTTTGGAAGGGAGTTTGGGGCCTCAACGACACCCTCATTATCAATGAATGCATGATTTATTTGTTGGACGTTACAAGCACTAGCTACACATTTTGCCTGTCTGTTCTAAAAAGTTTGTTCATTAGTTAGGAAACAGTGAAGAAGTTATTAATGAATTTATTAAGAATCCATGAATTTATTAAGAATCCATGAATTTATTAAGAATCATACAAAGATCACACTTACAAACGAACTGGCCCAGGTAAGCAATGTCTATTTCTTGTTTGAACGTAATCCCAGGAAAAGGGACGGCTCCCAAATTGCTAAAAAACATAGCGATACATGCAAGTTATCAGTAATCAAATGTTAGATACACCGTACGTGTTACGAATGAGAAACCGCGTGCAAGAAACCTATGTAGAACTAACTATACCAAGGAGAGTTAAGGCCTTAATGGATCCACGCAGTAGCTTTAAACTTGCCATAAGTTCCTATGAGACATAATTAATATATTCTGCCACAATTTGCATGGCATTTCACTTCAGTCACAATGGAAAAGGTGCATTCAGTACTTCTAAATTTTCAATGCTGGAAATTTTGAAATTATACCATTAAAATTGTATTTGAAATCTACTCTGTTGATTCTTACTCTCACCACATATCAATATATGGACCATCCACAACTCACGTGTAATCAATTCGCCCGACAATCCGTTTATAAATGATAACTTACCTGCCATCCTTCGACGTTTGGTGCGTATAGCTTTGACTCGACTCGAAAAGAGACAGGATCAGCATGAACTTCCTTACTAGTTTTTGGTGCAAGTTGTGAGCTGGTAATTCTTTCATCCCAGTCAGCACCTTCATACAGCCTGCAAGACAAGAAGAAGAAGCCTTTGGATAGTTTTATCGTGGCAATTTCCTTCTGTCCATATATAGTTAAACTGAACCTTTGCGTAGATGTAGTGTAAAATGCTTTCTTTGCCAGATAGTCCCTGAGCTGAACATCATCTTTGAACATCTGCCTTCTCATCTAAAAAATTTTTCCTTATTGAAATGTAATCTGGTAAGGCTGATAATTGAGATATATATGCATTGCATGACTTCATAACTTTGGTAAATTGTCGAATTTCAGAACCAATTGTCAAGGTGGACTTGAGAAACAAAGCAAGACGAGAGCCAATACAAAGATAAAAGCTCAATCACTCTTACTCACACTCACTGAGCGAGGCTAGAAATTCACCTCATTACTATTCGATGGAGGTATCCCTCCACTGATTGGTGAATATGAAATATTTTAACAAAGATCTTGCAATCAATGAAAAAATTATTTTGCCATTAATTGATGGGAGGATAACGATTTCTGTTTCGCACTCGGTGAGTGTGAGTTTGATTATTTATGTACGTGTTCAAACTGATGTTGCACGAAGCACTTATACAAAGCACAGTTTACGTGATGATTTTTTTCTTATGGGAGAAGGGAGAGAGGCAGGCAGGCATGACCCCTTGCTCCGAAGTCCATGTCATACGCGCTAATTGTGTTGCTTATCAACAACTGTCCTGTTATCGTAAATTGATCATCGTACCTCTTTTTGTCGGTTTAATAAATCATGTTCCTTCTTCATGCCTAGTTGAAACAAAAAAGTACAAGAGTTGCATGTAGCGATGTTGTCGTATGACGGAAAGCAAGGGACGTAGTCCAGTGTCTGTATAGTTTGAATATGTCCACAGATATCAGTGTTGACAAATTTCATGTTTATGTTTCGATGCACAAAGTTTGTTGCAGTAAAAGTACTCTCTAGCTGAAGTCTATGTTATAAATGTCTATACAAAAGTGCTATAAGAAAAATTATTCTCCATAAATATTTACTTAAAACAGTAAAATTTTGGCTGCCTGATATGGTCTTGAGTGCTCTTCAGTAAAACAAACGTTAAAGTTGAAATATGAAGTGCACAAGTAAAGCAATGTATGGCAGGTAATGCTCTAGTGAAATTAGCATGGTAATCAAGCATTAAAATTTCACAGTAGGTCTATTTCCATAAGTCTTTTTTTTTATACACCCTTTGTACGTTATAAATAGATGTATATCATTTCTTGTGTTCACATGGGTAAACTGGGTGGAAGGAAGGAAATGCAGTGTGGTGGGTAAAAGACAAGTCAAGCAATTACATCCACCATGTTCATCAACCTGAACTGACTAGCTGCACATGCACCATAATATTAAAAATACACTGTACTAGCTCTTTAATTATTTGAATTACCTGTTACCTCACCATGGCTGGCGCTTAACATCTTCATGTCGTTGATAACATTAGATTTCATACGATTTTCTGAGAATGGTTGTATGTATTCAGAATGCGATGAAGCGGGCCGAGAGTTTTTACCGAACGAATGCAAGTGCATGCGTGGAAAATCTTCCAGATTGTCCAACGTTTGTTCTTGGTGCAATAATTTCGTGCTTGGCGAAACGTCGAACAGAAATGCAGGGTCGATATACTCATTTTTCTCGTCAGCCTGATACCTTTCCTCACCAACATCTTGAAATGATATGGACATTATGTAGCGTTGAATGCAAATATCTGTAGAACCAATTTCATGTATGAATTGAATACGGCAAATAATGCTTTCGCGCAATCTAACAAATCTACAACATGTCAGTATACAAATGAAATACTTTTACACAAAGATATGTGCGTGTGCCATTTGAGCGCATGGCGTATAATATTCGTAAATAACTCGTATACAATTGTAAACACAGCCGTTGTTGCCAAGGACAGTTGGTTTCAAAATTGAACTTGTTGCCAAGAAAATATAAGCTGTTCTGTGACGATGTTGGTGTGAGCCCAAAGCACATGTACAATAAATTTTGAATGTAGAAAACTATGCAAAAAGCGGAACTGATACACTGACTCAATTAAACTAGTCCATGTATAAAAGAAATGTATCTAAATGATCAACAGAGAAATAATCGAGGTGGAATGAACTGAATCCCAACATCAGGCGATAGATATTTTACAGGTTTTTATCAATGAAATGTTTGAAAACGTACTTAAATTTTCATGGACTAAGCATGTTGCATTGCCGTTCCAGTTACATTGAAAAGCTAAAAAATGAAAGGGAATTGAAGGCATCATACATTTCTACAGAGTGTATAATTAATTATTGTAAATTTTCAGTGCCTGATCACTATGGAAATCCTGTGGATTTTTTGTTCTAAGTTAAGTTAAATACTCAAGAGCAAAAGTTTTTGTGCAAGTAACAAAGATATTTAATAGTAAGCATAGTGGTACGCATTGAAATCATCAAAATCAAAAGGTCTTTTTTATACAACCCTGCATATACTTTAAAGTGCCTATGAAACGACGATTTCCTAGTTAAATTATGTGTGTATTGACGAGAACTGTTAAAATGACATGGTAATATCTAAAACAGTTTATGCATATCTCTTCTCATTCTCGAGATATTGAAGTTTTTGTTATTTACAACTGATCTAACTTGGACGTCATATTGCATAATGGAGCCGCAATATTTCAAATGCTTTTCAGGTTACCGTGACTGCGTAAAAGCACTATTAATAATACGCATTTAATGAAAACGACACGTTTTTTTAAAATAAACATGTTTCAACATCTCATGATGCCATCTTCAATATAAGGAGTACTATGTATGTGATGAATATATATAAGAGTAATATGATACAGTGATACAATTTATACAGTAAATGGTTTGAACCCGGGGACAAAATACACATATATTCTGTGACCCGGAAGATCGTTACATGTTTGTAAATGTAGATCGTCCAGGTTGGTATAGTCCTGAGAAGGACTGTTTTTGTTGTTGTTGACTGACGTTTCGACAACCTTAGCGGTAGTCATCTTCAGAGTTAAAAACAGTCCTTCTCGGGACTATACCAACCTGGACGATCTACATTTACAAACATGTAACAATTTATACACTTGTGAATAGATTATTATATTACAATGAAATAGTGGTTAGAATTAATGATGAAAGTATTTACAGGCTGAATATAGTGTTAAAACGAAAAACTTGAACGTTGAGATTGGGGTTACCTTTGTTAATGTGAAGTGCTTCTTTGATTTTGAGTGCGAATGTAGTATCTGCAGTGTCGATGATTTTAAAGCAAGAGGGTGAATAGTTAGTTTTGCATGAAGGTGATTTTAAAAGGTGTCGAAATATGTATGAAATTTTGTCAGATGTGGTGTGTTCCCTGATTCTGGTGGATAAGTGACGGGAAGTTTCGCCAATGTATCGGAAATTACATCCCGCACAATCGAATTGGTATACCACCATAGATTTAATAGAATCAGAGATAGGATCTTTGAATGAAAAGTAGTTTTTAGTCGGATGTTAATGTCAGTGCAGAAGCGTTTGATGATGTTTGTAAGTCTGCGTTGTGTGTGTCGTGAATGATGTCCGATGTACAGTAGTTGAAAGTAAAGAGTTTTTATAGACTGTTCTTGTTATTGGTCGTGGTTGTTACATCGGATGTTTTGGTGTTTGCTTTGCAGTTAGCATTAGTTTTTTCATTGAGATATCGTTTGACAGTTTACTTGATGAAGTGTATTGGGAAAGAGTTGCGTAATAAAATAGATGTGATGTTCTTTAAGTCTTGTTGAAAGCCATTGTTGGTGTTGTTAGCTTTGCATGCTCTGTCTATACGTGTTCGTATTAATCCAGTCTTGCATGAAAGTGGTATGAGACTGAAGTAGTTCGTCAATAGTCCAGTGTAGGTTGGCTTATAATACGTCAACGTTGTATAGGTGTCATGTGATTTTGTTAATAAAATCTTTAGAAAAGGTAGTTGGTTTTGTTGTTCAGTTGTTCAGTTTCGAAAGAAAATTTAATGTTCGTGTGTTGTTTTTGATGTAACTAAAAAAGTTCATAGCAGTCTCGTTTGTAAAAACACAAAAAATATCGTCAAAGTATCTGCGGTAGAAAAATGGTTTTGTGTCGTTGTAGTTTGTAATCCAGTTTCGTTCATGTGAACCCATAAAAATGCGCATTATGAATAATGCTTTTACGCAGTTACGGTAATATTATTCACGACTTAGCACAAAAATGTGATGGAAAGGTTTTCCTATCAGAAGTTTGGAAGTTTGAAAAGCTCACAATCAAAAAGCGAAAAGCAGAACTATATCTGATGTTCCTCAAAGGTTGTAAATCGCATGGAGTTTACCAAAAGTTTCTTTGCTTTCCTTTACCAAATGTCAGCAACCAAGATAGCTTTGCGATACGTAAACGTCTACTACGCAGTGCAATCACGAAACGAAGCAACGAACAACGGAAGTTAGCAAATGAATCAACAAACATGGCAGAAGATTTAAAGACTACTCTATCATCTCTCGATTGGACTATTCTAAACAAAGCTTTTGAAAAGAACAAAAAGAAAAACTTACGAAAAACTATGCTCACATATCGAAAGAAACTTAGTCATCAAACGAAGAACAAGTCATCCTCAAGACAGAATGATATTCAAAACCATGCATACACATATGTATTTACAGCGCATCGATTAGATAACGGAGGTCAAGCATTAGAAATTAATAAAATAGAGACTTTGTAGCAGTGACAAATCCGAAAATCGTTTTAAAGATCGCAATACCATGGTGAATGAGCGAGTTTATAGTTAAGAACTATTAACTTATTACTTTTGCCATTCACCATGGCATTTGCGATCTTTAAAACGATTTTCAATAGAAATTAAATGATGTGATATTTACAAAAGCGGAGGTAGAAGAGGTCATATTTTTAAACGATAAATTGAAACCACAGACCCGACTCGTGGAATGAGTGTGTTGTAATTTAAGAGAAGAGTTATTACTAGTCTTAAGTCCCGTTATTTAATTGATGTGTTGTAGATATATGTTTATGCATGGTTTTGAATATCATTCTGTCTGAGGATGACTTTGAAATAAAATCGAAAATTCACAGTTCACTTCTCGTCTTGTTCTGATTGATACTTTGTAATCTCACGATGTCTTGTTTCTTCGGAATTTGTTTTTTACTGTATTTTTTAAATTGTCGCCTGGACAAGGTTTTTGGTCTAAAAACATTTGATCAATGAAAGTATATCTCAGATAGCAAAAAAATTTCGTTTCATAGGCACGTTAAAGGGGCAAAAATTTCTTTCCACAAACTTTTTGAGGAACAGTTCAGTTCTTGGTAGTAGTTATCAACATGACAACACATAAAAATGATAAATAGAAAAAAACATTTTCAAAATTCATTCGAATTCACCAAACATATAGTTAATACAAGTTGCACACACTCGTGCAAAAGCAACTACATCTAAACAGTTTGTCGATCTGGTTCATCAGGTGAAATAGCTCTCAGTACATCCATGGCTGCCTGCGGTATCCTTGTACCTAGAAAAGAAATCCCAATTCACTGCACATCAATGACTGCGTCCAGTCGATCCTGCATTAAGCGGTCAAATGAAAAATCCCTTTGGTTATAGGAAAAAAGAAGTTTGACTGAATTTAGTTCTATTCCCCAATCAACAGATTGGGTCAAAGCATTAAACAATTGAAATATGCGCTAAAAATTGCCTTAGACAAGATATCAGCCAATATTTATGCAACAGCATGCATTTTTGCACAAAGGAAAATTAAATTTAAAGAATTTATGAGGGATAAAGATGATGTAAATTTATTTTTTTGATTTGCATCATGAAATACAGAAAAAATATCGCCAAACTTGGTGGATTTTTGAACATTTTCCATTGGTGCTGGCCCTTTTTAGAAAAGTTTGTCAAATACAACTGCGTACAAAATGAAATAATTCACAATTTTCAAACATAAGATTCACACGGCTTTGCCATACTTTCAGAACAATTATGAAGTTGCACTGAATTTCGTATTTTTTATAAGTAATGTTTACGAAGTTATCTTTAGCCAAAAAGCTGAAGATAATAAATGTGAGATAGTAAAAAAACGTCTATGAGGTGTTTACTCAGGCTACTCGAGAACAGTGTTTTGTTATACTTGCGTATAATAATAGTTGTCAAACGGAACAACGAAATTCACTGAATGTAATCTCACATGTGGCAATAATTCGCATTATATTATTTACATGTAAGTAAATCGTGCTTTACTAGTGACACTCGCGCGTGAAACGATCCAAGAAAGAGTTTGATTTGTTCAAGGATTCATGCCAGTCACGCGTGATTTATGTAATCCCGCGGCAGTACAGGAAAATCCGAATTTTTAACTCGGGCTTACCTTCGTTATCCGAGTAATAAATTCGTAGGTTACAAATGTATACATACCCGGGCCAAACACGGCTCCAACACCTTTCTCGAACAAAAAATCGTAATCTTGTGGAGGAATCACTCCGCCGCAAACCACAAGAATATTTCTGAAAAATAGCAATAAAAAAATTAACTAAAACAGAAGCAATGCATGCAACTGATCTGGGAATATAATGTCCCATTTCAAGTTCATGCTTTAATAGCCCCGTGTCTCCTATGGTGGAGATAATGCAAGATCAGTTCTCGGTCTAAAAATAGTTGTAATGTAGTGCAAAAATTAATGGTACAAAGCTTTGGTAAGAATACACAAAATTCAACCATTACGTAGGGGATATATGCGAAACAAATCTCGAAATTTGTCCTGTATCAATAATGCTGTATTTTTTCAGAAACTGGTTGAATCACATTTTATCGTAAAAACCCTACAACTATAGAGTTGTTCTTAGTATAAAATACGTCAATCAAATTATCAAAATACCATTTACATCAAATAAATTCTATTTTACATTTATAAAGAAAAGTTTGAGCAGTGTAAATGACACATTACGTCGTATTATGGTTATATTCAAATAAGATTCGCTCTTTTTCCAATTTTTAACGACTTTTCAAATATTTTTCAACCACGAAACGTCGAATATCACGAACTAAAATTCAAATTTATGTGATGGTATTTCTGGGGTACAAGCATGCGTTATATGCGGCCCGAAAAATATCTTCAAACGACGCATGCACGACATAAGGAATTCGAAAATTACAATCGCGATGGACTAATCTTCGAGCCATATAAAGGCAAACAAAACGCTCAACAATTGCTATGACCAATTAAATTCAAGTAGTTTTCGAGGAGTTCTGGCATTTTCCTTCTTTTCAAACGCTTTTTAAGCGCACAAGAATGTCTGATTTACTTGCTCTTCAACGAGTTCAAGAAGGTACGCGAGCCCTGATTTAAACTATGGTGATACTTTAAGCGTTTCCATGCGCCTATTTTCTATGCTCTATGTAAACAGGTTTTAAATATATTACGTACTTTTTCTTGTCCTTCGCCTTTAAGGCATCAATCAGTTGTGGGACGAGGGTCTTGTGTCCAGCGGCTTGAGTACTTATTCCCACCACATGAACGTCAGCGTCGTAAGCTTGCTGAGCCACTTCATCAGGTGTCTATATTAGGACAAAAATTGTATTTGTGTTGTATAATATTCAGACACAAATTGTAAACGAGAGCTCAAACAGGAAGGCCGAAAAAATCTTCCCTTAGACATTTTGAAGTGTTAACCGTAATAACTCAAAACTCTCAAGGAACAACCATATTTACAGTCATTGACCTACATAATACATAAAATCGTGACACATACACAGCTGTCTATCGAACTCCTGTGAACTATACATTTGGCTATGCAATAGACACCACAAATTCGTGCCCGATACGTGAAATTTTTCAATTAAAGTCAACAATTCCCCAGCGACTATCACCACAACACATATTTAGTAAACGTAATTTGAAAATATTACGATCGAAATGAAGAGAGCGACACATGCCACGTGAAAACAATTTCGACATACATACAACACCTACCTGAAATAATGGTCCGATGTCGACATCAAATCCAAGGTCGGCAAAACCAGTTGCGATGACTTTCGCTCCTCTATCGTGTCCATCTTGGCCCATTTTAGCCACGAGTATACGTGGTCGACGGCCTTCGGCCTCGACAAATTTCTGTCAAAGATTTCTATGTTGACTTATTGTAAACTCTATAACTTCCGTTCGATGACAAAGCAACCTACCGCAACTTCGTTCAGACATTTAGTGATTTCATCAGCATCGCCATATTCCGATTTATATGCTCCGCTGACCATACGATCACTGGCGACGTGTCGGCCAAATACCTTCGTAAAATATCATACGAAAATCAAAATAGTTTCAAGTTGCCAGCCCACAAGTTTGGTCGTGCAGTAAAAATATCAGAATTAGCATTGTACATTCCTTTAGAAGTAGATTGTTTACAGGTAATTAATAACGTATAATGTTTATATTGCTTTCAAACACCTGCCGGGTAAAACAGAAATGAAGTGAAAAAAGTTACCTTTTCCATTGCCGTTGTTATTTCTCCAACCGTACATCGAACTCTTGCTGCCTTCAAGAATGGGAAAAATTGCAATAATCATGTAAAGTTTTGATGATGCTAGCATCAAAAACCATACGAATAAATGACAAGAAGACTGAAAGAGAGGTGCCAATGAAAAGAATAGGTACCAATGAAGAGAATAGGTACCAATGAAGAGAATAGGTACCAATGAAGAGAATATGTACCAATGAAGAGAATAGGTACCAATGAAGAGAATATGTACCAATGAAAAGAATAGGTACCAATGAAAAGAATAGGTACCAATGAAAAGAATAGGTACCAATGAAAAGAATAGGTACCAATGAAGAGAATAGGTACCAATGAAGAGAATAGGTACCAATGAAGAGAATAGATGCCGCGGAACGAAATTTTTTTGTTACAGACTTTTAAAGCAACCGTACAAAGTACCTTTACAGCAAGGTCCAACAAATTTCCTTCTCCGCTCTCACAGCACTTTGTAATAGCTGACATTGCGTCTTCCACCTGGAAACAAATTGAAATCTCACAAAGAAAACTTTGGTTAGACTCACAATATGAAGAACGAAGTTATTCTTTACCGTTTTTTGATCACGCGTTTCCTTAAGAGCCCTAATTTTGTCTATCTACAAAGAAAGAAATTTCTTTACAAAATATGTACAACTTTCGAAGGCCTAGCAAACGAGTCTGACATATCCTAGTCCTAAAAATTGTAGGAATCTAAACCATCCCAACACCAACTATAATAACTGTGAACATTTGACTGATTTATTCTTAACAATGTTTGATGTTTTAATCACAACAGAACGCGCGCAAAAAACAACTTCTAGAGTAATTGTATAGTGTGTTCCTTGACATATACTACCACGCATACTACAACCAGTGTCGAAACCAACACGATCTTTTACTCTTAAGGCTTATTTCCATGCAGCTACATTTTACCCTATAGCGCAAAATGCTCACCATCTTATTGAATGACGCATGCGCCACTTGTAAAGTTCAAAAGGTCAGTAACACTTGTGTGCTCTTGATAAGCTCTAGAGCAACGCGACATTCTACTTTTAAGTCAGTGCGTTGTTTTGCTCTCAAACTCCAGCCTTCAAGATCATTACAATAAAGCGATGATTTTCTCATTTAAAATCACTGTTTCATAGGAATCCTATCACTTCTTCTTCAACGAAGTAAATAGATAGATATTATGGTGTTTTAAGCATTGGAGAAGTAACTATCTTTTGTTGACAGCAGCCATGTTTCTTTTCTCAAGAAAAAGCGCACCAGTGCAATTTCCCCCACGTGGAAAAGCCTTCACAATTGAGAGCAACATGCGCCCGAGCATTTTCCTAAATGCGTAAAATGCAGCTCCATGAAAATTAGCTTTTACAGTGGAACTTTTTTAGCAAAATTATTATTCATTCCTTAAAAATCAAGTCAATTCATTGTTTTTCCAGTGATTGAATAAAAAAATACTTGCATTCTAGAAGTAAAAAACTACCGACTACAACAGTACAGGGGCCGGTTGCACGAAGCCTGGATAGCGTTATTCATTGGATAGAAAAATTTTCCACACTTTTAAAAAAGGTGTTTATATATTTCTTACGACCAAGAAATTTCGTAATCCTCGAAACAATGTTTCATTTCAGTGATTGCTCAGTTCGAATCTTATATTTTTTGCTTTTAAAAGGTTGTATAAAGTTTAAAAAATTGCTATGCGATGGATAAAGCTTCGTGCAACCGGCCACAGGACAATTAAGAGCAAACACATTTCTCGGAATGATCATATGTCCTACAAGAATCATTATCGTAAAATCGACATCTCTAATAATTTTTAACACAATGTGAATAGTAATGTGACGTAATTTAGAAAAAGAAGCACGAGCATATAGCTAGAAAATCAGTAAAATCTGCCTCGTTGACTTGTGCTGCTTCACCAATCAAAAATAACATATTGCTATAAAAAGCTAAATGCAACATTTTACGCCATGTTTGCGAAATTTAGAAAAAATGGCCACTACATTGAACCGCTATAGCTACATATATCTAGTGTGAAATTCCTAGTTGAAAGTCGACATCAATCACAAACTTTACCGATTTCATGTCGCAAAAAACCAACACCTTCATATCTTACTTGACTTTCTCGAACTTTTGTATTATCAATAACAAGCACATCAACCTTGTCGTCTGTTTTAGGCTGGTATTTATTTACGCCAACGATCGTTTCTACACAAAGTACAACGTAAATATTAGAAAACTAAAATTGAAAGCAACATGATCTTAGGCTTGGGTTATTGTTCCTAACATTTGAAAGTCGTTCCTGTTCTCGTTGTAAAATATAAATTTTTCTAACACTCGCAATTTTTCTGACCTAGGCAAAACCCTCTCATGAAACTCGTTTGTTATGTCGATAAAAAACTATGAGCGAGACTCGAGAAAATCCAAATCACCAATCAACCTGTGCTCGAATCAATTCTTGCTTGCCTCCTTGCTGCACATTCTTCGATCCTTAGTTTTGGCATTCCTTCGGTAACTGCCTTCGCCATACCGCCAAGTTCTTCAACCTATACAGATTTGGCACACAATATGACACTAAAGGCAAACAAGCAATTTTAACGCAAACATGTGATTCAGGCAAAGCAAGACTGTCGTGTATAACAGGGACGGCATGGCCGGAGAGGGGATAGAGCCCCTCATTACCTTTGCCTCAATTTTAAACTTTTCAAATTTGTTCCCGGCTGTCCTACCTGCAACCAACTTCTGCGGCTTCGCCGTCGATAGCCCCTCCTCGCTTAACAATATGCTCCCAACCCCCTACGAACATAGCTTTATCACAAATATCAATGCTGACATAGTGGAGGCAGTCCAAAAAAGCTTAATCTGCTATTTAAATTTCACCTGTTTAAAACTGACCTGTTTTCAAGAACTTTAAAAGTTTGCATTAAACATCAACATAGCATACCTCTTCAACAACTTTCTCGGCAGCTTCATACAAATCATTCGTCAGACATTCCATGAGATATGATCCAGCCCATGGATCGATAACCTAAAATTAACGAAATACAACCAAAAAAGAGCAAATAATAATCAATTAATAAACCTCTATTGACCAAGTGCTGGGTCTTTATACATTTCTTTTACAGGTTGAGGTTGTAGGGCGAAGAATTTGTACAAAACGATAGGGTCCAGACATTTCTCCGTTATGGTTTGGGCGGAATTTTATATTTCATATACTTTAGATCTACAGAATAAACCTTTCTCAACAATTTTCAGTATCTTACGTTTGGTATTCCAGTTTCTTCTTGCAAGATGAGCTGAGTGTTGCGCGCAATCCCGGCACTAAACGGAGTGGGTAGAGCGAGAGCTTCATCAAACGAGTTTGTATGAAGCGACTGGGTCCCACCGAACACTGCAGCCATCGCTTCAACTGTAGTGCGAACAACGTTATTGTATGGAACCTGTGATGACATAGCCAAGTTTTAGGAAGTTTGATACAGACATTTTCAATGAACGACGAGTTTTTTTATCGTAAACATGTTTCGGCATGCTTATGCCATCTTCAGTACATCGAGTGAAGGTGATTATGCTATTTACATGATTATCGTCGCTGATATCCATCGTGTTTGATACAACTAAACATACTCTTTTTAGCTCATCGTACAAAACAAGGTAAAACGTAATTTCAGGTAAAACGATGTCAATCAATCACTTTCTTTTTAGTGTCCAGTCCCTGCATTGTTGATGATATAAAGTCAAAATGACCAAATTAAACTACTTTTGGCAAACACGGCCAATGAGAGATAACCAAAGTAGGCAAGCAACATACTTGTTCGGTGAGAGACCAGCCCGATGTTTGACAATGACATCGCAACAAATACGATTTCGGATTCTTCGCGTCAAAATGTGTCTTAATGAGATTCGCCCACAGTCGCCTGGCCGCTCTTAGTTTGGCGATTTCCATATAAAAGTTCATACCAATTCCCCAAAAGAAAGAAAGACGTGGGGCAAAGTCATCGATGTCAAGACCAGCTTTGATACCTTTACAAACACGACCACACAACGTTCAAAATAAAATAAGGAAAATTTCTATGACATTCAACAAACGGGGGAGTTCACGACTGCATTGCAAATGATGGATAAGTTAAAATAACGACGTGGGTAAATAAAGCGTACTCCTTTTGGTCGAAACACGTGCATGAGGAAAATTTTCGCCAAAAAGGAAAGAATTTAAAATTATTTTATTATCAGCAGCAGGCTAATCGTAGCCTTTCCAGCAATCTGATTTGCGCCAACAGAGAGCGAATATCTACGATATCTTACCGTTGTTAGGATCCTCCAGCTGAATACTTGAGCAAAGGGTTGTTTTGCTTTGTTTATGATTTATTTTACAAAGGAAATTAACAGCCAATTTTCGATTGTAGTAATTTGTTTTAAATGAATTTTGAGTTTTGCAAAGTAACATGAATAGTAAAGTTTTGATTATTTACTTTGACGCAATTGTTGAATGCACAAACTAATAAGACTATAGCAAAAAATAAATAGGCTATTTACAGTTCATGCCGGTCAAGATGGAAAAATACTTCCATCTCAAAATCGTTCCTCAGCCTGCGGCTCTTTTTAGGCCTCAGGAAAATATTTTTCCATCCTGACCTGCAAGCGGTATAACATATATTGTATGTTTATTCACAACCATACAACGACCAACTTGACTCGTTCAATCATAAGGCAAACTGATCGTGTCTCATTACTGTTTCAGGGAGAAATAAAATCCAGACAGAATATTTACCTGTTCTACAGTATTCCAGACCATCAGCAATGGTGAAGGCCATTTCCAAAATGGCATCAGCCCCGGCTTCCTGCATATGGTAACCGGAAATGGATATACTGTTAAACTTCGGCATATTCTGCAAAAACAGTTTCGTGAAATAAGTACGTTAGCAGACCTACATAGGATAAGATATGAGCACGTCGAGTCATTTTCATAACTTTGGTTGATCGTAGGAACTTTTCAGCTACGTTTTATTGGTCCTTTAAAGCAGCTAAAATTGACTGCGCAGTTGTGTAGAAAAAAAAATTAGCGACAATTCACTGTCATCTAAAAGACAATTTTTCACGGACATCGGACATATGTATACCTTTGGCGTTAAACACGTTTTACCTACATTTGTAAATATGTCTAAACACAAAGCTCCTCTTATACCTTGGATGTGTACTCAAAGATGTCTCCAATCACTCTCATCGACGAATCAGGGGGAAAGATGTACGTATTCCTGACCATAAACTCTTTTAAAATATCATTTTGAATTGTTCCCGTCAAACGATCCTGGCTAACACCCTATTACGGGGAGATGGTAAAAATATTCATCAACAAACTTATGTAGAGTTTGGCACACATAGATTTCAGGAAAAGAAAACATCGAAACTGAATTTTTTATTCAGCCACGAGGTCCATTTTCCATGCCTCATCATATCAGTAAGATTAATAAAGCAAACTCGGAGATCTAAAGATAGTGTAAAGTTTCCAAGATTTGAGAAAATTTGGTCTCAGAAATTTTCAAACATTTACACAAGCACTGCATAATGATTCGAAAAATATTCCGAAAGCATTTTTTATTTAATTGTGCAGTATTTTTTAACATAACTTAATTTCTACAATACTGAAAAATTGAGAATTGATTTTCGGTGCGACGTGGATAAAACAAAGTCAAAACATGTCTAAGTAAGCCAGAGAAACAAAATATTTCTCACAGTTGATATTTTCTTTTGAAATAAAGCTTTGTAATAGACAATTACATGTAGACCGCCCTTCTCAGGACTCTACTAAACTGGACGATCTACACCTACAAACATGTAATGATACTCCCGCATGTTGAAACTAGGTGGAATTCTTACACACGCGAAAACATGACTGAAGTTATGAAAATACATTTTTTTTAAAACTTCGCAGTAGCCCAGTATCATAACTCAGCTACAGCTTGAGATCGGCTGCAAACAAATGAGAAATTAAACACCATCATACAATACCTGTTCTTCAGCAGCAACAATGTACATAGCTAGAACGGGTAAAACCGCGCCGTTCATTGTCATAGACACCGATATATTCTCAAGAGGAATGCCATTGAATAGAACCTATGATTGAAAGAAAACGAAACTAGAAAATAGTTCAAACATGTGGAATGATTAGCAAAAGGCAACATCGTAAGGTCATTGGGCTTCATCCTACCAAGTGTGACCATTTATGCACCCCCCTGTTCTTTACTTATCAACTATATAAAGCAGGTGGAAGAGTCTAAGCTCAACAGACGTAGTAAAAAAAGTTGGCATCTATTGCCACACTGATGCTACCCTTACTAAACTGTATCGCTGTGTAAGTATATTTTTGGAAGGCAAAGTTCAGGAAACGTTAAAATTAATAACTCCCATTATATGATATTATACACCACAAGCTTCCATATACCAAGAACAGCACACACGATGTTCTAAAAAGACTCTCAAATTACCCCCTGTTTTCGAGTGAAGTTATCTAAATAATGAATATGTCATATAATTGTCGCAATTACTGTTGCATTACAAATGGAGGGAAAAGCATGGCTGGTATAATTATGCTAGTACTGAATGACGTATTTTGCTTTTGAAAATATCTATAAACAAGACGCCTTGTTAGTCACGTAAACTACACAGCATACCTTGGTATCTTCAACAGAGTCAATGGCAACACCAGCCATTCCAACATCACCAGGAACACGTGGATTGTCCGAATCATAACTAAACATATTATACAATTATTGTTATGTAGGTGTTATTTGTGAAATTTCTTTGAAAAACTCGAGCACACCCCCCCCCTAGAGTGCACCACAGTAATTATTTCGCATTACAATAGAAAAAACAATACAGTGTAGTGTCGTTCACAGCAGTTCACTCTCGCTTCTACCCTCCCTGCTATAATTTGACTTTCTTAAGCCTTTTTTCACGTATCGTTTTTCTTCCTCCGTATTACGTACCTCTAAAGCCTCCTATGGGTTTATTACATTTGAAACCTTACAAATGGGAGATATTTGAAGGGGAGGCTAACAAGAGGCTGCGGCTGAATAAATTTTTATTCAAAATGCTAGCGCATACTAATTCATGCATCACAAACTTCAATATCAATTTGCATTCACTCAATAAAATACACAATTCACTAAGTGCATATTTTTTGCAGAAAGACGACATCAGAGAGAGGGGGATGAATATAAGATGAGGAGATGTGTTTTTTGCAACTTTTCCAGTGGAGGATTATTGGAAGCGAAAGCTAAAAAAGGCAAGGGGCTAACTTGATGAAATGCGATACTTAAATATTGTATTTCCCATGGTCATTCCATTTACGTTTCATAAATAAAAATTCTCAATTCGCCGTTTACTTTGGTCACAGTTAAGAAAATGACATTTCCATCAACCAAACAATTTTTGTCCGGCACCAATCCTTATGATATTAAATCAATGCACGGGGATCAGATCTTCAAATTTTTACGTTGCCTTCCAGTGTAGCCAACGCCACGGTATGTAAAGTAGGTTAGAACCATTTTAGAACGATGACTGTACTAAGGCAATTATTTATAAAATGCAGAGAATACGTATTTCGTAAAAAACTCTCAGTTACAAAACTTTCTTCAATGGCTTAAAATTCTCTTTCAGGATTTCAAATCTTTCAAATTCAGGTTGTAAAGCTGAACTCATCGATTGATGTTTTGGCCAGTGTGAGTTGAAAGCACCGATCAAGTAAACGCGACAAAAATAAACAACGAGCTCATAAAGAATAACATCTTACACTTCGACCATGTAAAACTCTGAAAGTAAATTCCGGCAGAGAAATAAGATTATGGGGGTTGGGAATAATAAGGCTCGATGTGAAAGAAGGACATGTTTTTTGATGTATCTTTCAAAACAAAACTATTGAAACTCGTAGACGACGATGTAGAACTCTGTTATGAGTTCTTCAGATATTTTTCTTGACTGTAGTATTTGTTATTTCAATTCGCACTCTCCAAAAACCCCTGCAACCTAGTGTTGACAAACATTTGACCGTAAATAACTTAAATTTCATTAAAAGTCTTGCGATTGATACTTTTTTGTATTTTAAAATTAAATGTAAATCAAAATTTTTGAGTGTTTTACAAAGCTTTGCTTTACACTCACCACAGTTTCGCCGATCATTCGAGCCCTAAAAAGATGGCATCGGCTACAGACAAATCTACTATAGAGTTGAGGTTCCTCAATTTCCAGTCTACATCCAACAATATTATTGAGAATGACCAACATTAAAATTCTCAAACACCTCGAAACGTGTGTAACGGTATATGAACACAGTGATAACTATACCCACACGTAGAAGAAATAAATAACAAACCCTCGATGCGTTGGAAGATCAAAGGCGACACTCAGACCCTGTTGTCCTGCCTTTAAATTGTCTCGGTAGAATTTGTTGCTTTCTTCCACAGTACTAAAGCCAGAATACTAAAAAACATGCAATAATAGAAGACAAATTTGGCATAGTGAAGGACGTCTTAGTTGCTTGCAAAATCTTATTGGATGGATAAAATAGGTGAGTTAGGTCTTAGCCAGCGCAAGGCAACTTGGGCAGCTGAATCACTTAAAATTTAAGTTGAAACAAAAAGTATGGTTATTTGATTTTATATGATATGGAGTCACTTGTGTGCAATTCTTCATATAGTCTTCAATGTTAATTGTTAGCGATTAGTGCTAGCAAACCCCTACCCCTCCTCCAATGACGAAAAGGTAAAAATTCCACCATGTGCCCAATGATACTATACAGAGATGCTAGGTAATTTGCAACGAAATGGAGAAAAGAAGAAAGGGGCTAGAGTTTTCCGGCAACGAATATATCAAGACTACCTGTCTGATTGTCCATGGTCGTTGTGAATACATCGTAGGATATGGGCCTCGCGTATATGGAAATTTTCCAGGAATTTCATCTTCGTATCCAACGCAATCTTCTTTCATATACAAAGGTTTGATATTTATCCCCTAATACGGAGAAAAAGACCATTCAAATTTTTTCTTTAAAAGTATGTGAATGTTTCTTTTTGCGTAATGGTTTTCTACAAACAAAAACTTTCGTCGATTAGACACAATAGCAAGGGTTTTATTTCGACAATTTCTACGATTACCAACGATGTTTCCATTTTAACTCCTCAACTTAACTCTAAACTAAAGAAATGAAAGCCATAGCGCCTGTCAAAGGCAAACTTCACTATTCTCATATCATAACAAGATTTTGAGGTTGGCATCAAATTTTTTACGTAACAACATCACATACGTCTGCAGATGTTCAAACTTTGTGGTTTAATACGAAAAGTGCATGAATACGCGTCAAGTATCAACTTAGGAAACAAAACAATCACAGGAACGAAAAACTGTCTACTCAACAAAAATTGGACAGTGTAATTCAGGCACGTAGCCAAAACGATAATTGGGGGCAACATTCATATATGGATGACATGCCGTATTAGTTTCCTTTGAAATCATTTTTTTCAGGATTATAAAATGAATATATGAATATGCCCCCCGCCCAATTATCGTTCTGGCTACGTACCTGATGTAATTTAGCATGGTGTATATGGAGACATCTGCTTAAAGCATTATTCTGACACAAAGCAAAAAGCTTAACCCTCGACAAATCTAAAACGAACTTAATACGGTGTATCATGCACATATTAATAATTCTTCCCCAATTCATCAATCTACATACACCCCCCTAAACTTACAGGTTTTTCCCATAATAAGTATTATCGAATAAGGTTATGTTACAAAATTATCAAGTTGATATTTTCGTGAAAACGTACATGCCTAACAATAAAAATTTGTATTTGTTACATACAGAATTTCAGGGTCAACAGTACAGGGTCAACAGGAGTTAAAGTAAAAAAAAAACGTATGTATTGTGAAGGAACTTAATTTGACACATCAAGCACAAATGACAAATGGCAACACCCCTACCCCTCAATTAACATTTCTCCAACAGCTCTGAAAACTAACGACTTAATAGGTCATAGAAATGAATTAATGAAGACCAAGTTAATTAATTAATGAAATGTTCAGGGAGAGGTTTGCGCAAGAAATTTCAGATGGCACATCTTCAAAAAATCTGACATTTCCATGACTACTTCACAATTCTTAAAATATTTTCCATACAATTAAAATGGACCATGCTGGATTTTTCTGCCATATGAGAAAAAAACACACAACAAAAACATAAATTTAAGAAGACTTGACAAAAACAATTTACATTCACTTGATTTGACTTTTTTATTTTGCGCTGTAGCTAGCAAAAATGATATAACATTAACTTATGCGCTCATGGCATTTCATTTTTTTCGATATTTTTGTGTGGGGTAGGGGACAGTGGTGGTTCTAGGGTAAACCAAAATAAACTATAGAGGCTAATTTGAAATTAAAAAGACTTTTATTAGGCTAAAATACTACCATCATGATCATCTCTAAAAGACATTAAATTTTTAACTTATTACTTTTATTTTTACCACCCTAGATCTGCTACCGGAATGGAGGACTACTTAAGTCCTCCTAGTCCCCAGTTCCCTGCCCCCGAGAATTAAATAGGCACATGCTCTGACAATAAAAACATAACAACATGCAATCCTTCATTTTTGTACATCAAAAAAGCCACTGTAGTTAATATTTTATGTTTAAAATCAAAAGATAAAGAGATAGTGAGTTAGAAATGACTTACTTCCGGAGTCTTCCATGTAAGAAGTTCTGCAGGATCTTTTCCTTTGAGTTGCTTAGTTGCTATGGCCACCCATTCTGGATTTAATGGAACAGAGTGGAAATGACAATGGCACACCTACACAAAGACATACATAGGTGTTGATTATTTGTATTGTAATAAATTTTGCTAACAACAAACATGATAATCGTGTATGATATCATGCAGTTCTGAAACATATAGCCTGCATGGAAATATTTTAAAGCTACTAGTATGACGTGTTGTAATATTTTATTGTTTTAATATTATGTTTATTATAGTTAAGAATCATGATGATTTAATGTAGTATTTCATTTGCTTTTCATTACTTTGCCATATCAAGAAGTGGCATAGTCAGCCTGCAAATTTGTTCAAGCTTTGTAAATATTTCATGATTAGCATTATTAATTTCTTTAGAATTTTAATGTTTGATAGTGAGCGAACACATAAAAATTACATTGCATAAAAAAATTGCAGGCTAGCTACCTCTTGCATTAACAAAGTGTTGCACTGACCAGAAAGGCCTTAGAAAAGGTCAATTTTGTGGATGCAGCACTTTTGCAATTGTATATCAAGAAGAATAGTGAAAAAACTGTAATATCATAAGTTTTTAGGTAGTCACCCTAGGACACTATAAATATCATATACTTTGTAAAGTCTTAATTAATTACTGTCTATGCTTGAAGTGAAAAATAACAACACCCATTACAGTGTACAGATTAAACATGTGATTGTAGAATCAACATATTCCATGACTATAAGCCAGCAAAGATTTTGTAGCACATCACAAATATGATTAAATCTTGGTCATGCTGCTGTGTACAATGCTTTGAAAAGTAATAACAGGTTTTTCAAAAGTCATTTAGAATGCACCAGATAATTCCAAAAGTTACTTCAGCTGGTCAAAACCACATGTTCAAATACTTACTGCTTAAACGTCTTGGTCTCAGAATTAAGAGAAAATAAATCTGGACAATAAATCAATTTAATGTGCACATAATCGACATTGCCTTACAAAAGTATCAAAAATAATCATAAGAGATATGGCATTATGGAATGCCTGCGTTGTCATTCCCTCAAAATAGGCTATTGCATAATTACTGGACACAGACATAGCTAGTCAGCAAAACATTATCCCTATCGCAACACAATCCTGCTTTTAGCTTTTAGAAGGTAAATATCAAATATAATTTTTTAGAAACCTTGAAAGGAAAATAGATAAGACCAAATACAAAGCATGCCAAAGAAAAAACTTACGTTCCGACCTTGACGTACAAATTGTTTGATATTATAGGAAAATTTCCTCATCTTTCACACAATGTTACGTTCTTAAACAAAATGGGTACGCAATGCGTACATGTGGGTAGACTGTCAAGTATATTATTACTAAATGAAGTAGACAATATGAGCCTTATTCAAATATAAACTATATATTTAATATTGTTTACCCCAAACTTGTTTAAGATTTGAAAATGTTCTTTAGTTATATGACCAGTTAATTGTTTAACCCTTTCTTCATTTTTCGAACGCTCTAGCTTAGATTGCATGTCACGTGACTGTGCTCAAGCCTCGCATCAGGGAAAGGAACGTCATTTAGATTTCTCGCGTTTTTTCTAAACGTTTTTTCGCCGAACAGCATTTTTGCTTATAATTGTGTTTCAAAGAAATTTTGCAACGTTTTCTAAAATATCGTTCAGAGGAGAACGTCATTCCCATAAACGATAAATCAACACAGCACGTTTATGACTTGTATTAGATTATATTTGAAAGTAAACGCTTTGCGTTGCGCATTGCAAATGATCGCAAGTCTTTTGTCTTTCCGTTCTTACTTTGACAGTGACTTGACACGCATCATATTTCACTTAATGTAAAATGTAAAATTGTAAATCCATAGCAATAATATTTGTATTTTGTACAATATTCGAAAGCAAAATAAATTCATTTGCTTTCAGCGTTTGACTTCACCAACTGTGTACTGTGAGTCTGTGAGTAAGTCGAACTATGTATAAGCAATGTAACTATTACCACAGCATAGAAACAAACAATAGTCTCACTCCATTGTGCAACTTGCTGGCTTACTGGCTGCGACTAGCCATCACAGCCAGTGATCACAGCGCTCCTATTCGTCAAAAAAAGGAAATAACTGGCTGCCACTATGCTAGTCACATGCGTAATAAGATATGCGCTACACAAAAAATTGGACTACTGTTTGTTTCTATACTGTGCTAATACCGAATTGGACTATTTATAACCAGACAGTACATCCAAGTGATCCTACTAAGTACAAGTTGCTAATACCGGTCGCTGAAACGAGATATAATTGTTATTTGTGGTTGCTTGTAAGCAGGCATTTGAATAATATCTTGACTTTTATTTATTATTCTATTATGAAGTTTTGTGAAGAAAAATTGTTCGTTTTTACATCCCATAAATGAAGCTCATGTTTAGTTCCGCTTGAATAGATTACAACAGGCAATATCGTACAGCTATACAAGTCAATTTTCGGACCGTGATGTTTTTAGTTAATATTTCTCAAAATAACAATATTTTCCTTTCAGTGTCTGATTAAATTCACCAACAGAGTCCTGTAAGCCTGTATGAGTAAAGCGAAATATGTATAAGCAATGTAAATAATACCGAATTGGCAGGGACGCCGCGAACACCTTGATTTTTTTTTTGGGGGGGGTGCCATAAATATTTACCTGAAAGTTTTTTTAAATTTACCTGAAATTTTTCGGCTTTCCTGATATGCATTTGGCCGAAATCAGGAAAGATTGACTTTAAAAATTTCGGTTTTAAAAAAAATGAATGAACATTTTCGAAATATTTTATTCCGTAAGAATTTTTAGTTTACATACACAAGGAATGTACAAAAATCTATTTAGGCATGCCTTTTAGCGTAATAAATAAGGTTTCAGTCCTTAAAATAGTAATTACAATTGCATTTCACAAATTGTTTGGTGCAACCGCCGACAAAGGCACTCCACGATTCTTCAGAACAGCTCATTTCTTTGCCAGTTTGTGCACGTCGATTGTGCTGGTTATATAGTTCTCACCAGTAAGAATCATGCAATCATTTAGTCGTTCCCCTGAGATTTCATTGCGTATGTAGTTTAAACTTAGGCCTGTTTCAAGCGTCGCATTTTACTTGAGCCGAATGCATTAAAGACAAAAGAAAATGAGACCAAATTCACATTATCTTTTGTTAATGCATTCGGCTAGTGTAAAATGCGACGTTTGAAATAGGCCTTAGTCATCGAAAGTCAAAATAATGCAATGTTTTGTTTATTTTATTTCTACTCTCTACAAAGTTCATAATCAATGCTTTGAGCAAAGTATAAAATATCAACTGTCAGGTTTAAAAACAGGTGTTGAACTATTGTTTCTTAACGTAAAAGTAATACAATGTTTGTTTACTTTATGTTTACTTCCAACAAAGTATTCATTAAATTAAATGAAGATATGATCTTCGCACTTTGTTGGACAATTTAAGCAATCGTCTCAGGAGCCTTAAAATTCAGGTGACTCAACGGGATCCATGACCTCTGCGGTGCCGGTGCAGTGCTCTAACCAACTGAGCTATGAAATCACAGGATCCCGTTGAGTCACCTGAACCCTAGGCTGCTTAAATCCAACAGTATCTTCATTTAATTTCAGACACCGCACTGCATAAAGTATTCATTGTTAATGCATTGTACAAAGTATAATATATCAACTGTCAGGTTTTTAACTATTGTTTCTTTGCTAATTTTTATTGATGGTCAATTTTAAATTTTAAAATTTTAACTGGCATCAAAAATATATCCACTCTCACATATTACATGCCAGTAATTTAAGATTGGCAACAAACACAGCAGTTTCAAGTTGGAATTATCTAAATTAGCAGTAATTATATCAGCATCGTACTAATTTACCACATGATTTTCACCTGATTTTTACCTGATTTTTGTTTTAATTTTTGATTGGGGGGTATTGCATCCCTCAGACCCCCCGGTAACGACGTCCCTGCGAGTTGGACTATATACCAGACAATACATCCTACTAAATACAAGTTGCTGGTACTGGTCGCTGCAACGAGATATAATTGATATTTGTTATCGTTTGCTAGCCTGCATTTGAATAATATCTTGACTTTTATTTATTAGTTTTTTATGAAGTTTTGTGAAGAGTCAATTGTTCCTTTGTACATCCCATAAATCGAGCTCATGTTTAGTTCTTTTTTAATAGATGACGAGGAATATTGTACAACTATACAAGTCAATTTTTGGGCCGTAATGTTTTTAGTTAATACTTCTCAAAAGAACAACATTTTCTTAGGATTATGCCCCGACGATTCTGTATCTTGTACGCGGCCAGACGCTTCACAGTTCACGCATTGGAAATGTAACTTAAGCTTAGGTTACATTCAATTACATTCATACTATATGTATATGTGCTTGGATTCATTGTTATAGTCTTTATCTTTAGGTCGAACGAAGAACAGCTCACGATATTTTTCCGACAAAGCGACGAACGCATAAAACGGTATCGTTCGTATATCCAACTATCACCGAGGATTACGACGGATAGAAAGACAGACGGACAGACAGACACTTTTTCAGTGTAGCATAGTGGTTAGCCACGCGGCTAACTTAGCTTCATAGCTTCTTTTGTCCAAAGGTCCAAGCCAAATATGATCTTAACACCAAAGTCAAAGGTCAAAGCCAAATATGACTTGTTAAAAACAGGTACTTTGGTACGTGCACATACATGAACATAGGTCAAGTATAATATGAAGTAATGCATAAATAATTCCCATTATATAGACAATAAAATGCTCGAAATTTAAAAAATATGCTCAATGTTTCTTTAATCGACGGAGTCAGCAAATGCGATAAACCTATTAGATTGCATGAGTTGTGCCAGCTAACGTGCTCAAATTATGACTTCTTCACTTTGAAAAGTAGGTTTTAAGTTTACACAAATAGGATTAACCGCACATAGCAAAAAAAGCAGAACAAGATCGCGCGTTTTGTGCATGCACGAATAGTAAAAATAGCGTCGTCAATAATATTTATATATTTTTTTAAAATTCACAGCACGTTGAAGATGAAGTTGTCTCGATTTACTGCAAATACTTCACAAATAATCCTAAAGACAAAGAGGTATTTTATGCTGTGTACACAATATGACGATCCAATGTTATCCACAACCCCATCAAATTAAAGAAATTGAGATCGTCGTTCTTGATTTTGAAAAACTACATGAAGTTTTATAAATATTTTGTACATTATCCTATTTCTTTTCAATGGAAGAAGAATTCAGGTGCGACTATGAGATTTGATCTGCACAAAAGACTTACAAATGAAAATAAGCCGGAATACTGAATGTGTGAATGATCTTAAATAGACATAGCTAAACTTTAAATTTCTTCTTTTTGCTCTTACAGTTAACAAAAAAGAATCTGACTCTAAAATAAAACACAGTCCACTGAACGAGAGAAGATGTAATGACTACTGCAAGAATCGACAGCCTCGTTTTCATACGTGCACATTGAATACAATGAACACACATTGAACTATTCGTCCCATTCAAGCAATACCTGACGGGAAACATAGTCCAAGTTAGAACGAACCTCATCACGCACGGGCTTTACTACTTGTAAAAAGATCACGTGCTATCCTTGGAGTATTTCTTATACAATCATAATTTTGAGCATAATTTTAGCTAAGAACAACAAGACATACATTGATGAAGCAGAATAAAACAAAAAACGGATTAAAGACGCATTGTTGTATTGTAAGAATTAAATAAACTCGTCGGGAGAACTCCTGCAAGCTTTATTGAAAATCTATAATTTTCGTCTTTCCTTATTAAATGTCATAATTTGTTGACGTCTTTTACAGGCGTTCTACTTCCTCGAGATTGTGCAAATGAAGATTTAAAAAAACTAAAACTAGGACCTGAAGGCTGACAACCAACCGCAAAAACTCTGAATGATTTTCTTGTGATGTTTCTGCTGCGTTTTTCGTGAAGTTGGACTTCAAGATATAGAGAACAAGATCTTCATGAGTTTGTGACAGTTTGTGAGCTTATTCTTGGTAATTATGAATGCTAGAATTAGAGAATTAATAAATGTAAATATTGGTTGTGATGCAACTGAGGCAGCCAAAAATATGTATATGCTGGCAAAATATTTATAGACAGCAGTCTCAAGCATTTGTTTGAATAATGTTCGAGGTGCTTCTAACCCTAACCCTAACGCCACCATGTTTTACTTCCTCGAGACCTTCTCTTTAAATACAACTTTTTTTGTCCAACACTACCATATTATTCTTTCCATGAGACACCACTTTTTACACCCATTTAGAGTTA